CACAGTACTAACAATAAGGACAGGGCACACAGGACAACACACATGCAGATGAGGCAAGGGATTATCTTTGCAGACTATTCAGGGCAGCGATTGCGGAAGGGACAAAGCTCTTACTGAAGCGTGTCCGCTTCCACCTCAGAGTCCTGAACCTGCGGCCTGAGGGCAGCAGGCAGAAGTGACTGTGGAGCGGGTGGTCTGAGTCTGTGCTGATAGTCCGGACCATGCGTGTGATGAAGATATTGTTGAGGTGTGAGAGGTCTGTGATGGGCAGGCTGATGATTTTGGATGCTGTGTGGGTGACCTTGGTGTGTTTATTTCTGTTAGTGATGGACAGCATGTTAAAGTAACAGGGGGAGCAGTAGAGAAGTATGGGTTGAATGATGCTGGTGTATAACAGTAAGAGACGTTTTGGTTTGACGGACAGGGAACGGAGCTTGCGGAGGATGTGGAGTCTTTGCTGGGAACGTTTATGGATATCGGTGACATGTTGTTCGAAAATGAGTTTATTGTCAAGTGTGAGTCCAAGATATTTGAAGTGATCAACACGTTTGACTGTTTTGTTGTGTATGGTAGTGAGTGCCAGGTTCGGGGTGTGTGATTGTGTGTGTATGAGTAGTTGTTTTGTCTTATCCACATTCAGCTCCAGAAAGTTGTCATAGCACCACTTGGTAAAGTGGGTGACAGACTGGAGGTAAGAAGTTCTGGAGTTATTGTTCTTGAGGAGTGCAAGAATGGCAGTGTCATCTGAATATTTGAAGTATGTGGTGACAGGTGAGGGGCTGGTGCAGTCATTGGGGTAGAGGGTGTACAAAAATGGACTGAGAACACACGCCTGGGGGGCGCCGGTGTTGGTGATTCTGGTGGATGAGGTGAATGAACTGATTCTAACAGCCTGTGGTCTGTTACTGAGGAAGTTGTGGATCCAGTGGATGAGGAGTGGAGACAGGTTGAGGGTTTGGAGCTTCCTGATCATCTGGTGCCACTGTATAGTGCTGAATGCTGAATTGAAGTCAATGAAGAGGTGCAAAGGTGCCAGGTGACTCGAGATGGTGCAGGAGGGGGTGGAGGAGACATGCTACTGCGTCCTCTGTTCCCCGTTTTGCCCTGTATGCAAACTGGTATGGGTCCAGTAGAGGTCTGACAGCTGGATGGATGGAGTGGAGGATGAGCTTTTCCAAGCACTTCATCATGATGGAGCTGAGTGCAATTGGTCTGTAGTGGTTTGGCTCAGATGGACATGGCTTCTTGGGAACTGGGATGATTATGGAGGTTTTCCAGGTTGTGGGGATGTGTGCCAGCCTGATGGAGTCCCAGAAGATGGAATGCGGGATTGGGGATAATTCTATAGCACACAGCTTCAGCACCCTGGCCATGATGTTATCCGGGCCCGGTGCCTTACCCACTTTACACCTGCTCAGCTGCTGGCGTACATCCTCCACAGAAAATGGAGGTTGAGATGGGGCGTCCAGGGGTAAGACACTGAGCAGCTCATCACAGAGGGCAGAGTGGTCAGCGGTATCAAAGCGGGTGTAAAAGGGGTTCAGGGAGTCAGCGAAAGTGGCGGCGTTGGTTGATATGTTGTGCCCTATGCTGGATGCTTGACCAGTGAGGGTCTTGATTTTCTGGTAAGCCTGTCTGGTGTTCATACTGCTGAGTTCCTGCTCAATCCTGTCTTTGTACCTGAGTTTGGCCTTTGTTATATCGTTTTTGATCTGTCTGTTGAGTGTGTTGACGGTGTTCCAGTCCTGGCGCTGGAAGGCTACCAGTCTATCATACTCGTACTCTTAAATAACTCAAAATAAATAACTCAAATAACTCTTAACTAGATAACTATTAAATAACTCAAACCCAAATGCGATTTATGTTTTTGTGCTACGGAATTTTAGTTGTTATGCAACAAGTGTAAAGTTGGCATATTACATTATAAGAATAAAATCATCATGTTATGTTCTGAGGTTTAAGTTGTTATGTTAGGATAATAAAGTCATCATGGTGAGAGACTGAAGTTGCTAGAAGCACAAATGTTTGTTACTTTACAAGATTAAAAATGTTACATTATGGGATCTAAGTTGTTCGACACAAAATACCGTAAAGTACTGTTCACCCAGCTTGTGCACGTTTCCCTCCTTTGATTTCATTCTCAGACTCATCTCAATGTTTTGACGCTGTTTGTTGCAGTCAGATGAAGCTTAAGTTAACTCTAAGTTTCTCATATTGATTCATTGGTTTAGAAATTTTGTTTTGGTTTGTTTTTATTTCAGAGACAGTAAAGACAAACTCAATCTCACATAAATATGGATGCACGAACACACACCTTTGAATAGTGGAGTATGAGTTGAACACAGAACATATAAAGTCAGTGATTTCCTGAAGTTATACTGATGGTGTGTGTCTCTCTGGGTTACCTGAGGTGAGTACAGCCGGCTCATACCTGCACGAATATGTCTCAGCATGGCAAAGGTGATACAAACAGCTGAGTTTGTGTCAATGTTAGACCCTAACTTGATGTCAGTCTTTTTTATAGTGATTGTTAGTTAATTTAAAAGGTCATTTTTACTCGTGTTTTTATTGATATTATTACTTATGATCATCTGGATTGTTTACATTCATCAAACTTCACACAGGGTGTTTGAGATGAATTGGTGAATAACTACTAAAGAATTTTTGGTTGCTTTTAGAAGTAACAGTTTTTAGTTTTTATGTCTCAATGATCACACTGTAATAACATAAGTCTGAATGCATTTCTATCAATTCTATTGAGAGAAAAATCATCTTAGTTTCTTTTTCAGCTTGGTTCACTGAATTGTAAAGACTTGTTTTGAAAGCTAACTGTAGTTTCTTTAAAAAAAATTAAAACAGCAGATGTTTGACTAATTTCAAAGCTCTTGAAATCATAATGAAGTAATTTGTGTAGTAATTAGTAATTGTGAAGTAATTCTGCGCTGCATGATTGCTTCATCACTAAAACATTCAGAAACTTTTCTCAGACATATTTGTCTACATGACGATTTACTATAACAACATTTATCAGTGAGACCCAACACCCTCACCTCAGTTAAAAAGATAAAGCAGTTATCATGAGCAGTTAACCACTAACAAGTAGGGATGAGCAAAACTAGATGTACACTTTTTGGTGTGGTTATACTAACACCAGTACTGATACTAATTGCTACTAAGCAGAAATAATGTTTGAAAAAATGTCATTAGGCACTAAAAATGAATCCCATGAAAAAGACAGGGCACACCTCCTGAAAGAAACTAAAATGTTCGTGCAAATATGTCTAAAACAAAACAGGCTTCAAGCAACTTCTATCAGACTCATTAACAGTTAATCCTGTGCTTAACCCTCCTCTGGTGCTGATACTATTGGTTTATTTTTAATTATACAGTATATTTAATTATAGACTCAGTTTTACCTCTGAGCTTTTTATCTTTTTTATACATTCACATGTACATTGTTTACACTGAGGTGTGGCTTTGTGTGTTTGCACTGATGACTTTACATTGATGAATTTTCTAACAGATAAATAAGCTTCTTTTGATTTGATACAATTAAAATATGCTAATATAGTGCAGATGGGTCTCATTTATATCTAAATTAATGCATGTTTATTTTATTTTATCTTTATTTCACTGGATGGTTTTATTAAGACTGAGATCTCTTTTAAAAGAGAGACACATGGGAACAACATTTACAACAGCAGGCACCAAACATAGTAGAGTATTAGTCTGATAATAGATTTAAACTCTCCAAGATGAATGAGGGAATCAAGTTTGAGGGCAGATTGTAGTTCATTTGAACAGAGTATGATTGCTGAAGCCGAGTCTCTCATTATAAGTGCATGTAAATGGGTGTCTAAGGTTAGATAGTTACTGGATCGTGTTCTGTGGTTGATAGATTTTGGTGTGAAAAGAAAAGTGAGGTAATTCAAAAGTTTCTTAAGCAGTGCCTTGTAGATGAATTACATAAGGTGAATATTTCCTCTGGACTGTAGGGAGGACCAACTAATATTTTGATTGAACTGTTGAAGAGTTGATGGGGCGGCATGAGGACACAAGATAACACCATAATGAGGGACAGTCAAGAAGGATGATTTTACAATGATTCTATGGTTAGAGGAGGAAAGAAAGCCTTAGATTCTGTAGAAGTATCTAAATTTGATTTGGAGTTTCTGGGTAAACTGTTGCATAGGATTTTTGAATGTTTAAGTGTTATCAAGCCGAACGCCAAGGTATTTATATGAATTGGTGAGAGTAATGTCATTGCCATTTCAAGTTTAGATGACAGGGTAGTCAGAGTCAATATTTGCTGGAGTGAAGGAGACCATGGATTTCTTTTTGTCTGCATTCACGATTAATCTATGGTTGTGGGGAGATAATTGAAGAGAACTGAAAGCAGTCTGTAGATGAGTCAGGGCTTGGGCGGTTGGAGACGGGGCATGTAAACTGCAATCATCAGCAAAAAAGTGGACTTTAAAGTATTGGTTGGGAAGAAATATATTGTTAATGTATAGAGTAAATAACGTGTAACAGGCCTAGTAAATATAGTGATCAGAATTTGTAGTCAAATATGGGCATGGTGAATTTGGCTCAACAGCACTCTCTGGGGAGTTTTAAGTGTGACGCTCCTCAGGCCAGTTTTGCCTAGAAAAATTTTATTTATGATATTTCAGGTATTTAACTGGGCCCTCCAAAATATAAAGTTCTTGAAGTAAGTTTAGTTTTATTTATCAAAAAATGACAATGTGCAAAGACATTAACCACCTATACTTAGAAAAGTAGAGACTTTTGTACCAGATCTTGCTGTAGTACCACATGAAAGTGATGCATGACATATTATGGTCCTTCTTAACTCAAGTACAGAGGTGATGTAAAATGGTCATGAGCCTCTGCTGCTTCATTTTAGTAAGGTTAATGTGTTGCATTCAGCAGTTCTAACGATGTAACTTCACTAATATTTTGTATTTTTTTTTCTCAGAAGTGTCTTTGTCTTTCGAGAGATGAATGTCTCATCGGCCAATGTGACAGTGTTTGTCCGAACTAAGGACTCCTTCACTAAAGCTGTCACTAAAAATCTCATTGTCATCATTCTCGGGATTTTCATCAACTACATCAATGCCTGCCTTTTTCACACCTTCAGAAAACACCAGGTATAATATTCCCTACAGGTATTGAGCAGAAATAATTCTTTTAGAAGAGATTTTCATCTTAAAATCCTACAGGCCTTTTTTCTCATGGAGGGTAAAGTTTTATAGAAGCGGGAGGTTTAAAATGACCAGATTATAGGATCCAGATCATCCGCAACAATCATCCTGAATGTGGAATAAAAATTGTTCAATAAAAGGCTGAGAGAAGTATTATAAAGCAAGGCTTAGAGGGAAAATCACATCTGTTGAATTTAAAGTCAGAGTTTTCAGAGTCATAAAGATGTCCATATTGTTTGACCACCGGCAGGCAGGTCGGGCCCAGCTAAAATTCCCGTATTCTACCATGATGTGGGTGGAGAGGGTGAGGTCGGAATCAAAAATCAGTCCTAGATATCTTGCTGTTGGTTTGATAATTTTTAAATGTGGCACGAGACGACACTGTATGGGGGGGGGGGGTCAATAGTTCAGTTGATGTCACAGGACGGTCCGTGACAGGTCTCAGAGGAAGGTATATCTGTGTGTCGTCCGTATGGCAGTGAAAGGAGACTTTGTGGCGCTGAAATAATTGGCCGAGGGAAAGCATGCAAATAGAAAATAAAATAGAAAATTGGACCTAAAACTGAACCTTGGGGTACACCACGGGCAATAACACATAGCTGTTTTCATGTGGGCTAAAATATCACATAAAAAGGGTAAGGACAATGCCCCAAAACTGCAAAATTAATGGTGAACTTCCCTACAGGGGAACTAGGAGGAGTGATCTGCTGCCTGATATCCATTATCTTTTTAATAAAATCAATTAAAATCTTCTTGCAGGTCAAGTCAAGTCAAGTTTATTTGTATAGCACATTTCAGCAGCAGGGCAATTCAAGGTGCTTGAGAAGCGTCAGTAAAATAAGAGGGGTGGGGGGGTTGGTTAGTCACTCTAAAACCTTAAATAAACTCTGGGTTTCAAATAATTAGCAAAAATCTGAGAAAAAAGCATCCTTTGCATCTTTAACTGTCGATCTTGTCCATCCTAATGGAATCCCTCCGGATTTCATGGAAAACCACCACCCATTTTCTTTTTTTTCATTTTACGCTAATTTCTTCTACATGTTTTCTTTAGTTCATGTGTGGCAGCTAAAGATGCAGAAATAAGCAGCCCAAAAAAACTTGCTAGCACATGTTGAATTGAAAAACTTATGATAAATAGGAGAATGATCAATAAAAGAGGGCAGGGTTAATTCCATGGATAATAAAACCAGTTTGTGAATTGACACACAGATATCCTTGGTTAAAAATTCCCTGGGACTAAGTCAGGTAAATAAGCCCTTATCTAGGCAATATCCCTTTACATGGGTTGGTTCCTGTATTGCCTTAATTAGATTGAAAGATTTCAGAGTTTTAATGAAATCAACATTTAAGGGTTGTGGGAGACGACAGATATGAACATTAAAATCACCTAGAATAAGAATTTTGTCCTATTTACAAATAAAATGGGATAGAAACTCTGAAAACTCCTGAATAAAAACATGGTTATGTTTGGGGGGTCTATAAACGATTAAAAATAAGTCAGGATCTTTCAGTTTAATACTAAAAGCAAGGTGCTCAAAAGAACTAAAAGTGCAGAAGGTGATGGAGGTGCATTAAAAACCTTGTATATGACAGCCACCTCCCATCCCCGCCTGACTGCCAGGGTTGATGGAGGTGAGTAAAATCAGGGGTGGTGGCTCTGATGAAACAAGTATAATTGAGTATAATTTAATATTATTTATTTCAGTTAAAATAAAATAGTCCAAGCTGTTTTATGAAATAAAATTATGACATTAAAATGTTTTGTTGTTAGTTGATCTGATGTTTAATCGTCCAAAGCTTGCAGGTTTACTGTTAAAAGCAGGGTGCGGTAGCCAAGGAGGAAGCAAGGGAATGTGTATGAGATAGGAGGGGGTTGAGGATGTGAGGATGTCATGTGAACTGGAATTAGATGATTCACTACTGGAACTGGTGTTGGGGGGTGGAGGAAGGCAGGGATTGCCAGGTGAGTAGGCGGGGATTGTGGGAGTGCTTTGTGATGACCAGAGTTTATTGTGTGGTGGTGGTGGTGGTGGCCAGCATGTGGGAAAATAAGTTGCTGAGTGCAGACTGTCAAAAAGGTGAGGAGTGGATCATGTACTGGATATTGTAATAAAGCATTTGGCTACCCTGCCTGTTGGATATTATGTGTGAAAAGTGATGCTCGGTCCCAAAAGAGATTTAAGATGTCAATAAAGCATAATGGACTGGATCCAGGTATGGCAGCTGAGAATCCTGCTTAAACGTTCTGTGGGGTTTGGGATATAGATAAACAAAGTCTTTCTAGAGTCCTTTAAAACATTAATGAGCAAGTTAAAATTCTTTTTGTGATTTTGGACTTTTTGTAGGAAGTATCCTTTGAGCCAACATGAAGCACAATAGGGGGCTCTATTTTCGTGCCTTGATGGCGTCGTGGCGCAGGCACGATGCATAAGTCAGGTCCACCACGCCGACAAGGCAACCAAGGCACATTTTGGTATTTTGGTGAGCAGCGCAGCCCAGCGTAAGTATCCACTCTCCCTAACTCAGCTCCCCCCAGCGGCATGAGTCATAGCAAGGGGAGGAGAGAAGGTGTGGAGTGGGTTTAACACAGCGGAGACCTGTATTGACTAATAACATCAGCTCCTCTCCTTGCCTTTGAGGCATATTACAATTTTCATAAAGTAGTTAAAGAGATCAAGAGATGGCTGCAGACAGCAATGCCACATGATGGCAACAGAGCAGCTCCTCAAAAAGTGTCACTGTAAGCACTGCGGAGGGTGCGCTCCACACTCTCTCATATAAGCACAGATGGATTTGGTGTGTGTAATGTTGGACCCACTGGTAAGACAAACACCCTTTTCCACAAATAAAGACACTCACATCAGGTTGCATATATCTAAACCCCACATGACAAAGGTGGGTTGTGCACACAGATCACAACATAAATTCCAATAATGGCATTAAAATCGGAACCACCTGTGCGTAAATGACACATCGTGCTCCGTGGCCTGGCTCTTTCTTTCAGAGATGTTGGCATATAAAATAAATTTGGCTAACAAAACTGAATAGATGTATGTGGACCTAACTCCAGATTGAAAAAAAATCTGATAAACTGGTAATTTTGAGTGCAAGTTTCTTTTATATTAATTTATTTTTTGTTCAAATTTTTGAAGTAAATAACTTATCTGATCATTATAATAAATCATCTGATCAGCTCTGCCACTGCATCAGCAGCAGGACGGAGAGAGGATACGGAGACATGTCAGGTGTTGTGCCATAGACTGCACCCCAGCCATAGAATGCATCCCCTGAGGGGAGCGTGGTTGAAAGCACAACAAGGCAAAATAATCCAGGTTTCCTTACTGTTGGATAGATTCAAAAGTATGTGCCTTTAATGATTCCATTCAGGCTATTCAGATAAGCCCAAAACAATAGCCCTCTGATTCAGAATATTTGCTGCCCAGAAAATATAATATTCTCTACCTTGACAGCTTACTGTATGGTTTATATAACCCAAGTACACCTCTGTATGTGCATTTTTTAAATACCTAAAATCAAAACGAAAGTTTGCTGCTCCATTTGACATGTTGTCATGATCCAATACTCGTGTTTTTTTTTTTTTAGATTTGAGATCATTTTCTTCCTCTCTAAGAAGCCAATGAGTGGATGGGATGCAGGGGATGCATTCTACAGCAGGGGATGCATTCTACGGCACAACACCTATCAAGCTGCGTGAGGAAGGAGGAGGATAAGCGGGGAGACGAATGAAATATCTTGTTAACTTCATCATGTATTTAATGTAATGCAGTTTTAGCTGTGTTAATTCAGTCAGGTGAAGTGTCCAAACTAGTGGTGGGCAAAACCGTTCATTTCAGTGAACCGGATCATTCTGGTTCGTTCAGTAAGAAGATCCGTTCATTTCGGTCAATTGGTCATTAGTCAATCCGTTTGCTCATGTTCACGTTCGTTCAGATGCTGAGCGAAAGTGAACGTGAGCGAACGGACTGACTCAACACGGCTGACCGGGTTTATGCAGGGGGAGATCTGTTCAGACTCTGAACGAACAAGAGTCTCTTAGCTCCCTTTGTGACAATAACATCAAGTATTTCCAACATATACGTCTTTGCTGACATTCAAAACACAGAGAGATCTAAGGATACGTATTCAACAGCTGTACGACTTTGGACAATCTCATGCGCATTTTTTCGAAAGTCTCCAGGTAACAGGGTCACTTTTTACACCGAAACAACTGCATGTTGACCCAGCTAAACCAAGCTGGTTTAGCACATTACCCATTGGCACTAATTCAAATGGTGGCTGAATACAGATGTGTCTGTACACAGACACAGTACAGCATCGGGATATTTTGCTGGAAAAACGCATCGGCTGCCTCAAGTAACCCTGCGTACTCTTATCAACCGCTGTTTGTTAGCTTAGTGTGCTAAACCTTCTGCTAGTGAGTCTCTGCCTCTGGCTGCAGCAGCAGCAGCTGTGTGCCTATGTGTGTGTGTGACTGTCCCGCTCGCTCGGGCTCGGCTGTTGGCTCGTGCGGCAGCCGCGGCACTGTTTGTTGGACTCGTGAGTACAGATACCCCCCGCAAGAAACTGCCTTATGGTTTATTTTATTCAGTACATCCTGTTGCGTTCGCAAGTCAGTCGGCTAGTGACAGGCTGACAGCACCTCGCAGAGAGTGAATGCTTGTACTCAGTCTGAGAGTCGGTCAATCTCTCGGTCAGACCAAGCTGACTGAAAAGACAGAGACTGAGTCGGTCATCGGTCCCGGTCTTTCAGTCAGCTCAGTACTGCTGCTGCTTCTCTAAGCCCCACCCACCCACAGAGCGAGGCGCGACGATAGGATAAGACAGGCAAGCACAGAGATAGTCCCGCCCTAAGGAACGGTGAACTGACTCTTCAGCCAATCAAAAGAACTGAACAGACTGAACGGATCATTTAGGGAGGGTGACCTCATTTATTTCGATCACCAAAAAGAACTAGTTCTTTTGATCCATTCGTTCATGACCGACACACCACTAGTCCAAACGCGTGCCAAACGTGCTCATCAGATAAGATATCGATCAGAATATATCGATATAGATCTAAATGTATGTGCTGATTCAGATAGTTGCACTGAATAGTGGTTGTTGATGATTATTTATTGCACTGAAATGTGCCTGACACTGTGGAAACCTGCCTGTGAGGCATTGCTGACTACCCCGCTTGCCTACCAAAATACCACTAGACCAGCTGCACTCCGCCTGTGCTGAAAGCTGACCTGATTTGAATCAGCAAGCTGTCAGCGCACTTTTCACGTCGGCGGTGAGCACGAAAATGTCACTGCCAGCTGATTCTGTCGACACCTCCCCTTACCACGCATCCATGCCCAGATTGGTGGACCTTGGCGGACCTTGGCGCGCCTCAGGCTACGAAAATACTAAACTGGCTATGCACCGGACTCTGCCAGACGAAAATACTACTGCGTGGGGTCCGCCACTGTCCACTGCGTCGCCGGCGGGCACGAAAATAGAGCCCCTTGTCTTGAACATGGAGACAGAGGAGGGGAGAAAGGGGATTAAGAGTTTGTGCAGGATACACACACACACAAACATACACACTCTCACACACTGGTAAAAGCCTACTTTGATGACCTGTAACTGTGCTTTACAACAGTTGAGTTCACACCATCACAGCAGTCAAGGAAGTAGGCATCATGGCAGGTTATGTTACCCCTTGCCTTCACAATGGCCATAAAAGCCATCATTAGGGCCTCAAGGTGGGTGTTGGGGGTTAGCGGACATGGATGACATGACCACACTGACCACTACTGCAGCATGCATAAACAAGTCATTAAGCCTCTCAGTACTCAAGAAAGAGCTCAAAAACATTAAGTTCTGCGTTGGTGATGACCCAATACCAACAGTGTATGAGCAACCTGTCAAAAGCATTGGTAGATGGTACAATGCAAGCCTCAGGGACTAAGACCAATTGCATCAACTCAGGCAGGACATCACCAACAGTCATAAAAGCATCAACAAGACCCTGCTGCCAGGGAAGCTCAAGTTCTGGTGCCCCCAGTTTGGAATTTTTTGCTGGGTAATGTGGCCACTCACTATTTATGGGGCCCCAATAACAACTGTGGAGAAGATGGAGTGAACTATGACTTCATATGTCAAAAAATAGCTTGGTGTACCACATTGTCTGACCAACATCAGCTTCTGGGGCAAAGGAGTCCTTGAACTACCTATCACAAGTCTAACCAAAGAGTACAAGTGCACTAAACTAAGACTCCAGATTACTTTTAAGGATTCCAGAGACCAAACTATCAGTAATGCTGAACAACCCCTTTCAACGAGTCAGAAGGGGACATCATCATGATGCAGCATGCTATGTCAGCCCTGAGGAACAACAACATCCCGGAGCATGTCCTGCTGTAGAGAGGAGGCTTTGGCCTTGCAGCAAGTAAACTAACTTGGTGTAAGGGCACAACATTAGAGAGGAGGAAAATGTGGTTGAGGAGTTGTGCAATCAGGAGGAGGCTGAAAGAAGTGCAAAGTCTGTTTGTCTTGCTAATCAGGGACAATGGACAAGGTGGGAGGACCTGGAGAGGAGAAAGCTCAGCTGAAAGGACCTCTAGGAAATTGGTAACAACAAGTAACATCGGCTTCATCATCAAAGCTACCTAAAAAACCTCCACTAGTGGTTAGGCAAAGACCCAACCTGTGCCTTCCGCCAAACTCAGAGGACTCTCAAACATATCCTGACCAGTTGCAAGATCAGCCTCACACAAGGCTGTTACACCTGAAGGCACAACCAGGTTCTCAAGAGTCTGATAGGAGCTCTTGAAAGCAGGAGGAATATGACCAACTCCTGGCCCCTGTGAGCAATCAGTTCCATCACAGCACGAACATTCATCCGTGAGGGACAGAAAATGCCCAACCATCCTCTTGCCAAATCAGAGCCCGGGAGCTAGCTATAGCCTGGGATTTTAGGTTGCTAGTTAACACTAGCCAACAACTGAGCCGTCCACTTGAGATTGCAGCCACCTCCCTTAGGCCAGACTTGTTAGTCTGGTCTCCTTCTCCTAGCATCACAGAGCTCACAGTCTTGTGGAAAAGTTTAACTGAGGGGGGGTTAGAGCATGTCTAAAACACAAAATTTTAATATTTCACAGACATATTTGAATCATTTTTAAGACCATGAACACTTTGTGCACATTTTACATGCGCTGCGGGCATGAGCAACTCCGGCAGGAAAGAGGAAGCTAAAGAAGCCATTGCATTACTCCATCCCACTATTATATATCAAAACACAACAGGACATCCTCCTCTTTCAAATGAGACCTGTCTTAACTCACTATGATGTATATACACCCCTCCAGGTTCAGAATGGTAAGCAGGTAACATTTCCACAGGAAAAGAAAAAGAGTAATCCATTTTCCTCATTTTCCGCGGTGAAATCCGCCACTAAACTTTCTTTTTGGTCTTTTTTTTTCATAAAGTTCCCCACGAGCTACACAACAAATATTTTCTTCTTATTGAACCACAAAAATGCCTATCAAACTGACAGGTATTGTCAGTCACCTGACAACAAAAATTGATATTTATATACTGGTTGAAAATAGCCCTGTGAGGAATTCATAGTAAAATTCTTAAAAAGTTAATATAATTTAAAAATTCAGTGAGAAGTTCAGAAATTTCATCCAAAAAGAGGAACTCTGGTTAGCACCCTCATTTAAACCATGCATTTTTTTTTTATATCTTGCCTAGTGAAGAATCAGAATAGAGAATCTTTAGGAACCGAAATTGAAACAAGGAAGAGTAATCGGAATCGGAATCATTCAAAATCAAACGATACCCAACCCTATAACCCACTGTACAGATTAAGAATAAGAGCTTTATTAATCCCCGAAATGAAATTCAATCCACTCCACAGGTGTTCACTGGTTGAAGAGGAGGTTTGGATGTACGGAAGTCTATGACTATCTCCTTTGTCTTTGAGGTGTTGAGGAGGAGGCAGTTTTTGTGACTCCAGTCACTGAAGGCTCTTATTAGATCTCTGTATTCAGCTTCTTGTTCATTTCTGATACATGCCACAATAGGGGGTCATCTGAGTATTTCCGGTTGTGGCAGGACTCAGTGCTGTATTTGAAGTCTGACAGTGTGAACAGGAATGGCGCCAGCACTGTCCCTTGTGGGGCCCCTGTACTGCTCATTAATGTCCCAGGAACACAGTTTTCCAGCCTGACAAACTGTGTCCTTCCTGTCAGGTAATCTGCGATCCAGGAAACACAGGAAGGATCCACTCCCATCTCTGTGAGCTTGTCTTTGAGTAAGGTGGGTTGAATGGTGATGAATGGACTTGAAAACTCAATGAACATGATCCTGACATAAACCCCAGGTTCCTCCAGATGAGACAGGGCACGGTGAAGCATGTAGAGGACAGCATCATCCACTACAATGTCTTCTTTGTATGCAAACTGCAGGGAGTTCAGTTTGTCTTTGACCTCAGACCTCAGAAGGTGTAGAATTAGCCGCTCCAGGGTTTTCATGATGTGTGAAGTGAGGGCCACTGGTCTGTAGTCATTGAGTTAAGCAGGACATTTTGTTTTTGGTACTGGCACAATGCAGGATGTTTTCCACAGAGTAGGTACCCGCCCCAGCTGTAGACTCAGGTTGAAGATCCTGTGGAGAGGTTGACACAGTTCTGCAGCACAGTCTTTAAGCAGCCTTGGACACACACCATCTGGACCAGCTGCCTTCCCAGGACAAAGTCTTCCAAGCTCAATCCTCACCCCTGTTTCAGTGACAGACAAGGACTGGTGTTCTAGGAGGGAGGCAGAAGTGGTTGAGACATTTTGTAGTGGAGGTTGTAGTGGAGATTTGTTGCAGAGAGGAAGGTGGAGTAGCAGTGGAAGTGGGTGTGACAGCAGTGTCAAATCTGTTGAAGAACAGGTTGAGTTCATCAGCTCTTTTCACATCACCCACCACTGGCTGTCTTTTCTTTTTATTGCTGTGTTCAGAGATGGCACTGCTTCCTCTCCACACTTCACAGATGTTGCTGTGTTGAAGATTCTTCTCCATCTTCTTTTTGTACTCAAGCTTTGCCATCTTCAGTCTTCAACTCTTGTTGCACTTGTTTGAGTCGTTCTTTGTCACCATCTTTAAAAGCTGATAAAAATAAAACATAATTGGACATGATAAACCTTTGAATAATCAAGCCTGAGGAGATTGTCTGACATGTTTTGTGGTTCTTCTCTTCAGATCTTCTACAGGAACCCTCGGTACATCCTGTTTATCCACCTGGTGGTCAATGACACGATCCAGTTGACAATCACAATCATCTTATTCCACGTCAGCTACATTTTCTACAATATAAGTGTCCCAATCTGTTTCACTGCAATCCTGCCAGCCATTCTTGCCACTGAGAACACCCCTCTGAACTTGGCCTGTATGGCAATTGAGTGCTACATCTCCATCTGCATGCCGCTTCGCCATGTGCAGATATGCACTATTAAAAGAACGCTGCTGCTGCTGATTGGTTTAATCTGGACTCTGAGCATGTTGTCTGTTCTTCCTGACCTCTTAATCACTGTTGGGACAGAACCACCAGAATTCTTTAGCTCAAGAGTCTTCTGTGTCAGAGACAAGGCCTTCCCAAGTCCTGTTATTCTGTTGAAGAGGGACATCGTATATTCACTGTTTCTCATCATAGTTTGGATCATTATCTTCTTTTCTTACTTCAAGATCCTCTTCACTGCAAAAAGTGTGAGCAAAGATGCTAAAAAAAGCCAGAAACACCATCCTGCTGCATGGTTTTCAGTTGCTGCTCTGTATGTCCACATATGTAGGCCCTTCATTACTAGAGCTCCTGAGACAGTGGTTCCCTCAGGATTACATGGACCACCTCTTTGCATATTATATTATAGTGCAGATCCTGCCCAGATCCATCAGTCCAGTTATCTATGGTGTACGAGACAACACATTGAGGAGGTATCTCAAAAGATATCTGTTCTGTGGTGTCAATTCAATTCAAAGCCTTTAATAAAAAGATATGTGGGAAAAAGAGAAAAAACATCTCTGTCTTCTAAATGAAGTCAACGTGTAAAATTATAAAAACTCAGCTGTTAGAAATGATGAATCAGGAAACTGACATAGTTTATCTGACTCTTTAAGCCCAACATCTACCACTAATTCAACTATTAATGAGGTTTAGCATGCAACAGGAATTAAAGGGGGGGGGGGGGGCTGTAACCCCAGTAAAACAAAAGCCATACTTGCATATTTATTCCATGCACATATGCCTTACGTCTTCTCTGTGCCTAACATACCTTATGCAGACTTAGTCACGTGACTGCGCTCGACAATTGGTAGCATGTAGAGCGGCTGTTCAACCTGTGATGGCAGCCTTCTTGTCAGACATGTTTCAGGGAAACCGTCCAACATAAGGTGACATTGTTTCTTTTATTTTATTTTACATTTACTGTTTTTTCAAGTTTCTTACTGTGTAGCATGATAAAAACGGTGCCAATTTCTTTCAGGTTGGTATTATTTTGTACGGACAAGAAAGGCTGACATTTCAAAGGTCTGGTTGACTTACAACATCATGGGGTCCGGCGAAACTCAAAAGGACCACATCAAATATCCCTCCCAGTACGGTATCAATCACATGGTTACAGTTAGAAACTTGAGAAACAAACAAATACTAGGACCCCGTTGGGGCACTGGCGGGCCCGAGCCGTGTCGCGTCCCCCCCCCCCCCCAACGTGCTGCCTCCCCGTCCCATTTGTGTCCTCTGGCCATCGCCCTCTCTGGTAACGCCCATCACTGCAAAGACCCTTTTCCTTCATCGGCGTTTGCTGTTCTTCCTGCCAGTGCGTGTTGCTTTCACTTACACTTGCCACAGCCAGCCTCGTGAGTGCCTAGCCTATTGGATATCACTGTCACCTACACAGGACAGTCATTACCTTTCTATTAATACTTTGTGTTTTAATTTCACATTAATTTCCATATTGTATAAACGACTGGAAAAAACTTGAGCCCCTGCCCCTGTATAATCATGTGCATGTCTCTGTTCTAGCTCCAAGGTGAATCTTCACTGCTCATGTTCTCCTCAGAAGCACTCACCTCACTCCCCTCAGGTTACTGTACACATGCACCAACTGCCTGCTTCAGGTTTGGATGGAGCTTCATGGTTGTCTTTTGGAGAAATGACCAGTCAAGTTGTGTTTGAAATTTGATTTTTTTCAGGGGCAAAAGGAGCCTCTGCATTGTTGTCAAATATGTAAATAGCATGTTTTTGCAGGTGCTAAAAACCAGACTCTGAGTGTGTGTGTGTGTGTGTGTGTGTGTGTGTGTGTGTGTGTCTATGTGTGCGTTCAAGTCACATGACATATTTAACCGGATGTAGCTGCAAGACGGAGCCTCGTTGACTCTCCGTTTCAACTTATCTCAAAAGTGAGGACCTCAACCTATATACCAGTTTTTAAATTGTGTTGATAGGCCAAATAAAACCAGAGTTATGATAAATTATGTCCGCGATACTTTTTTTCTGCTTATTTTGATCACGTTCGGCGCTCGATCGCGCTGTATGAGACAGGAAAACATAGCATGCAGACATTAGCGACAGGTCTTACAGGCGGAAAAGGCTTGCCAAAAGAAAAAAAAAACACACCACAACATCTCTCCTATTGGTGGAAAACTTCACCACAACAACCAATCCAAAATTATATGGTGACTGATTGACAAGGGGCGGGCGCTTACGTTCTTCCTGCAACATGAGAAGGGAGGGAGGGACTCTCAGCAGGGATGCAGTCTGGGACACGTAGTTGCAAACCTAGCGACTTTGTTGTTAGATTCAATGACTTTTCAGACCCCCTAACGACTTTTTTTTAGAAAGAAAGGGACTTTTATCGACTTCTTCTGGAGTTTAGAGACTCTGACATGAAGCAGGCTTTCCTTACTGAGGAGTTAGCAACGCTGCTAAGGGTGCAGAGCCACACATGCGCTCAGAGCTCTGCATGGGAGACTGAAGCTGACAGAGCTGCAGCAGTTAGCAGGTTTCACCCTCAGAGACCACCAGGGGTTCATGTTGAGGCATTTTAATTTTTTTTTTTTTTTGTGCCATAGACACTGTCAGCACAATCTGCAGTTACACTAACAAAAATGCTGCAAAAAACAAAGAATTATGGAAAAATTACACATGGACTGACATAGAGGAGGATCTACACAAGTTTTTTACATCATGTTTTACATCATGCATCATTTACATCATGTTTTTTTGTAGTGGCATAAATAAAAAGTGACATTTGTGAGACTATACAGTGTTTTGTAAATAATTTTACAAAGAACGCCTGGGCCATTGCCTGCATTTTGATGTAAATAGAGGTAAATTACTATGTTCTTTGTTAAAAATTTGCATATGTTTTGAAGTTTACAATTTTTATTTGAAGTTTAAGTTTTAAAAACAGTTCATCACACATATTTGTGGTTTAATTTCACATTAATTTCCATATTGTATAAATGACTGGAAAAAACTTGAGCCCCTGCCCCTGTATAATCATGTGCACGTCCCTGTTCTAGCTCCAAGGTGAATCTTCACTGCTCATGTTCTCCTCAGAAATAGTCACCTCACTCCCCTCAGGTTACTGTACACATGCACCAACTATCTGCTTCAGGTTTGAAATGGAGCTTCATGGTTGTCTTTTGGAGAAATGAACAGTCAAGTTGTGTTTGAAATTTGATTTTTTTCAGGGGCAAAAGGAAGCCTCTGCATTCTTGTCAAATATGTAAACAGCATGTTTTTGCAGGTGCTAAAAAACAGACTCTGAGTGGGTGTGTGTCTGTGTGTGTGTGTGTGTGTGTGTGTGTGTGTGTGTGTGTGTATGTTGGCGTGTGTGTATATGTGTGTGTATCCTGCAGTACTCTGTACTCCTGCAGTGGCCAAAAAGACTTTTAAGAATGTGGATTTTTGGGTCATCTTTGGCGCCCCCTAGAACTGCAGTACTCTGTACTCCTGCAGTGGCCAAAATGACTTTTAAGAATGTGGATTTTTGGGTCATCTTTGGCGCCCCCTAGAACGTAAACCGTGGGTGGCAGCGTCATGATTTTTACAACTTTGAATGGGCATGGGGTGTAGATTGCCCTGAGCAAATTTGGTATCGGTGGGACGAAAGCCTTAGGAGGAGATAGCCACATTCCAATGTGTGCGAATCGGCAAAAAATGCAAAATAGCCCTTTAACCATACATTATACAGATACGCGCTCTTTGACTTTTTCGTAGATCTAATTGAGATACACATGATTGTCAATTTTTGTGTCAATATGACAAAGCGTTCAGGCGTGACACTCAACAATGTGTATTTTTATGTAAGGGGACAAGAAAAAATTGACTTTTTTCTCCTACCATGGGGGGGCGCTCTTTTGGGGAGTAAAAATTCCTTCACAAATGTGTTGATGGCTGGACATTGCATCATCCTAGAAAACTTGGAGGCCAGTGAGGACAAAAATAAAAAGTTATAAAACATTTAAGAATGTGGATTTTTGGGTTATTTTTGGCGCCCCCTAGAACCTAAACCATGGGGTGCAGCATCATGATTTGAATAACTTTTAATGGCCATGGGGTGTAGATTGGCCTGAGCAAATGTGGTGCCGGTGGAACGAAAGCCTTCGGAGGAGTTAGCGAAATTCCAATGTGTGCGTATCGGCAAATAATGCGGAATAACCCTTTAACTGTACATTTGACAGATACGCGCGCGTGGACTTTTTTGTAGATCTTATTGAGTTACATGTGTGTGTCAATTTTTGTGTCATTTTGACAAAGCGTATAGGCGTGACACTCAACAATGTGTATTTTCACCTTAGGGGACAAGAAAAAATGGACTTTTTTCTCCTGCCATGGGGGGGCGCTCTTTTGGGGAGTAAAAATTCCTTCACAAATGTGTTGATGGCTGGACATTGCATCATCCTAGAAAACTTGGAGGCCAGTGAGGACAAAAATAAAAAGTTATAAGACTTTTAAATATGTGGATTTTAGTGTTATCTTTGGCGCCCCCTAGAACCTAAACCTTGGGGTGCAGCGTCATGATTTTGATAACTTTTAATGGCCACGGGGTGTAGATTGGCCTGAGCAAATGTGGTGCCGGTGGAACGAAAGCCTTCGGAGGAGTTAGCGAAATTCCAATGTGTGCGGATCGGCAAAAAATGCGAAATAACCCTTTAACCGTAATTTTGACAGATACGGCCGCACTGACTTTTTTGTAGATCTTATTGAGATACATATGTGTGTCAATTTTTGTGTCAATATGAGAAAGCGTACAGGCGTGACAGTCAATAGTGTGAATTTTCACCTTAGGGGGCGCTATGGAGCCATTTTGCATTTTATTGTTTGGGCGACTTCAGAATATCGAATTTTTCACCAGGCCCGGTCGTCCTGCCAAATTTCATGAGTTTTCGCCAGTGGGAAGTGGGCCATTTTCCAGTTCAAAGGGGAGGAAAAAGAAGAACTAGGGCCCCGTTGGGGCACTGGCGGGCCCGAGCCGCGTTGCGCCGCCCCCAGTGCGACCGCCTCCCCCTCCCCATCGCGTCACACTCAAGGTCCAAAGATGGTGTGCGCACTTGTCTGTGGTCATTTCCCATTATAATGAATGGGAGGCGCAGTTTCTACCAAAACACTCGCTGCAGACAAACTACATGTCCTATTTGAAAAAAGTCTGGACCATGAGTGAGGGCACAAACACAGCTAGGATATATCCAAACGGCAAGTTGCTCCTCGTTACGGTGTTGCCGGGAGAGCGATGCGATTGAGCCATTGAGTGATGGGCAGGAAAAACTTGACTGTTTCTCCTGCCATGGGGGATGGGGGATGGGAGGGGGGAAAGGGATGTGGATTCTTTTAAGAATGTGGATATTTGGGTCATCTTTGGCGCCCCCTAGAACGTAAACCGTGGGGTGCAGCGTCATGATTTTTAAAACTTTGAATGGCCATGGGGTGTAGATTGGCCTGAGCAAATTTGGTGTCAGTGGGACGAAAGCCTTAGGAGGAGTTAGCCACATTCCAATGTGTGCTAATCGGCAAAAAATGCAAAATAGCCCTTTAACCGTACATTTTACAGATACGCGCGCATTGACTTTTTCGTAGATCTTATTGAGATACATGTGTGTGTCAAATTTTGTGTCAATATGACAAAGCATACAGGTATGACAGTCAACAATGTGTATTTTCACCTTATGGGACAAGAAAAAATGGACTTTTTTCTCCTGCCATGGGGGGGCGCTCTTTTAGGGAGTAAAAATTCCTTCACAAATGTGTTGATGGCTGGACATTGCATCATCCTAGAAAACTTGGAGGCCAGAGAGGACAAAAATAAAAAGTTATAAGACTTTTAAATATGTGGATTTTAGGGTTATCTTTGGCGCCCCCTAGAACCTAAACCGTGGGGTGCAGCGTCATGATTTGAATAACTTTTAATGGCCATGGGGTGTAGATTGGCCTGAGCAAATGTGGTGCCGGTTGAACGAAAGCCTTCGGAGGAGTTAGCGAAATTCCAATGTGTGCGGATCGGCAAAAAATGCGAAATAACCCTTTAACCGTACATTTGACAGATACGCCCGCACTGACTTTTTTGTAGATCTTATTGAGATACATGTGTGTGTCAATTTTTGTGTAATTTTGACAAAGCGTACAGGCGTGACAGTCAATAGTGTGAATTTTCACCTTATGGAACAAGAAAAAATGGACTTTTTTCTCCTGCCATGGGGGGGCGCTCTTTTGGGGAGTAAAAATTCCTTCACAAATGTGTTGATGGCTGGACATTGCATCATCCTAGAAAACTTGGAGGCCAGTGAGGGCAAAAATAAAAAGTTATAAGACTTTGAAATATGTGGATTTTAGGGTTATCTTTGGCGCCCCCTAGAACATAAACCGTGGGGTGCAGCGTCATGATTTGAATAACTTTTAATGGCCATGGGGTGTAGATTGGCCTGAGCAAATGTGGTGCCGGTGGAACGAAAGCCTTCGGAGGAGTTAGCGAAATTCCAATGTGTGCGGATCGGCAAAAAATGCGAAATAACCCTTTAACCGTACATTTGACAGATACGCGCACATGGACTTTTTTGTAGATCTTATTGAGATACATGTGTGTGTCAATTTTTGTGTCATTTTGACAAAGCGTACAGGCGTGACACTCAACAATGTGTATTTTCACCTTAGGGGACAAGAAAAAATTGACTTTTTTCTCCTGCCATGGGGGGGCGCTCTTTTGGGGAGTAAAAATTCCTTCACAAATGTGTTGATGGCTGGACATTGCATCATCCTAGAAAACTTGGAGGCCAGTGAGGACAAAAATAAAAAGTTATAAGACTTTTAAATATGTGGATTTTAGGGTTATCTTTGGCGCCCCCTAGAACCTAAACCGTGGGGTGCAGCGTCATGATTTTGATAACTTTTAATGGCCATGGGGTGTAGATTGGCCTGAGCAAATGTGGTGCCGGTGGAACGAAAGCCTTAGGAGGAGTTAGCGAAATTCCAATGTGTGCGGATCGGCAAAAAATGCGGAATAACCCTTTAACCGTACATTTGACAGATACGCGCGCATTGACTTTTTCGTAGATCTTATTGAGTTACATGTGTGTGTCAATTTTTGTGTCATTTTGACAAAGAGTTTAGGCGTGACACTCAACAATGTGTATTTTCATGTTAGGGGACAAGAAAAAATTGACTTTTTTCTCCTGCCATGGGGGGGCGCTCTTTTGGGGAGTAAAAATTCCTTCACAAATGTGTTGATGGCTGGACATTGCATCATCCTAGAAAACTTGGAGGCCAGTGAGGACAAAAATAAAAAGTTATAAGACTTTTAAATATGTGGATTTTAGTGTTATCTTTGGCGCCCCCTAGAACCTAAACCTTGGGGTGCAGCGTCATGATTTTGATAACTTTTAATGGCCACGGGGTGTAGATTGGCCTGAGCAAATGTGGTGCCGGTGGAACGAAAGCCTTCGGAGGAGTTAGCGAAATTCCAATGTGTGCGGATCGGCAAAAAATGCGAAATAACCCTTTAACCGTAATTTTGACAGATACGGCCGCACTGACTTTTTTGTAGATCTTATTGAGATACATATGTGTGTCAATTTTTGTGTCAATATGACAAAGCGTACAGGCGTGACAGTCAATAGTGTGAATTTCCACCTTAGGGGGCGCTATGGAGCCATTTTGCATTTTATTGTTTGGGCGACTTCAGAATATCGAATTTTTCACCAGGCCCGGTCGTCCTGCCAAATTTCATGAGTTTTCGCCAGTGGGAAGTGGGCCATTTTCCAGTTCAAAGGGGAGGAAAAAGAAGAAAGAAAGAAACAAAGAAAAACCCCTACAGGAATAACAGGGCCTACGCCCGGCTGCTCTGCAGCTGGCTCGGGCCCTAAAGAAAGAAAGAACTAGGACCCCGTTGGGGCACTGGCGGGCCCGAGCCGTGTCGCGTCCCCCCCCCCAACGTGCTGCCTCCCCGTCCCATTTGTGTCCTCTGGCCATCGCCCTCTCTGGTAACGCCCATCACTGCAAAGACCCTTTTCCTTCATCGGCGTTTGCTGTTCTTCCTGCCAGTGCGTGTTGCTTTCACTTACACTTGCCACAGCCAGCCTCGTGAGTGCCTAGCCTATTGGATATCACTGTCACCTACACAGGACAGTCATTACCTTTCTATTAATACTTTGTGTTTTAATTTCACATTAATTTCCATATTGTATAAACGACTGGAAAAAACTTGAGCCCCTGCCCCTGTATAATCATGTGCATGTCTCTGTTCTAGCTCCAAGGTGAATCTTCACTGCTCATGTTCTCCTCAGAAGCACTCACCTCACTCCCCTCAGGTTACTGTACACATGCACCAACTGCCTGCTTCAGGTTTGGATGGAGCTTCATGGTTGTCTTTTGGAGAAATGACCAGTCAAGTTGTGTTTGAAATTTGATTTTTTTCAGGGGCAAAAGGAGCCTCTGCATTCTTGTCAAATATGTAAATAGCATGTTTTTGCAGGTGCTAAAAACCAGACTCTGAGTGTGTGTGTGTGTGTGTGTGTGTGTGTGTGTGTGTGTGTGTGTGCGTGTGTGTGTGTCTATGTGTGCGTTCAAGTCACATGACATATTTAACCTGATGTAGCTGCAAGACGGAGCCTCGTTGACTCTCCGTTTCAACTTATCTCAAAAGTGAGGACCTCAACCTATATACCAGTTTTTAAATTGTGTTGATAGGCCAAATAAAACCAGAGTTATGATAAATTATGTCCGCGATACTTTTTTTCTGCTTATTTTGATCACGTTCGGCGCTCGATCGCGCTGTATGAGACAGGAAAACATAGCATGCAGACATTAGCGACAGCTCTTACAGGCGGAAAAGGCTTGCCAAAAGAAAAAAAAAACACACCACAACATCTCTCCTATTGGTGGAAAACTTCACCACAACAACCAATCCAAAATTATATGGTGACTGATTGACAAGGGGCGGGCGCTTACGTTCTTCCTGCAACATGAGAAGGGAGGGAGGGACTCTCAGCAGGGATGCAGTCTGGGACACGTAGTTGCAAACCTAGCAACTTTGTTGTTAGATTCAATGACTTTTCAGACACCCTAACGACTTTTTTTTAGAAAGAAAGGGACTTTTATTGACTTCTTCTGGAGTTTAGAGACTCTGACATGAAGCAGGCTTTCCTTACTGAGGAGTTAGCAACGCTGCTAAGGGTGCAGAGCCACACATGCGCTCAGAGCTCTGCATGGGAGACTGAAGCTGACAGAGCTGCAGCAGTTAGCAGGTTTCACCCTCAGAGACCACCAGGGGTTCATGTTGAGGCATTTTAATTTTATTTTTTTTTTTGTGCCATAGACACTGTCAGCAAAATCTGCAGTTACACTAACAAAAATGCTGCAAAAAACAAAGAATTATGGAAAAATTACACATGGACTGACATAGAGGAGGATCTACACAAGTTTTTTACATCATGTTTTACATCATGCATCATTTACATCATGTTTTTTTGTAGTGGCATAAATAAAAAGTGACATTTGTGAGACTATACAGTGTTTTGTAAATAATTTTACAAAGAACGCCTGGGCCATTGCCTGCATTTTGATGTAAATAGAGGTAAATTACTATGTTCTTTGTTAAAAATTTGCATATGTTTTGAAGTTTACAATTTTTATTTGAAGTTTAAGTTTTAAAAACAGTTCATCACACATATTTGTGGTTTAATTTCACATTAATTTCCATATTGTATAAATGACTGGAAAAAACTTGAGCCCCTGCCCCTGTATAATCATGTGCACGTCCCTGTTCTAGCTCCAAGGTGAATCTTCACTGCTCATGTTCTCCTCAGAAATAGTCACCTCACTCCCCTCAGGTTACTGTACACATGCACCAACTATCTGCTTCAGGTTTGAAATGGAGCTTCATGGTTGTCTTTTGGAGAAATGAACAGTCAAGTTGTGTTTGAAATTTGATTTTTTTCAGGGGCAAAAGGAAGCCTCTGCATTCTTGTCAAATATGTAAACAGCATGTTTTTGCAGGTGCTAAAAAACAGACTCTGAGTGTGTGTGTGTGTGTGTGTGTGTGTGTGTGTGTGTGTGTGTGTGTGTGTGTGTGTGTATGTTGGCGTGTGTGTATATGTGTGTGTATCCTGCAGTACTCTGTACTCCTGCAGTGGCCAAAAAGACTTTTAAGAATGTGGATTTTTGGGTCATCTTTGGCGCCCCCTAGAACTGCAGTACTCTGTACTCCTGCAGTGGCCAAAATGACTTTTAAGAATGTGGATTTTTGGGTCAACTTTGGCGCCCCCTAGAACGTAAACCGTGGGGTGCAGCGTCATGATTTTTACAACTTTGAATGGGCATGGGGTGTAGATTGCCCTGAGCAAATTTGGTATCGGTGGGACGAAAGCCTTAGGAGGAGATAGCCACATTCCAATGTGTGCGAATCGGCAAAAAATGCAAAATAGCCCTTTAACCGTACATTATACAGATACGCGCTCTTTGACTTTTTCGTAGATCTAATTGAGATACACATGATTGTCAATTTTTGTGTCAATATGACAAAGCGTTCAGGCGTGACACTCAACAATGTGTATTTTTATGTAAGGGGACAAGAAAAAATTGACTTTTTTCTCCTACCATGGGGGGCGCTCTTTTGGGGAGTAAAAATTCCTTCACAAATGTGTTGATGGCTGGACATTGCATCATCCTAGAAAACTTGGAGGCCAGTGAGGACAAAAATAAAAAGTTATAAAACATTTAAGAATGTGGATTTTAGTGTTATTTTTGGCGCCCCCTAGAACCTAAACCATGGGGTGCAGCATCATGATTTGAATAACTTTTAATGGCCATGGGGTGTAGATTGGCCTGAGCAAATGTGGTGCCGGTGGAACGAAAGCCTTCGGAGGAGTTAGCGAAATTCCAATGTGTGCGTATCGGCAAAAAATGCGGAATAACCCTTTAACTGTACATTTGACAGATACGGCCGCACTGACTTTTTTGTAGATCTTATTGAGATACATATGTGTGTCAATTTTTGTGTCAATATGACAAAGCGTACAGGCGTGACAGTCAATAGTGTGAATTTCCACCTTAGGGGGCGCTATGGAGCCATTTTGCATTTTATTGTTTGGGCGACTTCAGAATATCGAATTTTTCACCAGGCCCGGTCGTCCTGCCAAATTTCATGAGTTTTCGCCAGTGGGAAGTGGGCCATTTTCCAGTTCAAAGGGGAGGAAAAAGAAGAAAGAAAGAAAGAAAGAAAGAAAGAAAGAAACAAAGAAAAACCACTTGGGGAATAATAGGGCTCTCGCAGCTGCTTAGCAGCTACGCTCGGGCCCTAAAGAAAGAAAGAAACAAAGAAAAACCACTTGGGGAATAATAGGGCTCTACGCCCGGCTGCTCTGCAGCTGGCTCGGGCCCTAACTAGGACCCCGTTGGGGCACTGGCGGGCCCGAGCCGTGTCGCGTCCCCCCCCCCCCCAACGTGCTGCCTCCCCGTCCCATTTGTGTCCTCTGGCCATCGCCCTCTCTGTTAACGCCCATCACTGCAAAGACCCTTTTCCTTCATCGGCGTTTGCTGTTCTTCCTGCCAGTGCGTGTTGCTTTCACTTACACTTGCCACAGCCAGCCTCGTGAGTGCCTAGCCTATTGGATATCACTGTCACCTACACAGGACAGTCATTACCTTTCTATTAATACTTTGTGTTTTAATTTCACATTAATTTCCATATTGTATAAACGACTGGAAAAAACTTGAGCCCCTGCCCCTGTATAATCATGTGCATGTCTCTGTTCTAGCTCCAAGGTGAATCTTCACTGCTCATGTTCTCCTCAGAAGCACTCACCTCACTCCCCTCAGGTTACTGTACACATGCACCAACTGCCTGCTTCAGGTTTGGATGGAGCTTCATGGTTGTCTTTTGGAGAAATGACCAGTCAAGTTGTGTTTGAAATTTGATTTTTTTCAGGGGCAAAAGGAGCCTCTGCGTTCTTGTCAAATATGTAAATAGCATGTTTTTGCAGGTGCTAAAAACCAGACTCTGAGTGTGTGTGTGTGTGTGTGTGTGTGTGTGTGTGTGTGTGTGTGTGTGTGTGTGTGTGTGTGCGTGTGTGTGTGTCTATGTGTGCGTTCAAGTCACATGACATATTTAACCGGATGTAGCTGCAAGACGGAGCCTCGTTGACTCTCCGTTTCAACTTATCTCAAAAGTGAGGACCTCAACCTATATACCAGTTTTTAAATTGTGTTGATAGGCCAAATAAAACCAGAGTTATGATAAATTATGTCCGCGATACTTTTTTTCTGCTTATTTTGATCACGTTCGGCGCTCGATCGCGCTGTATGAGACAGGAAAACATAGCATGCAGACATTAGCGACAGGTCTTACAGGCGGAAAAGGCTTGCCAAAAGAAAAAAAAACACACCACAACATCTCTCCTATTGGTGGAAAACTTCACCACAACAACAAATCCAAAATTATATGGTGACTGATTGACAAGGGGCGGGCGCTTACGTTCTTCCTGCAACATGAGAAGGGAGGGAGGGACTCTCAGCAGGGATGCAGTCTGGGACACGTAGTTGCAAACCTAGCGACTTTGTTGTTAGATTCAATGACTTTTCAGACACCCTAACGACTTTTTTTTAGAAAGAAAGTGACTTTTATCGACTTCTTCTGGAGTTTAGAGACTCTGACATGAAGCAGGCTTTCCATACTGAGGAGTTAGCAACGCTGCTAAGGGTGCAGAGCCACACATGCGCTCAGAGCTCTGCATGGGAGACTGAAGCTGACAGAGCTGCAGCAGTTAGCAGGTTTCACCCTCAGAGACCACCAGGGGTTCATGTTGAGGCATTTTAATTTTTTTTTTTTTTTTGTGCCATAGACACTGTCAGCACAATCTGCAGTTCCACTAACAAAAATGCTGCAAAAAACAAAGAATTATGGAAAAATTACACATGGACTGACATAGAGGAGGATCTACACAAGTTTTTTACATCATGTTTTACATCATGCATCATTTACATCATGTTTTTTTGTAGTGGCATAAATAAAAAGTGAGATTTGTGAGACTATACAGTGTTTTGTAAATAATTTTACAAAGAACGCCTGGGCCATTGCCTGCATTTTGATGTAAATAGAGGTAAATTACTATGTTCTTTGTTAAAAATTTGCATATGTTTTGAAGTTTACAATTTTTATTTGAAGTTTAAGTTTTAAAAACAGTTCATCACACATATTTGTGGTTTAATTTCACATTAATTTCCATATTGTATAAATGACTGGAAAAAACTTGAGCCCCTGCCCCTGTATAATCATGTGCACGTCCCTGTTCTAGCTCCAAGGTGAATCTTCACTGCTCATGTTCTCCTCAGAAATAGTCACCTCACTCCCCTCAGGTTACTGTACACATGCACCAACTATCTGCTTCAGGTTTGAAATGGAGCTTCATGGTTGTCTTTTGGAGAAATGAACAGTCAAGTTGTGTTTGAAATTTGATTTTTTTCAGGGGCAAAAGGAAGCCTCTGCATTCTTGTCAAATATGTAAACAGCATGTTTTTGCAGGTGCTAAAAAACAGACTCTGAGTGTGTGTGTGTGTCTGTGTGTGTGTGTGTGTGTGTGTGTGTGTGTGTGTATGTTGGCGTGTGTGTATATGTGTGTGTATCCTGCAGTACTCTGTACTCCTGCAGTGGCCAAAAAGACTTTTAAGAATGTGGATTTTTGGGTCATCTTTGGCGCCCCCTAGAACTGCAGTACTCTGTACTCCTGCAGTGGCCAAAATGACTTTTAAGAATGTGGATTTTTGGGTCATCTTTGGCGCCCCCTAGAACGTAAACCGTGGGGTGCAGCGTCATGATTTTTACAACTTTGAATGGGCATGGGGTGTAGATAGCCCTGAGCAAATTTGGTATCGGTGGGACGAAAGCCTTAGGAGGAGATAGCCACATTCCAATGTGTGCGAATCGGCAAAAAATGCAAAATAGCCCTTTAACCGTACATTATACAGATACGCGCTCTTTGACTTTTTCGTAGATCTAATTGAGATACACATGATTGTCAAATTTTGTGTCAATATGACAAAGCGTTCAGGCGTGACACTCAACAATGTGTATTTTTATGTAAGGGGACAAGAAAAAATTGCCTTTTTTCTCCTACCATGGGGGGGCGCTCTTTTGGGGAGTAAAAATTCCTTCACAAATGTGTTGATGGCTGGACATTGCATCATCCTAGAAAACTTGGAGGCCAGTGAGGACAGAAATAAAAAGTTATAAAACATTTAAGAATGTGGATTTTTGGGTTATCTTTGGCGCCCCCTAGAACCTAAACCATGGGGTGCAGCATCATGATTTGAATAACTTTTAATGGCCATGGGGTGTAGATTGGCCTGAGCAAATGTGGTGCCGGTGGAACGAAAGCCTTCGGAGGAGTTAGCGAAATTCCAATGTGTGTGTATCGGCAAAAAATGCGGAATAACCCTTTAACTGTACATTTGACAGATACGCGCGCACTGACTTTTTTGTAGATCTTATTGAGTTACATGTGTGTGTCAATTTTTGTGTCATTTTGACAAAGCGTATAGGCGTGACACTCAACAATGTGTATTTTCACCTTAGGGGACAAGAAAAAATGGACTTTTTTCTCCTGCCATGGGGGGGCGCTCTTTTGGGGAGTAAAAATTCCTTCACAAATGTGTTGATGGCTGGACATTGCATCATCCTAGAAAACTTGGAGGCCAGTGAGGACAAAAATAAAAAGTTATAAGACTTTTAAATATGTGGATTTTAGTGTTATCTTTGGCGCCCCCTAGAACCTAAACCTTGGGTTGCAGCGTCATGATTTTGATAACTTTTAATGGCCACGGGGTGTAGATTGGCCTGAGCAAATGTGGTGCCGGTGGAACGAAAGCCTTCGGAGGAGTTAGCGAAATTCCAATGTGTGCGGATCGGAAAAAAATGCGAAATAACCCTTTAACCGTACATTTGACAGATACGCCCGCACTGACTTTTTTGTAGATCTTATTGAGATACATATGTGTGTCAATTTTTGTGTCAATATGACAAAGCGTACAGGCGTGACAGTCAATAGTGTGAATTTCCACCTTAGGGGGCGCTATGGAGCCATTTTGCATTTTATTGTTTGGGCGACTTCAGAATATCGAATTTTTCACCAGGCCCGGTCGTCCTGCCAAATTTCATGAGTTTTCGCCAGTGGGAAGTGGGCCATTTTCCAGTTCAAAGGGGAGGAAAAAGAAGAAACTAGGACCCCGTTGGGGCACTGGCGGGCCCGAGCCGCGTCGCGCCGCCCCCAGCGCGACCGCCTCCCCCTCCCGATCGCGTCACACTCAAGGTCCAAAGATGGTGTGCGCACTTGTCTGTGGTCATTTCCCATTATAATGAATGGGAGGCGCAGTTTCTACCAAAACACTCGCTGCAGACAAACTTCATGTCCTATTTGAAAAAAGTCTGGACCATGAGTGAGGGCACAAACACAGCTATGATATATCGAAATGGCGGGTTGCTCCTCCTTACGGTGTTGCCTGGAGAGCGATGCGATTGAGCCATTGAGCGATGGGCAGGGTTAACTTGACTTTTTCTCCTGCCTTGGGGGGGGGGGGGTGGATTCCTTTAAGAATGTGGATTTTTGGGTCATCTTTGGCGCCCCCTAGAACGTAAACCGTGGGGTGCAGCGTCATGATTTTTACAACTTTGAATGGCCATGGGGTGTAGATTGGCCTGAGCAAATTTGGTGTCAGTGGGACGAAAGCCTTAGGAGGAGATAGCCACATTCCAATGTGTGCGAATCGGCAAAAAATGAAAAATAGCCCTTTAACTGTACATTTGACAGATACGCGCGCATTGACTTTTTTGTAGATCTTATTGAGATACATATGTGTGTCAATTTTTGTGTCAATATGATAAAGCGTACAGGCGTGACAGTCAATAGTGTGAATTTCCACCTTAGGGGACAAGAAAAAATTGACTTTTTTCTCCTGCCATGGGGGGCGCTCTTTTGGGGAGTAAAAATTCCTTCACAAATGTGTTGATGGCTGGACATTGCATCATCCTAGAAAACTTGGAGGCCAGTGAGGACAAAAATAAAAAGTTATAAGACTTTTAAATATGTGGATTTTAGGGTTATCTTTGGCGCCCCCTAGAACCTAAACTGTGGGGTGCAGCGTCATGATTTGAATAACTTTTAATGGCCACGGGGTGTAGATTGGCCTGAGCAAATGTGGTGCCGGTGGAACGAAAGCCTTCGGAGGAGTTAGCGAAATTCCAATGTGTGCGGATCGGCAAAAAATGCGAAATAACCCTTTAACCGTACATTTGACAGATACGCCCGCACTGACTTTTTTGTAGATCTTATTGAGATACATGTGTGTGTCAATTTTTGTGTCATTTTGACAAAGCGTACACGCGTGACAGTCAATAGTGTGAATTTTCACCTTAGGGGGCGCTATGGAGCCATTTTGCATTTTATTGTTTGGGCGACTTCGGAATATCAAATTTTTCACCAGGCCCGGTCGTCCTGCCAAATTTCATGAGTTTTCGCCAGTGGGAAGTGGGCCATTTTCCAGTTCAAAGGGGAGGAAAAATAATAATAATAACAAAAGAAGGAAACTACAGGAACAAGAGGGCTCTCGCAGCTGCTTAGCAGCTACGCTCGGGCCCTAACTAGGGCCCCGTTGGGGCACTGGCGGGCCCGAGCCGTGTCGCGCTCCCCCCCCCAACGCGCTGCCTCCCCGTCCCATTCGCGTCCTCTGGCCATCGCCCTCTCTGGTAACGCCCATCACTGCAAAGACCCTTTTCCTTCATCTGCGTTTGCTGTTCTTCCTGCCAGTGTGTGTTGCTTTCACTTACACTTGCCACAGCCAGCCTTAGGAGGAGTTAGCCACATTTCAATGTGTGCGGATCAGCAAAAAATGCGGAATAACCCTTTAACCGTACATTTGACAGATACGTGCGCGTTGACTTTTTCGTAGATCTTATTGAGATACATGTGTGTGTCAATTTTTGTGTCATTTTGCCAAAGCGTACAGGCGTGACACTCAACAATGTGTATTTTCACCTTAGGGGACAAGAAAAAATGGACTTTTTTCTCCTGCCATGGGGGGGCGCTCTTTTGGGGAGTAAAAATTCCTTCACAAATTTGTTGATGGCTGGACATTGCATCATCCTAGAAAACTTGGAGGCCAGTGAGGACAAAAATAAAAAGTTATAAGACTTTTAAATATGTGGATTTTAGGGTTATTTTTGGCGCCCCCTAGAACCTAAACCGTGGGGTGCAGCGTCATGATTTGAATAACTTTTAATGGCCATGGGGTGTTGATTGGCCTGAGCAAATGTGGTGCCGGTGGAACCAAAGCCTTCGGAGGAGTTAGCGAAATTCCAATGTGTGCGTATCGGCAAAAAATGCGGAATAACCCTTTAACCGTACATTTGACAGATACGCGCTCATAGACTTTTTTGTAGATCTTATTGAGATACATGTGTGTGTCAATTTTTGTGTCATTTTGCCAAAGCGTACAGGCGTGACACTCAACAATGTGTATATTCACCTTAGGGGACAAGAAAAAATTGACTTTTTTCTCCTGCCATGGGGGGGCGCTCTTTTGGGGAGTAAAAATTCCTTCACAAATGTGTTGATGGCTGGACATTGCATCATCCTAGAAAACTTGGAGGCCAGTGAGGACAAAAATAAAAAGTTATAAGACTTTTAAATATGTGGATTTTAGTGTTATCTTTGGCGCCCCCTAGAACCTAAACCGTGGGGTGCAGCGTCATGATTTGAATAACTTTTAATGGCCATGGGGTGTAGATTGGCCTGAGCAAATGTGGTGCCGGTGGAACGAAAGCCTTCGGAGGAGTTAGCGAAATTCCAATGTGTGCGGATCGGCAAAAAATGCGAAATAACCCTTTAACCGTAATTTTGACAGATACGGCTGCACTGACTTTTTTGTAGATCTTATTGAGATACATATGTGTGTCAATCTTTGTGTCAATATGACAAAGCGTACAGGCGTGACAGTCAATAGTGTGAATTTCCACCTTAGGGGGCGCTATGGAGCCATTTTGCATTTTATTGTTTGGGCGACTTCAGAATATCGAATTTTTCAGCAGGCCCGGTCGTCCTGCCAAATTTCATGAGTTTTCGCCAGTGGGAAGTGGGCCATTTTCCAGTTCAAAGGGGAGGAAAAAGAAGAAAGAAAGAAAGAACTAGGACCCCGTTGGGGCACTGGCGGGCCCGAGCCGTGTCGCGTCCCCCCCCCCCAACGTGCTGCCTCCCCGTCCCATTTGTGTCCTCTGGCCATCGCCCTCTCTGGTAACGCCCATCACTGCAAAGACCCTTTTCCTTCATCGGCGTTTGCTGTTCTTCCTGCCAGTGCGTGTTGCTTTCACTTACACTTGCCACAGCCAGCCTCGTGAGTGCCTAGCCTATTGGATATCACTGTCACCTACACAGGACAGTCATTACCTTTCTATTAATACTTTGTGTTTTAATTTCACATTAATTTCCATATTGTATAAACGACTGGAAAAAACTTGAGCCCCTGCCCCTGTATAATCATGTGCATGTCTCTGTTCTAGCTCCAAGGTGAATCTTCACTGCTCATGTTCTCCTCAGAAGCACTCACCTCACTCCCCTCAGGTTACTGTACACATGCACCAACTGCCTGCTTCAGGTTTGGATGGAGCTTCATGGTTGTCTTTTGGAGAAATGACCAGTCAAGTTGTGTTTGAAATTTGATTTTTTTCAGGGGCAAAAGGAGCCTCTGCATTCTTGTCAAATATGTAAATAGCATGTTTTTGCAGGTGCTAAAAACCAGACTCTGAGTGTGTGTGTGTGTGTGTGTGTGTGTGTGTGTGTGTGTGTGTGTGTGTGCGTGTGTGTGTGTCTATGTGTGCGTTCAAGTCACATGACATATTTAACCTGATGTAGCTGCAAGACGGAGCCTCGTTGACTCTCCGTTTCAACTTATCTCAAAAGTGAGGACCTCAACCTATATACCAGTTTTTAAATTGTGTTGATAGGCCAAATAAAACCAGAGTTATGATAAATTATGTCCGCGATACTTTTTTTCTGCTTATTTTGATCACGTTCGGCGCTCGATCGCGCTGTATGAGACAGGAAAACATAGCATGCAGACATTAGCGACAGCTCTTACAGGCGGAAAAGGCTTGCCAAAAGAAAAAAAAAACACACCACAACATCTCTCCTATTGGTGGAAAACTTCACCACAACAACCAATCCAAAATTATATGGTGACTGATTGACAAGGGGCGGGCGCTTACGTTCTTCCTGCAACATGAGAAGGGAGGGAGGGACTCTCAGCAGGGATGCAGTCTGGGACACGTAGTTGCAAACCTAGCAACTTTGTTGTTAGATTCAATGACTTTTCAGACACCCTAACGACTTTTTTTTAGAAAGAAAGGGACTTTTATTGACTTCTTCTGGAGTTTAGAGACTCTGACATGAAGCAGGCTTTCCTTACTGAGGAGTTAGCAACGCTGCTAAGGGTGCAGAGCCACACATGCGCTCAGAGCTCTGCATGGGAGACTGAAGCTGACAGAGCTGCAGCAGTTAGCAGGTTTCACCCTCAGAGACCACCAGGGGTTCATGTTGAGGCATTTTAATTTTTTTTTTTTTTTTGTGCCATAGACACTGTCAGCAAAATCTGCAGTTACACTAACAAAAATGCTGCAAAAAACAAAGAATTATGGAAAAATTACACATGGACTGACATAGAGGAGGATCTACACAAGTTTTTTACATCATGTTTTACATCATGCATCATTTACATCATGTTTTTTTGTAGTGGCATAAATAAAAAGTGACATTTGTGAGACTATACAGTGTTTTGTAAATAATTTTACAAAGAACGCCTGGGCCATTGCCTGCATTTTGATGTAAATAGAGGTAAATTACTATGTTCTTTGTTAAAAATTTGCATATGTTTTGAAGTTTACAATTTTTATTTGAAGTTTAAGTTTTAAAAACAGTTCATCACACATATTTGTGGTTTAATTTCACATTAATTTCCATATTGTATAAATGACTGGAAAAAACTTGAGCCCCTGCCCCTGTATAATCATGTGCACGTCCCTGTTCTAGCTCCAAGGTGAATCTTCACTGCTCATGTTCTCCTCAGAAATAGTCACCTCACTCCCCTCAGGTTACTGTACACATGCACCAACTATCTGCTTCAGGTTTGAAATGGAGCTTCATGGTTGTCTTTTGGAGAAATGAACAGTCAAGTTGTGTTTGAAATTTGATTTTTTTCAGGGGCAAAAGGAAGCCTCTGCATTCTTGTCAAATATGTAAACAGCATGTTTTTGCAGGTGCTAAAAAACAGACTCTGAGTGTGTGTGTGTGTGTGTGGGTGTGTGTGTGTGTGTGTGTGTGTGTGTGTGTGTGTATGTTGGCGTGTGTGTATATGTGTGTGTATCCTGCAGTACTCTGTACTCCTGCAGTGGCCAAAAAGACTTTTAAGAATGTGGATTTTTGGGTCATCTTTGGCGCCCCCTAGAACTGCAGTACTCTGTACTCCTGCAGTGGCCAAAATGACTTTTAAGAATGTGGATTTTTGGGTCAACTTTGGCGCCCCCTAGAACGTAAACCGTGGGGTGCAGCGTCATGATTTTTACAACTTTGAATGGGCATGGGGTGTAGATTGCCCTGAGCAAATTTGGTATCGGTGGGACGAAAAGCCTTAGGAGGAGATAGCCACATTCCAATGTGTGCGAATCGGCAAAAAATGCAAAATAGCCCTTTAACCGTACATTATACAGATACGCGCTCTTTGACTTTTTCGTAGATCTAATTGAGATACACATGATTGTCAATTTTTGTGTCAATATGACAAAGCGTTCAGGCGTGACACTCAACAATGTGTATTTTTATGTAAGGGGACAAGAAAAAATTGACTTTTTTCTCCTACCATGGGGGGGCGCTCTTTTGGGGAGTAAAAATTCCTTCACAAATGTGTTGATGGCTGGACATTGCATCATCCTAGAAAACTTGGAGGCCAGTGAGGACAAAAATAAAAAGTTATAAAACATTTAAGAATGTGGATTTTAGTGTTATTTTTGGCGCCCCCTAGAACCTAAACCATGGGGTGCAGCATCATGATTTGAATAACTTTTAATGGCCATGGGGTGTAGATTGGCCTGAGCAAATGTGGTGCCGGTGGAACGAAAGCCTTCGGAGGAGTTAGCGAAATTCCAATGTGTGCGTATCGGCAAAAAATGCGGAATAACCCTTTAACTGTACATTTGACAGATACGGCCGCACTGACTTTTTTGTAGATCTTATTGAGATACATATGTGTGTCAATTTTTGTGTCAATATGACAAAGCGTACAGGCGTGACAGTCAATAGTGTGAATTTCCACCTTAGGGGGCGCTATGGAGCCATTTTGCATTTTATTGTTTGGGCGACTTCAGAATATCGAATTTTTCACCAGGCCCGGTCGTCCTGCCAAATTTCATGAGTTTTCGCCAGTGGGAAGTGGGCCATTTTCCAGTTCAAAGGGGAGGAAAAAGAAGAAAGAAAGAAAGAAAGAAAGAAAGAAAGAAACAAAGAAAAACCACTTGGGGAATAATAGGGCTCTCGCAGCTGCTTAGCAGCTACGCTCGGGCCCTAAAGAAACAAAGAAAAACCACTTGAGGAACAACAGGGCCTACGCCCGGCTGCTCTGCAGCTGGCTCGGGCCCTAAGAAAGAAAGAAAGAAAGAAAGAAACAAAGAAAAACCACTTGGGGAATAATAGGGCCTACGCCCGGCTGCTCTGCAGCTGGCTCGGGCCCTAATAAAACCAGTTTTACCTTGCTCCGCCCAACAGCTGTGAACAGAACCAACTAGGGCAGGGAATAGAGTTAGATTTTCCAGATCGATTCAATTTGATTTTACAAGGTCCCGGTTCAATTCAATTCACAATTCGATCTGATTTGATTCAATATCGATTCAGTCAGGGATATCAGTAAAAATAATGCTGTAAATTTAACAAGTAACCTTTAACAAGATTACCAACCTGGTAAACTATTAAAAATTATGTTTACATTAAACCCAAACCAGTTACATTAGTTGTGTACTATTATTCAAACATGACCACCTGACAACACAAAAACATAAATTAATCAAAATTAAATTAAAATAAATGACAAGGCAGACAAATGCAGTAGCTACAAACATAATACAAACAGGTCTTCCAGCTTTTCTGCAATAATACCACAGTGGTTGTGAGACACAACTGTATCAGAACACAAACAACTATCTTTTGACTCATAGATAAATGTAACAGTATTGGGAAAAAAAAAAAGCGATTGGATAGGACACTGGTACCCAGTGCACACCAGTACCTGCTCCAAGCTGGTGTGTTTGAGTGGTGCTCACTATGTTTCTGGGTGATGTCTCTTCAAATGATTGCCGAGATTCGTCGTATTGCCACTGTACTTTACCATTGAATATTTAGCATAATAATTTTATTTTTTTGAAACTCGTCATTTTCTTCCAACTTGTTATATCTGGAATACATCCGAACATCAGCTTTTAAACTCGTTGATGGTGCCTTGAGAGGTGGACTCACTTCCGCCATGTTTGCTTGCCTGCTGGCAGTAACACCTCATGAGATCTTGTTCCATGAAAAGTGGCAGAAAGCAAAGCTAAACGCTGATCACGCAAGACTAGCAGGGTTGAAACTTCAGGCTGCTTCTCCACACCGCACGTCCAATGAAGAAAAAACGACTTAAGTTTAAAGATCAGTCTGGATTTTATGAATCGATTAAAATTGATTGAATTGATTTTTTAAACCCATCCCTAGAGCCAACTAATGATTTGTTGGGAGTAGTTGCGGCCATGCACAGATTAAACTGAGAAATTGGCCAGGTAACCCCTCATAGTGATTGATGTTGAGCTAAGACAACTTCTGCTGGGAGTACAGGGGCCTTATGTATCAACGCTTGCGGCGCAGGAAAACCTTGCGTACGCCAAAATCGGCGCACACGTCCAGATTTATCATCGCGAAACGAGCGTCGGTTCCAGCGCTAATCAACGCAAAGTCAGGAGGTGGTGTAGAAATTGGCGTTGAGCTGATACTTGCGTTGACTGTGATTCGCACTTTGGCGACGCTGTGTGGCGGTGTTTGGTGTCTCACTATGTGACAAGCGTGCACCACATCCCCGTGGCTGAGCAGCACGTCGCCCCACATGACGAACCAGCAGCAGACGGAGGGATGCGAGCTGATCCCTGCCGGGCCGCCATCCTCGCGCGGGAGAATCTCATCGCCACAGTGTGAATGGGTAAGAAGTGAATACACAGTTCAATGAGCCAAATTAATTTATTTTCTCCACCAGACGCTCGAGGACATTTACGAGCCAGTTCAGCCGCTCGTTGATCCCCGCGATCCCCCTGATGATTTCTTCCTGCGATTGCAGGACCCCCTCCGCGAGGACCCTTCCACTGTGTCCGGGTGGTCCAGGGGAAGCGCCGCGGCTGGTGGATGCTCCGCCGCTTGTCGGCGCGCTGGTGCTGATGCTGGTGCTGGTGCTGGGGCCGGGGTGGCCCGAATGCCGCTGGTCCTGGCCGACGACTCCGAGCCGGCGGACAGGCTGCCGCGGGCCGGGGTTCCGCAAGCCGGCGACACGGCCGACGCATTGATTTCTGTGACACAATAGAAATATTTGTTCATTTCAATTCCTGCTTCTGTGTATCTGTTGCGTTTACATCTCTCTCCACGGTATCATAGGTAATGTAATCCAGTATTTCGAGGTCAGTTATGCACATTACAGTTGTTTATTGCATAAAAGTTATCGAAAAATGAAGTTAAGGGCGAAGTATAAATCACGTCTAAAAATAGACTGAATCCCGACGTTGAAATGAAGTATAAACTTAGACTAGACGTCTAATATACGTCTTTTGCTCAGTGGGATGACAAAGCATGTGGACATTTGTGTGACACGCCACTTACCCTATAGTAATAATCGCCACCACCCGCTGCTCAAACGGCGTGAGGGTCTCCTCCCCCAGACCCCCACCTGTCTGGCCGTTACTCCTCCGGAGGGCAGCTGTACGCCGCTTGACCTCCACCTTGAGGTCCGACCACTTTTTTGTAATCTTCGCGGGGGTGCGTGTCTCGGAACCCACCGCATTCACCCTCTCGCAAACTTTCTCCCACTCCAAGCGTTTTTGTTTTGCACTGACGCCACTGGACAGGCTGCCAAACAAAACACGCTGTCGCTCCACCAGCACCTCCACCTCGCACGCCGTAAATTTAGTTTTTCTTGTCATTTTGTCTGCGTGCGAGGACAGGGAGACCCTATTTAAATAAATCTTCATATTTATAGGAGGGCGTAACGGGGACGGGCCCAGTCACTCCGACATCTGCGCTCAATTCCACGCTGATTGGGATTTATCAAGGAAACACACATGGATTTCGGCGCCCGCACACATTGATACATACGGATTTTTTTCAGCGTGACGGACCTTGCGTGCGCTAGTTTCTGGTATGAGTTCCACGCAAGTATTGATACATAAGGCCCCAGGTGTGGTAGGAGGCTGACATTGCCTGTCCCCTCACCCCTCTGATGCTGACTGCTACACCAATGCTCATAATTTCCAGTTTACTTCTGGACAATAATTATATCGACTATTGTTAAAACCAATGAAGTAACATTTTTATGGGTTGTCGTATTAGCATGTGTGGAACCACCTGTACCAGCAGTTTCCCAGATTGCTGGTTTTCCTTTTGGACTTTTGTAACCCCTGTTTGCCTGATGAGGTTACAGGTACTAATATCAGGTTTCAGTTTCAGTTCACAGTTTGGACCAGTTATCAGGATTCTAGGGAAACGCTCATGGAGCCCAGGACGGAACACCAACATTGACCACACTCACACAAAATAAGATGATCAAAATCATCCCCCTTTTAAAAACGGTCATCCCAACTTTTCATCCATTGAGCCATTTTTGTCAATGGATGTGGAAATATTACAACTATTTCAACATCAGAAATATTACGTCAATTTACGGCAACACACACGCACCTACGTACTCGCCAAACAATTCCCTCCCCGCCAGTGTCACTAATTACCCACTAGTTAAACAATAAAATCCACCATTCCTCCGATTTTTTTTTCACAACTCGACTACTGCTTATAGGTCTCACTGTACCAGAGTAAATCAAACACAAACACTCAAATAATTCAAATTAAGCCTTCAAGCATCAACTTCTCTGGTTAAAGGTGGGGTACGCAGGAATCCGTCAAAGAAGCATCTTTTTTTGGTGTATATACAAAAAAGCTTTTAATATCAGTCAATAGCTATTACTCATTGATGACATTTGGTCATATAACGATATGTCTGTGTAGTCAACATTTTTAAATTTCAGAGCGCACCACTCTTCCTGACTGTAAACAAAGCCATTCTCCGCCTCCCCCACCCTGATTGGTTGTGAGGTGGATGCTGCTCCTTAGTGCTGATTGGTTGTGAGGCAGACGCTGCTCCCCTGTGTCGTTCAGGAGCCCAAAGTTAACGTGCTACAATATCAGACAGTAGAAACCAATCAGAAAGTACAGAAATTTGTCTGAATCCTCCTTTGGCTACGACCACCAACACAAGCAAGAAAACAAACTATGTACTGGCGACTCTGGCGGAATAATGAGCGCTTTAAAAGGAGGTAGACCACCCAGTCAAGAGCTAAGAAGCCGGGTCAACATCAATGATGGGGGATGCTTCGGGATCTTTCAGACCCTGTAACCTTTCTGCTGGACAGGGAAACTGCTTTAACAAAGTAAGTAGGGCTGCACCTGACGATATAAATGCGTTTGTTTCCCTTTCACTGAAGTGTTCATTTAACAATAAACACTGTTTAAATATAGTTTACAGCTTAAACCGACCTGAATCATCTGAAATTGTAAAGTAAAAAAAGTATCAATCCAGTGTTTGTGAGGCTCAGCAGATACACAGGACAATCTTTAGTTGTGGACAAATATAGTGATCTGATTCATGAATGAAGTGGACCATCAAACTACGGGAGATTCCCGGGAGAAATGACAATACGGGAGGTGGGCGGGAGATCGGTCTGCGCTCGCATGCGCCGAGTATTAGCATTAGCGAGCTATCCGGTGATCACACAGCTGATTAATTAGCAAGTTACCGGAAAAATAAAAGCACAAAACTGATGCTTCAACTTCGAGCTAACTGCTTAAAGTGAATGGATTAAATATGGGATGCAGGGCGTATGATGAGGCATTCACTGTGGTGTTTGCTGCACCAGCGGGGGGTTATTTGATTGACAGGTCACTGCATGTCTCTTTGAATGAAAGCAGCTTGATCTTCAAAAATGTGAACGAGGAAGTCAGGAAGAACACAGGAGGAGCTATTCATAGATCATGATAAAGTAGGTTTTAAATTGACCCCATTAGGTTGAACTCGTTCCCACCCATGCCTCCACCGTTACCTGAAGTAGCCATTGTCTACATCATCATGCGATGCGTTGACGTTTGTTTTTTCATTGACAAATTTTTTTAGTCGACTACGTCGGCGAGCCATGCGCTTGTGAGGCAGTTGTTTAGTTTCCCCAATGTACAGGTCTGAGCATTCCTCGCTGCACTGGACAGCATACACCACATTACTACGTTAATGTCACGGTGTTTTGTCCTTGGGATGGACGAGCTTCTGCCTTAGTGTGTTACCAGGCTTGAAATGAACAGGAATATGGTGTTTGCCAAAGATCCTCTTGAGTTTTTCCGACAGGCCTGCAACGTAAGGCTTCACAAGCGCATGGCTCAACACAAGAGAGCCACTTCCTCAGGTCAGGACTCAGCTGTCCACCTTCACTTAAAGGACACGGGTCACTCTTTCGAGGACAGCAATGTACAGGTGTTGGCTCGAGAAGACAGATGGTTTGAAAGAGGAGTTAAAGAAGCCATCTTTACCAGGCTGGAGAAACCTTCTCTGAACAGAGGGGGTGGACTCAGGCACAACCTCTCAGGCACTTACAATGCAGTTCTCAGCTCTCCCCCCAGGAAGCTCCACAAACATTCACACCTGGGACCACATGACCCAGGTGGCATGAGTCATGTGGTCACATCGCAGGGGTTGTTAACGACCCTTTCAGGTTAACGACTTTTCAAGGGGAACATCTGGAGATGGGTTTCTATGACCCATTCTTTCCAACTCCTCCCAGTCGTTGTCTGTCCCCTTCTCCAGTAAGATAAATATCTGCTCCTCACACTAGCAAAATTTAGAACTGAAAAAAGCTTCTTGGATGAGAGGCGAAACGTCTTCTCAACTCTACACAGTCCAGTTGCCTGTTTTTAAGTCTTCAAGAAAGCTGCAAGAATGCTGACAAGGGCCAGAGGGCGGGAGCATAACACCAGTTTTAGCATTGCTGCATTGGCTCCCCGTCCGTTTCAGGATTAATTTTAAGGTTCTTTTATTAGTTTTTAGATATATTAATGGTCTTGGCCCCTCCTATTTAACTGACTTACTTTTGCCATGTCAACCCTGAGGTCTTCCGGCACAGGCCTTTTAACCTTACCCAAAGTGAAAACAAAAACGCACGGGGAGGTGGCTTTCAATTATTATAGTCCCCAATTGTGGAACAGCCTGCCAGAGAGCCTCAGGGTCGCAGAGACTGTTGATATTTTTAGGAAGAGGCTCAAGACCTTTCTGTATGAAAAGTGCCATACAAATAAAGTTGAATTTGAATTTATATTGTTTACCTCAGGTCCTGGAGTATGTCACTTCATCCTAGTTGTAGAAGTCCAGCAAACATTGTGTTTGCTGGTAGTCTGTTGGCATCTACAGTAGAACCGATGCTTTTCACTTTCACGTTGACTGGGCCCCATTTGTAATTATCTATAGCATTTATCTGAATTATGTCTGAATTTAATTGAAACGATACGAGCGAGCAGGAGCATCTGTTTGTGGGTGGGGCTTGCTGGAGCAGAGAGGGAGGGGAGAGGAGGAGCTGAGGGGAAAACTGGTTGAGAGGGGTAGAGTTTACCTTCAAGATTTCTCCCCAAAACTGGCACTTCCTCATATCCTGCCTGCCCCACCTTTAATTCATGAAATTAAGTGAATTTCTCCTTTTCACACACAAAAGACACACGCATCGGCGACGCCATGATGCACTGCTCTCTCTCTCTCTCTCTCTCTCTCTCTCTCTATGGTGCAGTTAACCCTAGAAATGTCAGCCATTCCTCTCATACAATCATAGACTAAATAACAGACTTTCTTCACATCTTATGAAGCCTGGGCTACACTCTGTTTGTTGTTGTGTTGCATCTATGCGACAACTTGGTTCCGCCTTCCGCCAGTATATGGATTTGAAGCCCAAAAGCTCTCGGTAATTCCGCGTTTTGTCTCCTCTTCCTGAAACCAACATTGCGCAGTACTGTTGTACGCACTCCACCACTTGCGCAGTAGCATTGTACGCATTTGGCGGGAGAGTCGCAGAGAGTGTGTAAATGGTATCGAGGGACCCCTTTATATGTAAAATGATTTAAATTTTAGCATGCTCTAATTGTAATTACAAATGTAATTACGTTTTTTTTAGTTAGGAATTGGGATCGATTTTTTTAGCCACGGCCTGCTAGTTGGACGTCGTCAGCTGTAGAGGCCTGCCAGAATTTATCGTGTGACTGAGTTTTGAATCACAGATAAATCATCATCATCAATCATATGTTGAGATGGTTACTTACGGGCTTTATTTTAGATTTCAGCCTTTATCAGTACCCAATGTTATGTGCAATTTATTCTTTTTAGACAAACACAAGTGCTATGTAATTAGATTTCTGCTTATGTATACCATGGGATGATAGGGTAAAGGGACCGCTACTTTTTAAATCCTGTCAGCATTGAAGGCATATGTTTAACAAGACCAAAACATTGCACAATTGTTTAAACAGCTTGTAACACCTGTTACTTACCACTTTATTGTATTTCTCTCATTAAAAAGTAACACCTGTTACCAAACTTGTCTTATTTCACTTTTATTTGTCATCCAGCCACTAAATATACATAAGTGACTTTGACGTGTACACAGTAATCCAATAAGACTTGCAAATGTTGACTTTTTACGGTTAATTTTAAGATTTACCTCTTAAATGCGCGCTCACTGCAGTCTGTGCCATTGAAGAGCATGGACAGTGCAGGCTGCGGTTGGAACTATTGAGAGGTACATGAAGCACGTGATCGCTCCGGCGGCGAGATCTGAAGTTGTCGCCACTCTGTTTAATCCACTGCTCTGGGATGAGCTACACAATCTTTGTATGCCATAGGCTGTATCAAGTGTCAATCATAAAAAATATGAACCCCTTAATCACATTTAAAAACAGAGCTGCACAGAAAATAGAGGACGTGAGCACAAACCAGTCGTACAGTAACTACATGTCAACATCGCAAGCAGGGGGGAAAAAAATGTATATTCTGTGTCCACAGCTCCTTAAGCTTTACTGAGGGATGCAGGATTTATGACCTATACTGCAGCCTGTCACCAGAGGGTGCTGTTCTTGGAGTGGCTTCACCCAGCAGAAAAGCAGACGGCGTCCATTCTTTATACAGTCTATGAGTTGAACTCAGTTAAAGCTCATTGTGCACTTTTCAACCAAAAAAACTGCAGTAAGTGTAAATATCTTTGGGATTAATTTTTAGTTCTGTAAATACTTCTGTTATTCTTGATTCATCACCATTTAAACTTAACACTATCTCTGCCTCTTAGTTACTTACATCAGCTTTAGCAGCCATACCAAATTTTCTGATCCTAGCCCATACCAGGGCCACTTGTTAGAATATTGATAGCACATTAGTAACAGCTAATAAGCCTCAAATACACGCTTCACTTGTATCTTTATAAGTTTATAAGGATGTATCATTGCTCATTAGGAATCATTTAAAGTCTTTAACAAGAAACTCTACAGCCTATGTACCTGTCATAAAGTGATAAGGAATAGAGTTTTAATAGACACTTTTCAGAAGTGCCCTGTTCTGAAAACAAAAGCATAACCCTGTGTATTTTTTTTTTTTTTTTTTTTACCTCCACCAAGGAGGTTATGAGGAGGTTATGTTTTCGGTAGCGTTGGTTTGTTTGTTTGTCTGTTAGCAACTTTACGGAGAAAGTAACAGACAGATTGACCTGAAATTTTCACCAGAGGTGCGTCTCAGCCCCAGGAGTATCCCATTACATTTTGGTGGTGATCCGGACAAAATTCTGGATATTGTGATCCAGAACACACAAAAATAAGGGTGTTGTTTGAATTTTCAATGCTGAAAGATAACTACTGGGCGGCACAGTGATGTAGATGGGCGGCACAGTGGTGTAGTGGTTAGCACTGTCACCTCACAACCAGAAGGTCCTGGTTTCGAATCCTGGTTAGGGCATTTCTTATTTTAGGAACATTATGAACAGTGAACATACCACTTTAAACACAAATAAATGTTAATAAAAGACACGTAACAGTAAAAGTTTTGGTGTGAATCTCAATATAAGGGGGGACATGAGCTGCTTGGCGGAGGTCTGCGCTCTCCAAGTGCTTTTCTAGTTTTTTTTTTTTTTTTTTATTAATTCATAAAACATCCATCTAAAACATGTCACTGGATTACAAAACCATGTATGTAACATTTTTATCTGCATGGAATAATAGGTTTATGGATGACTTACATTTTTTGTTTATAACCACATTTTTCTCCTTTTTTTTCCTCCTGCCAATTTCAGATGGAAAAAATCCAAAAGTCCTTTGTAACAAAATTCTTTAACCCAGTATTTTTCTATCTATATGTATTTCAATACACTTAAATACAGCATTTTAATGTCATTATTATTAAATAGTTGTATTTTGTTTGATGCAAATTTTAAAACTACATCGACATCAACGTGATATTGGCATTTTATATTTACCATCAGCTGACCTGAGGCCTGTACTACAAAGCTGGACTTGTATCAGTCTTGTTAACTGTAATTACTTTAGAATACGTACAAAAATTCCCTCTTTGTACAGCGTGTGCAGTGGGAGCTCTGAGCCAGTGGGACTGTAAATACTCTATTTGCAGGGACAAGTAGTATAACAAGTTACTTTTTAAATAATCCAATAACACCAATTCTGTTACAACAGTTTTAAAGGATTTTTTCTTAGCTACTTTTTTCACATGGCTAACAACCACACCAAGTAAATCCTGAAAGCAGCAGACAATTTTTTTCTGGTGCTTACATACTTGAATTCAGTGGTTACTGAAAAATATTTTCAATTGAAAGCAAAGTTCATGATTTAATAAATCTGGCTCAGTTTGTATAAATCTGAAAAGCGCTCTGAGGCTGTCATGCTGCACATGCTTCCTGCATAAAGCTCTAGTATGGATACAGACCTGGGGCCTCATTTACAAACGCTACATATGCAAAAAAGAAAGCGTACACCACTTATAACCAATGTTGGAGATTTATAAAAAACGAACTTGATGAGTAAAATGAGCGCACCTCCACGGCAACTCTGACCCTGCCATATGCACAAAATCTAGAGAGAAGGGAAACTGCGACCCCACCAGTAGAAGGGTGAAATTAAAGACAGCTATGTAAAATAAGTACATTTGTGTGAAACAACCGAACACAAATCATAGGCTATATGAAGGATATATTTGCAAAAACAAAGAAAGAGGGAAAATGTATATACCTATGACGATGTGAAGCTGAAATGCCAAAGGATTAAGTATCTCCTTTTTTAGGAAACCTATAACTACTGAAGTCCAATCAATCTAAATGCTCCAAAGCCCTAATTTTAACAACTCTCTTCTAAAACAAAAAGTTGGAATATTACGACTTTATTCTCGTAAGTAATGACTTTATTTTCAGTAATAATAACTTTATTCTCATAAGCAATGACTTTATTATCGGTAATAATGTCTCTCTCTGCTCATTGACACAAATACAAAGTTTTTCTGAGAGAAGAAGGAAGGACTCCTGTTTATAACTTGCAAGTAATGTCCAAACTATTTACTGGAGAAAGACCAAAAAAATATCAAAGCATTGAGGAAGTCCTTATGATGACCATTTGTATAAATAAATACTTGAAAAGGGACCATTTGTTGTGGGTGTGCTCATCAATTATTACTTATCACAATGCTACTCGTATTAATTATTTGAAATCTGAAGAATCTTATAAAGTACACATCCCAGCACCACCTCACTGTGGCCCTTTCAAAGTTTCCCAGAGGGAATTTTCTAGTTTATACGATCATCAAAAAGAAGTCCCAAACATACACATCACTGAACAGCCATTTAATGAAAATGTATGCAAAGTTTTAGTAAAATGCTCACACATTTGAAAGAAACTTTAGTTTGAGATGTGAGTATGAACTTTTAACCTTCTCTGAGGGATCATAATGGACCTCCCACACATGAAAAATTTGAATATTTGGATCCCAGGATGATTGCATCAAACAAATGTGGAGTATATGAACTTCATGCACTGGTATCTGACTCACTGCATTAATAGTTTCCATGTGTGACATTTGACTTGGTAAGTTCATAATTTTTGTTATTCTGCTTATAAAAGGTGATATTTTGATCAAATGCAGCTTATCCCATTAAATATAATTTTAATTGCAAAAATACACAATTTTTCATTTTTTAACTTTTATCTCTTTTTAAGTTTGAACCTTGTTTAGTATCAAACGTTTTATACTAAGTACAACAAATAACTGTGTAATGGTAAACTGCAATATTTTAGGATACTGGTATGATGCACGCTGGCTTATATGCCTTCAGAGTAAAAGAAAATAAAGTCATTTGTTTGTAAAATTAGGTTCATTTTTATGACATGAATGTTTGCAGCAGTACTCCTCATGTTTTGTCTCTGAGATCAAAAATGTCCCAGTGAGCCGTTCAAGACCTGAACAAGAGCCTGAATCTGAAGATGCTCAACGAAGCTCATGTTTCACTTCTGATCACTAACAGACTTTTTTTTTCTTATTGCACCAAGTCAAAAGATTTTTTTTTAATTGTATAACTTTATATTATAGTTTTAGTTGGGTAATGAATGGAATTTTAAGGTGATAAAACAGGGAGAATATGCAAGTCTGTAACAGGAAGATGTGTATAATAGATGAGCTAAGTAATTGTTTCACAGTGCCATTGATGAGGGTTTGAAGTTGGTGTCACTTTTTGTCAACAATTCAACAGGAAAACTGAAGTTTTACAGTTTTTTAAATTATTATCATACTCATGTGCTCAGCTGACTGATGGCTGGCTTTTTTTAGCAAGGTTTGTACATGTTCCCTTCTCAAAGGCTGTACCGTTATTATCAGTAGAGAAAAAGAGGTGATATTTACAGAGTAGATAAAGTCCTTTTCTGAATCCTAGAGGCAGGTTATATTGTGACTGCAACTTCAAACATTCAATATAACGATAAAATGACCAAGAAAGGAGAATAAAACTGCTCATAAATACAAACAGAGGAGCTAAAAATCACAGACAGGAGCAGCAGAGTCTAAAGAAGACAGTGTATGTAGTTCTGACAGAAAGACTCATTTCATCATATTCCATAAGCTGTAAAATTCTGGAGATCCTTAAAATCTTTAAATGCTTTGGTTAATGTATGAAGATTAAAATGGTGAAATATGGAGATGAGGTTTCTGCCTCACAGCCATATTATAACGAGATCAATATGATAGTAGGTTTGTGTAATATTATGCAAGTTAGAAAGAGTACAGTGAAAATCCAATCAAATCAAATGGAGCTAAGTTGTCTCTGATTTTTATTAAATCATTCTTGAATTGAATTGTGTCCAACTGGATCAACTTTTGAGGAGAAATTCACACTCTTACTGGACAGATAAGTCATATAAGAATAACATAAAATAAATAGAAGGTATTTATATGCAGGTGCACCTCAACAAATCAGAATATTGTTATGAAAAGTTATAAAAGTCTGCAGATGGTGATGATGTTAAGGCTGGTTGACTTAAAGTTTTAAAGCAGTTGTATCTGTAGTCGTGTCGGCAGTGATCTAAGATCTGTAATCAAAGTTTGATGTTTTCAGCTTCTCTTATGTTGCCAAACATAAGAGATGCCTTTTTCTGATTCACTTGAACTTACAGTTGTTTCTGCTTACAGCTGACTCATGAATCTCTCAAACACGGGCAGAAATTCCTCAGCAGGCACCCAGAGAGACCCCCTGAGCATAGCTATCATCAAAAACCTGATCACTGTGAGCCTCTGCATCACCATCAACTCTGTCAACGGCGTCCTGGTGCACACCTTCAAAAAACATCAGGTCTGAATCTTAAAAGAGTTTTTGTGATCCAAAAACACCAGTGGAGCTTTGGCCTCTTGAGTTACAAATTTATGTTTATCATTATATAATGATTTACATTTCCTCACCTTTTTTTTTTAAACTGTTTTCATCTGAATCTTCACCTGCTTCTTTATGTCCTAATGCCTGTTTAGCTTCTAACTTAAATATCGCACATGCACAAAGTTTTGAGCTGCCAACATACCTGCTCGGTGCTCAGATTAATGTCACGCCGACAAAGAATACTCTTCATCATTTTGTCTCAGTGCAAGGGAGAATCATTAATCGTACTGAGTGGCTGTTAATTCACCACTCTGTAAACACATTTAAGAGCACTTAAAAAGACATTGGCCCCATTTTAAAACCACATTATTAGGAATATCAAGACTTATTGAGTGTGGTATCCTGCTTCAAAACAGGATTCTGTGGCTGATCAGTGACTTAATGTATTCACTCTATAGGTCACGCAAAAGTGAAGAGCTATTTCGGCACAGGGAGGTGTGTGCATAATTGCTTTAGAGTATGTTGTTGGAAAAAACATGAAACCAGACAGAGTGGGAGCTTTGTTTTAATTGATTTAATGCAGAAGGTTGTTGGCTTTAGCTGTCAATTTACTTTGACCAATCAATCAATCAACCTTTGTTTATATGGCACCAAGTCACAACAAGTGTTATCCATAGACACTTATCAAAAAAAGCAAGTCCAGATCAGACTCTATTTACTATGGGCTGAGATTTGTGCCACTCAGAACTGAAATTGAATAATTATTTTGGATTTGAAAAGGATGATTTGAAATTGAAAGTCATGTTTTGAAAGTGAATTTATCTGCTCTGAAGTTTTAGTAAACCTATATGAAAATTCAACTCTCTATTTTCCTTAAAAAAAAAAAAAAATCAATTGCAGTTCATACAATTCAGATTCAGTTCTACAATTCAATTTCAGTTTAGCATGGCACAGCCATTGTGTCATCTTCCGTGAGGAAGAGTCATCGAGTGTGGATTCACAAAGCTCCTAATTATGCCTGCCAAAACTCCTTTACGGTCTTTGGCTTCACAGATCTATATCCACCTTATTTCTTATCCCTTATCAACCTACTGCAATAAGTGGCCCATCATAAGGATTAGTGAATAAGCATCGAAAGCAGCGGTTTCATGACTAAAATACCTACATTGTATTTAACTTATTTAACTTCATTGAGTGTTACGCATAGACTGTATAGAGTATACATATATCTATAATAATATATTATATATTATTATAATATATAATGATATACGCATGTTACATATTTGGGAATGTTTTATGTAGTTCTGGTATTTATTGCACCGCCAATGGTTGTACTGACAACCAGATGGATTAGAATTTATGACTTGAGGAGTACCCAAAACAAAGAGGGAGTGTTCTTGTGCCTCTCGCTTCAAGTTCCACCTTCTGCCTTCAGACGGATTGTCATGGTGCACGGTTAAACAAAGAAAAAAGGACCCAAATGCAGAAATAAGGATTAATTTAAGAAAATGCAAAAAGAAAAAGGCCAGGAAAAAAACTACTCTTAAAAAGTCCAACTGAAAAATCTTAAGGAAAAAACACGAAGAGCAAAATCCTGAACAAACAAAAAGGCACTGGGAAAAAACACAAGGTGACTAACAAGGGATCCAAACATACTCTGACATACATACATACATACATACATACATACATACGATCACAGGAACAATACAGAACAGAAACACTAGGAAAAATACAAGAAAGTACTCTGAAATAACAAAACCAGGGAAAAACTAAATTAACAGAACATATCATGACACGGACTTTGCTCAGAATTATACTTAATTCATTAAGCACTTTTCAACCAAAGAAAATGCATGCGAAGTGCTGTACATTAAAAAAAGAAATCAATACAAACCAGCCCCCATTCACACACTTTCCAAATCATATATGTAGCTAAATAAGACCTGTAAAAAAGTAATAATGATTATTATGAGTGTTATTGTAATAAATTCTAAATAAATAAAAGAAGTGAGCAAACTGAGGGAACACCATCACTATCTGCAGGATTGTCCTGGTCCTGCAGCACATGAGCGGCCAGCTGTGTGTATTTCACCTGGGACTGACACATAAACCCAGACATGGTGATGTGGGACATTGAGGCTCTGACTCGGCTCATGTCCAACCTCTTCTAACAAAACCCAACCGATCTTGTTAGTATGTACTGTAAGTACAGATAAGCCTCAGCATCCCTGTCTACACCAACAGAGCTAACAAAGTAGCATAATATGCTAGAATATGTTATTTGACGCCATTTCTTTATATCGTTCTCCAACCCCTCAACAGATTCCAAAAACACAAGATGAGATGTTGATTTCCTGTGCGAGCACATGCAAATAACTGGTGGACTTGTCGGTGAATGGTGGATGTAGTCTAGAAGGAGATTATCAGGAAGAATTGAAATTGTGGGACGCATCATCAGTAGTGTTCCTCTGGGTCATGGGGTGTTTCGGCCCTTTACACTATACACCCTCCCCAGAGGCGGCCAGCTGTAGGATGATCAGACCTCAGCTTGCGTCCCAAGCCCAATTAGTCATGAGAGTCACCTGTTGTCTAGCGGCGTACACCTCAGGGGACTATGCATGGCAGGGGCGTCCTGTTCCCTGAGTCAAGCCTAAGCCGACCGCATACCTCCTAGCACACTACTTGGGGGCCCAACTGGGGTCCTTTCTCTTCAGCCAGAGCCACTGGCTGCTTCTTTCTGCCGCCTCTGATGCAGCTTTGACGGCTCTGCGCTGGTTCTGGCCCTTAATTCCAAAGTCCCTCAGTAGTTTTGTGGTGGATGTTCTCACAAACCCTCTGCACCCAACCTCCACTGGGCGGACTTCCGCGTTCCAGCCACGGTGTTTTGCCTCTGCAGCTAAGTCCGCATAACGCAGATGCTTCCGCTCATATGCCTCCTCCATTGAATCCTCCCAGGGTACGGTGAGTTCGATTATGTAAACCTTCTTTACGGAGGGGGACCAGAGCACTAAGTCAGGCCTCAAGGTGGTGGTGGCAATCTCTGAGGGGAACACCAGCTGTTTGCCGATATCTGCCAGCATCTTCCAGTCCCGTGCAAGGCACAGCTGGCTTCTTTCTGATGGTATGGAGTTGCTCCTGGTAGCTGTAGCCCCTTCTCGGACAAAGGCCGTTGCCCATGGTGTTGTTGAGGACTTAGGTGTTGGCAGAGATAGGGCATTGATGCTGGATCGTTTTTCCTCCAGCGTGGCAGCAAGGCTCTTCAGGACTTGATTGTGGCGCCAAGTATATCGTCCTTGGGTGAGGCTGGTTTTACATCCGGTGAGTATGTGCCGAAGGGAGGCTGGCTTGGAGCACAGGACGCACCCTGGGTCTTCGCCAAACCACTGATGGAGATTAGTTGGTGTTGGGAGCACGTCGTAGGTGGCTCTGATGGCAAAGCTCAAACTCCTTGCTTCCATAGCCCATATATCCCTCCAGCTCAACTTCCTCCTTTCGACACCCTCCCACCGTGTCCACAGGCCCTGTTTGCCAAGGGAGACTGCCTTGGCCCATCTTGCCGTCTCCTCCTGACGCCACACTTCCTCCACCACCATCTTCCTCCGTGCTGGAGCAGTGGAGTTTCTCCAGGCTGGGCGGCTGGTTGTTAGCCCGAGGCCTCCTCTTCCTTGCTGAACGTTCCCCACGATGTCAGCATGTGTCAGAGCTGCTGTTGCCTCCTCCACTGCTCTTGCTGGTCTCCACTTGCGCCCAGTGGCCAAGGTCGGTGCATTCTCTCTGACCACCGGATCTTTGGATTCGTTCAAGGTCATCTGCAGTCGTGTTTTGGCACACTTGAACTCCTCCGTAAGGCTGGTGAGGGGCAGCTTGAGGACACTGTCTCCATACAGGCTTATGGTGGTGAGGCAGCGAGGGACTCCAAGCCACCTCTTGACATGGGCTGTGACTCTTCTCTCCAGCTTCTCTACCGTTGAGATGGGCACCTCGTAGACTGACAGGGGCCACAACACCCGGGGTAGTAGACCAAACTGAAAGCACCAGGGGCCTTATGTATCAACGCTTGCGGCGCAAGAAAACCTTGCGTACGCCAAAATCGGCGCACACGTCCAGATTTATCATCGCGAAACGAGCGTCGGTTCCAGCGCTAATCAACGCAAAGTCAGGAGGTGGTGTAGAAATTGGCGTTGAGCTGATACTTGCGTTGACTGTGATTCGCACTTTGGCGACGCTGTGTGGCGGTGTTTGGTGTTTGGCGCACAAGCGTGCACCACATCCCCGTGGCCGAGCAGCATGTCGCCCCACATGACGAACCAGCAGCAGACGGAGGGATGCGAGCTGATCCCTGCCGGGCCGCCGTCCTCGCGCGGGAGAATCTCATCGCCACAGTGTGAATGGGTAAGAAGTGAATACACAGTTCAATGAGCCAAATTAATTTATTTTCTCCACCAGATCCCCCTGATGATTTCTTCCTGCGATTGCAGGACCCCCTTCGCGAGGACCCTTCCACTGCGTCTGGGTGGTCCAGCGGAAACGCCGTGGCTGGTGGACGCTCCACCGCTTGTCGGCGTGCTGATGCTGGTGCTGGTGCTGGGGCCGGGGGCCGGGGTGGCCCGAATGCCGCTGGTCCTGGCCGACGACTCCGAGCCGGCGGACGGGCTGCCGCGGGCCGGGGTTCCGCAAGCCGGCGACACGGCCGACGCATTGATTTCTGTGACACAATAGAAATATTTGTTCATTTCAATTCCTGCTTCTGTGTATCTGTTGCGTTTACATCTCTCTCCACGGTATCATAGGTAATGTAATCCAGTATTTCGAAGTCAGTTATGCACATTACAGTTGTTTATTGCATAAAAAGTTATCGAAAAATGAAGTTAAGGGCGAAGTATAAATCACGTCTAAAAATAGACTGAATCACGACATTGAAATGAAGTATAAACTTAGACTAGACGTCTAATATACGTCTTTTGCTCAGTGGGATGACAAAGCATGTGGACATTTGTGTGACACGCCACTTACCCTATAATAATAATCGCCACCACCCGCTGCTCAAACGGCGTGAGGGTCTCCTCCCCCGGAACCCCACCTGTCTGGCCAGTACTCCTCCGGAGGGCAGCTGTACGCCGCTTGACCTCCACCTTGAGGTCCGACCACTTTTTTTTAATCTCCGCGGGGGTGCGTGTCTCGGAACCCACCGCATTCACCCTCTCGCAAACTTTCTCCCACTCCAAGCGTTTTTGTTTTGCACTGACGCCACTCGACAGGCTGCCAAACAAAACACGCTGTCGCTCCTCCACCAGCACCTCCACCTCGCACGCCGTAAATTTAGTTTTTCTTGTCATTTTGTCTGCGTGCGAGGACAGGGAGACCCTATTTAAATAAATCTTCATATTTATAGGAGGGCGTAACGGGGACGGGCCCAGTCACTCCGACATCTGCGCTCAATTCCACGCTGATTGGGATTTATCAAGGAAACACACGTGGATTTCGGCGCCCGCACACATTGATACATACGAATTTTTTTCAGCGTTACGGACCTTGCGTGCGCTCGTTTCTGGTATGAGTTCCACGCAAGTATTGATACATAAGGCCCCAGGTCTTTAACTTCCCAGGGAGTTGGGTGTTGTCAATCGCCTTTAGGCCTGCATTGATGTCATTGCGCAGTTGCTCCACCTGGTCTTTGTCTTTCAGGCTTGCATCGTAGAGCCTTCCAAGGCTTTTGACTGGCTGCTCAGAAACAGTGGGGATTGGGTCATCACCGATGAAGAACTGCACGTCCGTAAGCACTCCCTTGACCACTGAGATGCTGCGTGACTTAGATGGTTTGATCTTCATACGGGCCCAGCTGATGTTCTCCTCAAGCTTTCTGAGTAGCCTCCTGGTGCATGGGACAGTGGTAGTCAGTGTGGTGATGTCGTCCATGTAGGCTCTGAGGGGAGGGAGGCGCCGGCAAGAGTCGAGTCTTTGTCCGCCTACAACCCATTTCGAGGCTCGAATGATAACCTCCATCGCCATGGTGAAAGCCAGGGGAGAAACGGTGCATCCAGCCATAATGAGAATGGCTGGAGAAGCCCGATATCCCTGCCTTTTGTACAGATGTATCCACGTACTCATTTTTGTGCAGGTACTCGGCCATCCTTTGTGCAATGATTCCAAAGAAGATCTTGCCCTCCACGTTAAGCAAGGCGATGGGGCGGAACTGGCTGATGTTTGTTGCGTCCTTCTCCTTTGGAATAAGGATCCCACCTGCCCTACGCCACGCTTTGGGTATAGAGGAAGGAAGTGGAATGATAACATTGTCCCGTTTAGGGTGTGATAGATGACATTTCCATGTTGTCTTCATTGTCAATGGCTTTAATAATCACAGTTGATGAACAGTTGCCAAGGAAAATGCCAACTCCTCATCCAGTTTTTGAAGGAACCAGGTGACACACCCATTGTAAAGCCAAAGACCGTAAAGGAGTTTTGGCAGACGTAAATAGGAGCTGTGTGAATCAACGCTTGATGACTCTTCCTCATGGACGTAGATGACGTAATGGCTGTGCCATGCTTAACTGAAATTGATTTTTTTTATTTTGAATTTGAGTAAAAGAGTTTAATTAAATTTAAAAGCAGTTAAATTCAGTTGTAAAACATTAATTTCAATTTTAAATGCTGCTTTTCGAATCCAATATACTTATTTCCAGTTTCTCGTGTCACAGATCTCAGCCCATAATTTACACAGATGGGATAAGATTGAGGCCCAGCTCCTGAGATCTTAAACACTAAGATTTTGTGGACCAATATTAGATTCTATTCAATCACTTTTATTCTGTTAATGCACGTTGTTCACTGTGATGGACAGAGACATAATTTCCCTGAATTAATTTAAATTACAAAAAGTTACAAACATGATGAAAATGAAACACAATGACAAAAATAACAAATTTGGGACTGATTTGTGCGTGTAAGCGTTGGTTTAATGAAAGTTTATCTTCTTTTCCTCTGTTCCACAATGTCCTCTCTCTGCAGGTTCTCAACATGAACCCTCGTTACATCCTGTACATCCATCTGGTGATCAATGACATCATCCTGCTGACCGTCTTCACTCTGCTTCAGGTCCTGAGTTACATCTTCTTCTCTCTCCATGTCCCACTGTGCATCATTTTGGTGACCATTGCGATGTTTTCCACCCAGAACAGCCCTTTAACTCTGGCCTGTATGGCATTAGAGACTTACATCGCCATCTGCTTCCCTCTGCACCACTCACAGATCTGCACAGTCAGGAAAACCTGGATTGTGATCAGCTTGATATGGATGTTCAGCATGTTTTCTGTCCTGCCTGATTTATTTGTCACATTAGCAACTGAGCCCATGGATTTTTTTCACTCAAGAGTTTTTTGCATGACTCTTAATGTGTTCAGAAACCCGACTCTCGCAGAGGAAAGAAACATATCAAACGGTGTGTCATTGGTTGTTGTATGGCTGACGCTTGTCTACACGTACTTCAGGATCCTGTTTGCTGCTAAAGCTGCTGCTGCGGATGCAAAGAAAGCGAGGAACACTGTCCTCCTCCACGGCTTCCAGCTGCTGCTCTGTATGCTCAGCTACGTATTTCAGCCATTCATTAAGGGTCTCATGTATTTGTTTCCTAATGGAGTACTGATCATTCGCTTTATATTACCGATACTGATTCAGGTTCTGCCTCGACTCCTCAATCCTGTCATTTATGGGCTCAGAGACACAATGTTCAGAAATTACCTGAAAAGAGATCTGTACAGTATGACAGGTACTATGGCTGAAATACAAAAGTTATAAAAGTTATCACATTTTTGAACTGTGTTTCAGTTTTTCATTTTCTGCTTCTAATATTTAAATATTGTTAAATCTGAAAATTCTTTACGTGGTTCCTGTGGGTTCCCTTTAACTAATAAAGTGTCTTTGTTCTTAGTTTGTTTGTTTGTTTGTTTGTTTTCAATATAAACATGATGCTGGTCGGCGGGGCTTAGCAGGACAAAAAAACAACAACAACGACAACAGAAAAAAAAACACTTTCAGGCACTTTGACAGGACTAGCCAGCAAGTTGTTTTGGGGCTCAGACAGTAAGAACACCAACAGTGATCTGAAGGCGAGTGTCACGCTACCATTTACAGGGGAAAATAAAATGCCTTTTAGCACTTCACCAAAAATAACTATTTTTTTCCACATTTGAAAGTTTTCTCATTCTCCTCCTCTCTCTTTTTTTTTCTTGGCGGTCCACAGGAAGCACATGTCCACAACACCATACTGTATATGGTGTTCATTGTCTATTCATGGGTGGATATGAACCATCATGAACTTACTAATGTTTATGATCACATCAGGAGTTCCTACAGCGTTCATGGATCTGTAGTAGTTTTTTGAGTTATTCAGGTAGTGGATAATATGGGCTCGCCACCTGTAGGAGAGGCCAAAAGGGTTGGGTGTGAGTCGGGCTGTTGTCGAAGGCGGAGGACCTTGGCAGTCCGATCCTCGGCTGAGGAGGCTAGCTAGCTCGAGGGACGTGAAATGTCACCTCCTTGGCGGGGAGAAGCCTGAGCTAGTGTGTGAGGTAGAGAAGTTCCTGCTAGATTTAGTCAGACTAACCTCAACACATAACGTGGGCTCCGGATCTAGCCCGCTCAAGAGGGGTTGGATTCCCTTCCACTCTGGAGTTGACACTGGTCTGGGGTAACCGGCAGGGGTGGCAATACTTATTGCTCCCCAGCTCATGCCTGTATGTTGGGGTTCACCCTGGTGAATAAGAGGGTAGCCTCCCTTCACCTTCGGGTGGGGGGACATATCCTGACTGCTGTTTGTGCTTATGTTCCAAACAGAAGCTCAGAGTATCCAGCGTTCTTGAAGCCCTTTGAGGGAGTACTGGAGAGTGCTCCTTCATGGGACTCCCTTGTTCTGTGATGGACTGTTTGAGCTCCCCCCACAAACAAGTGGCTGCTGGAGAAGAGTGGGTGAGTCTCTTTGCTGAAGAAATAAGGTAAAATTAAAAAGATGTTTAGTGGCTAATACTATGGCTGGGACCCTATATATACTGTTGATGAAGTTAGGTGCTGTTCTGAGCATTATTTGTGGCTGTAGAGTGGCTTTTTGGTTGAGGTTTGCGCGTCGAGACATAGACCACTGTGTATTGCTATTGTGCGGTCGTTACTAAAGTTGGTATAACTAGAGAAGCAAGCAGTTGGCAACATTCATCTCTCAAGGGGGAGTCTAACTCTCAGTTACAAACAATAGAATATCCCTTTGGATCTTGTTTTGCTCAGCCGAGCCTTTTCTGTTGCTGTGTTGTGCAGCCTGTTTCTGTTAGACTCTTTTACTCTCTCCCCTCCCCCAACTCCTGAACGTCACTTGCTCACTGCAATCTCATGAGGAAACACAGCTTTTTGATATGATGTTTTTCTTGTTCCTAAATACAAATATTTTTTTCAAGTATTTATTCGAAGTAAGTATTTGTAAAAAACGCATTATTTGTGCCTTTCCCGGTACCGTATTCAGGTTCGGCTCCACCCCTAACTATATGCAACTTGTATGTAGTCTCTTTCTCTATCCTGAACCTCCAGCAGAATTGAAACAGTTGACTGAGATGCAGGGAGGTTTTTAATTTAGTCATTTACTTCCTCCATGTTGGAGAGTGATGAGGTTGACCTGTTTGGCTGAGTGATTTTGATCAGTGCAGGATACACAAAGGCATATTTAATGTCAGCTTTGCGTAGCAGCATGTGGGCATTAGCCGACTCATTCCTTCTTTTCACTACCTCAGCAGAGAAGTTCTGATGGAAAGACATGTCTTGGCCCTCCACCTTAAATCTGCCCTTGTTTCTTGTCACGTACAAAGTTCTTTGCTTATCAATGTTGTATAGCCTCACGAGGACAGGTCTTGGCACATCCTTACCACCAAGTCTCAGTAGAAGCCCATCACAATGGGCTCTCTCTGTCTTGATACGGACTCCTTGTAAACCCCAAACTCCAAGGATCTGTTTCGAAGAAGAAAACAACCAACAATTGGCACATTCTGCCACCTGCTCTGGTTCTCAAAGCTGTCCAGTTGCTCTAATGCCCTTTTAGTTAGTCTCCAGGGAGTTCAGCCATGGCACATTGACCATGGCTGCAGCTTTCAGATCTGACATTCGCTGTTCATTCTCTCCGGTATGGTGCCAAACTTCTTAGAAAGCTCAGTGACCGGTTTGAGAATGACAGCCAATTTACCTTCTAACATCTGGTCATTGGTGGTCATCACTCCTTAAACTATCAGGTCATAGCCTCAGCACAAATTCCCACCTGGTCCAACAACAGCTATGCAGATATCCTGCACTGTATCATCAGGGTCAGCCATGCCATCAAAATACCATCAGCCAAAAGAGTCTGCAAGCAAAGTCGACTTATTTATCATTATGGTAGATGCCAGACTAAGATATTCAGTGCATATTGCAAAAACAGCCTTTTTTACCACCTCTTTTGCCTGAGAAGACTCCGATCAATAGACATCTGTAGTAAAACGCTGCAGATGTTTTATCAGTCTGTGGTGTCTACAGTGTTCTGTCCTATGCTGCAGTCTGCTGGGGAGGAAGCATCAAACACAAAGATGCAAGACGTCTTAACAAACTGGTGAAAAAGGCTGGCTCTGTGGTTGGACTCAAGCTGGACTAAGTGGAGGATGTGGTGGAGAGATCTACACTGAGGAAGGTGGAGACTATTCTCAAGAACATGGATCACCCACTTCACAACACCTTGATGGACCAAAGGGCCAATGGTGGTGGACGGCTCCTCTCTCTTTACTGCAGGACAGAAAGATTCAGAAGATCTTTTGTACCAACAGCCATCAGACTTTATACCTATGTTAATAATAGATAACTTTTATAGACATATTACGTGAGACAACAGACAATTGAATTTCCCTTCAGGGATCAATAAAGTTCTTATTATTATTATTCTTATTTTCACATATCCCATAGCAAAAATCACTCTTAACAAAATACACAGAGCAAAACCAGCAAATACTACTCAAATACCAAAATCCACACAAATCAAAAGGTCCTCACAGGAGCTTCAAGGGAAGTCATCTTATTTTTTTATTTTTGATTGCCTTTTATTGTCTGCTTTTTTAACCTTGATTTGCTTTGTTCCTCTGATGCTCTCAGTTTTTTTGTTGTGTAATTTACTTTTCTAAACTTTATTTTCCTTCTTTTAAAAAGGTATTTAATAGAACAGACTTGGTAGAATTGAAATCAAATACTCAGAAGTCTGTTTAAATTAATGTATAAAAATCTTTTTGTTTTTGTTGATTCAGTTTGAGTCTTCTATATATACAAGTAGCAGGTACTGAATCTATAAGCTTGTCTAAGATATATAAAGTTTTCATCCATTAAAACAATAAGATAGTCAAAACAAAGTCAGCTGTGATTAAAACTGATCAGCTGTTTCATCTAAAGACTAAGACTTAATCTGACATCACTATGTTGCAGTCTGACAGAAATCATGACATATTCCTTCAAAACCTGCTTACAACAGCTTTTCACTCACACACACACATGCTGCACACCATCTAAATCCCAATAGTCTTCACTCAACAAACTGTTTATTAACTCACCAGCAGCTGCTGCAGAGGGGTGACATCCTTCCGGGTACGTACAGACACACAGGGTTTCATGTTTTCTCTGCACTGCACTGATGTTGTTCTGCTGAGTGTTAATGATCATGATAAAAAAAAAAATTATCTAAGGTTTATAGGTGTGCATTCATCTGTGGCAATGTGTATTCATAGAGAGGTATTGTACGATTGATATTTACAGTATACTGAATATCAGTTTTTCTGAAAGGGATGATGCTGAAGTTGATAAAGCTCAGAAGCTGATGAAGTTTAAAAAAAGATCACCCTGTTGTTTTGCACTTTGTAAACTGTGTTTTAAAGAAACTTCAGGTCAGAAAACAGCAGAGTTTATTTTAAGAATCTATGTGTTTCTGCAGGATTTCACAACAAATTCCAGAGTTTTCCTTGTTTTTAAGTTCCGTGTGAGAAAGGAAACCATCATAAGGAAAATAACCTGTGCTGTTTTCAGGAAAAAAAGATTTCCAGACATGAATTTTTCATTCCTTAACGGCTCTTCATTTGTGACTGGGACCCAGCGGGACACCTTCACCACAGCTTTGACCAAGAATATGATTGTCACAGCCCTCTGCATTTCCATCAACTACATCAACGGTACTCCGGTGCACACCTTCAGGAAGCACCAGGTATGGGAAGTATGTCTTATCAGTGTTTCAGCTGCATTTGACTGTTTCGTGACAGTGAGTCAGGAGTCTGCAGAAAAGTCAAACATGCTCCTTAAGATTCCTCTTTCATTTGCAGACATGCATTTTAAAAACATCAGGTTGAGAATATTCAGATAATCTCAGCTGAAATAAAAAAATTGTTCTTAGCCTGTTAAAGTGTGTGAATGTAACAGCAGGTTGTGCATAAATTTTGCAAACTGAGGTTAAAAATATAAATTTAAAAAATGTTTTATTATTTTTATCAAGAGGAAGTGCTGTTCTTATCAAAACACCACATGCATTTGACAGTGACAGCATGTCTTTGAATGATGATTTTACATACAAAGAGAACAATTTCTAAAGGATAGTGTTGCTTTAATCTTTTTTTTTTTGTACGTAATAATTCATTTGAATCTTGATAAATCTCATTACTTCTACTTCTTCAAAGTTTGCCTCAGCTTACAAATAGAGACATTTTTTTTAAAGACAAGTAAGCTTAAATTTCTTATTGTCCAACATTTTTGAATAGCATTGCATACTTTTGGTAGAAACAATCCAAGTCTTATTTTTTTTTTCTTTTAGAAAGACAAACCACATTAAAATAACCATGCATCTGCATTTTAGTGTCATTTGGATTATCATTCATGAAGGTTTAAGTAACATTTTGTGATTTTCTAATTAATCACATCAACTCTGACTTCTTCAAATGCTGATTAAAATCACAAAAAGATCCATTTCTGTGATAGAAGGTAGCCTGAATTCTTGCAAGTGTATGCGAGTTCAAAGAAAATAAGAAAAAAAGGATTTGTATTTCTGAATCAAACCTACCATGCATTTGCCTCAAGGTCTAATTTGGATTCAGTTTTTATGCATCATTTAGCTGTATTTTGTTAAATACATTAATTTTGGTTAGTAACTCAAATAGTTGGCATTAAATCCCATGAATTTGGGTTATATTGCTGATTTAGATGGCTTTTATCATCATGTGGTGCAGTCCTTCTTCACCAAACCCTGCATGCCATAAAAACCAAATTTGCTGGAATGTCTATTAATTTATTTATGTATTATGTAGGAAAGAAAAGAGATTTAAGAGTTTGAACATGGTGTGGTTGTTGGTGCCAGGGGTTTGTTCTGAGTATTGCAGAAGAAAACTGAAGGCTACAATTCACCAAAGCTAGACAACAGAGGATTGGAACAACGTTTCCTGGTCTGATGAGTCTGGATTGCAGCTGCGGCATTCAGATGATGGGTCAGAATTTGGCATTAAAAACATGAAAGCATGGATCCATCCTGCCGTGTATCAACGGTTCAGGCTGCTGCTGCTGCTGCTGTTGGTGCTCTAATGGTGTGGAGGCTCAGTTGTGGAAGCTCCACAACTGGGTATTGTTGCTAACCATGTCCATCCCTTAATGACCACAGAGTACCATTTTCTGATGGCTACCTCCAGCAGGATTATGCACCTTGTCACAAAGGTCAAATCCACTTAAACTGGTTCATTGAAAATGACACTGAGTTCACTGTACTTCAGTGACCTCCACAGTCTCCAGTCTGCTGCACCTACACTACAGGCCAAAAGTTTGGAAGCAAGATAGGATTTGTACAAAAAAGACCATAGTTTCATACAATTTGCAACACAATAAACATGACTTTTGTGTAAAGAGTAACTTATCAGAAGACATGTTTACTATAACTATTAGCTATTTGCGTTATTGTTGCTCAGACGCTGCTTTCTTTAAAATAACCTCCTCTGGCTTTAACAACAGCTTGGCATATACCAGGCATTTGTTCCACAAGTTTTCTAAGGTATGTTCCAGGGATTGCATTCCAAGCTTTCTTAAGTTCATTAAAAAGAGACTGCTGATTTGTGGGAAGCGTTTTTCTGACCGATGAATCCAATTCATCCCGCACAAGCTCAATTGAGAAAGGTCTGGAGACTGAGGGGGCCAAACCATCTTTTGAAGAACACCTTCCTCTTCTTTTTTGTCTAGGTAACCCTGACAGAGCTTGGCAGAGTGCTTAGGGTCATTGTCTTGCTGCAAAACAAACTTATGAACCACAAGTCTGAGTCCATATGGAACAGCATGGTGCTGGAGGATGGAGTGGTACGGTTCCTTCTCCATGATACTCTTGACTTCAAACAAATCTTCTACTCCATCACCTGCAAAACATCCCCATACCATGGAACTACCACCTCCATGCTGAATTGTGGGTGTAACACATGGTGCTTTCAGACGTTCACCAGTTTGTCTGTGGACATTAACTCTGCGTTTTGAACCAAACAGTTCAAACTTGCTTTAATCGGTCCAGAGAACTTGTTTTTTAGTCATCATAGGTCAAATTTTTGTGAACTTTTGCCCACTCATATCTCTTTTTCTTGTTCTGTGGACTAAGTAGTGTTTTTTTGCAGATACACAACCCTTCAGACCAGCCTTTCTCAAACATCATTTCACGGTTGTCAGAGATATGGGTTTTGACCTTGTCATGTTGATTTCCTCCCTTATTCACGGTGCTATCTTTCGCCTATCTCTCTTACTGATGACGATGCTATGTTTATCCTCTGCTTTGTAACTCTTTTTTGTTCAGGCCTTTTTCTATCATAATAACTTCCAGGTTCCTCTAGTCTCTTCAGAGTGTAGTGGACTCCTTTGTTTAACACCTTTAGGCGTTTTGCAATTTCTCTTTCTGTGTATCCTTCTTTCCTCAATGTACTAATCTGTACTTTGTTTCCTTACTTAGTTGCTTCTTTCTAGCCATTTTTGCGGTAGTTTGAACACAGTTGAGATTTATTAAGATTTTTGTATGCAGACTCTCAAAAGTCAAAAAGTTGAAGTAAATTTGGAGTTAATTTTTTAATATTTGATGATTAAAAGCAGAGATGCTGTATCCCACATGAGGGAATATTTCCTGAACTCAGTCATTCAAAGGATTTCAAATATACTGTAAATATACTGCTGCATTAGTTCAGCTCCACAAACAATCTTTTTCTATCACAGGTATTTTATTCCAACCCTCGCTACATCCTCTTCATCCACCTGGTGATCAACGACATGACACAGCTGATCCTCTCCACCCTCCTTCACATCATTAGCTACGCCTTTTACACCATCAACGTGTCCTTCTGCATTCCCCTCATCATCATGACAGTTCTTGCCACGCTCAACACCCCACTCAACCTGGCCAGTATGGCGGTGGAGTGTTACATCGCCATCTGCATCCCCCTGCGCCACAGACAGATCTGCACGGTGAGGAAAACCTACATCCTGATTGGTGTGATCTGGGCGGCGAGCTCCCTCTCTATCCTGCCTGACTTCTTCATCCTGCTGGCCACAGAGCCACCGCAGTTCTTCCTCTCCAGGATGTTTTGTGCCAGAGACTATATCTTCAGGAGCCCTTACAGTCTGAAGAAGAGGAATGTGTCTCATATTGTTTGTCTTGTTTTGGTTTGGCTCACACTTTTCTATACCTACTTCAGGATCTTGTTCGCTGCCAGAGAAGCAACTTTAGATGTTAAAAAAGCCAGAAACACCATCCTCCTGCACAGTTTCCAGTTACTGCTGTGCATGCTGACCTACGTCAGACCCATGTTTGAACAGAGTCTGCTCCTCTTAGTGCCCACACAGTTCCTGTCTGTTCGCTTCACAAGCTTTGTCTTAGTGCAGATCCTGCCTCGCTTTGTCAGTCCCATTGTGTACGGATTGAGAGACCAGACCTTCAGGAAGTTTGTGATGAATTACCTGATTTGCAGAGTGAGCAGCAGAGTTAAGTCTCAGATATGAGTGGGACAGTGAAACAGCAGTGACGGAGTCTCAGTTAATAAACAAGTTCTTCAGATAAAAACTTACTTCTGTTATTTACACACCAGAAAAACAGCTTTGTTTGATTCTTACAGCTTAAGAGAAAGCTAAGAGGGTTTGTTTTCACTTCTGGCTTCATGGTTTTGAGACACTTGCAACACTACAAGAACTCCTATCTGTGCAGGTCTTTATATATTATATCTGGCAAAACTGCTCAGTGAGACTTTATGTAAGTTAATTGACCAGACAATACCAAATAAAGGTTTCATTCTAAGATGAGTTATGCATCCAAGATAAGGTCTAAATTGCTTGCAATTAGCAAAATCTACCAATGGAGAAAGAAGAAAAAAGTTTTTTTTAATTCTGAAAAGGTACATTATCATTAATAGGTGAACTCACTGCAATAAAATTGTGGGTTTGAAATGTTCTTTGTTGCTCTCGGTTACTGACTGATCGTGTCTTTGCAAACCTGGGCTCAAATTTTCCACAGGTCACCATTGACTCTTGTTATAAGTTGCACATACTCATTCACTACTCTGCAAAACAAGAAATAGGCTTTTGCTGGGTTGCAATGAATCATGCCCAAAAGTCATTATACACTGTATCCAGCAGGTGGCAGTAAAAACAGCAATAGTTGAAGTTTCAAGGCAAAGGCATGGCACCTTTAAAGAAGGGGGACTTTATAAACAGACTTTATACTTCCTTTGTGATAGCTCTTTTATAGCTGTACATGATTTACTGATTTAAAAACAACCTTCTGTTTCTCACAGTGATGTGTTGAAATATTATTTGAGCCTGCGTCTGAAACGCATCATTTTAGCTGCTGTCTCTTAAAGACCCCACCCCTCTCGAGCCTTCCACATCTCTGGAGGCTTTCCAGAGACCAGCCGAGGACAGATCTTGATGTTTTGTGCCGTCTATTGTGGTCAATCAGCGGCAGCATCTCTCCATTCTGCTGTGCTTCTGCAGATGCATAGTTGAACGAAGAGAGCCTGTTGCAATGACATTGTTAGTGAGTGAGTGTTGTTGAGATCTCCCAACAAATCATTTTAAGCAGTTAACATCTATTCTCTAGGATTAAAACAACATACATTTACCTCGTAGTTTAAAAATTTGCATAAATCTGGTATGGACACCGAACTTTGTAACCTAGCATTTTTGTTGTAAATCTGGAAAAGCATAATTACCCCCTTAAAAGATCAGAAGGTAGTTAGATATGGAGGACAAAAAGAGACAGAATGAAATAAAAAAACACATTTTAAATAAATATTTAAAAATATCATTAATTAATTAAAATGGGTATTAAATAAATAAACGTGTCATTAATTTATCAAAGGGATATTCCAGTGTAAAATTATTTTTGGGTCAAACACACGTAACACTGAGTTAGATACCCCCTTGAGAGATGAATGCTGCCGACCGCTTTCTTCTCTAGTCATACCAACTTTAGTAAAGACCTCAGGATAGCGTTACACAGTGATCTCAGGAGCCACACACAAACCTCAACCAAAACACCACTCTATAGCCACAAGTAATACTCAGAACAGCACCTAACTTCATCAACAATACATTTAGGGTCCCAGCCGTAGTACTAGCCACCAAACATCTTTTTAGCTTTGCCTGATATCTTTAGCAAAGAGACTAAACACAACTCACCCACTCTCTTCCAGCAGCCGCTTGTTTGTATGGGGACCCGCGGGTGAGTCCATCAACTGTAGCAGGGTGACGCAGCTCAAGGAAGAACATTTATGATCCTAAAGTCTTTCAATACATATATAATTGGGTGGGTGCGTGTATGCATGCATGTGCGTATGTGTCTGGCAGGCAGGGATGGATGGGAAACCAGCACTTAGGATGGACAGAAACATTCCTGCATATCTCTGATGCATTTTTAGTTCGTATTACGCTCCGTTCACTATGTGTTTCATATAACTGATGGTTTTATTTTAAGATATTAAAAACATCAACTTGGTGTCATATGGTGCTACTACAACATTTTAAAGCTTTTTTTGAAGACTTAAAAACAGGCAACTGGACTGTGTGGAGTTGAGAAGACGTTTCGCCTCTTATCCAAGAAGCTTTTTTCAGTTCTAAAATTGCTAGTGTGAGGAGCAGATATTTATCTTACTGGAGAAGGGGACAAACAACGACTGGGAGGAGTTAAAAAGAATGGGTCGTAGTTTCTCCAATGTACAGGTCCGAGCATTCCTCGCTGCACTGGACAGCATACACCACATTACTCTGTTTGTGTCTTGGTGTTTTGTCCTTGGGATGGACTAGCTTCTGCCTTAGTGTGTTACCAGGCTCGAAATGAACAGGAATATGGTGTTTGCCAAAGATCCTCTTGAGTTTTTCCAACAGGCCTGCAACGTAAGGGATTACAGTGCTCTTGCGTCTCTCCTCCCTTTCGTGTTCAGTGTTATTTCTCTTTTTGTTGTGACAACCTGTGGATACCCTAAGTGGGCCTTTGTGAAGAACAAAAAGAGTCCACTCTACACAGTCCAGTTACCTGTTTTTAAGTCTTCAAGAAAACCATGACCTGGATGAATGAGAATCTACATGGACATTTTAAAGCTTTCTGTATACTCTATGCATCTGGAACAAGGTAAAATGCATGCAAGAGCCTTTTTCAGATATATTTTCAGCATTTTATATCATAAATCCTGACGGAAATGACAGTTTGGACTTGACTTTAACTTTTGTACACAGATTTTAGAGTATCTGACAGACAGACCTCAAAGAGTGAGGGTAGGAAACACCATGTCAGAGGTTTTATTATACCACAGCGCAGTTTCCTGTCTCCCCTGTTTTATATTCTATATACTGACTGTTTTGCAACAGACACTGGCTGTTATATAATCAACTTGGAGGATAACACCATCTTGGTCAGCCTCCTGGAGCAGGATGACGTCAAACATGGTCCACTGTTTAATGGCCCGGTCATTAAACAGTGGTCAGTTTAGGTCAGTCTAAGGCCCCTTCTTCACCTATGGTCAGAGGTCTGGAGATTGAGGTGGTGACACAGTGTAAATAGAGTCAGCAGGGTATGGAACTCTTTTAATGTCAATAACAGCATTTTAAATTGATTTCATAAACCTTTTGTTGAGAGTGTCCTCTGTTGCTGTACTGTATGCTGATTTAAATACTCTAAAATCACACATAAGAACAAAATGGGTTAAACTGTGAAGACCTGTGTGAACATTACGAGGAAGCTGCAAGCTGACCTTTAGCAGGTGTACATAATAAGGCTGTTTGGATTCATCCCATTTACTTACAGTGGAGTTTCAGCTGCTGCCTTTGAATTAATAGAGATGAAACTGTTGAATTTAACTTTCTCTAAAACAATCGCACATACATGACTCCTAAAGCAGAGAATGTTAACAGTCATGACCACTGGTGCCACTGAAACATCAAACGTGTATGAAAAATATTATTAGAGTCACATTTCACACACTGAGCCCCACAGTCAACATCAAATTCGAAAGAAAAAAAAAATCATCTGAGTGATTAGAAAATGTCACATTCATAAACCATCATCCTCATCATCAGCATCTTCATCTTCATCACATCTCCCTCCTGATAATCTCAGAGGACGGCGGTAACGAGAAAACAATGTCGTCCCGTTTCAGAGGGTTCATAAAGACTCACCTGCCTGTTGCTGTCTGTCAGTCTGACCTGGACTCAGGTAGGTGACACAGTTTGCTGTGATGTTGCTCTTTATTTAAGTGTGATTATGACAGTGTTGCAATTTTGATGTACTGAATTAAGATGTGACTGAAAAACTTTTGTAACAGAAAATCATTTTCAAACATTTGCAGAAACATAAATATGAATTATTTTTTTCCTGATGGTGACATGGGTCTGGTCTTATTTCCTTATTCTTCTCTATTCATCTGTTGATCATGTTGTCTTTGTCAAAGTGAAGCTCATCATCTGCTGCCAGTTTTGCATATTGTGTAACTTATTTTAGCCATGGTTGTTACACAAACTGAATGTAAGCTAAAAGGTTTTCATCTGAAAGTTTTTTTTTTGCACCAGTCCACTTAAACACAAAGCATTAATGAACATTTACTCATGTTTTGCATTATGTAATCGTTCAAGGTGAAGACTTGTTGCATGGAAAGAAAAATTGGTTATCTTTACAAATATTGCATGCAGGAGATTATTTTTATGCTTGTTCAAAAATTGTTTAAGGAAATTTTTTATTTGTTTTATAACAGAGATTATGAAATTAGGCCTCAGATTTCTACAGTGCCTGTGTTTGCTTCAGGTCTCTGCCATGATGACACTGATTATTATGTGCAGCATGTAGTGAAAATGTCTGGGTGAATGCAGACACAGCTGAAAAAGTTTGTTATGTCTGTTAAAGCCATAAGAGAGATGATTTAATTCACTGACATTAACACTATGGTTACAGCTTCAAATGTGTGTAAAAACTAACTTTACTCTGCAAATTTAGTGCATGTCCTTTCAAAATTTGTCTCTGTATGTTCTCCTCTTTCTCTTTCTCATAGTGAAGTATGAACTTATCGGGCAACATGACAGTGAATCAGGTTTGTTGAAGCAAATGTTTTGAACTGCATCTTTATATTCATGAAAAGCTTACTTCTTTTTCATCGTCCAGTCATGTGTGTTGGTCAATAATTTCCTTTATGCAACTGCAATCATTGCAGAAGTGTGCACATGCAAGCTTTCTGTCTATTGAAAGTATCACATGTCCTTAAGTTCTGCTTTTTCTGCAGCAGTATAATCCCTGATATGAGTAAAACATGCTAATCTGAATAATACTTTATTCCAACAGGGTTTCTTCCCTGAAAAACCTTGTTATATATTAAAGATGCAGAACTAAAAGTAAAACTCAAGAGCCTCTCAATACTCAAGCTGTACAGCTTCAGTCATATTTATCTTGTATTTTCTAACACACATTTGTCCTACATGGCCACTGTTGATATGTGAGTTAGTACACACTGATCAGCCTTAATGTTACAGGCACCTGAGTAATCCAGTGCAAGTGAAATATTATACATCTCATAAATTCTTCTTTTAGTTAGCTTTTATACGCTTATATTGTGATGATATTTTCAAACAACTTTAAATTTAATTTAATTTAGTTTAGTTTAAATTAATCGCTGGAGTTGTTTCGGGTTGTTGGAGACCTGGAGAATTGAATGCCCAACTTCATAAGCAGTAAATTCTCCAGCTGATCGGTGTTGATTGATAATTACCTGTTTTATGCACTCAAGATCAATTTTATTTGGAATAACTTGAGATGTGCAAACATTTTTGTGCGCTGTCATACACTATACATTTTCTTAGGCTGTATGATGTCACATGATATCTGTTTAACGGTTTAACACTTTGTCTGGTAAGATGCTCAAATCGCAGAAAGACTTTTCACAATAAAAGCCTTTTTGCAATGTGAGTACGGAAACATTTAGGCACAGGTGGCTTTGTTTCTGCCTGCCTGTTTCTGTATTAAAGCATCTGGTTTGACATTTAGTCACAAAACAAACACGAAACTGCACAAAACAACTAGAATTGAAAAACTAAGGTAAATAACCAGACAAATCAAGGTTAAAGCAAGTCAAATTACTTCAAATTTACCGACTGTTTAAAGCTCCTGTCAGGATTTTTTTTCTCATTCATGCTAAAAGGAGAACAAGTTGAGAATCTCCTGAAGTGATTTAGTCTACATGTAGATAAAGCAGCTAACTCTAGCGTACAGAGAGCAGTAATGAGTTTAAGAGACCACTGATTTGTGATGAACCTCAGAGCTCCAGTCTCTAGAGAGAGAAGGCTTGGAAATGGTGCAGCATATATTTCGGATCACCATAACCAATCAGGGGCTTAAAAGAAGAAGAAGAAATGGAGAAAAAGAGAAAAAATAAGGACTTACTTCTGAGACAGAACCCCAGACAGTAACAGTCCTGACCTCGATCACTGTCTGTTCTCCTGCTGTTTAAAGTCTATTTGATGGTATGAAGGTGACAATGAGCTGATTCTGCCTGACTGTGATCAGTGTTTCTGTCTCTCTGACTCTCCCTGCTGGTAAAACAGTTCCTGCAAACCAGAGACACTTTCACCACGGCCTTGGTGAAAAACGTGGTTGTGGTTTTGGTCTGGCTTATCCTCAGTTACATCAACAGCACCCTGGTCATCACCTTCTTCAGACACCAGGTCTCTCTCTCACACACACACACACACACACACACACACACACACACACACACACACACACACTGAAAATACACTTACTGTTCAACTGAGATCAACTGAACATAAAGCCTATAGTTTGATTTGCACTGTAATTAATTTCAGTCTGAAACAACACCAAAACATGTCTGTGCTTTAGCTTGCAAGATTTCAGGATTATATTCTCTACCTTAATTTTTTCAATGTAAATTTTAGGTCTTTTAAAGGTTTTGCATCAGTTCAGTGAAGCAGACCGGTGGATTTTAAAATATTTTATGAAAAATTACAATTCAGTGTATCACATTTTCTGTTGCTCTTCAATTTGTGACTGAATAATTATGGTTATATCAGTTTTTCAACAATTTGACTTGAAAGACTTTTGAATAAACAGATATTATTTTTGATAAAATATACTTTCAAATAATCTGATTTATGACATGATGTGAAATACAAAAGCAAATGTTTTTTGACTACGAGGTCTAAATTTCTTTTAGTTGTTGACGCTATAAGAGACTTGTCCGGGACTTGCTGCTTTACTCAGAGATTTGATTTGGACTTCTGTCATCTCTGTCATGGACGGACTTCTTCCTGCTCAGTAAGAGCTATTTGGGTCTAAATTCTGGTGTGTAATCTCTTGAGACGGGACATTTTTCAGGACTTGTAAGGCGAATGTGGCATGAGTCTGTAGTGGAAGTCACTACATGTGCTCAAAAATCACTTTCAAAAACCATTGTCTGTGAACACAGTTTATCACATAAATGAGGTTAAAACTGAGCCTGGCAAAGAGGAAACCAGATATAAACATGACCAATAAAGTTTTGTTTCCTCTGTTGCTCCCTTCTGTCATTTTTTTTCAGTGAAATCTCCCTTTCTTTGTCTTTTATCAGACATTTTATGAAGACCCTCGTTACATCCTCTTCATCCACATGGTGATCAACGACGGCGTCCAGCTCACCGTCACGGTCACACTCTTTATCCTCAGCTACATCTTCTTCAAGATCAACGTCTCCTTCTGCTGCTTCTTCATCCTGGTGGCCGTCTTCACCACCAGAAACACACCAGTCAACTTAGCTAGCATGGCCATTGAGCGCTACATCGCCATCTGTAACCCTTTGCGCCATTCTCAGATCTGCACGGTGAAGAGGACCTACATAGTCATTGGGGGTATTTGGTTCATTTCTGTGGCTCCAGATATCACTGATCTGTTTGTGACTCTGGCGACTGAGCCTCTGAGCTTCTTCCATCAGTCTGTGTTCTGTTTGCGCCAGTATGTGTTCAAAGATCCTGTCCTGGCCTACAAGAGACAGGTCTTTGACATTGTGTATTTCTCCGGTGTCTTTCTCATTCTGGTCTTCACCTACCTGAGGATCCTGTTTGCAGCCCGAGCACTCTCCACAGAGAAGATGTCCGCACAGAGAGCCAGGAACACCATCCTGCTGCACGGGGCTCAGCTGGCCATGTGCATGCTCTCCTACATCTCCCCCAGCATGGAGATTGTCCTGCACCTCATCTTCCCCGGGAGGATCTCAGAGATCAGATACGCAAACTACCTCATCGTCTACATTCTGCCACGCTTCCTGAGCCCCATCATCTATGGCGTCAGAGACAAACAGTTCAGGAAGTACCTGAAGATGTACTTGCTGAGCAGCAGGTGCTGGGGCAAACAGAGGGCAGTGACTCCTCTGCAGAAAGGAAGCATGTAACACCTTATTCAGCACAGAGGTCTGAATTAATGCATTTACTCTAAGATGGATTTTAGACCCCTCTGTAGCTTGAAGGGATATTCCGGCATAAACTTAAGTTAGGGTCAAAAACATCGTAACACCGAGTTAGACACCCGAGTTAGATGAATGTTGCCAAATGCTTGCTTCTCTCGTTATACCAACTTTAGTAACGACCACAGATAGCAATACAGAGAGCCACACGCTCAACCAAAAAGTCACTCTATAACTACAAATAATACTCAGAACAGCACCTAACTTCATCAACAGAACATACAGGGTCCCAGCCATAGTACTAGCCACCAAACATCTTTAAAACTTTGCCTGGTTTCTTTAGCAAAGAGACCAAACACAATCACCCACTCTCTCTTTCAGCAGGCACTTGTTTGTACGGAGAGTCCATCGACTGTAGCGGGGGGACGCAGCTCAAGGAAGATCATTTATGATTATTTCTTTATGGAAATGCAATCAGACCGAGATGCTAAGGCAGAGGAACTACCGCGTCTGCAGTGTTAAATGATTATTGTAGTAATGATCATAAATGTTCTTCCTTGAGCTGCGTCACCCTGCTACAGTCGATGGACTCACCCGCTGACCTGCGGGTCCCCATACAAACAAGCGGCTGCTGGAAGAGAGTAGGTGAGTTGTGTTTAGTCTCTTTGCTAAAGATATTAGGCAAAGTTAAAAAGATGTTTGGTGGCTAGTACTATGGCTGGGACCCTATATGTACTGATGATGAAGTTAGGTGCTGTTCTGAGCATTATTTGTGGCTATAGAGTGGCGTTTTGGTTGAGCGCATGGCTCTCTGTATTGCTATCTGTTGTTATTACTAAAGTTGGTGTAATTAGAGAAGCAAGCGGTCAGCTACATTTATATCTTGATGGGGCGTCTAACTCGGTGTTACGGTGTGTTTGACCCTAAATTAATTTTAGGCCGGAATATCCCTTTAATAAAACCTCTGCCTGTGTAACAAAATGTGCATCTTTATCACTGAAGGTCTTATTGCTGATATTTTAAGAAATCTGTTTGCAGAGTTTGGAGCTTCGAACTTTTAATTCTTTGTAGAGTCACAAAGCATCATGTGTATACTGCTGCCGATAAGATAAGACATTTTATTGTGAGTCCTTATCCTTATACAGTGACTTATGGGATATTTCAGTGTCCATGGCCATCAAACATGATTGTGTCTGTCAGTACATTTCCACGTTGTTCCAAAAATCAATTTAATGCATTAGTCTGACTGAGACTGGGCTTTAAGAATACACGAAAACATGGTAATCTGACTCAAATTGCACTCAATTCAACTTCTCATACTTGGACAAACATACATACACAAAGTAGTTGGGCATTGATTTTCTCTTCCATGTATAATCAGATTTACATTTGTCAAAGCGCCCTGCAAAAGCATCAGAGTTTACATATTAGGATTCAATCAGGAAGTTGAAAAGCTGAGTGGTAAAGCTAAGTAAAAGAGCAGGTAGGGGTGAAAACCGTGTTTTGAAAAAAATATATTGATATCATGTTAAGAATAAACACACTTTATTACCATGAGTTCAAAGTAATGGCCCCTTGTGCTGGTTGCCACAGAGGGGAGACAAAGAAGAAGTAGCAGGTCGCTAACTGGCTAGTTTTAGCAGCTCTCTGACAGATGATTTTGCACTTTTAAAGCTAACACTCAAGCTAGCCCTAGCTCTACAAGCTTTTGCTGAACGAGGTTATGTCTTCTCCAAACAAGTTACAGGGTAACAGGGCTGAAGATAAATCCTAAATATGACTATTACAAGAAATGAAGGATGACATGTAAGTGTATTGTATTTATTAGTGAAGTTTATAAAGTAATTTGCTGCCTCACTGCTGTTATGGCTCGATTTGACTGATTGTGTTGTTTTATTTTCAAAATATCACAATATTGTCATTATCATGACATTTTAAGGTGAAATCTTGTATTGCAACAGCCTGACACTGTAATAGTCAGTGTGTCTGCTGTACACTGTAGCACTGAAGTTAATAGGACAAATTTGGTAGGGCCATTCTGCACCTCCCTAATTCATAAAAAAAAAAAAAAAAAAAACAGGCAGTCAACCTAAATCTCTGGACTTCCTGTTGAGATTACAGGATGGATCCAAACCAAAGCCCAGACCTAAACAGTTTTTTGAACCAGGCTGTTAGCATGTTTGTTTTTACTCTAAAAACAGGCTTTTTTGGTTCTGCGTGCAGGTTTATTGTGCTTCTGCAGCCAGCCTTATGTGGACATTCAGGGAACAGTTTTCAGGCTTCATACCTCAAGACCAGAGGTTGTTTTTTTCCTGTTTTGATACTGGCAGAAGTTGTTTTCTATGTAGCTGAGGTAGCTGCTTGCGATCAGGAATGGTGTATCCTTTATTTTCAAGATGAATGGCCCTCCACTGGTCAGTTATTGACATCCGTCACCAGATAATCTCTACACTGATTGACTATTATGACACAAGTGATTTGTGAAATAAGAAATAAATAAGAAATAAATCAGGTAATCTTCTCAGGAATTGTTACTGGTGTCACTCAACATCACAGAGCTAATTATATTTTCTTCCTGACCTGGGATCCTCGGTCCCTTCATGCTCATTAACAATTCCATGACATAGCCTAGCCCATCATGACCTTTAGCCTGTCTCTATGACGACATGAGCAATAGACTGACACACACACACGCACACACGCACACACAAACACACACACACACACACACACACACACACACACACACACACACACACACACACAGAAACAGAGAGAGAGACAAACACACACACAGTTACAGATAGCCATAGGAATCCTCTTATATGAGATGCAGGCTGCTGCAGAAGCTCACTGACTCTGTCGGTGACTCTCAACAGGTGAGCTCTGTTATTAATCAGCACTTTATCATCACTGGTAACATATCTGGGTTTTGAGTCTGTTTCTTTTGATTTGATATTGGTGTTCTGAATCTGAGTTTTTCATCATATTCTGTAAAAAAAGTCAAATATTAAATATGAGAAATCATTTTTATTACAATGTTTATAGACTTAAGAAGCTGTAACAAAGACGGTTTCATGTTGTGCAAATATTTGATTTTGTGGATATTTAAGTGGAGAAATGCACTTTTAGATGTTAAAAAGTTAAATGATAATTCTTTAATTGTGATTCCACCCAAAAATGTTGCTATATTTTGTGGTGTATGCATTTTTTTTCTCCACAGGCAAAACACATTTCAGCAAATTTCTCTGATCAGCCAAATCAAGTAAGTCTAAAAATGTTTCCATGATTTGTACAGAAAAACAATCATAACGGAAAAGAAAATTGTGTGTTTGTATGTATTTAACTCTCAAATTAAAAAGTGAGTTATTGAAAAATTAAAGTGTCTGTTATGGATGTAAACGAACACGTTTCTTACATGTTTCTTAGATGTTAAGATTTTTTTTATTTAAATGCTTTATTTGACTGCCACTTTAACCTTTTGGTCAGAAGTCCTACATGGTGAAGACAATATGTGCATCTATAAAGTTTAATGCATCAAATGTAGAAAAGGACAAATGGAAAACTAAAATATTCTTATTGCAACTTTAAAAGCCCTCTACACTCCAGACTTTGTAAGACTATATTTAAAAAAACAGGCTTTATTCTTGAGTCTAATAATCTGCATGCTTACCTTCTTGTTGATCATATTTTGCATTGCACCTTTTCTTTTGTGTTTCATTGGCAGAAGTGTTTCAGTAAGTGTCTTATGAGTGTTTTGTCTTTTGTTTAAAGGAAGAAGACAACGTAAAAATGCATGCATTATTATTCAAAGTCTGTGAGAAAAGAGGCCACAAAACTAGAATACTTTAAATGCAGCTGTAAAAACACTTCATACTTGACTCTTTTATCTTTTTTAAGGTTTGAGGCTTCATGTTTGATTTACTGTGAGCCATGACCTGACTGTGTGTGAATGGAATATCTGTGGTTATAGGAGTGCACAGGTAAACCTTTCGTTTAAGTTCAACAAACTTCCATTTAGAGACTTTATTTTGCCGTATACAGTTCTCAACACTCTCATCTAGTTTGACATGGTTTCACATTGTCTCTAATTTTGAGGTTTTTCTGTATAAGATGTGGTGTTTTGTTCTTTGGCAACTTTTACATTGGTTAATATTGTTCCAGTTTACAGTCTGCAGAGGGGGAGAGACTTTTTTGATAGATTCAAATTCTCCATACAGTTTAAATCTTTTTCATTACGACACTATTTATAACTACTGATTATTACTCAGACTACTGCTACAACTGTTTTTGCTCTCACTGCTTCTACAAAAGCAGCCCATACAAGTACAACTGCAGATCTCATGCAGTTTTTAACGTAGTTATACTTTTTCAGCACATCACTACATCCCGGCGCATACTCTGCGGTCTGCGGACCTTGGGCTCCTCACTGTCCGTCATGGGTAAAGGCGATCCCTCGGTGACAGAGCCTTCAGTGTGGCCGCCCCTCCTCTCTGGAACTCTCTCCTCTCTGAGATTCACCAAGCACAGACTCTTGACTCTTTCAAGTCTGCTCTGAAGCGACACTTGTTTATCCAGGCTTTTGGTATTTAGTTATGTTTATTGTAGTGTGTCGTTAAGCGCTTTGGGTATCTTGAAAGGCGCTATACAAATGCAAGATATTATTATTATTATTATCATCTGTGCTCAATATTCAGCAGTTTTTCAATTTACAACAGCTTTCATAAGTTTTCTGCATTATTTGATTAAAAACAACAACAACAAATGCAACAAAAAAGGACCAGGTTGCTGAGCATGGTCAACATGTGCTGCAAAATTGCATGCACTGTTTTGGACTGAATGATTTGGTCTCAGGACTCTTGAAAAGACTCTACAAACCTCTAACATGATGAGTTTCTCTCTGCCCAGTGTTTTTTCTTTGTAATTCTATCTGTTGCTTGTATGATGCTTATGATGTACTGCGAGTTGGAAAACAAGAGAATGATGAAAATATCTCTGATCATCGGTCATTGCAACTCCTTTGACAGTAGATTTAAAAATAGTCACAGCCATTTATGCAACTTTTCAAAGTCACTCTCATGTCCTGAAATTGAGTCACCAAATTCATTAACCTGGCATATGTGCCTTGACTTGCAGCAGGATTTTGATTCAACAAAAAACAATAAAATAAGTGTTTTTCTGAAAATAATCAGGTTTTATTTGCATGTTTCCTCAAAAGGAGATGTCTGTGATGTTGAACTCAACCCCATCTGGCCCTCTGGACCTGCTAATCAGTAACAGCAGTTCCACGCTGACAGGGGGCACCGTGGTGGTCAAAGACAGCTTCACTAACGCTCTGACTAAAAACATCGTGGCCATGCTAGTGTGGCTGACTCTCAGCATCATCAACAGCAGCATGGTGCACACCTTCCTCAGACACAGGTACGCACACACACCGATCTTTCATTGTCCCACTAGAACAAGCTTTTATTTTGGGCTAAAGAGGGGCTGAGAATTTGATTGTAGTTTTATTAATTTGGATACTTTTGTGTAATTATGATAAGTTTTTAATATCCTATGAACTGATGGTGTTGCACGTGACATTAAAGGGATATTCTGGCGTAAATTTAATTCATGGTCAAACACACCGTAACACCAAGTTAGACACCCCCCCAGGAGATGAATCTTGCCAACCGCTTGCTTCTTAAGTTACACCAACCTTAACAAGGACTGCACAATAGCAATACACAGTGATCTATGGAGCCACAGGCAAACCTAAACCAAAAAAGGTAGTACTAGCCACCAAACATCTTTTTAGCTTTGCCTAGTTTCTTTAGCAAAGAGACTAAACACAACTCATCCACTCTCCTCCAGCAGCCGCTTGTTTGTGAGGGAGCCCTGACAAGTCGATCACCAAGTGCACCAGAGTTCTGAAGCTCAAGGAAGAAAATTTATGATTATTACATCATGGAAATACAATCATTTCCGTGAAGTAATAATCATCATAATAACCATTTTGCACTGCAGACAAGGTAGTTCTTTTGCCTAAGCATCTCGGTCTGATTGCATTTCCATTTCATTCCGTTATTTGTGGCTATAGAATGGCTTTTTGGTTGCGGTTTGCACATGGTGTGTTTGACCATGACTTAAATTTATGCTGGAATATCCCTTTAAAACTGGTTGTCTCCGACCTCAGCCTGTTTTATGAAAACCCTCGGTACATCATGTTCATCTGTATGGTGATCAACGATGCCCTCCAGCTCAGTCTGGTGACGGCTCTCTACGTGGTCAGCTACATCTTCAGGAAGATCCATGCCTCTGTCTGCTGCTTCCTGGTGAGTCTGTCTACTCTGTTCACACTGGGGTGTGTTTAAATGCCCCACTCTTGATTATTAACATCCTGTTAAACTGAAACAACTAGATGAATCATTTTAAGTGAATCCACCTCTATGTGCCGTAGATCATGACGGCCGTCCTCACCACTCGTTCCACCCCTCTCATCCTGGCCGGCATGGCATTGGAGCGCTACCTATCTATATGCTTCCCCTTACACTACAGCCAGATGTGCACTGTCCCCCGCACCTTCCTCCTCATTGGGGTCATCTACATCCTCACCTTCACCCCTCCTCTCACAGACCTCCTTATCACCATTGTCTACGAGCCCCGCAGCGTCTCCCACAGAACCATCTTCTGTGACCATCCCTTCCTCTTCCGCCATCGCTCCATCTATTACAAGAACTGTGTGTTTGATGGCGTCTACCTGTCTTTTGTCGCCCTCACACTGCTCTACACCTACTGCAAGATCATGCTGACTGCACGAGCCGCCTCCACGGGGCTGGCGTCAGTCAACAGAGCCAGGAACACTGTGCTGTTGCATGGGGTGCAGGTGGGTATGTCTGCAAGCACACAGTAAGAGGTTTGTTTCAGGAAGGACAGTAAACACCTTCCATCCCTATAGTGACGATACATACATTTACATTGGAGAGTCTACAGATCCCTGCGACTCTACCGAAAGGCCAGTCAGCAGTGAAATGTCGTCATATTGCCACTTTCCAGTCCCGCTACCTTCCTGCCTTGTATATGTACAGTAAACCCTGGCGACTCAGTCTAAATGTAAAATGTTTAAGTTGAAGCAAATAAATATTGTACAGCAGCTAATGCTGCAAGTATTGTGAGTTAAGAGGAGAGATGGTGGAGGACAGGGAAGTTGTCAAGATGGAAATGTCCACCACCAAGCAGAGCAACCCTCCTAGACTTCTGCATAGTGTAATGATTTTCTATGAACTGTTTTTGTAGTTCATAGAAAATTTATAACTTCAAGTTAATGCAGCAGCATTTTTTTTCCGGTGCCTCTGCAGACAGCCTCAAGTGGACACTCAAGAAACTGCAGTTTTTCACTTAAAAAAAAATACTGAACTATCCTTTTAGTGAGATTTGTCTCTGTCTCTGTTCTAGTTGCTGCTCTGCATGCTGGCCTTTGTAGTTCCCTCCCTGCAGGCCGCTCTCATCTCTCTCTTCCCTCGCTTCAGTCTGGAGATCCGTTACATCTTCTTCCTAGTCGTCTACATCATCCCTCGCTTCCTCAGTCCTGTCATTTACGGTTTCAGAGACGAGCTGTTCAGGAAGTACTGGACTCGATACCTGCTCTGTGGGAGCAGGTTGGCCATTAGGGTCCGGCCGATGTTACAGAAAGTCAACCTCTAACACTCAGTTCAGTCTGGTGTGTTTATTTAAGATGAATGTACATCTGTATGGTGAGCACATGACCCATGGATCCATGGTGAAATATGATAGAACTAAACACATGATGGTTTCAAAACAAAGTGCAAATGTCATGTCCATTTGTGTTTGTTAAGTATTTAATCCCCCCCCCCCCCCCATTTTTTAAATATAAAAATGTTTTTCAAAGCTTGTGAATATATACTCTTATAACTCTAATGCATCTTTTTACCACTATAGCATAGATTCTTGATAAAAAATAAAAAAAAAGTTATTTGAAAAATGATATCATTTATTTTTTATTCTGCAGAATGTATTTAGGTGATTTAAACCACCACTAGATTAATGGGTGTGGGAGAGACCTCATTTTGAGGTAAGCCAAAATATTATAAGGGCCGTTTTTCAATTTGTGTCTCCTGCTACTATATATTCTAGTTTCTTTTTAGAAATGAAAATTGAAAACCAAAGCGTTATTTGACAGATGACAAAAATAAAAAATCAACCTGTATTTAAATTTTGGTGTTTCTGTTAAATAAATTTTTGATAGCTGTTTCCAAATTACCTAAAGAGACTTTATGGTTTAAGCACAGTGAAAAACGGACTTAAATATATGTTTTATATATGTTTTTGAATATATGCATTTAGAAATGTCAGACATCCTTGAAAATATCAAAAATTAAGCCAAAAATATACATAATATCTGTTTTTGTACATATGATACTTAAAATCCTCCGTATTTAGACGAAGCGAACATTTCCATTTTTGAGTAAGTCCTTCTAACTTCTTAAAAGAGTTACCAGAATTGTTTTAACATCACTGTGTATATCTGGGGGAGGGTGTGTTAAGCCAAGAGAAAAATATACCGCTCCACTTCAGGACACTTAGAGTTAGTAAATTTGAACAAATTTTTCTGTGTCAGAGGTCCAACTTGTTGCAAAATATTTAAAGATCTAGTGAGGAGTTTTTGAATGTTCACAAAATACATATAAATGCCTTTTTATTGTAAACTTAAGCAAACATACTGGAATTATAATTAATACTGAAAATAGGGGTGAAGGGGTTAGAGAAACAGTCCCTTTTCTTAGATGGTTATTTTAAAGCTCCTTTTAGAGTTGTTGTTGTTGTTGTTGTTGTTGTTGTTGTTGTCTTTTTTTTTTTTTGTTACATTTGTGAAGCAGACTGAAATTCATATTGATACTTTTCAACATAAACAAAAGCAGATGAGACTGTTTTCAATGCCTTAAACTGCTGTGAGGGGAAGGTGTCAGCTAATCATCCCTGTTTTTACCAATTATGAAGAGATATTTTAGCCTTTGTGAAAAAATTTAACATTTTTACATTCAGAATATTTTAAAAGGACACTTTTCAGTGTATCCTACTTGCTGGTAAGGTGATGGTGGCCTTTGAATGCAAATAGCTGCAAAGTGATGCATGTAAAACCCTGAAACAGGCAAACCTTATAAATTATTTGAAAAGCAATTTGCAACTTGCAATATTGCTATGTAAATTAAGTATAAAAGAGGATAGGAGGCCTGTGTTTTCTCCCTGAGATGCAATAACTAGACTTTGGCCACTAGATAGCGCTATTGTCTAATTGCAGACTCAGTGCAGGCCTCTTCAGACCCACTGCACCCCTGAGCTGCAGCTGCACACCAGAGTTGAATAAACTAACAGATGAATTATTCTTTGCAAGTGATATGAATATTTTTTTTTCTTGCTGAGAAGTTAAAAAAAGATTTGTACAAGTTATTTGGATGACAAAGCCCGTTCATGAGATGTACTGTGTCTTTGTGGATATCAGAGTAATATCGCGGTAATAAGAAATGAATAAAACAAATATGAGCTCATTAAATAACACGAGAGATTTCAGTGAAGTCAATGAACAACAGCACACACAAACACACACTCACGATCCCAGCAGTATAATAGAAACGATATTACAGTGACTCTTCAGTAAAATAGGTGAACATGTCAGACTAAGTCATAATGTACCATATAAAATAAAGACCTAAAAATGATCATAACAAATGATCATGTTTCCATCTAACCAGTGAAGGCCTGAAAACTTGTCGTTAAAACAAGTATTAAAGCAGCAAAAGCGTGTTGTTGGTGAGCTTTGAGTCTTCTCTTCCGGAAAGTGCCGGAAAAAGCCGAAGTCGTCCTCGGAGAGCAAACGGACCGTCAGAGGTTCAGATGAAAGAATCCTCCGAGTCTTCGGCGGACTCTGTCTCCTTGTCTCATCAGTCTACCGTTCCCCATGGAGGGGAGGTTTTCCTGGGAAGTTTTTAAACAGAAAAAAGGTTTTTCTTGTTGTTTTTTTTCAATGAAAGAAGATTATCCTTCGATAGTTTTGCGATTCCCAGAGGTAGAAGTTAGAAGTTGTGAACGCATCATGGGGTGAGTCAACGTCTGGAGAGGACAGGATGCTGATCCGGTGATGAAGGAGTAACGTGACCAAACTTGAAGGTACATCTCAAATTTGACATATGTGCTAATTTTCACCTCTAAATCATTCGTCAGTTTTCTTATTATTTTATTTTATTTTATTTCTATTATTTTTTTTAAATGTATACTTATATTAGACATCCTGTGAAGTTTGACTGCTGTTTTAGCTACACAGATTGAGGCTATGTGGTTGTATAAACTTGTAGTTTGTTGTTAAAGGTGTGTGTTTGTTTTTTTTTTAACTGCTGAGATTGAAGCTCCTGCTCTTCATGTGCTGAATTATAGATCAACTTTCTGTGTGTGTGTGTGTGTGTGTGTGTGCAGCATGGCAGCTCCCCTGAGAGCTCAGCGGGCTCTTACATGTAATTATAGACACACACAGACACATTGTCCTACTACTGCTCACTCTATTAATACTGCTTTAGTGTGTTTCAAATGTAAAAGGAACCAACTGCTTAGAAATTACAATATTTCCTATTTAGTTAATGATATGTCCTCATATAACTTCAAGTATCAATGTGCAGCAGCTGACCACAGCAACCTTTTTATTGAGCTGTACCAATGCTAATGGGCTAAACTTTTTCTGCACAGTCAACTGTTATTATTTAAATGGAACTGTAATTCACAAAGTGAAGATCATATTGAAAAATACCTGAAGTGATAATCTCAGTATGTAAATGTTTTTTCTATGGTAGAAGAGACCAGGGTCATTTACACATTTTTTCATATTTTCCATCATAACTCACAGATTACTTGAAATACACTTGTCATCTTTTCATATAAGAAACATGTGAATGCTCACTAATTATTTATTAACTTAACTTATTAAGACCTTACTGTTTTGTCCAGTGTAGAGAATAAAGTCACAGTGGTGTTGTATTTAGGTGCAATCCTAACAATGAAGAAATGTGTTGTAGTAACCCACTGTACTGAGTACATCGCACATTTGGAAGGAAACAGGTTCAATATTTAATATCTCATTATGTTACTGAAGTTAATATTTTGATTTTATTATTTAAGTATCTTATAAATTCAAGAAAAAGTAGACTACATCTATTTTTGCATTATACTGGGCACTTGTTTAGGTTTTGATTAGATTTTAATATATGCAATACAATCAAAGTTGTTTTTAGTGAAACAAATAGATGAGTCAAGAATAATCTTAAACCAAATATGTATGGGCAGGTGGAGAAAAGACAGCTTTAAAAAAATAGTTTTTTAAAAATGAAATCTGACATTGAATTTATTGAGTATTGTCACCAAAACAAAGCTAAAGCTCTCAGAGTGAAGAGAAGAAGATGCATCGTCATTTTCAGTAGCACTACAGGTGACTTTGTTAAACATATTTATCAGTCACTTTGATGGACAGATGGACGGGCTTTGGTAAAATTAAAAAAGGAAGGCTAAACATTTATCTTCCACTGAATGTGTTTTCTAAGAATTCAAAGTTTTGAAGTTTTTTAAGAGGTTAGGAGTTGTGTATATGTGTGTGATGCAGATGTCAAATCAACTGTGATCTCAATGTCAACCAGAATAATCATGATTATGCCATAACCATTATTTTTGCCATGAGAGATGCACAAGTACAAGATTAACAATTAACACATGATAACACCGAGAACACACTCATGCAATACTGAGTATCGTCAGAATAAGAGGAGCAGCGACATCTATTTTTATGTCAAACTGTGTTTCAACAACAGTTGAACTTTTTTCCTTGCACTCCAGGTGCGTTGAAAAAATTGTCTTTGCTCATTGTTATATTTCATGGCAAAGCAGTTTCGTTCCCACACAGGTGACCTTAATGTCTGTTGGGATCTTCTAGTTCTTGCTTGTCATGTGGCGTGCCCGCTGCCATGACAGGAAAAGTATGTTCATTGTGTGGTCTGCCTCCATCTTGGGGTCGTGTGGGAACTCAGATTTCTTATACTTTTCATTTTGAATGCTCTCAACCGGTACAAATAATAAGGGTTAAATAATATTTTAATTCTCAGTGATAAAACTGTTACAATCACCTTCAACCTGGCAGACAGATAAGAATATAGTTTATGTATTTAGTTACTTATTAAAGATGAATACGGTTACTTTGGTGCTGATGATAGGCAAGGTGCTGATCTGCAACACCACTCTGTGATAAATTAGCACATCTTTAGCATGATAATATTTTTACTCATAGCCTGGAGATTAAATATGAAATGACAGAAGTAAAAGACTACACAACCAAAGAAAAATCTACTTTTACACCTCATAACTTCTTTTTTGTGTGTGTGTGTGAAACTTCTACTGTAGTGAAGTGATGCTGTTCTATTGAAGCAGCAGAAGGAGAATCGAACTGAGCAGGTGCAGACTCAGTAATATTTCTTAAATTTCTTTCTTGTTTTATTGTGTTACATTTGAGTGTGGTGTCCCCTAATAGATTAACTTAAAAGCAGAGTGACGTCTTTATTTCTGGCTGTTCCAGCTAACTCTACTCAAAGTAAATTACTCTGCATGAACAGTTTTTTTTTTCTTTCTGTCTGTTAAAATAAAGTTAGTCCTGCTGCAGACAGACACTCCCCCTGATTACTGCTGTCTCTCTGCAAAGCATGAGTGAGCATCTTTATGAGCTGTGCAGATAAAATTGCACACGATGGTATTTTACAATCTGTCTGGACTCAGATAATAAATTGAAGATTAGATGAAACCCTGGACTAATAACAGTGTCTGCTCATTAAGTTTTTTTGTTAGGATTAAACAAATAAAGGTCACTGACCTCAGCGTAAAGATGCCTTAAACAGCATCTACAGTTACCTGAGTTCATGGGCAGTGGTTAGAGGCTTATGAAGACAGTCAGGACACCATTAAACTTTCATTCTGTTCTCACACAAACTTTGTATTTTCTCAAAAAGAGCCATCATGTTGTTATGGGCAGGACTATCTATGAATACTTTCATGCCTCATCAAATATTAGTGAAGCTCCCTAGGAAAAGGTGGTCTTAATGTGCAATGTTTACATCAGCTCCTGAGCTTCTCCTCCTACTCCTCTTTTATTGGTGCATTAAACGTCTTATGGTGCAAATAACAAAGATATTCTCCAGTGATTTTCTTTATGACTTTCTGTAACTTTTACTTTTTGGCTGGTAAAACAGATTCACTGCATCATTGGGGTGTGTAGGTGCTCAACATCACAGTCATGATATTTACAATGAAATGTTAAAAAACTCCTATTTCTCAGGAGAGTTGATCCTATGGATGCTTTTTTACTATCTATTTATGAATTGAATCAATGAATAATTGAGAACAAATGCAGCAAGCACAGTAATCTCTGTTAGCCATTTCCTTCTGCATTTCAGGGTGCCCTGTCTACAGTAGAGATAAACCAAACGATCTGCTGGGTCAATTAATGGCAAATGTTGATATCTGGGCTTATGAATGTAAAAATGAACAAACGCTCTCCGCAGGGATCGGTCGACCTCTATCCCTATCAATACCAAATTTAACACTTAAAACAACTTCAAATGCTAAAGTTAGTACTAGTGGTCGATCAAGATCATTCGATTTCAATATACGATGCTGATCACAGTGTTGTATTTTTCCATTTGGTAAAATACAATAATAAAATAAGAATAAGAAATGAGAAATAAAATTATTATTATTATTATTATTATTATTATTATTATTATTATTATTATTATTATTATTATTGGTAGTGGTAGTAGTAGTAGTAATAGTTGTTGTTGTTGTTGTATTGTTATTATTACTATTATGATTCTGAGAAGAAAATGCCGACAGGAAAGAAGAAAGTATTCCTCTTGGGTTATCTTACATTTAGGACTCCCTTACCTAGCCAGAAGTGTTTTTCAAAGTAGCTGCTCCATGACCACCTAACCTCCTGGAGTTGGGATGTGTTTATTTGACCATTGTATAGTATGGATTAAGGTGTGGGTCTAATAGAAATAAGTGTGCACAATAACTAAAATCTTTACCCCAACTTTACTGAGACTTGTTCTGGTAAACCCCATCATTAAATTTCCATGTGAGGTCAGAGAGAGCTGGTTATAACAAACCAACAATGGTGAAGCTAATGCAAAGAAAGCTTCCTGCAGGCTGTCGTAACACACACCCTTCTTAAAATACACGAAGCTCTACTACTTTGTATGTGTTGTTGACAGTTTTCTCTGACAGTTTATGCAACTTGCTGACTACTTTAAGGTGTAGATGACTCCCTTTGTGCGTCTGTACAAACCCCCCAGTTCGTGCAGAAAAGTACCTCAAAATAACTTTAAAACTGAGAATTTTCTTTAACTTTCTGTGGTTTAAAAACTACTAAACCTGGTATTATGGATGCTAACATGCTTCCCACATACACACCCACTGCTCTCCTCCATGAGGATAGATTTTACTTCCACACTTGGCTGTTTGCTCCTCATGTGTCCATAAATCAGTGATGTGAGGAGAGAAAGCAGATTACATCTCAGCAGTGAAGGAAGAGAGAGAGAAAGTGAGAGAGAGAGAGGAAGATTCAGACACTAAAAACACATTAACTCCACATTACTGAACACCTGAGTGAGATTCCTCTAACCATTATCTTCACTCTGCAATTAGAGACTGTATGTATGTCATCACATTACCTTAGGCTGGGCACTTAGTAATAAACTATAATGGACTGATAACCTCAGGTGTGTTAGAGTGAGCTCTCTGTGTGCAGAACATGTTATAAAGAAGCAGCTGATGTGATTCCTTTGCTATTAGGAGGGATCAGTTCCAGCTGAGGTGGTCCGTAGTGCTAAAAAATTGTTCTTAAATTGAGTTACATCACTTAAGTCTCCTGTGAGGAGTTTTTAACTGGTTATGGGATTACTTGAATTAATTGTGACACCTCTTTGTGAGCAAGAAAATTAACCATCAGAGAGAAAAGGGATTCTTTTGAGATAGTGGAGATGCTCTCTGCTGTCGAAAGCCAAAGGCTAACTCAGAACGTTTACATGCACTTAAAAAATCGATTCACTGCAATAGTCTGAGTGAAACTGGAGTTTGAAAATGCAGGTACACATGTTAGTCTGACTAGACTGACATACTTAGATAATGCAGTCAGAGATTAATTTTCTCTGTCATTTTGTCTAAACTGGCCTAAACGTTCTGCATATGCTGTAGGGCTGCACGATATATCGTTTGAGCATCGTCATCGCGATGTATGTGTGTGTGATAGTGACATTGCAGAGCCTGCGACCTGGGCTGAATTATGCTTCCTGGCACTGATATTAACGTTATACTGTACAAAAATATGATATTTTAAGCAACAGTGGGAACACTGAAGGTGAAAGAGAGCAGCAACCAACTTCTCATGAAACTTTAAGTGTTTAGTAATCTTTGCACAGTTGAAGAGGTTGATGTGATCCTTATTTATTCGTTTGTGGAGTGGTTTTATTTTAAAGTCTGGGGGTGTTTGTATGAGAGGACAGTCAGTGAGCATGAGTGGGAGTCAGATTCTGTTTTGGCTGCACCTTTGTGATTTTTATTTTTCAAGTAGATCACATGAGGATACATTTCTAACAACCATGATTAATATTGATGAGGGAGAAGTGCTGATTCTAGTCTGCAGGAGAAAACCCCTCTGATAAATGTAGTAAAGATCTAGATGATACAGAGTGATAGATCATATTTCCGAGGGGGGCATCATCTTGTGAAGGGAAACTCCAGGATTGTTTATCATGAATTTTTGTGGTGTTGCAGGTCATCAGACCTATAAACCTGGATAATCTGATAAACTTTGGTCGTAGTACAGCCAGCCTATCAATGAGCAGAAACAAAGACAATAGATGAGAAATCGGGAGAGAAATCACCTCATATTTTTGGTTAAGATACATATATATTTGGTAGTTAGTCAGCTGACATCAGAAGTTCTGATTCAGAACACAGTTAACTTTCAACATTCAGCCACTTTTTTTTTTTTAAACAGAGACATAAAAAAACAAACAAAAAAAAACACCGGAATACATCTAATGGAAAAAGAGGAACATTTGCATAAGCACAGTGTTTTTTTTTTTTTTTGCAGATATTTTGAAAGTACTCACTTTTATGTCGGTGTCTGTTTCTGCATTACAATAGCTCTTCAGCGACAATGACACGATCATTCTTCTGAAAGTAGCAGTATTACGGGTCACAGTTTAAACCAAAACACCAGAGGTCTTACCCTTAATCATTATGAGCCTCCGTCTGGGACTGAGATGAGAAATCTTACTTGTGTACCTGCTAATGATGTCCAATGTCGATCGTCAGACACTGTGCGGTTGTGTAGCCCATATACCATATTGTTGGGTAGCTAACATGATGTGAAATTTGACAAAAGAATAAATAGTAACACTTCAAAGATGGCATGTACTAATAAAATCATACGTCTGTGCAAAGGTTTCTCATTTACCATCAAAGTATGATTTTTATTAATTAGGACACGGCTGAATGTTTAATGTTTGAAAATCTGACTCAGACTGTCCAGTTATCTCTGTTTTTAGTCTATGTGGCTGCTTATCAATCAGTGTGCTTGGAAATGACCACAATAAACATAACTTCCCAGGTTTATGGGACTTGCATCCTGGAACACCGTAATACACAGTCATGATATACGAGTTTCTCACCCTTGGTGTGACGTCACATTAAGATAAAAATGTGGTCTATCACTTGGCTTTACTTGACTTAACTGCATCCTTGGGTCTGTTTGGTCAGAAAACAATAACAACTTTTATTATCTCTGAATGTCAAGAGAGACGCAAGGACAAAGAGATCAAACATAAATCAATTTGCAAAAAGGAGTTTCATGTCACCTCTGCCAGTTGACACTGAGCCAAAAACTTTATTTTCTGCTCATAAAAAAAAGAGGATATTTGTAATTTTTTTCTTACTTTATTTGAAAGCACAAAACTTTAGACTTAGGACTGAGCAGAAGAGAAATGAAAGCAGAGAAGGAGCTGAGTGAAAGAGACATTAACCAAATCAAAGAGAAACAAACACAAAGGTTCCCACAAACTGCAGCTTTGTTGGTGTAACAGGATTGGTCGAATGAAAACAAAATGCTAACAGCAGGATAAAGAGGACCTCATACAGCTGCTAATGTTAATTTCTATATCTTTTTTAACTTCACCACCAATGGAAACATTCAATTTATTGTTGCAATTGAGGTATTTCCTACTGTCTAATTAGGGCTGCGTGATTTTGGCCAAAAATACAACCCCGATTTTTTTTCTCTAAAAACTCCATTTTCGATTTTTTATTCAGTGACAACTTCACCAAACTTCACTTCAATAATAAGTTCCTCTATCATCTCTCAAAACAAAAACACTGAAATGATGTTGTGCATATGCCAAGACAGTGAGTGACGGCAGCTGTAACGCTGCCGAGGAAATGCACAAAAGACAGAAGAAGAGTACAGAGTATGCGTATAAAGGTTGTTTTGGCCGGACACGTGCAGGCGCCATAAAAGAGTTACACTATGTGTTGCATAGTAGTTTCGAGAGATGCCGATAGACATCCACACAGAGATGAAACGGTAGTCATCTACTGATTTATGCACTCTCTGACCCATTTTCAAAAAGTACCATTTACAGTCACCCGAAACACCGTTTCTGTGTGGATAAAATGCCGATAAGACAAAAAACCTTGCTTCCATGTGGACAGGTTAAAACTGTCTTCAGACGGACTTTGCAGCAGGGAGTGGTTTCCGAAACTGCAAAGCCGTACCAATTCCACACGACAGACTTGCTCCTGCCCCTTTAACCCATGAAATTATCGCCTTCTTTTGCAAACGCCATGTTTGTTTACACTGGTGTGTGTCAGAACTGAGGAGCGCTCCTACAGCAAGGGGGAGCCTACGGTGGCCTGGAGATGCGAGACACAAGAGAGAGGAAAATCAATCTGACAATTTTAACATTGCAACAATCTAATAATTTGATTACGATTTAAAATCAATTAATCATGTAGCCCTATGTCAAATGTGAGGGACCGATTTGTTCAGCTGTTTAAATCAATCATATTGAATTTTAGGAAATCATCTTTGAATCTGTCCATACCTAGCATCAGTTTTTTGTTTGTATCTTATATTAGCCAGGTAGTATGCAAAGATAATTTCATGTATATTGAGTGGGTGGTGATGCAGAACAGGAATCCTGCAGGGTGAGACAGTACCTCTCCACTCTCCATTAAAGTTTGGTCTCGGCCTTCGGGGATTCAAATTTTCCTGACTCACATACACACAAAGAAACTTTCAGGCTTTTTTAGTATTCACTCTGCAAAGATGTAAAATCAGTAAAAGCATTTTGGCTCCAAACCAGTGAACACTGACATTAAGTCATCTGGAACATCAGATCAGTGTCTGTCTGGTCTTTAAGTGCATTCAGCAGAGTGGATGACATTATGATGACTTCATCACAAAAAAAAATTCAAATATTTGGATCAGAAAATAAAAAATGATGCCTCTGCACATCTGAAAGGCTCCTCTTTGGAGCTTTTAGGTGATTGCTGACTCAGCATGAGATCAAAAGAAAGTGCAAGAGAGGAAAAATGATTGTTATGAAAAGTATTGAATCCAAACCAAACTGTGTGTTCAAGGTCAAGCACTTGTGCAAAGCATCTTGGCAAGCAGTCAAAGTGTGGTCAATTATACCCAGTCAGCATCTTAAAGTCCAGAGACTAGGTCACATAAATGGAAAATGAACCGGTGCCCTCATTATTGTCCACAGGTGTTGGTCTTTAAATGAGCTGTGGTCAGGCACAAAGGTGGTGTGTTGTCTATTTTGAAGGATGTGGAAAGCATCTGCTCCACAGACTGACTAAAACCTGGTCTCAAACAAACCAAAACAACCAGAATTGTGAAACCCTGTCCACACGTTCCTGCTGATTTAAAGGGACCTAATAACTGCTTAATGACTCCTGTAATCCATGATCAACTCCTTTGTTTTCCTGTTGTTGAGCACTAGTTTATTCTTCATGCACCACACCAGAGACAAGTCCCAGGGCAGTGGAGTCATCAACACCAACAGCATGATGATGCTGTTGCTGGATGGGGATGCAGTCATGTGTGTAGAGGGTGTAGAGTAGGGGGCTCAGCAGACAGCACTGTAGAGAGCCTGAGAGCAGAGGAAATGTAAGAGCCCACCCTCACCCACTGAGAGTGAAGTCCTTTATCCAGAGACGGATGGAGAAGGTAATTGTAGGTCTTACGGTTTGGTCACCAGTCTGTGGGGGAGGTTGGTGTTGAATGCCTCCACCTTTCTGTCCCCTCTGCCCGACTCAGCACCATGGGGAGCAGGGCTTTCAGTCGCTCTGCTCCCAAACTCTGGAACTCTCTCCCCCCGGATCTCAGAAACATGGACTCACTACCCCACTTCAAATCAAAACTCAAAACACATCTGTTCCAAATTGCATATTCCCTTTAACTGTCCATTTCCATACCTGTATATTGTTTTTATTTATTTTAACTGTGTTTTAACTGTGTCTTAATGCCTGTACAGTGTCCTTGGGTGTCCAGAAAGGCGCTTTTAAATAAAATGTATTATTATTATTATTATAATATTATTGTATATAATTATTATTATTAAAGTCTACAAAGAGCAGCCAAGCGTAGTTTCTCAGCTGCTCTCGGTGTGTCAGGGCAGTGTGGAGAGTTGTGATGATGGTGTCCTCTGTGGACCTGTTCCCCTTGTAAACAAACTGGTGAGTGTCAAACCAGGGTGGGAGGCTTAAGATGATGAGTCCAAACCAATTTTCCAAAGCACCTCCATCTGCTGTAAGACTAATAACACGAGACATCAAGAAAGGAAGGAAACAAAGAGCTGATTACCTCTGTGTAATTCGGGAATAATCATGTCCAATGATAATGTCCACCAATAACACTGTGCAATAACAACAGTGTGCAATAATAATGATCAGCGAAACAATGCAGTAATGTTTTGTGCGGTGACAGCTGTGTAAGATCTCCAAGAAACAAATATAAAGATTTCATGATAAGAGCAAATTACTTTAATGAAGTTTCTCTTTGTAAGAAAGTGTGTATGCCTTGTATCTTTTCTCCTACCATGCCTTTGCATTGTTTTGTTTTCATAGACCTGACTAGAGATACCACACAAAAATACCATCCTGTACACATGCAATGGAAACAAACCTCTCCTCTAGTCTAGTCTAATCGATTGTGCACATTGCAAAGTTCAGTCTTCTGACAGTCAAGAGATATCCACAGGTTAAAGACTACACAGTATCCATTACATACACAGTACAGAGTACAGATGTGTGACCCTGCAGCAAAAATAAATTCATGCAGATTAACAGCATACCTTTCTTAGATGTTAAAGGGATATTCCGACGTAAAATTAAGTTTGGGTCAAACACACTTTAACACCGAGTTAGACACCCCGTCGAGAGATGGATATTGCTGACCGCTTGCTTCTCTAGTTATATCAACTTAAGTGAGTAAGGAGACTAAACACAACTCACCTACTTTCTTCCAGCAGCCGCTTGTTTGTACGGAGACCTCCGGGCAAGTCCATCGACTGCAGCGGGGTGACGCAGCTCAAGGAAGAACATTTATCATCACTTTATCATTTCCTTGAAGTAATAATTATCATAATAATCATTTGGCACTGCAGACGTGGTAGTTCTTATGCCTTAGAGCTGCAAAACTCCGCTGCAGTAATGGACTCGTCTGAGGTCTCCGTACAAACAAGTGGCTGCTGGAAGAAAGTAGGTGAGTTGTGTTTGTTCTCTTTGCTAAAGAAATTAGGCAAAGTTATAAAGATGTTTGGTGGCTAGTGCTATGGTTGGGACCCTATATGTACTGTTGAGGAAGTTAGGTGCTGTTCTGAGCATTATTTGTGGCTATAGAGTGGCGTTTTGGTTGAGTATGTATCTCTCTGTGTATTGCTATCTACGGTTGTTACCAAAGTTGGTATAACTAGAAAAGCAAGCGGTTGGCAACTTGACGGTGTGTCTAACTCAGTGTTATGGTGTGTTTGACCCTAACTTAATTTTACGCTGGAATATCCCTTTTAGTGCAGAGACGTTGGTATCGTTACATCCTGTCTGACACTGTTGTTTCGTCTTGAATACGTGTCCATGTCCCTGTTGATGTATGAAGATTATTGTAGTAGATTTAACATCAGACCATGACGGTGGACCATGGCATGACTTTTAAAGTGACTTTGTGTTTTTGGTGTTTTAAGGGACGCAGTGGAAGAATGAAAGTTAAAGAAGTAAAGTTCTGTCTGTTCAAGTAAAATGGCCGAGGCACCTGCCTGCAGGCACATCAGAAGCAGACATGCTTAATGGTTTTGAAACTCAGTTTTGAATAATTAAACTTCTTTGCACCCCGCACCTCACTTAGAGCACAGATGGTTTTGCACAGACATTTTGCTTAACAAGCACTGTGCCCTTTAGACCCTTTAGTTTTTTTCAGCTAGTTCAAATAAGACCCAAAACCTGTTGAACAAGGATGAGGTCAGAGTCTGACTAAATTATTATAATGTACAAAATCAATAGTTTAAAAAATACTTGATGGTCCCTCTGAGGTAAAGACTATTTAAGGACTGTATGACACATCTCCATCTTTAGCTAGCCTCATCTCTTCTGTGTTTCCTCCAGGTAATCATGGTTAAGGAAAGTCTGCCTGATTGGGTCCAGCAGGACTCTGAGGATGGTCTGGTCCACGTAAATGTCGGTGGTCTGAAGAGGAGTCTCTGCTCCAGCACGCTGAAGAAGTTTCCTGACACCAGACTGGGAAAACTGTTGGCCTGTGACTCTGAGGAAGACATCCTGCAGGTTGGTCAGCTGGTGGAAATGTCAAAAACCTGGATCAAGATGTCAAATTGATATAATTTTTTTGAAAGCGTCTACTTTTCAGAAGAAGATGTCGGTCAGTCATTTGTCTTCTGATACCACGGACACTGAAATCCTCTTTGTCTTTGTTATGTGTAAATAACTTCCTCCTCTCCTCTCTGGCTCCATCCTGCAGGTGTGTGATGACTATGATGTGCAGCAGAAGGAGTTTTATTTTGATAGGAACCCCGGTTTGTTCCCTTACGTCCTCCATTTTTACCAGACGGGTAAACTCCACATCATGGAGGAGTTGTGTGTCTTCTCCTTCAGGTCTGTCCTTCCTTCTCATGATGTGAATGATTTTTATTGTTGCATGAAGCCTGAGTACAGCTACAGCACACGCTCTCTTCTTTCTGCTCTGAATGTACAGCTGCAAACTGAAACCACAGCTGCAGCTCAGTGATAGGGGCTACATATTCACTGACATGTCCCATCCAGTCAAACTGGACAGTAATCATACACGTTACTGCACACCTGCACAACTCCTCTGGTGTATTTTTCATCGCAATATTTCGCTGTATCTTTATTGTTAATTTCTGTTTTCTGGACAGTAGGAGCACAGATGTTTCCTTGCCATCTCTTTTTGCTCAACTTTGCTGCTTGTTGTTTCTGCAACAAAAACACAAAAGCGAATTTCTCCCATGTGTAGACCGACTTATGAATAAACCAACATCTGTTTTCTCTGGTGTAGAGGCATTAGTGTGAACAGTGCATTGCAAAAAGTTGCAAATACAAAGACTTTGTAGTAAGGCTTTGGTCTGAAACATAGGCTGTATGAAACAGGGACGTTGTCTAACCTGAAATGTAACCCTGTATTATGCTGAGAGATAGGTGCAGCCTTCAGACATCAGCCTGCAACAAACAGCCACAGTGACTTCACCTGCAGATCAAGTCAGCCACAAACTGGTAGCCTTGATCTCAAAAAAGGAAGATTTGTATAAAGTTCCCCTCCGTGCAGTGTTTGCAAAATGAACACCTTGAACAGTTTTCAACCCTGTCTCGATTATGTATATTGATGCTGTAAAATAGGCCATTATCACAGCGTCTGTGTTGGAGCTAGTTTCTAGTGGATACTCCAGGAGCTGCAGCCTGTGACCACACAGCACATCTAGTTGATGAGAACATAAGTCCTGCCTCTGACTGAGCAAATGATTAATCATAGTTTAGGATTTGATTGGGTCCCATGCAGTGTGTGAGCTCTGAAAAAAAAGGTTCCCAGAAATAAATGTAGCAAATTGATGTAAACTTGAGAACAAGAATGATTTTTTCTAGATACAACTGTCTTTAACACAGTTATATTGAGCCAACATGTCTACCACTTGGTTCAGTTACACTCTAATCAACAGCAATTGTCACATTTTCACTGTCAGTTGCAGGAAAATACATTCATATGCAACAATTGATGTTCTGATGTTCTTACTTCCAGGCAATTACAATTGTCAATGGTGTATCCAGGTGCAGTGGAGTTAATGGTTGTAACAATTGTAGCAGAACAGTCTGGTTTTGTATTTTGCCTTTTCACATGAAGATAAAAAATCAGGCATTGAACAGTTTTGATTGTACTCTGTGTGGTGTGCTCCAATAATCTCAACACAGCACACAGCGCAACATGGAAGAGGACACACAAGAGGCGGGAAAGATGGAGGTTTTGGGAGTATTTTTGACAAAAAAATCCCATACTCCCGTAGGCCATGCTTTATTTTTATTCGCTTTATTTGGTTCCTTGTTCCTCTTGTTCCTCAGTCAGCTCGCTTCTTGATTGGCTACATTCTGTTCCACGTAAAAATTCACGTAGTCATGACTCGGGAGTCGTCGGCTTTCCACACTCACGTGAAGATTTTTGGTCATAAATAGTTTAAGTTTTAAGTTTAATATTCACGATTTTTGGCCCCGACCAGTTTCGGACACAATTGTTGGGAAAAATTCACTCTTTATACACCTCAGACCACAGGATAATCTCATAGGATAATCTTAGAAGACATAAGATGATCTTCTGGTTGTCGTACTTGGTCAGGAGGGGGAAAATCGGGACAAAAACAGCCCAATTATCTTTATGTGTGTACCTGTATATGTATATGTATGTCCTGTTGCATGTACTGTGCTGTTTGTTCGTGTGATTCACTGCAAAAAAAATAAAATAACCTAAGGGTACAAATAAAGTAACCTTTGACCTTTGACCTTCGTAGTTTGGGGGATCAAAAACAGTGATCAATACAGACCCTTTCTTATGTGACGGGATTTAAAGCACAGACATTACATAGCATTACGTAGCCAAGATTAAATGAGTTGTTATCGTTCATAGTAAAATTTAGAAAGTCAAATCTAAATTTGATCTTCTGACGTGAGTATGAGATGCAATTACTGTAATATACTCTGACCTGATGTGGAGTTAAGATGTGTCAGAGGAGTAAAAATCAAGGTAACCTCAGTTTTGAGCAATGGAAGTTTAAAGTTTCCTTGTTACTGATATCTTATTTCAACTTTTATTCATTTACTAATAAATACGAGTGAAACAGTCATGAAACCTGCAGGACAAACATAGAAGACCAGAAGCAGATAAGTGAGCCATTAACATAGGTTTCTTCCATTAACTCCATTTGAGCTGTAACAATAGAGAGCAAACTGTGATCAGAGCTTTCTTGGTTTGTCTGATTGTTATTCTTAACTTTACTTCTTGATTCAAATGCCTGTATGACTGCAGATGTCACTGACTAAACTTTATCTTTCTCACATAGTCAGGAGATCGAGTACTGGGGCATCAATGAGTTCTTCCTGGACAGCTGCTGTAGTTACCGTTACCACGACCGCAAGCTGGAGAGCAGCCGCCATCGAAGCTGGGACGATGAGAGTGACGTGAGCAGCATAGACACGTCTGTGGATGAGATATCTGACCTAAACAGGTATTAAACAGCACATATACAGCGTAGGCACAAACCCATCATTCAGTCTGTTGTTATTTATTTTTGCTTCCTCTGATCCGTCCACACAGAGACATGCAGCACTTTCAGGAGGTACGTTATGGCAACATCAGGAAGTGTTTGTGGCTGACTCTGGAGAACCCTGGGTACTCCATCCCCAGTAAACTCTTCAGCCTGGTCTCTATCGGAGTGGTGCTCACATCCATCGCCACCATGTGCATCAACAGCATCCCAGAGTATCAGGTAAACACATGGAGAGATGACTGTAAACACGTCCACTTAGTCTGGGAATAATTTGCCGAGCAGGCAAAAGTGATGCATGAAGTCAGATGGATATGTTGGTGGTTAAAATGCAACACAAAATTTGTTCCTGTGCAAAGCTCATTCATTTACACAAAAGACCTAAGATTGCACACATCTGACATACACCTTAGTGAGTTCTGGCTAAGTGTTTGAGTGAAGATTTTGCCGATGCCTTGCTGCCTTCATCAGTGTATTTACTTCTCCTCTGCATACTCTGTAAACAACTCCTGAATTACTGAGAACCACCCCTGTTTAACAGAAGTCAAACTGAGTCCACTCTTTAGACTTGACACCACATTGCTCACCTCTGTTAACCATCACACCACTGCTGGTTTCCTGCCCAGAACACACTGCCAAATGGAAGATTGAATCACATACAGCTGAAAATTTCTTTTCTTTCAACACCACCAAAGCTTGATGTGTCACCAGTGCTTCAAAAACTTTTGATGGTACAGAAAGTTTGGTACTTAATCTGTGGTATCGGTAAAAGAAAGAAGGCTACTCATTCAACTACCAAAGATGTCAATTTAAGGCTTACATGTGCAAATACATGAAATAAATGTTAGAGCTTTGTGATGAAGAAAGGGTACAATAAGATAAGAACTTTATTGATCCTAGAAGGGGTATTCAGTTATCTGCATATTGTTAATAATCTGCATCAAATTCGCACTCAAGTCACCTTTATCCATTCCCACTAAAAAGGACTTCTGCAGGAATATTTCTGTTGGATTTTCTCTCTTTATTCAGCTCTCTTGCTCAGAGCTTTGGCTTTGCTGCTCCGCTGCTGGTGCATGGATTGCAGGACAGAATGTTGCTCCACTTTTCTCGATCATGATGTCACACAGGCAGAGTGCTGAGCTGCTTTCTGCAGATTGATCTGATATGACATGTGACCAGGTTGTTCCTGATGTAACCTAAGATCTTTCAAGCATTTAATGCAACCCAGTTATATGATGGTAATGGTAATGTATGGATACAGGTTCCCTTATCCCTTCGACACACCAAAAATATTAATTATGGCTGATTTATTTATTGCTCATTTAAGATCTGTACTCTTTTAAACACTTTTGCCAATCAGACAAATTTGAATACACAACATCCACAGTCAAAAAACTTACTGATGCAAAACATGCTTGAGAATCCACGTGTTTTTCAATTCAATTAGAAAAACTTCATTTAATTGGAGGCACATAGAGCAGCAAGTAAACAATGCAAACATTGTAAAACTGTGAACAATTAAGATTAATAAACAATATTAGATATAACAATATAGCAATTAAAAATGATAAAATGGAGGGAGAAATAAAAATACTGATTGATGAAATACTCAGAAATCTGAGTACAGGGGATCAGCATGATGAGTGCAAATTAGCATTAAGGTCTATAAAGAGTTAGCCAGAGGTAGTATATTACAGACGCAGATTGCATTCAGACATGTGTGAATCGGTAGTAAAAAGTGCACTATGGCTCTTTGGAGTTGAGGAACAGCACAGCTTTGGGCACAAAGGTGGCCTCTCTCCTCTGAGTCCTGCAGGCGAGGCAGTGAAGCCGTTGGCCAGATGGGAGCCACTCAAACTTCAGGAACAGAGTGTGTGGGGGGTCTTGCACCACACAGCCTGCTGGCCTGCATGTGAGATGTACATAGACAGTCAACAGAGAGGCATCCTTATTATTTTGGAGCAGACAGTCAGAGTTTTCAGCAGGCTGATTGAATAAAACCAGCTGGTGATTGAGAAGGTGGAGATGCTCTCTATGAAAGACTAATAAAACGTCCTGAGAATGTTCTGGCTAACTTCAAGGGAACTGAGCTTCTTTAGGAGGTACTGTTTCTGCTGGCTTTTTCCTGAGGATCTACTTAGTGTTGAAGGAGAACTTCAGCAGACTGTCAAAAACGGTGCCCAGGTATTTGCATTCCTCAACATGCTCCACAGGCTCACTGTGAACTGTGGCGGTGACTATTGCAGCCAGCTCCCTTTGCTTGCTGGAAAAGGTCACCACCATCTCTTTGGTTTTGCTGACGCTCAGCTCCAGACATGAGTCTTCACACAAGTCCACTAACTCCTTGAGGGCTGGTCCATGGGGCTGTGAAGACTCTGACAGCAAAGACAGGAGGACTGTGTCATCAGCATATTTAAACAGGTGGGAATGGGGCTGTTTGGATCTGCAGTCATCAGTGTAGAGGATGAAGAACAGGGGGGTCACAGCCCTAGGGAGAGTCAGTTGAGGTGTGTCGCATGTCAGAGAAAATGTTGTTGTGCACTCTCTGTGACCTGTGGGTGAGGAAATCTAGGAGTGACAGGATGAGCTGGTCTTCAAGGTGGAAGGAGGAGGAGAGTTTGTTGGCCAGGATGTGAGGCTGGAAGGAGTTGAATGTCAAGGAGAAGTTGGTAAACAGGAGTCTGGCTGAGGTATTAGGGCGGTCCGAGGGTTTATGGATGGTGTCTTGGATCTATATTTTGGCATTATCAACAACCCTACTTGTGCGGTATGTAAAAGAGCATGCGCCACCCTGGAAGCGAACCTGGGTTGCAAGAATGGGAATCTTGTATGATACTACTACATTGAGGCTTGTAGTGTTTGTGTCCTTACATGCCAAAGTAATCCAGTCAGCGCAACATAGAGAATCAGCCAGTAAGTGATTCAGCAGCAGTGTTTTGTAGTTTGTGAATGATTCGTTCAAAAGAACCAAATCTTTTAAGTGAACATACTGAACCAAATCACATCCTCAAGTGATTCGTTCGTTTCTCACTTCAGTTGGGCTGGCAGCAGTGCAGCTGCCCCATAGCACGCAGCATTGCCGGGCGAGCAGCCTGTGAGCGAGGGACCACACACACCAACGCCTGAATCACTTGGTGAATGAACACTCTCTGAAATCATTTTTGTTTGAGAGATAGACTTTCATGGCGACCGTTGTTCCCCGTTGTTTTAACAGATTTAGTTATTAAACAAACTTAAAAAGTTAGGCTGGCAGTAATGAGAAGAGAGTGAGACTCACCAGCTAAAGCAAGCTCTTCACAAACGCAACAGAGGGAAATAGGGATGTGTTGTGTTCAAGCGTACCTCAGAGCAAGCTTCCTTTTTTTTTTTTAAACTCTGCTCAATTGCCACCACAACAACTTGCACACAGTAGGACACAGCATGTAACAAGTAGTGTATAAAACCTGCAGTTTGAGAAATGCGTGACTGTCTGATCCTATCATTCAGTTCAGTGTGAATTCTTCACTGAATGTACTGTGGGGTAAACGTTCAGTGAACGAATCACTCACTGAGCCCAATTTACCGAGTAGACCAGATAAATAGCATATCAATGGACAGTACAATTAAAACATTATGATTTATAAACAAGTTCATTTTTACAAACCTGTTTGTCAAAGCAACAAAGCCAAACACTCTTGTCTCCCGGTCCCAGAAGCTATGAATTGAACTCAATCCTGAACCGTTCAGCTATATATCAGTTCGGGAAGTCGGAGTCACAGGCTCCTCCCGCCAAACGCTGAATGATTCTGCGATTCGGTGAACAAATCTTTTGAATGAATCTTTTCAGTGAACTGATTCTAGTGATTCAGTACATCTAAAAGAACTGCCGTGCCCATCACTATTCAGCAGGCTTTTGGGGATAGTGTGGATGAGCAGAGGCAATTGAGTCAAAGCAGCGGTTGTCCTAATTTTCAGACTCTGTTAATGTGATGTGGTTCTCTATTTACCTCCCAAAACTCTGCAAACTCCTGAACAGCTATTTAAACAAGAACTTAAAATTAAACTGAACCCATGCTGAAATTGTTCAGCATGAATAATAGCCACTAATGGCTCAGTCTGAGGTGCTTTTGTGTAATCAGATGCAGTTCTTCTTAATGTCTAAATACTAAAGAGAATACAACCAGCTGTTGCACACTAACAGCCTAAAACAAAGCACATCCAGCTGTGCACATGATGGGAGGACTGGCTCTGAGAGGATACAAAGACTTTGAAGTAGAAAGGGGAATAAAAGGAAGTGAGAAGTAACAGATTAGATGGAGAAACTATCTGCTATCAAACAGCAGTGTTCATTTTAGTGCTAACAGCACATCTGTCCCAGCTTCACTTCATTTTACTCCATCAAGTCGACACAGTTTCCATACAGACTCGTCCTTTAATTGTGCATTTTCTTTAAACTGATGAAGGCTGTTCACAGAGTTTATTTGATTTTTGAGTAATTTAAGAACAAAGACTGATGATTGCTTAGTCTGATTACAGCTCAGACGTGTTACACCAGCTGTGAGCAGAATATGAAAGTTTAAGAGGCTGTTGATGCAAAATACATCTATGTTTAAATTGAATACCCCTTAGATGCCATCACTTCCTGTGCCTCCTCCTCTTTTTCTTCTTCTCAGACTTTTGACAGCGAGGGGAACCTGATAGAGGACCCAACCATGCAGGCTCTGGAGGTGTTTTGTATCTGCTGGTTCACCTTTGAGGTGAGTCAAAGTGTTTTTATAAGCTGGCTTAAGAGAAAAAAAAATGTTTAATAAATCAGTCAAACTGAACTTTATGTGTCTTTGAGGTGGTGATGCGGCTGCTGCTCGCCCCAAACAGAAAAAAGTTCTTCCATCATCCTCTGAACATCATTGACATGGTGTCTGTGGCCCCCATCTACATCACGCTGCTCTTTGACCTCACTGTGGGCTCCGAGTCTGAACTGGGAGACCTCGGACGACTCATACAGGTAGAAAAATTTTCATATGTTGTTAAATAGATTCAAAACATGAATGTGAACTTCAAGTGGGGACAGATTTATTTAGCCAGTGAAAGCTTGCTAAAACTCTGAGCAGCTTCTTAAATTATGATAATAGTCTTCTTTCATGAAAAAAGGACATTTTCAGTGTGTGAGGAATTTTTAGACTTAGGGGTTATCAATATAAAATGTTATCTACAACCTTTTGAAATGAGAGTTTTGAGATGAGAAATGAGAAAAGGATTTAAAAAAAATACAAAATATAATACAAAGTGATGAGAGAAAATTTAAAATGCTGAAAATTGAAAAACATTTAAAGCTCCTGTAAGGAACTTTCTGTCTTTGTTGATTCTGGTGCCCCTAGTGGACAAAGTGGTAACCTATTTCATAGTTGTTAATTTTATCTTGTTCTTTTAAAGTGGGGTTAACTGACAAAAAATCCCCTGCTGTTGTCTTTTACAGTGACATTCATCACTCACTGTGAATATTTGCTGTGGACAAAGTAACAAAGGCTGTTCTTCAATGGAGCTGTTTTACGCAGGGGGAAAAAAGCAGGCCAAAAATATCAAAATAAAAGCATGACAAACAATTCTCGATGAGGCAATGTCTTCCTTAAAGAGGATTCAGTCACAGGGCTGGAGATGGGGATTAATCATTTATTTGAACATCAATAGGAATGGATGATGACATGTAAGTTAACAGCTTATGTTAGTAAAATTTATTTGATAATGTGTTGCCCCATTCCAGTGTTTCCTTTTCTAAGTTTGACTGATCGTGTTGTTTTATCTTCAAGTGTCCTGTAAATATCATGATAATATCTTTTTTTTGATATATGGTCATGATAATTATGAGGCAAAAATCTGATATCATGACAGCCGTACTGTTGTGTGATATGATATGAAACAACATTTTATGATAACATGCAATACAAGGATAGACTAGGTAACAATTAAATATGTAAGGATAGGGTATGTCACTGCTGAATTAAACATGATACGATAAGTGTGATTGCATACATATATGGTTCTTATCCATGTGTTTAGTACTACCACTTGGGGTCCTAAAGCAGTGCTTTGGTGAGTCAAACTCACAGGGAAGTCTATGCAAATTTACATCATTTTTAATTCAGAGGTTTATCAAGCAGCCGAACTGTGATTGTACCGCAAGTCAGGATGACAGTGTCCATGTTTTGCCCCACCTATGATCCATAAACTCTATAAAACATGGAGGTTAGCTCAGTGACATCCCCCACCTGTTTCCATTACGAGGCCCAAAGAGGGTGGTCTCCATTATTATAGAAACACTGAACTTCTGGCAAATAAAGAAAACAGCAAAGAGGTCGAGGTGATGCTCAGAGTTACCCAGCTGACAAAACAACCGTCTGTCAGTCAAATTAGCCAATTGAACGTCACTCTCAACATCCGTATAATGAAAACAAATTGATCAAAATTTTCACCCCTATAATAAAGAAAGAAACAACCAAATTTGCTTTGCAACATAAACTCACTCAGTGTGGTTGGTTTTACTCTGTGTATCGATGGATGATGGTATTGAATTGGACATCTTACAAGACAAATTCCCAGTCTCTCTTTCTCCCTCAGGTTTTCAGGTTAATGAGGATCTTCCGTGTCTTGAAGCTGGCCCGTCATTCAACCGGACTGCGGTCTCTGGGAGCGACACTCCGGGTGAGTCTGGACTCAGTTTGACTCCCACGGTCCAGGTTACATAACACTCTGCTTCCTGACTCTTGGCAGACACTTGATGACATTAACCAAGCGGAGAAACCTCTCAGGATATTGAAAACTTTTCTATTGATTTTTATTTTCTCTGGGACATTTTGTCCATTGACCTTTTTGTATCAGATAAACTTTGACAGATTGTGAGTGGCTGTGGGCCTGCAGCTGCTTAATGTGAAAGATAACTCTGCTACACATTTAAAACTCAGGGGCAATGCAGACTGTTTATAAAGTTAACTATGGAAAACCTTCCCTCATGCAAAAAAAGGATGTGCAAGGCACTTTTGTTGCATTTCCTAGTTTTAGTGGAAGTAGTGTTACACAAAATTGACATGAATTCACAACTTTAAAACTTTATATCTGTAAGATTTATCTGTGTAAAAAGCCATATGGCAGTGACAGGTGAGGCTTTGTGCAGGTGAATTCTTAAAAACGGAATTCTTAACTCAGCTGGTAGGAAAGATTTGGCCACAGCCTCCTGGTCACAGAGCTAAGATAACAAAAGCATCAGTAGCAGAAGCATGAATAAGCAACACTAGTGTCACAGACAAATTAGCCATGATGAAGCATTTACTTGATGAAAAGTAGTGGTTCGATGTTCATACCCTGTGGGACACCACATTTAGTAGTAATCTATAGGAACGTGAAAATTGATCGCTGCTTGTTTTATGTCATTATGTTAAAATGACAGAAATTTAGGGGCGCTGGTGTAAATGCCACATGTACAGGGGCTCTACTCCTTGTCACTGTGGTTACTGGTTAAATTCCCAGCCATGACCCTTTGCTGCATGTCTTACCCAATTCTCTACTCCTTTACATTTCCCATCTCTCTTCAGCTGTCCTATCTATGAAGGCGAAACTGCCAAGAGAACTCACTTAAAATGGATTCTGGCACCACTTCACCTACTTTCAAGGTGCAGGGAGAGGGAAGAGAAATCTACAATGCTCGTGTTTTGGCGAGTGGCCTTCATCAGGGTCATTAGCTGATATATTGATGACTCTGATGAACACTTTAAGCCAAAATGTGTTGGTAGAAGAATGATGCTGCTCCTTTACCTGAAAGTGTTGCTGGAGTTTCTACTCTAATTTGATTACATCCAGACATTTACTTTTCCCAAAAAATGCTACACTTTTTGTAACAGACTTCAGTCACTCAATAAAAACAGATAAGAGTATTTTCCAGATAAACAGTGTCAATGGTATTGTTATGATAGGTTTGACTAAGAGAGGGCAGGCCGTGTAATACCATGTTGTACAACTCTACAGTTTGTTATAGTCCGCTAAGATTATCGTTGTTTCCTTTTTATGTGGCCTAAAAGAACGATTTCTAACTTGTATTTGTTGAAATGAAGGAAATGTTTTTGTGTTTTGCCATTTTCTTTCTTTAGACTGTAATAGGGATGTTGTTAGAGGTCATAGTCACTTGACAAAGTAGATGAGCAAATCTGAGTATCATCTGCGTAAGCTATAAACAGCAATGCTGGTTTCTGTAAAGGTTTCTAAGAAGTAAAGTTGGCTGCTAGCGCTTTGCAAAGAGTTTGAGTTTCAGGACCGTATTAACAGTTTCAGATCAAGATTTCTGAAATTATAAGTAAGTAAAAGTTTGGGTGTCAGGTGCCCAATTTCAGGTGTTTTTTTTTAAGGTGGTCTAAACGTTGTTACTAACCTAGGAAATATGTTAAGCAGGAAATCAATAGCCATTGTAACTTTTGCTTTTCTTTTCAGATTGGCTTATAACTCCTCTGTCAGTGCCATGTAAATGACGTCTCTTTTCAGACATTTAATAGATGTTGGCTATAATTATGTTGATCACAGGCTGAAAAATTTCAGGACAATTGACGCCTTTCCATGACAGTCAAATTTATTTTTGTAATATGAGATCTCCTTTCTTTGCTCATGCCATGTTTAGTGTATCAGTTTCACCTGCAGAGAGACTCCATCTGATGCAGAATCATTAACCACAGTCTACTGCTGTGCAGCTCCTCCAGGCTTTCATTACATGAGACCCACTCCACATGACGTGTAGTGTATGTGAGGGTAAAACTAAAGGTCATGTTACTGTCTCATCTGTCATAACACACACAACTGGGTTCTACTCCTTTATTAGAAAGGTGTTAGATTGCTGGATTTGTATTTATTGTGACTTTGATTTCTCCATAATGGTTAGAGTATTGTCTTATATGCTTAAGACACTTAGCACCAAAATTACAACTAATGTATAGAAATACTATTATGACCAGATTATTGAACTTTTGTAGCCATGGCTCTTTGCAGAACTCCACTTAGCACATAATGGACTACAATCTTCAAATAAGGCCATTATTGAACTTAGAGTTCAGTTTCTTTCCCTATAAATAGTTTTTTTTCTCTGCTGAATCTAAATGGGAGCCTCTTTTCCTAACATCCAAAGTTGAAATGCATCCTACAAGACCTTCAATGCATATACAGGTCTCTGTATTTATGCATCTTTGTCACCTTTTTGCATCATAGTTTTTATTTATAATTGTATTGGCTCTTAAAATGTCATCCACGATCCACTGCTAAAATTCAAAGATTATCTTCACTGTATTGTAGAGTATTGTTACTGCAGTTTATTTTTCCCATAATTTCAAGAAGAAATGAGAACATTTAATGAAGCTCTCTAAATTATTTATCACTCAGCTTTTTGTTGTTTTTACATTAAGTGAAAAGTCAAGTCTGGCTTTTTATTTTCAGTGGAGACTGAAGTAAAAAGTTTTTTCCCCCGAGCTCCTCTGGTTTCTTCAGAGAGTCCCAGGAGAGGGGCTGGATTTCAGGACAATTCATCTGAAAACTCACTGTATTTATTCTCATAAAAAAAACACAGAGAAAGAGAGTGATAGAAAGATGACAGATGGAGCTTCAGTTTTTCTTTCTGTTTCTGAACAGGAAGAATTTAAAAAAGCTAACCAGTTTTTCTTTTGTTTGTGCAGCACAGTTACCGTGAGGTCGGCATCCTGCTGCTCTACCTCGCTGTTGGAGTGTCCGTCTTCTCTGGAATCGCTTACACCGCTGAATATGAAGAGGTAAAATGTCTCACTCTGACATCTGAACTTCTGTTAAAACTCTATTTCAGTAAACTGTGAGGTTATGTTCTGCAAAGTGTTTCTACGGCGCAAAGCTCTGATCTGGACCCAGGGGTCTTTGTTGCTGCACTCCCTGCATGGCTTTTATGTATGCAAATGAAAGAGGAAGAGGTGTGCTCTCCTTACCTCAGGCTTCGGCATTCCACATACACATGTGGAAAGGCAGGAACAGAGCCATACGGCCGTAAAAGCCAAGGCAGGTAGAGCACATACCTGCCAACTATTGGGTTATATAATCTGGAAGATTTTTGTGGTGTGCGCAGGGCAGTTTTGGGGTTACCTTGGATGGTAGAGATGAGCTAATTATTAGAGTATTTGTAATTAAATTGCTCATCCAAACAAGTCAAAGTGAAACTGCACACTTTTTTGTTTTGGTTTAACAATAAAAAATGCTAATAAAAAAATAATAGCTACGATGTGTCTTGCACTTACAGTATTTAGTCCACTAATTTTGGTGTTAAAGTTCTCATATGTTTTACATGCTCTCCTGTATGAGGCTCTCTGAACATCTGGGCGGGAAATACAGCACTCTTTTTTCTGAGGCTGCCCTGAATGCATCACTCCGAGACAGTGCAAGACTATCAACAAAAATATTACATCTCACGCTTGTTTCCCTTTCATCGAAGTGTTCATTTTGCAACAAACACTGCTTATATAGTTTACAGCTTAAACCGACCTGAAACATCCCAAATTGTAAAGTAAAAGTATCACTACAGTGTCTGTGAGGCTCAGCAGAAACACAGGACAATCTTCGGTTGTCTTGAAACTGGCAACTTTGAACAAAAAGTTATCCGATTCATGAATGAACCTGGACTATGCAAACTACAGGAGATTCCCAGGAGAAATGGCAATACAGGAGGTGGGCTGGAGATAAGTCTGAAATATGGGAGAGTCCTGGGAAAAACGGGAGTGTTGGCAGGTATGGTAGAGCAGCAACAAAGACCCCTGGTTACAGAACAAAGCAGGCATCAGAGACAACACATGTTGCACTGGTAAAATCAAACACAGGAGGAGAAGCTGGGGTGAAGGCAGGCTGCAAATCAGTTTGCAGAGGAGGCAGGGAGAGTGTGCAGGCTAAAACAGTTCACCCAGGCTTTTGCCTTCCACTCAAACAAATGGTGGTCTCAGATCAGAGTCATTCCACCAAATATGACTTACAGCAGGAAAATGATGACTTCTCTTTGACTGAAGGTGCCTTTTTGTCAACTAAAGGCCAAAAGGAGGCTGAGTGCTAGAAACATTAAACTGCAGTGGTTTTGTGGAAAAAATACATGATTCACATTAACATGATCCTCTTCCCTCTGTCTTTGTTTCAGGATGTTGGTCTGGACACCATCCCTGCCTGCTGGTGGTGGGGGACGGTCAGCATGACCACAGTGGGATATGGCGATGTGGTGCCCGTCACGGTGGCGGGGAAGCTGGCAGCGAGCGGCTGCATTCTGGGAGGCACCCTGGTGGTGGCGCTGCCCATCACCATCATCTTCAACAAGTTCTCGCATTTCTACAGACAACAGAAAGCTCTGGAAGCTTCTGTGAGGAACAGCAACCGCAGAAAGCTGAGGATGAGCTGCGAGGAGGAGCTGGAGGAGGACGAGGAGGAAGATGAGGAGGAGGAAGATGAGGAGGAGGATGAGGAAGAGTCAGATGAAGACAGCAGGTGTATGGAAGATGATGATACTGATGATATGGATGAAGATGATGTAGATTATGAAGATGATGGAGGAGTGATCAACTACAGCTACGTGGAGCATCCGTCCATCCTGAGGGGGAAGGACCTCAACCAGCTGTGATGCAAACTTACTGACCAAGACCCTTTCAAATTAAAAGTACAAACTCGAATGCAAACTACACCTGAGCCTGAACCTGACCGTCATCTGATCCGGAGACAAACAGAGTTCAATGATGGCTGTTTTCTGAATGATACTGACACTAAATTTAGAGGTGAACTTTACCTTCAGGTCTTCCAGGCTGACTGCTAGGATGCAGTTTGGTCGTGTTTTATTTGTGCATGGTGGTAATTTTTAGAAATGATTGTACAGCATCACACGGTGACTGACAGGTCAAAATAAACACTGAAGGACAGCAGCACTGAATGACTGACCTGGACTGAAGAGAAACTGCATGAGCTTTAAGAGAATTCGCCAAATAAATAACATTATGAAACACTGTGAAAATGACTTTTGTGGCATTGATTAAAAGAGACACCTCAAGGTTAACTGTACTTTATCACTTCATACATTTACATGTTTACTTAAGCTGAGTCACAGTTAAAGCTTGATTCAATCATTTAACTGGGCCTCTGTCCTTGTCCCCGTTCACAAGCCCCATGCGAAGACTGGTACAGTTGGCGGTGATATTCCTCCTCTCATAGTTTGTTACTTCTGGGCTGTCTCCTGGTTATGATGCTCCAGAACAATCAACAAACAAGCAAGTGGCTAAGAGGACATACGTTGAACAATGAAAACACTGTTTGAGGGCTTGGACCAATCAGAATCAGTTATTTATTGCAGCTGGGTGATTAGCAAGAAAGATCAGTAAATATAAGTGGTTTTGATTGATTGAGTCGCATTGTTAAATTATTCATTCCTTATGTCCATTCATTCATGTGCTCACATATTTCATGCCACTCCTTCTTAAGTCATGCCCCACTTGGACCACCCCCCTCAATAAAGTCCAGACACGCCCCCTGGACAAACTCAAACCAAAAACCACGACAGACACCTAAAATTTTAATGGTTAGCAGGTGTTTTCATGATCAGGAACTTAGTTACATACTATGGCTGTGTCCGAAATGAATCACTCAATCCCTAACCCTTAACCCCCGAATGGGGTTTTACTACATAGTTGACTATGTATTGAGCTCAATTACTGGAGGTTTCGGACACTACATGGCAAATCATGACCGGATGCCCACCACCTGTGAGTGACCATCGGATGGTCACTACATTTTGCAATGCTCTATGGAAAATCGTGAGTTGCCTATATGGGGGCATTGGAATTGATTACTCAGGTTTTGGACACCCCTCAAAATGGCGCTCACCCCCATATAGTCGCAAATATAGGGGTTAGGGTTCAATTTTGGACAGAGCCTATATTAGCATCCTGACATCCTTACATACCATAGGAGCAGGAACAGAGCTGGGACGTGGCCAAATTCAGCTGGCCATCCTAGAGGCCACCCTATAATCTCTGTGCGATGATTGGCTCTTTATCTTGTCAAAGGCAACACTTGTAATAAAATCAACATGGTGAGTTGCATTTTAATGTGGGTTGTTTTCTTGTGTTGATACTGTCCGTGATGGCTTTGGGGAAACAAAAATATTTTTGTGTGTCCTTAAAGATTTAGGTTCAGCAGATTTAAATGTAGCTGCTCTGTTGAGTTAGCCTTTTTTCACATTTTTTTAAAATCATTTATAAAAATAGGACATATTAGAGATTAAAGATAAAGTCAAATGTTTACTATGTCTGGCCACCCCAGCAAAAGTCTGTTCCTGAGCTTGGCCACCCGAGTCAAACCAGTCTGGCTCCGCCCCTGCTGAGACCTGAATTAAGTTCTGCTCAGGCCATAAACTTTCATAAACAAGAATGACTCAGTATGAAGATTTAAGACCTAATATTGGAGAACAACAAAGTGTCAGGGGATCAGTAGGAAAATAATGCAGGAAAGTGAAATGAGAGCCTGAGAAAAATTTCAGGGAAATCTTTCAATGATTAAAGAGATGTTTGGATGGATTGCACTGTGGCTGCTAGTATGACAGAAATAAAAACCATCCTTATATTTATATCATTATCTGAGGCATCAGAATTTGGGTTTGCCAAAGAGAAATTAAAATCAGTGGATGTAATGAAATGTAAACCTCTCCAAAGAGAGCTGGGATCTCCATTATTCTCCCCTCACAGCTTCCTCTCTCAGACAGGTTCGGTTTGGCCTGCAGACTCATCTTCAGTGGCGTGGAGCCACATAGTTCATTTTCAGAGTGACTTTGCGAGACGTCCGCTGTGTTTAATGGATCACACCTGTCAAACTGTCATTCAATATCCACACAGTCCTCAAACTGTGGACGTGGCGTCCTGTGAGCACACTGCTGCTCTCTGCGTCAAAATCAGATCAGATCTGCATCAGATCACTCAAGTCTCCTCTTGTATTGTCAAAAGTTTATCACCCTCTTAAAACTCTGAAATGTTATATGTTTTTTCCTGCACTTTATTTCCACTTTGCATTTGGAGATTTAATGCGTCACAGTGGCTGTGACCCATGTTGATGGCCTGTCCGACTGTGACCAACAAATGTGTTCTACATTTCCCTGGATGTGAAGGCAGCATCAGGTGCGTCCTTTTTTGGCTACACATACTTTGTGATTCTTTGCGTGCTTACAGGATAGAGAAATACACCGTAAAAAATGATGGTATTTGGCTTTAACACCGCCTGTGTCTCAGGAATAATACTGGCCCCATGTGATGCCATTGTCAGGGTAGTGACATAAGCCCTGAAGTGAGGTCAGACCCTCTTAATGCAGTTCAGCCCAGACCACAACGGACCAATTAAAACAACAAAATAAGTATTTATTAATAAATTGTAATCAGATTGACTGCTACTACTCAGAATAATAACAGAAATGTAATGCTTGATTCAGTCTTTTAAGTTTCACAGAGTTGCTAAAGAACAGTATTGTTTGTCTCAGTGATGGTCCTCTGACTTGTTTATCCTGGTTTACTGGGTCCCAGTAAAGCTTTGATGTCAGGAGTGGTTTCTTGATAAAGTCACGTAAACTTTTAAAAACACCCTTAAAAAACTCGACAGGAAATGTCCTGCTATCCATTTTCTTCAAGGTGATGCAGGCGGAGGGAGGACACACCTGCAGTCAGAGTGAAGGACGGAGATCAGGTTCATGGTCAGATGATTAAAAATGCAGCTCTGCTATTCTGGCTCAAAGAAATCTCATCACGGAGAATTTATAAAGGGAAAAGACTTAAATGTGTCTGATAATTTGATCTGACCGGAGAAGAGATGAAGTCCAGAGAGAGAGAGATCCATAACTATGACCTCTGCAGGAGACCAAAGAGGAGGTTTTATTTAGAAAGTTGCATAACAAAGAAAACAGACTTTAAACACCATCACTTAATGTGAAGATTATAGGACTTGAAAAATAATCTAAACATAACTCTCACTTTTTTTTAGTGTGTTAAGAATAGAAATATTTAGCTTTTAAATCCACATCACTCCTTTATAAACAGAGGGGATTAGATCTTATTGTACACAGTTTAACACAGAAGTCAAGTAAATACATCTTAAAACTCCTGACAGTTTTTTTTTTTTTTTATGTTTTAAACAGACTGAAACTCGCACGGATGCATCGTTATGTTTTACAAAAGCAGACAAGACCATCAGTAACAAGACTAAGGAGTTCTGTATGGAAATTTTTGATTCCTGACACCAGTGTGACGACGTAGGTGTCGGCTGAGGACTTGAAGAAACAAGCCTGTTTCAGTTTTCCACGTAAAGGTTCACAGTTGATGATAAATTTAACTGTTGAATGTAAGAATGGAAATATTTTTGCAAGAAGACACTATTTGAGCTTGTAAGACAAGAAACGCACAGACTGCTTTGTCCACAGGGGGCACCAGACTGGAACAGATTATAAGTTTCTTACTAGAGCTTTAAACTCCTGAACTTATCTTTACAGGACCCACTTTTTATAACCAGGTATTAGGGCCATATTACTGAAAAATTTACCCACCAAGAGTTCAACAATTAAATCATTGTTACCGGAACACGTCTAAAAAAAATTAAAGCCACCATATTCTAGAATAAGTTTTTGTAGTAAAGTCACAACATTAATGGAATGAAGTCATGAAATAATGTCTGACTAAACTCACAGCTTTATATTATGAGACAGATTATTACAAGAATGAAGTGGTAGTTTTGATGAAGGGGATAGGTTATCAAAGGAGCTTGCTAATGTTTGTACCAAAATAAGGAGCATCTGTGGAGCGTCTTGTTAAACCAATAAAGACCTGCTGACGCACCATCTTTCTCAGATTTCAACAGGGGACTGACCTTTATCCCAGCATCCCCCTTCACAACAGCTACAACACTGATGATTTTTCATCTCATAATAACTTTATTCCTCTGTCAGAACATCTTTTTTATTTCTTTATTCTTGTACCACTTTTTTTTTTCCTGCTAACATAATGACTTCCCTAATTGTTATAAATTCATTAAAGCAGCTCTAAGGTGTCAACACCTTTTAACTTTTCACATTTTTCATTTGAAGACTTGAACCAATGACTGGTTTTAGTTCAGCAAAAATATAAACAACCAAACAAGTATTAAATCAGCAAAGGAAAATAATGAAATGGAAGTAAAAATGCATAAAAAACAAGCATCAGCTTATTTTTGTGTTGTTTATTCTGTTCTTTAGAAGACGAGCAAATTAAAACCAGAAAACAAGGACACATTTCAGAGATTTAAACATCACTGCAGACTTAAAGAAAAAATAAAACCTCTGAAACTGAACCGATCAGATGTCATACCGAGAGATTCTGGAGAGGAAACAGCAGATTCAAACTGGCCAAAAAATAAAAATAGAGGAGGAGCTGTAAAACATAAATGTAAGTGAGGGATCAGTTTATCATGAGAGTAAATCAAGGATTTTTTTTCAAGTTTTAAAGCTCAAACCAGGAGAAACAAGACCACCTGCAGAAGTGACGCAGAAACCCGACAAAGATTTCTCCCATCCTTTAAAAACAAAACAAACCTTTAAAACCTTGATTCTTAACTTTGTACAGTTTTCTGAAAAGACCAAGTAAACAAGCAAAAACAAACAGGATTGATGTCTCACCATCCTCTGAAGCTGTGCTTGCAAGTTTTAAAGCTTTTAAAGACACCTTGGTCTGAAGTTAAAGCTCCTGTGTGGAGGTTTTTTTTTTGAGTTTATGAAACAAACCAAAATGTAAATCTATATTTCATTATGGTGACAAGATTTTGATGTGGTCGTTTTTGATGTCTGAAATTGGTGGGAGTAGGTGTCAACTGAGCAGCTGAGCAACATTCACAATAAATTAGAGTCAAAGTTTCTGTCAGAAAATTGCATAAGCTTGTAAAAGACAAGCTTAAGGTTTCTCACAGGAGCTTTAACTCAATTGTTTTCTTGAGCTAATTAAAAAACACAAGAAAATCTTTGACATCTCAAGATATTTAGGTAGAGGTCAAAAAGAAATAAAGTCATTGTTAAAAAGCCTCTCTGAGAAATTCAAACACTTAGAAATGCTCCTCTGGAGCTTCTTTCTAAGCCAAAATGTCATTTTTACATCCAGAGCACCATGAAAACTGTACTGTGTCCAACCTGAGATGAGTTTCTTTTTAAGCGATGCAGCTTGGTGCATGGTTTTTAGTAACTTTCATATCTTTTATTTTCCAGAGCCTCAGTGAGCATTTTGCTTCTTCATCGACATTCATTCACTCTATCTGCCAAAAGGCATTTTGCATGACTGCCTGCTTTTATTATTTATATACATTTAAAATCACTGCTGTGTGCTGTTTGCAGGAAGAGTATCTTTGAAATGAGCTCCTATGAGCTGTATTGATACTACAGTGTTGGAAAAAAGTTTGGAATATTTGTCAATTCAACCCCAGCCTCGTGTTTAACGCGGTCTACTGCTTTCTGGAGAATTATTCAAAGACTTTTTAATGTTCCCTGGTCTCGGTGATATGTTTTTGAAATTCACATCAAACTATTTTGTTTCTCAAAAAATTGTACGGCGGACACCTCATGATTCACAAAAAGCCATAGAAATAACGCATAAAATCATGAGTCGGTATTTAATAAATAAACGGCTGTAATTTTAAATTGCCACAAAATACGTGGACCATCTTTGAAAGCAACATCAAACACAACAAGACGATAACAACAATACAGTCAGTACTTTGTGTGACCGCCTCTAGCATTGTACAATGCGCGTACACGTCTGGGCATGCTGGTCACTAGGTTGGTAAGAGTTTCAACCGGGATTTCTCGCCAGCATTGGATCACAGCCTGAATCAGTTCAGCCACGTTTGTTGGAGGATCATTCACGTTACACGAAACACTGAAGAAAATATTCCAAACTTTTTTCCAACACTGTATATCTCTCTGACCTGGTGCTCTTGATAAACATTACTCAAGATATGATGAAACTCCTGCAAACTATTGACTTAAAAGAGGAGTCAAACACTCTCTTTTAAGAATTGCTGAAAGGATAAACTGCATGCACAGCCTTCGTTTGCTTTCAGAGTTTGTTCTGCATAAACCATCAAATCTGTTGTGATTCTTGTTCACGGTGCAGCTTCATCTGTCTCAGCTCCTCTTCATGCTGCAGGTGCTCAGTGATCATTAAAGACTAAAATAAACCTTCAAACACCTGCTGGGGTTTGATTTTGGACCCTTAATTTACCAGCTTTAGCAGGAAGAGGCTTGTATCGAATTAGGGACAGGGACAGAGAGCTTTAAAACAGGGATGCACGACAATACAGAACATAATCATTCAATTAAGAATTAAGTTTTGGTGTAATAAAGAGGCTGTTTTATTGTGTCAACACATTAAGCACTTAATTAATGTAAAGCCTAAAACGATGCTCTACACTCAAGCTCTGCCTGTGGACACTGTGACAAAACATTACCATCTCTGATGGGGAAAACTGGAGGAATATCTGTCCTGCAATCTGTGCACCAGCAGCAGAGCTTGTTAGAGCATTGCTAACTTGCCGATCTTTTAGGACTAGGCGATAAACCGAAAACTTACTGATACCTAAATTTATGACAGTAACCGACGTCATTTTGCACATGTCAATATATTTGGTGTCAAAAAATAAATAAATTAAAGTTGGTTTTGGATGTGTGTAGGTAGGCTATGGTCTCATGTCCCGTTAAGACGCCGTCCTACGTTGGAAACTAGGCTCCACCCCATCCAGTCCATAACAAAGAGGGAAAGACAGGTGAGGAGATGGAGGACAGTTCAAAAGTTGTAGTGGCTGGAGCGACGGCTGAAGTAGATAGAGTTAATGTGGGAGAGGGTGAGCAGCTTGTGGAGTAGTTATCGTCCATTTATCGTTATCAAGATGAACTGCTCGATATATCACGATATTGATTTGAGGCCATATTGCCCAGCCTTATTGTCTTTACAAACTTAGTGGTAACGATGTAAAAAGTTTAAAGGTAACGAGCGAGACATAGCATACGTAAGAGTATCACGATCAGTCTCAAAGGTCACGTTTTTGTAATTGTACCGAACCATAACTAAAATTGAAGTTAAAACCTGATCATTCGGCCAGCTCTACGTGGGGCGTATTATTAGCAGAGAGGAGCAGCGAGATACCTTCAGGATGGAGCAAAGATGCAGAGCTCCCTGTGGAAACCTGAGGACTGATAAGAACAGGCATGGATCAGCTGCAGAGCTGATGTAACACAGCGCACATGCAAAGGTCAGAGGGGCTATTTTGAGGCTTGTTATAAAACATCTTTAAATCCGTACTTTGTGTAGATGCGTCTGACGCTTTATTATAAGCAGGGAACTATATAGTGAACAGGTGTTTATGTAAATTACAGTCCTGACAGGGTGAGCAGAAGATCCTCTGCAGCAATAAGTGATCACTTCAATGTTAAATCATTTTACTTTTTTAAATCTGATAAAAATGTTCATGTTTTGTGCTTTCTGTGCTCATATTTATTCTCTTCTCCATCTGGAAGACGTATTATTGAATATTTGTGTGTTTTAAGCTTGGCTTTTGTGCTCTGTAGTTTAAAGGTGAACACCAGGAAACCATTGTTTATTTTTTTTTAAAAATAAAATTGCAAGGTTATTTTGGGGTTTTCCGCCTTTATATAGACTGAACAGCAGCTTTGACAACGCAAAGAGAGTGGGAAGGGCATTCAGTGCAGGAATGTGGTTGTGATTCAACTACTGGGCTAAAGTTGGACCTTGAAACAGTTTTACAAATGAAATGTTTTACTATAGGAAATCAAATATCGTTCATCCCTACATTTCAAACAAATGGTCCAAAGAAAGAAAAAAAGAAAACATTTAAGGCAAATGCCAAGCATTAGAAGAGTTTAATTTCTGTAATAAAATCTTCTCCAGTGATTACGACTAAATTCCTGATGCATCACAGAACCCAACAGCTCACACATGGTTTTTCGGAAAAATCCAGCTCAGTTATTTAAAATTTTTCCCTTTTTCAGCAAAACAAAAATTAATCCAGCAAAACAGATTCGATATCAAGTCATTGTTCAGATAACAGTTTCAAAAAACAAACAGCAGAACATCAAAATAAGGCAAGAGGGGGAAAAAAAGGCTCTTTTCTTGTAACACAGAGCAGAAAATAAGGAAGAACGTGTTCATGAGTCTTTGAGGTGCAGACATTACTTTGATATCAGGTCTGATTGAGCTCCAGAAGCATCGCACATCTTTTTTTTTGACTTGCTGTCTGTCTATATTTGAAGTAATAACTTAATGATAAATGTTTCATTTTTGGGGGATTAAACTCTTGAACTCATCAGATTAATCAGGACATACAAACCCAGCTGAGTGCTCGTATATACAGACATGCTTCTGTGACTCTGCAGACGATTATTTTACACCCCTGAGGAGTTTAAAGACCTGAGAAGCTGTTTTTCACTCTAACACACACTCCTGTCCTAAACCTGCGTAGAAAAATATAAATCCTCCTGTTTTTGTTCCTGCAGCAGATCTGAGCGATGAGCATCCAAGCGTCTCCGAGGAATGTCAGAAGTAAATCACAGCGGGTCGACGCCAAGCTTCCTGGCACAGTTTGGCGTGGTCCAGAGAGCCAGATCAGACTCATAAATCCAGCAGATAAAAGCTTTGTTGATTCTCGTCCATAAATCCGTCCAGTGGAGGCCTTTTTATGACTCACTGAGGAAGAAACACAGCTGCTAGACAATTAAATAAAAACCCAAATTAACACACCCAAGGGCACTGAAGGTCAGACAGAGACAAAGTCAACGTTTCCACCCAAATCTCTGAGACGATCTAAACAGAAATATCAGATGTTCAGATGTTGGATTTAGATCTTAGAAAATGAAAAACATTTGAAGTGTGAACTGAAATCTTTCTGGGAGTTAGCACAAGTGATAAAGGAAATATATGCGCCACTTTGTTCAACAAGGACAAGGATGAAAAACTACAGATCCCCCAACAGCTGCCCAGGGAAATAGAGGCTGAAAATCTTCAGTATATTCATGTTCAGCATTCAGTGTGACTTAATCAGGGGAAAAACATCTACAGCTTCATTTTTTTCTCTTGATACAGCTCTTTTGCTTTTACTGTGATAACACACCGATCAGCCATAACATCACAACCACTGAAAAGTGAGTCAAACGCCACTGAGTATCTCTTCACAGCGTCACCTATGGGGGGCAGGTAGGGCTGCTTGATTCCAGCAAAAACCACATAAAAGTGAGAACTGTTTGAGGAGAGGGGCAGAAAACACGCTAAAATATCAAATTACTGAGTTAGTCCGACTGAAACTGGACTTTGGAAATGCATCTAAAATTCAGAGTCTGACTGAAATTCTATTAAATCTAATGTTTCACAGTCAGGCTAACATACATAGAGAACACATGCACACGCCTCAATTGGACTGAAACTGGCCAAAGCGTTCTGAGCATGCTCCGTTGTTTGGATTTTGGGCCCTTAGCTGAAAGCTGAGCTGAATCAACAGATGCTAAAGAGCCGAGAAGTAAACGAAACCTCCGCAGAATAAAAAGGGACGTAAAGAGAGAAAGCTGTTTGTATGGTACCAACAAAAAGGTACAGAGGTGTGAGACAGCCATGGAGTTACAAACCAGATAGACGGGCATGTTGACACCTGCCATAGTGGGCGGGGACATGCTTTGGTTAATTGAGTGGATATTGATTGGTTCTTGTGTTTAATCAATTCTTCATAATTTCACCTTTTTTCGGGGTTTTCTCTGTTAAAATATGAGTTCCAGGAAAGTGACTCAAAACAGCTTCAGTGGTCGTGTTTTGGCTGATTGGTGCCTGATTCTCCTCAGCAACAGCAACATAAAAACGCTGAATTATAGAAATAAACTGCATTGTGAAGAAGGACTACAAAGATGGCAGCATGTTTAGGCCTGAATATCAAAACTGAGATTTAGAAGTTTTTCACATTAACATCTTTTAAAGAGACAGATTTCAAAGTTTGACCATATTTTCTTGATATCACCCCAAATTGAAACCAAATCCAACAGGACTTCTTCACATTGTCTTGAACTTGTGTTTTGAAAATGTAGCATCAGATGTGCGTTTTTTTTTTCTACAATATCAGCATTTTTAAGCCCTCTGTGTTGAACAAACATTCCACGGTCTGGGAATGATTAATTTCTAGACTACATCCAGTTTGTGTCCAGACTTACAGTTCAGCAGCTTTTACCAGCATGACAGGCATTAACAGTACCTTAGCAGAACAGTCAAATAGTACCACACGATCATGTAAAAAAACAAAACCAACTGAGGGGCTTCTTGACAATCTTTGCAGCAGTTTAAGACAGAAATAATAATAAAAAAAACCTGCAGCACGATCCTTAAACCAATAAAACCAGAAACAGGAAGTCCTTCAAGAGAAGGCAGATTCAAAATCACAAAGACACAGTAAAAGTCAAAACTTTCTGTCTGAGAAAAGCTCTTTGGAAGTTTTTCTTCAGCAGTTTCCACGATTTCCAAACTGAGACGTCACATCCAGCTGTGTCATCTCAAGAGCAGTTCATCTAGAAGAAATGTGCGACCCTTTTGTGTGCAACTTCAGCTGTTTTTTCTGACGGTACACAACTCCAGAGATTAAACAAACACCTGTTTTCTGGGAGGAGCTCTGAACAACTCCCTCAGAAGTTCTGCTGCCGTCGTTTTTTGGCCTCGATGGCGTCCAGGATGGGCTTCCTCTTGGCCTGGTAGCGCTGGCGAATCTCCTCGATCTCCTGCTCCATCTGAGGGTCAAGAGAGGCCAGACGTAGACGCAGATCCTCCACAGTCCACGTACTCACCTGCACAAAAACACAGGAATTATTTTGTTAAAGCCATCATTCTAGTTAACCTCTGTGTTGCCTTGAAGTGAGGTGTTAAATTCAGAAGCAAAAAAAAAAGGAAATATGCTGCCTCTGGGCCAGGTCGGATAAACGACTTTAAATTTTGTTCTGGCATACTCTGTCAGTTTACAATCATAATATTATCTCAATTAAACATAACGCAGTAACTGTGGGGTCTTTTGAATTATTATTTATGTTGTGATATATATCGTTGTCGACTGATGTGAAAAAAAATATATAGTGATAAACTTTTTCCCATATCACCCAGCCCTAATTCCTTCTGTTTTGCCCTTCGTGTGTACCTAAGATGGTCAACCTTGATTTTCAAGCAGTCTAAGGTGAAGTGATTGGCAATAACAATTACATTAGCACCAACATGATGTAAAAAAAGCAGCCACTGTTTCCTTTGGTCCGCTGGTGCTGGGACAAAATATCAACATTCAACAGAGCAGCTGGCCTGTCTGGCTCTATCAGTTGGCATCTTACCTCTGTAACACCAAAGCTAAACCGAAATAGAGTAGTTCAGAGCGGGTGGGGTTTTGGATGCATGCCTTTGCAAATCACCACAAGAGCATATTTAAATCACTTTATAGACTCAGCATTTCCTCCGGTTGGCTGCAGAACCAAAGCAATAGCTTTTTTCCTTCTACATTATCAGGCCTGACTTGGCTGAGGATGACTCAGATATTAAGTAAAGGAGAGGACGAACATATCTTTTATTATATGGGACCTTTAAAACGTCCCAACAGTTTGGTTCCACTGACTTAACAAGAGAGATAGATGACGCCTCACTTTGGTTTTCGACTACTGTTGTGATGCTTGACCTTGGCCTTTGACCATCACAATGTACAAGTTTGATTCGTGTCAAATGCTTTTTCACAAAAAAGAAAAACAATAAAAAGATTGACTACTATCCTACAAACATTTTCTCAGAGGTTTTGTAACCCTGGAGTTTGTTTCCCTGTAATCAAAATCTTGGTCATTGAGATAATTTAATGACTTAAGACCCTGAAAATCAATGTGAACACAGTCCATTAAAAACACTAGGGAAAATCTTTACCATGACCTAAATAGATCAGCAGCCTGACAGAGTAATCAAGGTGCCTGATAAGAGGATCTATTTTTGAGGCTCTGAAAGGCTTTATCTATTGACATTTATTGGATCTCTTCCCTCTCTGCTGGAGGCCTCAGTTAGAGACCTGATGCCTGCTTTATCTCTCTCCCCCAAGGGATTCCCCCTCTCAGCTTTTACCAGCAGCACTCAGCTCTCCAGCTATTTATTACCTTGGATCAATGACACTAAAATAACACCAGCCACCAAGTCCACTAACACAGATAACCCTGAAGAAAACTGAAGGTCCGACCCCTGGACTTGAGTGGGGTCAAAGTACAACAGATTCAGAGGGCAGAGACCTGATATTAGCTCTACACCTCTAAGCCTCAGAGATTGCGCCCATATTTTCTGTAGATCCTCCTTTATTGAACAAAACACTATCACCCCGCCAGCTAGGCCTACTGTTAGAGACACATGTATAACTACAAAGTGCCCGTAGTCCTCATTACCAAGGTTGTCTAAACTTACAATACTTTGATGCTTTTCAATTCAACAAACTATAGAATGATAAATATCTAAAAGCACAAAGCTAATGAAAAAACTATCCTACAGTCATTAACCACAAGCTGCTGCGAGTCAGAAAGAAGCAATAGTGGTCGGTAGGTACTGATAGAGCCCTAGTTCAGAAAACAAATCCTCAAAACTCAGAAACAAAAACGAATTGGTAGATTTTATCCTTCGTAGTGTTACGCTCTGAAAAACAAAACCAAATCCCTCTGCTCATGTGGGAGAATGAGAAACTTTGTTCATTTTGTGCTGAAGTTGTACTTCTTCCTACCTGCTGTGTCTCTCTGCTCCACCTTCTGCCACAGATACAACACTGCCAACTCCTTTTATCCACAAATCAGCAAATACTGATGCTCCCTGAGTTTTTTTTAGTGCCTTATAAAGACACACATAACATTTGAGTCTGTTGCAGACAAATGGAGAGCAGCAGTCAGACACAATGATGTTGTTTCCAAAGACGAAACAGTAACACTTTACTTGACGCCTACGTCTATACCGTATTATAAATATATGTATAATGCATTATAATTACATTATAGCACTGTATAACTACAGTTATAAACACAGTTGCATTGCATTATCTATGTGGGCATTGTCAGAGAGTTGTTAACAGTTATAATAAACAGTTAACATTATAATACCTGACCTTGTAAGTCATGATAAAATGCTTTATAATGTGTTCTGATTATTGCTATAAAGTATTATGATTATTTTTGAGTGATTATAACGCATTGTGCATATATTAGAGGTAGGCATTAAGTAAAGTGTTACCAAAACAAAAAAAATTAATGTTCCCTGAATCATATATTTTCTACAGTATTATTGATATTAGTAACGTTGTTGCAAAGCTACAGAATACATAGAGGTATAAAGTTGTTAAACATGCTGAATATCAGCATAAAGAGCCGACTTATATGAATCATTTCTGCAGAGCTGTGGTTGAATAAAATGAGGCTCAAACTACTAAAACAAGAGACCCGAGTGTCCACTTTTCCGTATACTTGTTCTTCTTTATGAAATACCAGCGGGACAAAGGTCGTAGATGCAGCCCAGCTTCAGTCTCTCTGCACTGATTTTTCACCAGTCTGTCAGCTAGCCCAGAGTCATGAGAAAACACAAATTAGAAAATACAGACAGAGAAGAAACGCTGCAATATGAATGATAATTCAGTGGAAATATCAAATTTTAGTGTAACACTAATGTCATAAGAAAAACATATTTGTTTGGTTTTTCATCACTTAATGTAAGACAAATGTCGTGTGACTAATTTCTGTCCCAAGCAGCATTGTTAGATGGTGGATATCAGCAATAACAAAACATACCAGGAAGATAAAGGTCCCATACAGGACAAAAGTCACTGTCATGATCAAGAAGACACATGAGAGAAAACAAACAGATTACTCTGAGAAATGAACTCGTGAGTTCCGTCTTAGTTTTCACACTTTGGTATATTCTTCTCTAAAGGTGCGAGCGCTGCAATGTTTTATTTACTGAGGAACGTATGAGAAAAAAACACTCCTTTATTAATTATTTAACGCTGACCTTATAGCTGACATGCCGTTCTGCTCCCTCTCTCTTTCACACACAAGCAAACAGACTCACCAAAACTCAATAAAAATACAGTACAGAGCCCTCTGAGTATCTGTGAAATAAACACTTAGAGAGGCAGGTTCACCAGTTATACATCAAGAACAACTTACAGCAATGTTCGTCAAGTATAAAAACTGTGACTATGATGCTTTATGAAGCTTTAATTCTTAAACTTAAAATATGTGATGAATCCAATAAATCAAGAGATGCTGTTGTTCGTTTTGCATTAAGGTAACACGCCTTTATATGGCACTAAATAAACTTTCTTATAAATAGCTCTGAAAGGTTACAGCCTTAGAAATGCATTCATAAGTGTTATGATTGTGTTTATGGTCCAATTAGACCATATTTCTGACCATAGTCTGATTTCTAGTCCCATACCTCCTGATTCTGCATTTTATATCAAAAAATAAAGATTAGGATTCAGCAAACAGCACAAGCTCCAAGTCCCTCCAATCAAACCCAACGTCTCAACTGTACATGACCCTGCCTTCATATCGAACTCTAAACATCTGCTTCATACATGATTCATTAGAGACATCAGATCACACGTGAACTCATGTCCATTTAACCACAAATCAAACCAGAGTCAGCTTTAGTTTCAGTTCTTTTCTGAGATCAGCCAGAAGTATGAAAATCAGTGATTTACTGAGTGTTACGGAGGGAAAACCACTCTCAGGACACCCAGCTGAGTGTCTTGGAGGATATTTTTCTATTAAAACCTGGATCACATGTGACAGGTGATGGGGGTTTAACCTTCTGTCAGGATCTGTTAGATGAAACCATGCTCTACTGAAGATGTGAAGGAGGAAGATGGAAAAACAGGCTTGCAGTGGAAGGGGGATGTGGAAAAAACAAACCAATGAGGAGAGAATAAAAATAGATAATGGAGGAAAACAGAAAAGTGGAGACAGAATGGAGCGATTGATGGAGATCGGCTGTTCTATGTCTCTTCCTCATGAATTATGTAGGTTAGTGCTTTCGTACCACATGTTTTCTGCTGCTTTGTCACACAACTGGACAGGCAGGAGCATAAACCTCAGATAAAACAGTCGATATTAGACAAGGCAGATAAATAAGAGCTAAAACAATCTGAAATCTAAGTTGTTTTAAAATAAAGGTGTTAAACTTCTGCAGCTTTTCCTTAAGAGATGATACATGATGAAGAAGACCAAAAATTCAGACGACTACATCACAAACTAGTGGAAGCAAAGAGTTTCCAAGAGTCCAACAGTTCCCTGTCCTGAATCCTTCATAATGAAAAACATCCAGTAATAAAACACCAAAATAGCTCAGCAGACAGATCTAAATTTAAACACCGTCAGCGTGAAGCTGTCAGCAAACTGTCTTCAACTGTTGAAGATCCCAGAAGAAATTAGCTTTTTATCCTCACATTTGCAAGTCTAATGGAACAATAAATCCCCTCCGAGTGGGATTTGTGTCATCAAGCGAAGCCCATTTCTTTTTGAAGCCTATTTAGAGAAACTGCTTTATACTCTCAATGATGCAGAAAAACATCCGCCCAGGAAGACGCCGGCTTTAGGCAAACCAATGAGCATCGAGTCCACTCGTAAAAAAAGTCAAGTGAAAGTGACAAAAATACCAGAGGGCTGAATGTTCTATTCCTGCAGAAAGCCTTCGAAGCACCTGACTGCCTCCTCTCAGCAGCTGCGCAGATGGATGCAGAGGCGGAAAAACACCAAAAAGGAAATTTGGTGAGCACGCCAGGAGAACATGAGCCACAGCGCTATACACTGATGTTTTTTTTTACATGACAACCTCAAGCAGCAGCCTCCTCTCCTAATATTATTATCTTATTATTATCTTAATATAAATATATTGTTGATATTATCTTCGATTAATGTGAACGGTAATGTTCAAGCTTATACGCGGTCTATATGTCAACTAGCCCAGGTAACGAAACGTAAGGTGAACGTAATAGCGTAGCTCCTTGAGTGGCAAGAGAGTGGGGGTAACAGTGAAATCCTCCCCTGGAACACAGCAGTGACGCTGCTGAAGAAAATTCTAGGGTAAACACTGACGTATAAGTTTACTGCAAATGCTGACCTCTATTTGTGAGCATTTTTGTATATTTGTGCTGCAGACACTCGTGTTAAAAGCACAAGACCTATGAGTTTTGTGCATTTTGAGCTCAAATCCTGCAGCTTGGTTGCCAAAGGCAGGTTCTGCTGATGTTTGAAGAACTTGTCATAGAATAAAACCAGCTTTCTTACTGAGATCTCAGTTAAACATCCACCTTACTGACAGGAATTAAGAAATATATACTCTTCTATTTTCTGGTTTTATTCTTCCTTAAGCTTCACCTCCATATGTGACACTTTGTAGCTTTGTTAGCTGTGAGGATGGGTGATTCTTTTATTTATAACCAGGTTTTTCGTAAAGCGTGAGTTGTTGGTTGTTTCCAACATTGTGCTAGTATCACTGTAGTTGGCAGTACACCTGTCAGATGGGGCTGGGTATCAATTCAGATTTTCCAGATCGATTTGATTCAATATTACAAGGTCCCGATTCGATTCATGATTCAATTTGATATTGATTCAGTCAGGGATATCAGTTAAAATAATGCTGTAAATTTAACAACGTTAACAACATTAGACATTGTACATTATTAAAACATCGTTATTAACTCGTTGGCGGTGCCTTGAGAGGTGGACTCGCTTCCGCCATGTTTGCTTGCTTGCTGGCAGTAATATCTCACAAGATCTTGTTCCGTGGAAAGCAGCACTAAATGCTGATCACACGAGACTAGCAGGGTTGATACTTCAGGCTGCTTCTCCGCATGTTCAATAAGGAAAAATACTCAAGTTATAAGATCCATCTTTGGGTTTTATGAATCGATTATGACCCAATTAAAGGGAAATTGATTAAGAGTGACTGAATCGATATTTAAAACCCAGCTCTTCTATCAAAGATGCTACTGTGTGAGAGAGTGTGAAAACTTGCAGCGTTGAAGATCTGGGGAAACAAGAGTTGAAATACGGTTCAGGCAGCGGTTACCTGTCCGAGTCTGTTAGCCTGACACCTTCAAATGCATGTTAGACTGCATACACACACATGTGCCCTTGGCCACATGACTAACTGCAGTCACAAAGTCCACTATATGATATGGTGCCATACGGTGTGGTTTACTTACACATCTATCATGAAACTTTAAAGCTTTGTTTTTGTGATTTCTTACAGATGTGCTGTGCTGCAGCAGAAGAAGAAAAAGCATCTCTTAGCATTTAGAGCTGAACAGGCGGTAGGGTAGGAGACCACCTCGTATTTAAAGGTCAAATATTAAATATTTAATTCGAGCAGCAGCAGCCATTTGTCCTGCTTATGTGTCCTGAAGCAAAACAAACAACTGCTGCTTTTTCATTTACTGTAGAAAATCCTCCAGAGTTGGCCTGAAAATAAATGGACCAAAAGTTAACTGCAGTGTTAGGATCTCAACTACTCTGAGTCACTTTTCTGCAAAATACCATCTTTGTGTATGAGTGTTGTCTGCACACTATGAAAATGGGCAATCATACGTTCATTTAGAAAAAGTGCTCTCTTGGTTGTGAAGGTACGTTTTTTTGTTAATAGAGAAAGTCTCACTCAAACTGTCAACAAATCCTCCACTAAACTTCAAGTATCCGTTCATTAGTCCGATAATACTGCCATCATTACAAAGTATTTTCTATTTAATCAAAAGAGGCTGCTCTTTAGTAAGCTGGACATGAAATGTGCAAAGTTGTACCTTATCTGTCATGAAACAACTCTAAAATCAAACAGGAGAAGAGCCTCTTCCACCTTTAGCTAGGACTGGGCGATTATATGATCATGATCGATGAATTTCAGTTCGATCACGGTGATCAGCTGAGAGCATAGTTACTCGATCAATCATAGAGGAAATGTGCGTCACAACAGCCAATCAGAGTCGAGCTTTTCCTGCTCACTTCTGTAAGTTGCCGGAGAAGTAAATAGGAGAAGTAAACAGAATGACCGAACATTGAGCTAAACGCGGAGCTGGGGGCAGCAAGATAGATGTCAGCCGTGACTTTGAGTCATCCTACGAAGATGTTATTGTTGAGAAGTTATTCAACCTTGGTTGTGTGGCGGTGGTTCGGGTTTCTCCAAAGTGACGTTGAGTAATTAAGCCGATGAGCAAGGTATGTTAGCGATCGGTGCTCTCAAAAACCAGCTACACAACACATCTGTTTAATCATTTGAAGAAGTACCTTCCAAATAATTCTGCGGAAAGCATGAAAATGTGAGCGGAGTCTGTACAGCCTGTCACTGCTGACGGCACGAGTAGCATTGGCGGTTTAGGCGCAACTAGCAGTACAGCCACCAAACCTCGGCAGTGATTGATCGATTAATTGCATCATTTACATTTACATCATCTAATGTTTACATTTTAAGGCGTCTTCATTATCTCTGAGGGGGCAATTTGTTTAAATATTGGTCTTGCATACCTGCAGAAACACTCAGGACTGTAAACTAAATCACTGTATTATTTAGTATTTATCTACATTTTTTGTACTGTTGAGTTAAAATGTTTTTTATATTTTTCTAAGTGTTTCTTATTCAATTTGCTTTGTTATTTACTTTGTATGTTAATAAAATATTGAACTAATCTCTAGTTTCTTTAGTTTTTAGTACAGATGCTTTAAAACAGGCAGTTAAAAAAAATTGTGACAATAATCGAGATCAGACGATATGACAAAATATATTGTGTTAATTTTTTTTGCCAAATCGCCCAGGCCTACCTTTAGCTCATCATCCCCATGTGGACAGATTTGAGCGCAGTTGGGATTAGAGTGCACAGCCCAGCTCTGTGCATCAGAGTGTAGAGATGCAGGCAGCTTATCTTTTTTATCAGACACTGAGCAAGAGCAAACTGAATACAACTCCAGAACTTTAGGGATGTCTTCTACACTTACATGTCATCAGGGTAAAATCTTTGTTAATTGGACGGAGCAGAAAGTGGAGAAAATTATGTACCACTCTTCTTAGTGGACCTCCTCCTCCAGAGTATACCTGAGCCCTGTTTACCAGTGTTATCCTATCACATGTGTACAAAGTTCTCAGTCTTGTCCTGGGTTTTCACTTTTCACTGATTTCAGGAGGTTGCTTAAGTAATGTTTGCAGAGTCAGACATGGTCACAGCAGCCAAAGACTAAAATGAGTTTTATTTGGTGCTGTACGGCAGGCTCTGAGCACCGTGGTGGTTCCAGCAGCAATAACACAAACATAAACTTTTTTAAAGTTACGTTGCTATCAAAAGTGAGTTTCTGGACCTCTGATACTCAGTAGTTTACTGTCTGTGGCACTCTCACTGTGACTGTATGTGTTACTCACCACTTCAAGATCTCCATCACCAGGCAGTTTGCGGTTGTCTGCGTTGTTTTCTCTTCCTCCTCCATCGTTGTGGCTGTTTGCCTCTCTTTCCTTCTGCTCAAAATACTCCAGAAAAGACGGCTTGGCTGGCTGCATCGTCTCATCTCTCCCTGTGAGACAAAGAATCAACACCTTATTCATGATAGCAGAGGTACAAGACGCTTCCTCAAACCATGGAAGCAAACCGTGTGCGCAGTAAAATACCAAAATAGAAAGAGACAGAAAACAAGTGTTCAGGTATCAGCCAAAGAGCTCAAACTCATAAATGGATGATGAATAATTCAGTATTATCTTAGCAGCTTGTTCTAACACCCAGCTCTGAAAGTACAGCACTCTGGTCAGCAGCTCTTTGCTTGAAAATATAATGACCACCGAATGTCATATCTGGAGGCTGTACTGAAGCACAACTTGATTAAGTGACAGAAATACGAGTCCACAAAAATTGAATACATCACACCACATGATATCACGATATCACATCAACTCACATAATATCATACACTCAAGTATCATATAACATCACATAATATCACATCATATCATATACTCATGTATCATGTCATATTGCATTGCATAACACATCGTATTGTTTGTGTTGTATCATATCATATTGTATCAAATCACATCTTATTGTATTGCTTGATATTGTATCATATCATATCATATTATAGTCTTGTATCACACTGTCTATCTGTGTTAGTAAATACTTCTCCTTTGCTGAGATAATCCATCCATCTCACTGGTATGGCATATCAAGATGCTTATTAGACAGCATGATTATTGCACAGGTGTGCCTTAGACTGGCCACAATAAAAAGGCATGATGCAACAATCTGTACACAATTCCTTGAAGCTGAAAACATCCCAGTTCTTGCATGGTCAGCATACTAACCGGATGTCTCACCCATTGAGCATGTTCGGGATGCTCTGGATCGGCATATACACATTCCAGTTCAAGTTCCTGCCAATATCCAGCAACTTCGCACAGCCATTGAAGAGGAGTGGACCAACATCCACAGGTCAAGATCAACAACCTGATCGACTCTATGTGAAGGAGATGTGTTGCACTGCGTGAAGCGAATGGTGGTCACACCAGAAACTGACTGGTTTCCGAACCCGCCTTGGACGCCCCCGATACAGTAAAACTGCATCTTTTTGAGTGGCCTTTTATTGTAGCCAGTCTAAGGCACACCTGTGCAATAATCATGCTCTCTAATCAGCATCTTGATATGCCACACCTGTGAAGTGGATGGTTTAGCTTGGCAAAGAAGTGTTCACTAACACAGATTTAGACACATTTGCCAACAATATTTGAAAGAAACAGGTCTTTTGTGTACATAGAAAAAGTCTTAGATCTTTTGAGTTCAGCTGATGAAAAATGGAAGCAAAAACTAAAGTGTTGCGTTTATATTTTTGTTCAGTATACATTGTATTGAATTGTATCGTATCATATTGTAAGGTAAACGACATATCTAAAGACATAATTTAAAGCCGAAGCTATCAGATACAAAAGAGCCGAGTGATGGCTTGTGCCATAGAGAGGCAGTGAAGGGAGCAGGCGTGGTTATTGAAAATTAAATGGTGAAAAAAAAAGTTGAGACATGAATTTTGATTGTGTCTACACAAATGGGCAGGAAGGCGCTGGGGTTTTCTCTTAGTATGAGTTTACACTTCAGTGATAACCCTTGTTAGTCCAGCATTTTCGATTTTCATTTTCCATATAAAACTGACTTTAAGGTGGCATTAATTGGATGCCTCTTGCACATTGACCACTATGGTGAGCTGGAAATAAATCTGTGTTCTTCTCATGCTCAGAGTTCATCAGTCAGCCTGTGTAGAAAAGCTGCTTAATGGATCTTAAACCCTTCCACAGAAACTATTCATCTTTCGTATTTGCCACGGTTTGTCAGATTTGTGTATGCTCAGCTTGATAATGATGACAAATGTTGACACACTAAGCTGTTGGCTCCCATTAGCTCCCTTTAGCGTATCCCTTGAATCTCTACTCATCTCCTCTGTGATTCCTTGGTTTGTTTTTCCTTTAAGCACAAAAGCAGTTTTAACTCTACTATCCTCCTGACTGTAAGAGAACAAACGGCTGTTTATTCTCCGTTTCTGCTGCCAGGAGCCTCCTCACTGGGACCTCATAAGAGTCGGTGTTTAAGGTAACATTCTGCAGATTTCTTAATATGGAGTTTTTCAACAGGATCTGATAAAGGAAGGTCAGAGCCATAAAAAAACATGCTGTAAAGTCTCTTTGATTCCAGTTTGGTATCTGCTGTTAGCGCAATTATCTGGCTGGTCAAAGATTCCTTCCAACTGTGCTTCATATCCCTCTAAACTGTGACCTGCTGTGCTTCTGCCAAACAAACTAATGTGGAGGCAGTGAGGCTGCCGCCGCCGCCACCTCTGTTCTTACACTCCCGCATGTTTACACTCATAATGTATGTTTCGTCGTCTGTGGGGAACTGTTGCATTAGTGTGCTCATTACTGGGATGTATTACACGATGAATGTTGTTCATCTCTTAAGGGGAAAGTTTAAAGAGAGGCAGCCCACACAGTCATTAAAGTTCAGAGATCTATGTGTTGAAAACATGGGCTTTCTCTACTGAACATCCTCTTAACCTTTCTGTACTAAAGTTGGTTAAAGTTTCCTTTTTTTCTCCAGGCAATTTGTTTATAAGGAAGCTTCAGTATGTGTTCTTATGGTGTCCAATGGCTCTTACAACTTTGGCAACTTTAGACTCTAAACCTTTTCAACCTATCCAGTTCCAATGACGGATTTGGGCTGATTTTTTTCTTTGCCCTAAGTGCCATTGACGGATTTTGATGGATTTTTTAGTTTTTTTGTTTTTCACCAGAGGGCGCTCCTCCGCAACATGCGACTAAGTTTGGGGTCGTCGCAAAAAAGGTAACAAATACGTCATAACCATGTTACAATAACAAAAACAAGTACTCGCCAATAAGAAGTGTGCCAATCAGCCTAGTTGTGGAGTGCTTTCTCTCTATGAGGAGAGTATGAAAATGCCAAAGTCATTAGCCAAGAGCTAACGGTCTCGGCGCACACTTACTTCTAGTCTGAGCACAAGATATTCTGTGGGTCCTGAAAGATACGGAAATTTCTATTGCGGTGAATGGTGGCACTGGGTGAAAATTGCGTAAGTGAACCTGGCACTGGATGAGTTAATTGCAAAGGCTAAAATGTGAGACCCCAGCTCAAAAGTGATTGGCAGTGAACCAAAAAGTGACATCAAAGAGGTTGAACCCACTTGGTTCTGATCCTTCCATGAAATCTGACACCATTTTTCTGAATTGGCTTCACCTCCTCATCTCAAAGTCCAAAGTCTCATGTACGTATTGATTGGCTGACGTGAACTGCCTCGGTGCAGAAGTTGCATCGGGAACTTTTGCTTGACCTTTTCCAGCCCTGTAAGTGAGAAAAGCATTTCTTTCCTGCATCATCTGTTGGGTCCGTAAACAGCAGAGACAGACAGACGATGAGAGGAGCTGAATGATGCTGGAAAGGTCAGGAGGTTGATTTAAATTTGTTAGATGCAGATTCACCGCAGTGCTGCACCCGATCGCCCTTTTATAATGAAATCATCATTTTGACAGAACTCATTTAGGCCCTCTTTCCACTATCTGACAGCAGATAATTAAAGTTGTGTGATGAGGGGGGGTGTCTTTTTACTGGAAGAAACATAAGCCAAAATATTTTCACAGCATCTGAGTAAAAACTATGGTTTAAAACCGTGTCAGCGCACAGTGAAAGGATTTAAGGGGTTGTTTAAGAGCTTGATAAATGTTCACGATGGAAAGAGTAAAAATGTTTTGGTTATTGCCATCTTTGACCAATGTTTGGGTCCACTATCTGGATCTTTCTGCCCCCTCTCTGTCCATCAGATCAGATATCACTGACTGCCGTGGGTTTGATAGTGTTAACTCTATTAAAGCAAAAAAAATATTTTTGACTGATTTTTTTTTTCAGGCCAGCTCATATCATCTCGCACCACACTAAAAGAGTGGCACCTTTCTAAACAGTGCAATCATTTCCCAAAGCTTTCAAGTAAAAAGGTTAAGTGCCGTAGTCTATTAGCCCTTCCGTTTTTCTAATAACCACCGTGTCTCTGGACCCAAGCCGCACTACAGGACAGACAGAGGATGGTGGTGGACGCCACCGCAGGCACGGGCATGCTCGGAGCCCGCTGCCAGGTGCACCTACTTGCCGCCACTGCCACTACCACTAGCCGTGTCATGACGCAAGGGGACGTTTCTCACTCATCTGTGCGCCGTCACAGCGAGAAGCACCAACAGCCCGCTTCTCCTCCTGAGCTGAGGAGGGGTTGCTTTTTTTTTTATTTTATTATTTTATTTTCCAGTTATATTGTCCATACCAGTGGACTTGTTCACTGTTTTTTTTTTTAAACACCGGAGCGTAATGGCTGAGAAAACCTCCAGCGGGTAACTGGTCATGATGCTGGAGCCTATGTCGGCAGTGGTGATGATACTGCTGGTGGAGATCAGACAAGTTACTTTAGATCCTTCCCTGGGGGACAGTGGTGAACCCGCCCTTCTCTGTTTCTGATTGGCTAATACCAAAGCCTTGGTTGGCTTTTTTGGTTTACAACAGTGTCATGATTTAATTCGATAGTCAAAACTCAATCAAAGCATTTTTTTTTCCAACTGATGGAAATCTGTCTAGAGATGGAGAATTACAGAGTAGTAGTGATGTTTGTTTGGAGATAATCAGGTTTAAAATAAACACAAGTTTGGTGCTCTGGAGTGGAGCTGCTTGATTATGGCTGGTTGCCCAAAAGTCCGAGTGCGCCTCATATACAGTACAGGGGCTGTGGGCTGGAGCAGGTAAACAAATAGGACTTGGTTTGACAGATATGTGACCATACAGACTACTAACACCTGTGTTTATACATACAAGCAGAATCAGACTCACTATTTACTCTCTGCAGATGGCTTTCAAAAGCCTTACTAACTAGATTAAGATCTGTCTATCACAATAAAAGCTGCTTTAAAGAGGAGACTCATGCAAAGAGGATTACAGACAGGAAAGCAATCTGCTCTATCATGAAATCAAAGTTACAGTTTAATAAAGTAAAGCGACATGAGAGCTGTGCACTTACAGAGAGATATGTAGTATAATCAGTTAAGTAGAGCTCCGAAAGAAAAAGAAAACATCACTTGACTTCTAAGTAGTTATTTAGAGTCGATTAAGACCCCAAGGATAGAACAAAGTGTTCCAGATAAAGAGACGGTGTTTACAACAAAGAGAGGAGAAGGACTCGATATAAATCATGACTTTAAGTGGATTCATCTCTGCAAACATTCATGGAAAGTTTGAGTTATTGTCACGATAGCAGAATGGAAATGACTCATGTCAAAATCCTTCTTCTCGTTGGCTCCTGCTCTGTGTTTACTTCAGAGAGGAGGGTCCAAAACAACAGACAATTAACCCTGAAAATAAATAACAGCATTACACAGTGTAACTACCTGCAGCTAAATCCACCTCCCATTTACAGGCTTCAAAGGAGATCAGTGTTTTATTTCTGCTCGGTTTCTGACACTGAATCTGAGACTGTGGTTTGAATTATAAATAATACAGTCTGCTGTCAAAAACACAGTCAGACGTCTCTGTGACCCAGCATGAGAGGTCCTCTCTGTGAGAAGTCTGTCACAACAACTTCACCAATCCTGAGTTGAAGTTTTCTGGAGGCAGTGTGTGTTTTTAGAGGCTTTCTTGGTTTGCTTTTCTGTTTGTAACTTACTTTTTAATACTTTTATTCGGTTCAATCCATCCCTACTGCAAATTAGTTACAGCGCAGAACAAGATTAGACCAATAGATGGGCAGATGTAGAGGATCCTAACATGGATCCTGGTGACAGAGGGTCAGTGGCTAATCAGTGTAAATTAAAAGGCTTTTTATAATTCAGGACCATTAGAGAGGATCGATACCTGACGTAATATCTTATCTAACCCTCAAGGCCCCTCCAGCATCAGACGGTGGTCATTAGCGCGCACACACGCACACACAAAGGCAGAGATAGACACACAATAAACACACAAGGATTGGAAGACACACTCAGACAAACACAACTGCAGGACAGCAGGATACTAATGTAATTATGAAGTCTAAATGTTCCTGCGTTAACGTGGTTTCAACTGCCAGCAGAGGAGATCTTTACTAATTCAATAATTGGACATTAGACAAGAGACAGTGTGTGTGTGTATGTGTGTGTCTGTGCATACATTCGAGTGTGTAACAGATGTACATGAAGGCAGTCAGGGGGTTTACATGAGCACCTCTCTGCTGTTGGGATCAACGTTTCTCTGATTGAAAACACAGGAGTGTGAGGGTGTAATTTGTCCTGATCAGGTGTTTACATGCTCAAGGTGACAGTATGCTAAAACCGGGTTTTAGTGGAGTGACATCATGGTGCAGCCCGCCAACACAATGAAGATGGAGGTCATCTGTCTGTTCGCTGGATTCATGTGAAAAGAGAGCCTTGTTTCATTAGCTGCGTTTACATAGGCACAAATAATCTGTTTAAAGACCCAATCAGAATAAAAGATGCGTCATGTAAACATGCCGATCGGGAGATTCTGATCCAATTCGGCTCAATCGGAGAGAAATTGTATGCCAATCCAGAGGGGTGGTTTATGCCAATCGTGAATCCGAAACACGTCCATGTAAGCATTTATTCCTATCGTGACTCTCTGACCTGACTCGATCTTCGCTCTTTTTAGCCTTCGGTTTATTTATTGAGGCCAGTAAATGAGGTTACATTATTAACACCCTGGTATAAAACACAACCACTGGTGACGTGTCTGCTCCTCCGGTACCATAACAAGGCGTACATACAGAGTAATGATGTTACATTTGCACGCACAGTACAACCTTTGACAGAACAGTAAAATAAGTAAGCAAGGGCGCCATCTAGTGACAACATTTAACAGGGGGAAAATCTTGAAGTGGATGGAGAAAGCCACTGATGCGTTAGTTGGTTTGTTGACAGCACAGGCATAACTCTACTCTGGGCTTGTTTGGAGCATTTAAAGCTCTGTATAAGGGACAGTAGGGCAGCTCAGTCATCGTCTATCGATTATCTTGATTGACTTTCATATCACTATTATTAAAAATAATTGTCTACAAGCATTTACACAACTTAAAAACTCTTTGAGGCTCTAAAACTCTTAATTCTTTGACAAGCATCTGAAGTGTTGAAAAGGTCTAACCTGCCTTTTTTATATTTACAGAAGCCTGTTTGTCATGATGATTTAATAAAATGAAAAAAAAAAGGTTGATCTACAACTGAACAAGACCTTTCATCACTTCTTCACTTTGAGACCTTTGACTTTATTTCGGTGATTACTAAACTGGAAGCCAGATTTCGCTCACAGTGAAGTATTTCTACACTGTGACATAAAAATTGAAGCTCTTTTACCACTTTCATTTTATCACAGGCTGCAGATCCGGTAAATCTTTCTTTTTGTTTTAAGTTCTATAAAACATCCTTTATAACGTCTCGGCTTGGGCTTATATTTTATTATGATTCTGGACAACGTCTCGTCACTTTTAGAGTAGTTGTTCACTCATTAGAGCATGTTCACACTCTTGATGAAACAGCCTCTATCTTTGTGCTCATCCTGTCCCTCAGATTTCAGACACACACCTGCCTCCTCCTCCTCCTCCTCCTGCTCCTCTCCCTGCTCTCCTCTCTCCACCTGTGGCTCCCTGATAGTTCGTATGTCTGTTGTATGTGTTGAAATTACACTCTGGTCCTCCATTCATCTTATCAGAAGCAGAAAATGGACTTTGTCTCTCGTTGATCAGAGCTGCTTATGATGGAATGAAAGTGAGAGCTGTTTGAGGGGAGGGGACTGCGCCCACACTCTGCTGTTGAGGGAGAGAAGGAGGTCATGCTTCATACAACATGAAGGATGTAACAGAGGAGCAGGCAGCACAGCAGGCAGCAGAATATTGTTGAGTCTGGATCATGTTTTGATGATTGTTGGGAAGAAATCATCAAAATTGAAATCTGATTAATTGCCGAGCTAAACTAATTACTGAACGAAAAAAAACTAGACTACATATGGATTATATTGTTAAAAGATAGAGATAGGCTTGAAATGAAATTGTGCCAAAACAGGCCATTGGTTAATCGATTAATGGAGATAAAATCATTTCTCCTCGATGTAAAACAAGACCAGATGCACAGATGAAGAGATCACATATGCAAAGAAAAAAAAAGACGAAACAAAAATTTAAAAAATGATGCAGACAGGACATATACTGGTGCAAACAAATTCACAAGTGGAGTGGAAATTAAAGCAGACTTTTTGTTTTCAATCATTTCTGGAGGACCCCATAAATCCCTATTTATGTCCCTTATGCTGGAGGAGCTTTTCTTCAACTTAAGTTCCTCCAGCTGCATCAACGCTTTGGTTTTTTCCTGAAAGAAGTTTGAAAACAGACTGTGCCGGGTGGGATTTAGCTCTAAACCTAATATTGCTCTACTATGATGCATGTATGTGGATTTTTAAACCACCACCACCATCATTATAAATCAGTTTAGTGGTGAGTCCATCTGGATGTTGTTAATCTGCAGACGGCTTGTTACGCTGCTGTTCAATCTCCATCACTTTGACTCTGTATTTGAATCATTTGTCAGGAACTGATTTCCACCACAGTCTCCGTAAAAGCTGCTATTTTCCCTCTGAAGTTTTTGTCCTTACAGACCTCCACAGATGAGACATCAATCTCACTACACTATGTGATGTGGGAGTTCCAATATTGTGGCTCTAACTTCCACAGTTGCTTTGTTTTTGTCATTAAAGTGAAATAAGCTCCACGAGCAGTTGGATTTCTGGAGTCACACGGAGCAAAATTAAAAATACACACACACACACACACACACACACACACACACACACACACACACACACACACACACACACACACACACACACACACACACACACACACACACACACACATTTAAACCCAGCGTGCTGTAGTGTCTCATTGGGGTTAATTCTCCGCGTATAAAAACAAACACATAAAACACACCCACAGACTGTCAGCACTGATGAACACAGTCCAACTCCAAAGCACCCAATACATCCAACGCTTACAACTCCCACACCGCACAAGACTCCAACAGACTGGAGAACCACATACCTCTGAAAAAAACCACACACACTCCAGCAGGAGGGAATAAATGGCTTCAGTGGATTAGGTTTATTAAGTCTGCTAGGCACCAACATTTGGACACAAGTTTGACCTGACTCTGCTCCTCCGGTTTGACTATACCTCTGACTGAATTTGTTTTTAACTGATATATTCAATATTTTTAGATTACTGACATTTTTAGGCATATTTTGGTCTTACCCCAGAAACCAAACCTAAAGGATGGGAGGTTGCAGATTGGAAACTAAGAAACAGTGAACTCACCAAAAAAGATCTGAGGAAAATGGGCCAGACAAACACTGATTAGATGTGCCCATTTATAATTCATCTGTGTTTCTAATAGGGCTGTAAAGTGCTTGTCGATTTGTCAACTTACTGGTTGATGCGTGCCCAGTCGCCCAAAATTCTGATTAGTCGACTCGATTTTTTTCCGTGTCAATTTACAGCCTATGGTTAATTTCATCAGGAGGAACGAAACCAAGGACTAATGGGGATGTTTTCAGAGCACCCCCATTTCATGGGTAACGGCCTATCTCAGGCCACTTTTAGACAGAAACGGTCTCCATAGAAAACGGAAAAGTGCCGTTTCGTTTTCAGTTTTTATGCTGTGTTTACACAAAAACGCGATGTGGTTGAAAACGCTGTAATGTGCATGCCAGGTCGCTAGGTGGCGCGTGTCGGTGTGACCGTGCTCCCATATAGACCAACAACTCATACGTAGAACAACTTCTGTTCTACATTAATTATTTGATGCAAATAATTCAGACGCCTCCTCTACTGAGCAGTATGATCCGTGAGGATTCTGTACAGGTCGAAATTGAGCTCCTGCCCGTTCAATAATAACGACAGCACGACTTGAATGTCTAGCATGGTTGTTGTTATTTTCAAGGAAGCTGTGCATGGCTATGATGTCATAAACATGAGCTGACGTGAGCCATGGCGTCACAGGTTTGACCGTTACAGCGTTTTTGTACTTTAGACGAAAGCGGGACTAGCAGAGCGTTTACAACATTTCCACTCTGGAGGGGGTTTGCACGTTACATTTTCATCTCCTGAAAACGCAGTTGCCGTCTAAACGGACCCCCCTGAACGAAACTAAATTTTTCTGTTTTCTATGGAGACCGTTTCAAGAGTACGTCTTTCACATCCATTCAGTGGTACCTATGTATACATACATTTTTCACACATGCACAAAGTTCCTGAAAAATTCTCCCAGTGAGTGAGCTATATGTGTGAACAGAAACAGCTGATTTTTCACCAGGAGCTCCACACACATACACACACACAGCCCACACAGCGCTGTTCTGCCCTGCTGGCTCTGACCCCGGACATCGTCATCTTCTCTACCAAAAGCTACATCTAATGTCTGATGACTTTTAATCGACTGTTTGTTAAATGAAACTCGACTGTAACAAAGTCCTAAGACAACTAAAATCAGCTGACAGAATAACACTGATTTCCCTGAAGCCCTTCTCAGACATACACTAAGTGTGAGCTGTATTTTCACCTCCACTTCACCAGGAGTATTTTCTGCTCACCCCTCGGTATCATTTCATGTCAGAACACTGCAGCAAATCTTCAAACAATTCCCTGAGAGTAGCAGCAGGTGGAGCAGGCAGGTGGTGTCGATGTTTATAGTGTGGTCAGTCTTCTGTCTTGTTTTGCCTCTGCGTAATCAGTGACAAAGGTGGTCGGTTTGTTGGTTCATTCAAGTTTCTACGTCATAAACAGAAGCATGTTTACTGTAAGAATGAAGCAGCATGTTTTTGTTCACTCGTATGAAACTTTTACCTGAGATTTTAGGAGAGGAGTATTTTAGTGCACCACTCACCACAGTCGACGAAAACCCCCAGCACAGACTCACTTTAAATCACACCACTGCTCTCCATTTGTATTGTCAGAGATGTTGCAGTGTGTTTAGATCCTCTATTACACAATCCATCATGTTGAAGGGAAGTAGTATGAGTTACATGTCACCGGTGAGTGTATTAACCACGATTGATGCCGGTCAGCTCATCCCTTTTCACGGGAAAACCACCAGAAGAAACAGGAATTGATGTATTCTGCCATTTTCAGCAGATAGGCTGACTCTGCCGATTAATTCATCTGATTTTGAGAGACTCTGACCGGGGCTTCGTCTAGGTTTATGTATGCACTCTACCCAGAAATGTTTCAGCACTTTACCATCATCCACAATTTGTGGACACAACAGACACAGAAGTAAATCTGGTTCAGTGTAAAACGTTTCATCATGACTCGCACAGCGTCTATTCTGACTCAAACCTCTTGAAATTTTCCACAGCACGTCTGAAAACAGCTTTGCAACTCTATAAACTAAACCACTAACCCAGGGAACTTGTACCTACTTTAAACAGTGATAAAAACGTCTGTTTCAGATGTGAAAGGAAAGTCCTTGTTGGTTAAAGCATCAAAACATAAAATAAATGAGCCCAAACACACGGACACATCATTAAGATCCTCCAGCTTACAAGGCAGTCAGGAAAAACAGTGATGGTCTCATTGCGCCCTCTAGTGGATATAAACATCTCCAGCTGCAGGGTTTGGTTCATCAAAATGAAACAGCTCTAGTACCTTAACTCACTGAACCTTTTTAAAATTTCCCTCAACAGTTGGTGGTCAGCTGTGCTAGCCAATCACGGCTCAGCAGTGTGTTTGAAATGTAAAATTTTAAAGAGAAATGATGTGTTCTTACTTTCTCAAGAGAGTTGACTGCAGTGACAGTCAGTGACCAGAGTTAGTTTGAAATACAGCAGCGTGTTCCTCAATCTGATAGTTCCTTTATAAACAAGGAACCAAAATCCGCATCCTCTTCATCAAACGTGACAACCTTTTTTTATGCTGAACTTCCACGCCTACACATCAGTCTTCATGGCCCACACACACACACACACACACATCACATTAGTCTGTTTATGGTCTGCTGTAATGTTCTTACTTTTCATGGTGCCGCCCTCTTCCTCATCCTCATCGTCAGAGTTGATGACCATGGTGCCCAGCTGTGACTGCATGGTTCCCGTGTCCTCGTGTTCGATCATGGTCCGTGCCGTGCCGCTGAGTGAACTCGCTAATGAGCCGGCGGCCCGGATCGTTCCTGAGTCCCCTGTTCCTGCTCGCACCATCGTCCCCTGGTCGACCTCGTCTTCGTCCTGAAACACACCAAGGTAAAGTCTCAACCACGCATTGAGAGTACCCTTATCACAGCAAGAACAACTGATATAAACAAAGTGCCCAAACTCCAAACTTCAAAGTTTTTCATTTCAGCATAAACTGATGAATCGTAGACGGATGTCCCTGATACTGAGTTACTGGCAGGGTCTGAAAGTGACACCTGCCAACTATTAAAGGAAGGCAGATTTTTGGTAAATCTCAGGAGGCTTTCTGCCACACAGTGGAAACATGCTTGTACCAAAATAGCCTCGACCAAAAAGGAGACAAAAACTGATAAATAAGATCAAGTTTGATGGGATAACCACTTCCTCCTGCAGCCTGTGTGCCAGAGCTGCACTCAGAACTTTTACACAACGTTAAAAAGAATCTAATACTTGCAGAAGTCCGACTGAAACTGGACTTTTAGATGCGCGTAAACATGTTAGACAAACTGATATCAAGACGTCAGACTGACCAAACATGTATGTCTTGCATGTAAAAGCATCAATAGGAGTTTGCACGCAGCTCCTCCACCCTAAAGTTGAACAGTATAAATTTATTGCAGGACACTGTAGTGAACAAAACCTCCCTGTCATAAAAAGTAATTTTGAACCTTTTTTTCATGTGTGTGTGTGTGTGTTGGGGGGGTACATTTCTTCACAGCTGCTTGTTTGGTTGAGGTGAGAGCAGGTAAAAGGATGCAGCACAGAAAGTGAAGTTATAAGCTGACATTTCAGGCTCTTGACAGAATATTTTTCAGTTACATTAAGAAGGATTTGCACCAGGATCAGCTAAAATCCCTGACAACAGTGGCTGTCAACTTAAGCATCTGACGGTTTTCTGCAGATTTGGTGCTTTTCGTGTTTTCGTGCTCGTACCGAGTTGTCATCGTCGTCTGCATCCTGCTCCCTCTGCTCAGCTTCCTCCTGTCTCTTCAGTTTGATCTCCATGGCGTCTGTGATCAGGGCCCGCAGGATGGAGTTTGGCTTGGCTGATTTGATGAATGGATGCTGGAGGGCACAGAGACAGGAGGAGAGGGAAAGGTTAGACTGATGAGAGGAGCAAAGTGCAAGTGCATTTTCTGTCTTTCTAACCAGAACGCAGACTACAAGCTTAGTACAACAGCTGTGAACTAAAACCAAAAACAGATCAGTTCTAGCTCAAGACAACAGAATTTAAACATAAGAATAATATCATCAGATCATGCCTTCTTTTTTTCTGATCATGCAAAATGGACCTACCAAATGTTAGCTGTCTTTACAATGTCATTAAGTGGCCAATTAAAACTTCACTTACACTGAATCTGCTGTGAAAAAGAGGAAATCTACCTGTAACAACTGGGTTGCAGTGGCTCTATTTTCTGGGTTTTTTACCAAGCACTGAACAACAAAGTCCTTAAAAGCTGGAGACCACTGATCTGTGTTTCTAAACGTTGGTGGAGGGTTGGTGGGAATCATGAAGATTGCCTGAAAGAAGGAAAGAAGGAACATCATCATTCAGAACACCTAAAGCTGAAGTAAGACTTTGTATAATATTGAACATAACACAGAATAGGTTTCTACATGAGATTCTGACAAAAACACGGACTGTCTCTCACCCTCATGGGATGGATGTCAGCGTAAGGTGGCTTCCCCTCAGCCATCTCTATCGCTGTTATTCCCAAAGACCAAATATCAGCGACACAGTTGTAGCCGATCTCTTGTATGACCTCTGGAGCCATCCAGAAAGGCGTGCCGATGACAGTGTTACGTTTCGCCATGGTGTCCTGAGGAAATAGTGGAGGTAGAGAAATAAAGAAGAGAAGCATGATTGGAAGAGGATCTGACTGTCAGTGTGGTGCTTGACAGTGCACATGAGATTTTAGTTTTTCTAGGCAAAAAGAAAGGAAGAGGATATAAAAGCTCTGGCAGGAAGGAGAGCTGAATGAAGGCAGAAATGTCAGCATGAGTATTCCTGCACACCAGTTTTAGTTTTCTAAGACGATTGAAAAAGTTGACATCATCTCAAAACACAGTAATACTCTAAACCAGTGGTTCTCAAGTCCAGTCCTCGAGGCCCACTGTCCTGCATGTTTTTGATGTTTCCCTGCTCCAACACACCTGATTCAAATGATCAGCTCGTTATTAAGCCATTCCAGAGCTTGATAACGAGCTGATCATTTGAATCAGGTGTGTTGAAGCAGGGAAACATCCAAAACATGCAGGACAGTGGGCCTCGAGAACTGGACTTGAGAACCACTGATCTAAAGAAATGTGGCTGCTGCACCTGGAAACTCGCTGCTTATTCAGAGCAGATAAAAAAAAAAATAACTTCCTTTCAGTCCAAGTGTGAGCAGTGAAGCGTTGGCAGCGATCTCAGAACTACACACCAGGTTTGTGACGGTTGAATTTTGAGTGCTTCTCTGACTGTATTATGGCTGAGTCATTATCACAGATCGTTGAAGGAGAAACAGCACCAGATGCAACGTGACACCAACTCTGAACGGCCGTCTTTCATAGAGGCAGGTAAAGGTCAAAGCATGATGAAGTTGGATAGCTGAGGGCAGAGCTTAGCAGCTCCTGTCTGCAGTCTGTCTCAGCTCTCTGTGCTTTAGATGACTTTATGAGTCAAGCTGTCTGAGCAGCTTTTAAACCAGATGAGCTTCACCATAGCTGTCTGCTGAGTCGGACTCTCTGGCTTTTCTCACGGAGGATGAGCAGAGCGGGACCCTTCTACAGGGTGACTACAGGTATGAAGAAGTTATATTTAGGACCTTTTTAATACTACCATAAAGAAAATTTAAGACTAAACTTGCCATGAAACTACAGACCAAAGTGAAAATATATTCTTTTACAGTTAAAGGCACTGATGTCAGTTAAAAATGTACAATAAGTAAAAATGAAAATAATCAATTGTTCAAGAACATTCTTCAAATGTGTTTATTAACGAAAGAGCATTTTTTAAATTTTTGATTATGCAGATAAGAAACCTTCTGACAGCTACCATAGAGCGTACCAGAATGGTATACCGTGGAAAGATGGCTGTCGTATAGGAATGCTGGTGACTCAGCCGCACGCTTTTCTCATAGATAACTATAGTCTGAGTTTTCAAGCCACTTGTCGTTGAACCGTCATTTTCCCATTTCGCACAACCAAGAAAGCCAAGATGGCTTGCAAGGATGAAACACAGACTCATTGCGTCACGTGACCTAAATGCCGGGGCAAAAATGGCGTTAAGATATTCTTTTAATCGTCCCACAGGGGGAAATTCCAAAGATTTGTTTATTCCATGCTTACCAGACATTCTCACGATGAAGTGACTAAAACACATTTAAGACCTATCTGATCTGAATTTAAGACAATTTATTAATTTTTAAGGCCTTTTATTTGTAAAAATGTATTTAAGACTTTTTAAGGGCCTGCGGTCACCCAGTTCTTTACTTTCTACAATACTGACAATGAAGAAGGGTGGGTAAAATGTGGGGAATGGACACTCATGATGTGTGGAGCTGAAATAAAGGGAATATTTGTTATGAATACATCTATACATTAGTTTTAGTTTTAGTTTTTTTTTTAACAGGAGGCAGGCAGTATCAGTGTTGACCTGTGAAACTGAAAGAATACTCTGATTTTTAATGCTCTCACTCTCTGGTAAAACCTGTTCTCGTAGGATTCAGTGGGTTAAGGTGGTGCTTCATATTTTCGCAGTGTTGAGTCTCCTCACAGTTCATTTTTATCCACAGGTAATGTTATCACTTGATTGTCAACATACCAAAAGACTACATGTAATTTCACTCACTGTGAGTTGTCCAGCAACTCCAAAGTCGGCCAGTTTGGCCTGGCCCTCTGTGTTCAGCAGGATGTTTCCAGCTTTGATGTCTCTGTGGATTTTCCTCATGAAGTGCAGATACTCCAGACCCTTCAGAGTGGAGTGCAGGATGGTGGCTATCTCCTCTTCGGTCAGCTGCTCACACAGACACATAGAGAGGTACAATGAGAGGTCTGTATCTTCAGTACTCAACAGTAATCCTGCGCTGCAGGAGAGTTTCTGTCTTCAGTGATTTCCACTCAGGAGACTTCAGAGAAAATCCTGTAATCATGCACACACGGTCTGCTCTATTTGAGTGTCTGAGTTCTTCTTACCGTCTTATTACGTATTCGGATGATATCAGACACTGATCCGGCCCCACAGTACTCCATAACGATCCACAGGTCACTGTTTTTGAAGTAGCTGCCGTAGTACCGCACCACATGTGGACTGAGCACACACACACACACACACACACACACACACACACACACACACACACACACACACACACACACACACACACACACACACACACACACACACACACACACACACACACACAGATTAACCTCAGGATGGTGTGATTACAGCACAGGACATGTTCAGCACGCTTTTGAAGAGTTTTATTTGCACTTTTCAAAACAAAGCGGTGCTCTCTGCATGTTATTCTGCAGCCAAACAACATTTTTGATCAAACAAAGCTTTGGTACATCTGTGCATTCACATGAGACATACTGACAGCACACAAAACAAAGAGAGCTGACGACCACAGACCTCTGCTGAGAAGCAACTCCACATGAATACAAAGACAGGGGACTGGTCTCCATCAATCACAGCAGCAAAAAAGTTTGTTTAAAAACGAACCTTTTTCTATTTAATGATTTTAGACTTTAATAAAACAAAGAACTGACTATGACCCTGTTACACTGGGTTCCTCATATTGAAAGTAGTTCAACACTAGGGGTGGGAATCACCAGTGGCCCCACGATACGATATAATCACAATACTTGAGCCACGATACAATATTATTCTGATTTTTAACATTTTGCAATACAGTGAGTATTGTGACACAATATATTGCGGTTTCTACAGTTTTTTCAACTGTTAAGCTAATTTAGCATTTGTCTTTCCTTTATGTTTGTCTTATATAGACAGTATTTTATTTTCAAGTAGCACTTACTGCAACCCTTAAATGTCAGGTCCATCTCATTTGTGCCCTGCTTGCATTCCTAATGTTCCTCCCCAGGTGTTGCTATATTTGTTATATTAACTTTCTCCTGCTCTATGATGTCACCTCTGCCAACCTCACTGGACAAACAGTTGATTTTATTTTTCCATTATCATAGATTTGACTTCATATTAACAATTAATTTGAAAAAAAAAATCAATACTTGGTAAACAAGATGATACAATATATCACCAGACAAAATATCACACAACTATGCTGTATCTATTTTTTCTCCCACCCCTATTAAACACACACAGTGTCTCATGTTAGCTGTATTAATCTACATATGTTTATTAAGTACAACCTCTTTTCCACGAGCCTACGATTTGGTCAGCTTTTGATAAGGACGTTTTTCAGCGTCACTGAAATAAACACAATAAAGTGTTCCTTCACATATGTAAGAGCCCATTTAACCCGGACAAATCCATGCGACCAACACCTACCTGTTGCACTGCTGCATGATGGAGATTTCCTTGATGATCTCCTGCAGATCAGACTCCACAGGAACCTGTTTGATGGCCACAATCTCTCCGGTCTCTTTATAATGAGCTTTAAACACGCAGCCATATGACCTGCAGAGACACAAGAGTTTTCTCAGGATGTGGTTGCTATTTGTCAAACCTGTGTGTGAGGTTATGACAGAGAAATCGCTGGTCACACAAGTCAAACTGTTTGCAGACATATTTTTGTATAGGAAAGTTCTATCAATTCATTTTTCCACACTTATATTCATTTTATTACAATTACGACCGCCTGCAGATCACACACAACATCTCACATAAAAAAAATACTTGCCATCTCACGATAAATACGATAAATGAAAGTTGATGACATAAGCGCGAGCGACAGACTCACAGCCATAGCCCACACAGAGCAGAATAACAAACAAACATGGCCGAAGGTAATGAAGAAGACGTTTCTGAGCAGATTGTTACTGAACGAGGCTACACATGAGGAATTTCCACTCAAACTTGTGGTTAAGTATCTTATTTGACTACTCCAACTGGTGTTCTCAAGACAAAATGAGTCAAAAATATAGATTGATATTCTAGTATTTTATATCAGGACTTTTATCGTTAACGCCAGAATGGCAAATCTTATCATGATACATTTTTAGCTTGATATTTTGACCTGGTTCTATTTATTTGCCACCAAACAACCTGATCTTTTGCTAACAACAGATTACAACAGTATTTTTTTGTAACCAACTTAAACTCCCAATTTTTGGGGATGTGTTTTTGGAGCAGCTGATCAAACATGTTTTATTTAACCACCAGGGATGATCTCAAGAGTTACTGTCACACACTTTTCACAGATACTGAATGGGCTGCAATGAGCACTCACACACAACAGTGGCACCCACCCACAAACTACTGGAAATAAAACAAAAGTAAAGGGCCCAAAGTGCCCCAAAAGAAGCCCAATAAAGTGAACTAGTGTCTCAGCTCCACTAACAAGGTAACAACAATAAAAAAAAAACAAATCACAATGTCACTGATTTTCAACCATGAGAGACACCAACAATGGTTACAAAGTTCCTGTCACTGAGCTGCCTCTCTCCTTTATGAACAAACTGAGTGGTGGGTTTAAAGGAGACCGGAGGGAGAACTGGGAGCAGAGGATTGGCGGATCAAAGTCCAAGGAGGCGGACAGGCAGGAACGGTGGAGTGAGTGGTGGATCAGAATGAGGACACCATTGTCATGGAATCCCTAATCGACGTCACCTGCAAAGATCCGCCAGTATGGAGCAACAAGGTAAACAACACCGGATCAAAGAACAAACACACCAAACACAAACAAAACCCCTCAGACCAAAAAACCCCACAGACGGACAAACTTAGAAAGTTTTATCATGAAAACATTTATATCTGGGACAAGACATCAACTCTAATGTTTTCCAAACCTCTTGTGTGCTTAATGACAGCGTTGGACTCTTGAACTGATACGGTCCAGTACCACTACGTGAGTCCTTGGTCGTGGTCATACATCCAGGACCGGAGTTTAAACGGGTTGTGGTCTTTGAGGACTACCAGAGGCAGATTGTGTGTGAAGGTCAAAACACTGGGGGACCATAGGACTAGTGTTTCTATTTCAAGTGTAGAGTATCTTCACTGGTGTTTGGTGCTTGTGGAGGAAACCACAGACAGTGTGGTCGTCACCGGCTCAGTTTTCCTGCATTAACACTGCGCCATCACCTAGGGCACATACGGCAACTTCTGATGTACAAAGACCAGAGAAATCAGGGGTGATGAGGGTTTCAACACTCCTGAGTGTGCTGACATTCTGGGGTCCACGAAAAATCAACTTTTCCAACTTGTGAGGGAAGTAAGAAGTTGCACCGCAGAGGAGAAGTTCCTGCAGAAGCTCATATGACAACCTGTAATCCTGAGGAAGTGACAGGAACAAGTAATGCAGAATTGGCAGAAATTCATGCGACAATTGGGTGCAACTGACCCTGGCCAACCTGGGTCAGTCGAGACACCCTTGCCAAACTCCCCGTTGGTGGGGTTGAGAGTTGGAGACACTTCAGGTTAGATATCTGAAGACTTCAGGAAGAGTTTTAGCACAGCAGACTGAGTTACAGTGTATGAACTCATTTGGACACACCCCTCAGGTCAGTGCTAACTGACTGCTGAAAAGTACCGGACATATCAGGGGCCTCATACAACTACTGAGCTTGAACTTTATTTCAGATGCTCCCTCTCCATGTTGGGCATTGCACCTGAAAATATCGATGATAAGGATTTATCAAAAGGATTTTGCTTATAAGGGATCCTGGTTCAGACCAAAACCTCCCAGTTTGACACAACAGTGAGACAGAGTCATGACTGCTGTCACTATGGAGGAAATCACAGCAGGACTAGAGCTGATAGGTTCTCCAATATAAAGGCATCTGTGATTCAGGAAAAATGCCTGAGCTCCAGTTACCTCTTTGATTTATTTGTTGATTTGTTTTCCTCAATTTAGTTTTGTTTTTACTTTACTTTTAATCCATTTGAATCATGTAAATTGTGAGACATCTGTATACTGTGTAAGACTGACACACAGAACAGCTGCATTTATTGTAACACATCCAAGTTAAAGTGTCAAGTGTCTCCTTAAGTCTGATTTGTGTAGGGTGACCATATTCTGAATCCCCAAAAAGAGGACAGTAAGTCCATGTGACACAAATTCAAAACTTCTATACAAAACCCCAGACATTTGAAGGATATTATAAACTCCCCCAGACAAGGCTGGACAGGCCCCAAAAAAGAGGCCATGTCCCGGAAAAAGAGGACGTATGGTTTGACTTGTGTGAGTGGGTTAAATAAAAACAGATTCATCTGTGTTGTGGTCAGAAAACAGACACAACTGTAGTTAATGATTCACTAACGCTGCAAAAAGAAACAACAAACAGTCTGAGTGGCAGCTGAAACAAACACAGAGCGTCAATCAGCCGCTCAGAACAGGAAGTGCGTTGAGAAACAGGATGTGAAGAGGCAATGTAAATGTTGATTGACACCAGAAGAGGGAGGAGCCAAACGAGGAGGGAGAAGAAATAAAGCGGTGAAAAAAAAAGAAAGATGAATGAGGAACAGAGAAATCAGAGAGGAGAGAAAGAGGAATGAAAGTGTGGGGTTTTTTTTTAAACATCATTTGAATGAAGTCAGAGATGTTCAGTCCGTCAGGGCTGTGCTGTGTCACCCATCGTCACTTTCTAAGTGTGGGAGTCACCCACTCACCCTTCACCCAGCTTCTCCAGGACGTCAAACACTTCCTCCGGCTGCTTGGTGAGGCTGTCCTCGCTCAGCTTCTTCAGCTGCCTGTGATCACAGAAACAAGACAGAGGGACGAGTCAGAGAGGGAAATGAGACTGATCGATGAAAATACATGGGGGTGAGGCTGAATATCAGCTCCAATGATCCGCCGAGGCCAATAATCGATCTACTACTACAGCAAAGAAATCCTGTTTCTGTATAAGCTGACTTCCAAAGCTCTCAATCAAGAATGTAGTTCATGACAAATCAAAACATTTGATTATGGCAAAAATCTAATGTGCTGATATGTTGAAAACTCACAGGGCAGTGAGGCTGACAAGGACTTACACTGGATTGCAATACTGGAATACAACTAAATATGATATAGGAATTATTTTGAGAGGTTATAAGACGAGGAAACTGCCTGTGAAAAGCAGCTCAACAGCATAATTCTGCTTCATCATGTTACCTTGTCAACCTCACAGTTACAGTGTTTTTTCTAAAACCACACCAATAAAGCAGATTTTAATCTCAGACAACCCAAATTTGAGCAGGAGCTGTCAGCAGAGGTTGTTCTTGTCTCTCCATGTGTTGAAGCAGGATGTGTTACTTCATCATCAAAGCCAGACCTAGAGAGAGACTGGAAATGAATACTATCCTTTTGGGCGCAGCCGTCCCCCTCCACCTCAAAACTTAAGAGATGAGACAAAAATAGTCTCAGTGTGAAAACAAAAATAGACCCAAACATGTCCTACATGCAGCTCCTGATGAGTCATTTTTAGGATCAATACAGGAAGACAGGGAGGAATTTCAAAATGAAGCTACGTTCAATGAGAGATTTGAGGTCAAACAGCTGCTCCAGACTCACTTGGTTGGTTTTACCGTCTACTATCTGTTAGTGTCAATCTGTGTGGGTTCTCTCATAAAATGAGTTTTCCTGCTTTTAGGGAGCAAAATATCTATAATAATGACTCTCAATTGATTCGACAAAAATAATCTTTAGTTTAAACCCAAATTTTAACAACACATCTGCCTTGGGGGACTTCCAAATGAATGTATTTGTTTACTGTTTATGAGGGAGGATGAACTTGAGTGGTATTAAAACAGGAGTGGCACTTCCCTCTGGGCAAATAAACAGTGACATGAGTGCTGAATCATAACAAGAAAAGTTAGCCTGAGGCTTCAGCAACTGTTTCACTCTGAGTCTAAATCGGCCTTTTCGAAAACTTCCAGTCTGATGTTATTCTCTGCCCCTAACATCCAGATAGCAGACAGCACTGTGTGCATCGACTTCGAGCCACAAGCCGCAGAGAAAACACAGAACATAGCATTGAGATGTTAATGTGCCGTAGCAGCCCGTAATCTTCCTTTCAAACAGACTCGGTGAACTTAAAGAAATGCATGTGTGGATGTGATGTGGCTCCAAATAGTGGACACTCCGAATGTTTGCAGAACTAAATTTAAACAACCCCACTCTTTCACTCAGAGTCCTTTTTTTCTGGATTCTTCTTTCAGTACTCCTTTTTTAGACTTCTGCAAAAATCACTCCCAGTTTTTGGCCAAAATTTAAACTTTACTGCTCCACCTTTTACACTGATGGAGTCAGTCTTTTGATGTGATCACATCACTGCTGATCTGTGGGACGTATGTCAGGACTAACATCATCCACTACCTTATGTGCTGTGCTGCACTGAGCACTCTGGTTAAAGCTCCTGTGAAGAAGAGTTTCTATCCAATTTACTGAATAAACTGAAATTCATGTTGATGTCTTCCAACAATATATAAGGGTAAACAAGACCATCAGTGTCAAGACTGACACCATTTACACCACAAATGCCTGACACGAGTGTGAGGGGGAGGACTGCTCAATGAATATCATATATCGGGGGACATGACTAAAGCATGTAGAGGACTAGCTAAGCAAAGACTGCTTTGCCCACAGGGGGCGCCCACGTTGACACAAAACTGAAGCGTTACGGTTTTGGGACCACATGCTATATATCCCCCAATTTCCACTGCATCTGGAACAGGTCCACTGCGAAACGGTGGCGCCAATCGCAGCTGATCGTTTCCATTCAAGTTAACGTGTCAATTTCCACCGACTTCTTTCCGTCACGCTGCGGTTCAGCGGGTTTCGCAGCCGATCGCCAGGGTTCTATTTCTTCCGGACGCCATAACATGCCGCATAAATTCAGCACAGATTAGCCAGTGCCAGAAAGGAGGTCCGGCACAAACACAAAATAAAACATCTGGCTTCTTTTCAAAATAAAACACTACTTGTTTCAGGCCGATCATATTTCACACCATGCAAACGTGGGCGAGGACGAACAAGTCAAAGGTTTTCAGATATCATTTCGCCCCGTTGACACCATGGATGAGGAGATGCTGATTTTAGAAGTCTAGAAGGGGATTTCCTTTCCTGGAAGGACACAATCTACTGCTTATATTATATGGTTATGTGGCTGTCTTTAAAGAGACAACTCATTATCGCGCGATTGCACATGAATCCGCAGGTTTTTGTAAGTCCTTGCAATTCCCACTGTCCGAAATTCCCCATGAAATTTGCCCCACAAACGCTGCAGTTCTGCAGCAGAGCTGTTCTGGATGCGGTGGAAATTAGGAGTTACAGTATATACAGTACAGTTAGAAGTACCATGCTTAGATATCACCCAATGGCTGGCCTCCTCTGTAATCATCCTATCTGCTGTTGATAAAATATCCACCAACTTCTGGGTTAAAATATAGAAATGGACTTGAAATGTAGACTCGTTTTTTTGAGTAAAGACAGCTCTCTTAGTGTTTCAAACCAAATCCCTTTCCTTCAATTTAGACGTCAAGGATGAGGCTGAAAAATGCCAGTATTTATGACTAATCCCAGTCTGAAAGCTTAACTCAGACTTGTACAGCGTGGATATTTCCAGCTGCCATATTTCTTTATTATTATTATATTCCACACTGCATGAATAAATCTATCGAATAAACCCTGAATATGTTCATTTCAGTGTTTTAAAAGCTCCACTGTTTCATCATCTCTGAGTTTGGGTGAGGAAACTCTGGATGAGAGTGTGTGTGGACGTGATAACACAGCACAGCGGTGTGTTTTACCAGCATCCTCCTGATAAATTCACAGAATGGGAACCCTTTACTTCCTGTTCTGTCAAACAATCTAGATAGCAAACATGTTTCCAAACTAAAGCCACTCTGATGGCCTTTAAAGGCATAATGAGCCCTGCACAAACGACACTGCTGAAAACAAGTCACAGCAGATTTAAGCTTCAACAGATCAAAAGTTTCATGAATTCTCTGAGGTCTGAAGGCTGCAACACTCAAGCTGCATTTTTAACTTTATATACAACTTCAAGATCTACACAGTTGAAGTATTTCTAATAACATCACAACAACATATAACAACTTTACAGGAAGAGCTGCTGCACAGCATAGCAAATGACCTAACTGTGGCAAATAGTCAATGTTGTGCAAGTCAGTGGTATCTTGACTTAATTCTGTGGCCTGAACTTTCTGACAGAAAACCTGCCCTGGTTTTACACGCGTCGCCATGGAAACCCATCTGACAGACCAGAGTAGTCAAACCAAGCACGTGCGTACAAAGTTTATGTAAGTAGGCTGATAGATTTACTGACAGCCCTCCAAAGCTGTGCTGTATGGACGGATTGAGAAGTAAATATCATCCTCTGTGGCACGTTAAATGAGAGCTGAGCACATCGGCCAGATTTTGTAGTTCACCCAGGGGATACGCTGTTTGAGCCGAGCGTCATCACAGCGACTCTTGGCGACTCTCCCGGCCGAATGCACACATCGCTACTGCGCAGCGCTGGTTTCAGGAAATGAAGAAAAATCCTGGAAATACCGAGAGCTTTTTGGCTTCAAATCCGTATTCAGGCGGAAGGCAGAACCAAGTTGTCCATAGTATATACAGGCTATGATAGGAGGAGGCAGAGTTGTAGTGCATAAATCTGCATTACAACTACACAGTCATATCTTAGAGCCAGAGGTGCACAAGAACATGAAACAGGTGTGGAAATTAGAGAAATATTTGCTTGACTCAATTATGATTCTATCAACCTTGTTCTTGAAAAGATGTGGTTTTATCTCATGTGAACATGAGAAAACAGACATTGCTTGAAGTGTACAGGGAAAGAATCTGACTTAGATTGCCTAAATTTTCAATACTTTGACACTTTTTGATGCTACATGCTTAAAAACAACACAACAAACTACTATTGAAACGATTAGCTGACTAATCGGACAATTATGAATTTTTTCTTAAATATAACATTTTCGCCTTATCTAGGTTGAAGTGCCCAAACTTTGGTTTATAGGCGTGTACTCGCAGCTGTAGTATGGGACGCCGGCGCCGCCATGTTTGAATACCCTATCACTCTGTGAAAATGCTATTACGCATGTGTGACTCTAGACAGAGATCGTAATGAAGACGCCATCACTTCATTGAAAAAAAATACATCTGGTGACAATAGTCGACAACGGGATTCATTATCGCTATTTGTCAACGTCGACTAATCGGTGCAGCCCTACAGCCAATACTTTGACATAACAAAGTAGAGCTACGCCCATTAGCTGGTGAGGTCAATTAAGCAAAAACATAAGCGCTCACAAAGAGGATAATGAATAAATAAATATAATGCCTGCAGACAATGCAGGCAGCCTTGTCAGTCTGGCTGCTGTTGGTATACAGTTAATAGCAGTCCTGTAATAAAATTCATAGCATAACTAAGGTGCGAGCACCTGAAGTTGAGAGCCCTAGTGGAAGATTATTTTTCCTTTCTTATGACTTCTCGTACATAATCACATAGTTGACTACCTGTATTTGACACTCCCCAAAACTTCACAGACACATCAGAGCAGGTGAAAAGTCTCTTATCTCATAGGTTTTGATAAGTTACTGGTTCAACAACACCAACAGAAACCTTAAAAACAGTCCCCCTGCTGGGTTCAACCAACATACATGACAGTCTCTGGGCAAAAATGCACAAATCCTCTTGGAGCCATCCTCCAGTTCCAACAAGAAGTCCTGAAACTGTTATGCGAATGTACAATTTTGTCAGGTAACAAGATGCGGATTCCATGTGGATGCCACCCTAACACTAAAACCCAATGAGACATTTCTCATTCGACAGATGATGTTAATCTCTCCCATGGACATTGACAGCATGTCACTTGTAGAATCAGTGTGTGTTGACACAACACTTTGAGCACTTGTGTCCCTACAGTTTACTTCTACAATAATCCAGATTTGACACTAATCTGCAAACATGATTTTGTGCACCTCTGCATGCTTTAAGTAGATCCAGTTAAACCTACAGAGAGATTACAGCAGCTAAAGCAAGATCTACAGATAGATTTGAGGCATTAAATTGGATCAACAGGCTTTGATAGTGACAAAGCTCAGAGATCTGACAGGACACATCAAGACACACACTGATTCAATGAGAGGTGGACTCATGTAATCCTGGACAGGATTAGATTTGTTTGACATGACACATCTAAGTGATCAAATGATAAGGCTATTTCTCAATTTACAGTGGTCTTACTTATGGCACTTTTAATGCTTGGATTCTCGTGTGTCCAAGTAAATATCTGTTTTTAAAGATGCCATATGAATGGATGTATTTTCATTATTATTGTTATTATTAAAAAGTAGCAGAGCTCATGAGAAATATGGAAAAGTTTAATGAATATCTGTTGAGTTAAATGAGCTAAGTTTAGTGAAGTTTTTCGTTCATTTCTATAAGAGTCGGTTGGATAATAATTCAGTTCATTTAGAAGCTGCTAAATTGTTTGGACCAGGTTATCAGGCTAATTTTCAGCCGGCTAACTCGACCCAAACACCAGGCTCAGACACATCAAATCAATGAGGATGTCTCTCACATCTTCACCCCTCTGTTTTCATCTTTAGCTTACCTGCGAGGGTTATTCCTCATCTGTACTTTATCCTTGTTCTCCATGATGTCCTTTCTGTAACACTCGGAGTCCTTTCGGTTCGCCTGTGGTGAAACTTGACCGAGCTTGTCGGCGTTTGAAACTCACTCACCGCTAAAACTACCGGAGTACCGACAGCTCGGAGCTAACAGGCTAGCAGCAGCTAGCGGGGGCAGCTAGCCTGTTCAGTTAGAGCAGCAGCAGCAGCGTCCCTGTTCCCGCAGCCCGAAAAACATCACCTTCCTTTATCATTTCCTCAAACAAGATTGAAAATGTGGGCAAACTTCATCCGGCTGCCGTTTATCCACCAAGGAGTTCATCCTCCTCCTGTGTCCCGACAACTTTGGAGTTGTTTCACAAACCGCTTTACAGGCTCTGTGACATCCAGTTGTAAAACCAGGAAGAGTAGTGAAGAGAGAGAGAGAGAGCGAGATAGAGAGCGAGCAGGAAGGCGGGCCGAACAAAGGCTGCAGTACCGCTCATCAGCAGGAGAGGGCGCCAGATACAGCCAATGTATAACTGCTCTGTACAGTACAGTGTGTGCTGTTTAATTACGGCGAGCTGTAGAATTTAAAAAATACAAGTAAATACAGTAATGCAAGGATAATATTAGTTTTGAAAAATAGAGAGACATATATATCTATTCACATATTTTGTTTTATAAATGTTTCTGACCAGTTTTTAAATTCCCCATTATTATTATTATTATTATTATTATTATTATTATTATTATTATTATTATTGTTGTTGTTGTTGTTGTTGTTGTTGTTATTGTTGATGATGTTTCTATCTTTTTAATTATTATTATTAGTATTATTATAATCATTATTATTATTATTATTATTATTATTATTGTTGTTGTTTTTGTTGTTGTTACTATTATTATTATTATTATTATTATTATTATTATTATTATGTTGTTGTTGTTACTATTATTAGTATTATTATTATTATGTTGTTGTTGTTGTTACTATTATTAGTATTATGTTGTTGTTGTTGTTGTTTTATCAAAATCTAACAAATAATTTTATTTCTGTCATTTAATACTTTGACAGAAAGACCAGCAGAATGCCAGTGCCTTGACTGATTGGCAATTAAATATACAGAATAAAATATGAGAAAATATTTAATCTCCCAAAAAGTTTGGATGGTGTTTTCAAGGTTGATAGTCAACTGAATGAGGTAGTTAGTAAATTATCCAAACCTTACATTTTGGACAAGAACAACAAAACACCGAAAAAGTTAAGGGAAAAAAATCACCTGTATGACCATTTTCAAACTAATCAGGTAAAGTGGCAAAAGGTTAGAGACATGACTGTGCATTAAAAGGCCTCCCAGAGAGTAATATGTGAAGAAGTTTGCTGGTTCAATTACTTCTGTATAATGCTCAGTGTAAAAATGTCAAAAATTTAGTGAATTTGGTCATCTACAGACTCACAGAATTTGCAGATATCTCAATACTAATGGAATAAGGCAGAAAACCACGATCTCCAGGCCTCCTGGCAGTCTGCATTAAACACAGACACTAGACTGCTGTTAAAATCCCTGTATGAGCTGAAAAATGATTTAACTACTTTCAACTTTCAACTTCAACTTTATTTTATTTATATGGCACTTTTCCTACAAGTTGTAACACAAAGTGCCTTACAAAGCATAAAAACAAAATGAAACATTAAAATCCCCAAGAAAACCCCAAACCTCCCACCCGCACAATTATACCCATACACACACCCGTGAACATACATTTCCACACACACAACTTCACATACATACGCATCTACACAGTTAGCAGCTGATGGTGAGGAGACATGACTACTATCCAAACTGTACCATGCAAGAAGAAAAAAATCTGGATAACAGTCTTGTGGAATGACAAATCGATATAAGACATTAATTTTGGAAATCATGGACACTGCAGTCTCTGCTTTTAAGAGGAGAGTGTCCATCCAGTTTGTTGTCATTGCACAGTTTTAATGCCAGCATCCCTGATTGTTGAATTTATTTCATTGCAGGAAGAAGGAGAACTTCATTGATCCCCAAAAGGGAAAATTCAATAGACTAACAATTTTAAGACTAACTTGTTATCAGTTAGATCAATCAATACCTTTGTTTGTCCCGCAGTGGGACAACTTGTTTCATAGCAACAGATTGCCATGATCTTAAGGCCCTCAGGCAGAACTACACAAAAAACATACATGACTCTGTTGTGGAAAATGCAAAATGCAGTTTTTACAAGCAGATCATTGTTGCTTCCAGAAGTGTGTACAAATATGAGTCTACTAAAAAATTTGGAAAACAATGTGGCTAACTGTCTTGTGGACCGACAAATCGGTTTGTCATGCTTTTGAAAATTCTTATGAAATCATGTTCATTTTGATAATCCATACATAGCTTCAAATATGCTGAGAATTTTCACAGATAATGCATAAAATCTTGTGAATGTCAAGATTTTGCACTAATATATGGGAGCTTTTGCTATTGTGCTTTCCACATGTTTAATGTTTGTTATGTGCATTATTTATACATAGATCAATACATATTAACAGCTATAGATAAAATGCCTTTTACACTATTTATAATCACTTCCTTTTATTTAGTTCATCCCGTTTTTTTAATTTGCTTTTCTTATATTTAAGGTATTTTTTTAACTTTTATTTTCTGATCCATGTACTTTAAGTCAAGTTGAGAGGCAGAAAATATTGAAATATAAGATGTAAAGCAGTTAAGAGGGGATAAAGTTGAAATCACTGAGCATGATATTGGCATGCACTCCCATACTGCAAAGCACTAAAGCAGACGAGATCCACAGTTCAATAAGAGATCTTTGGATTGCTAAAAGCCACCAGATAATGATGACAACACTATCAGTTCATTATTGATTACAATACTAACTATTAAAAAGAACAAAAGCCAAAAAATCTTACATTAATAGAATATTTTATTTAGAGGAACAAAACAGCATAGCGGTGTCCGCATCTAATCAGTAAATAACATCCAGGGGCTGAGAAGGAGCTTCATCCTCAGAGCAGGAATGAATCGTGGGAAAACAGGAGCTGGAGTGAGACACAAAAGTTACCATTAGATTTAGAGTGGATCCTACAAATTAGGTGTTTTTTTTAACCATGCTGAAATGAAACTTCACTGATGAAAAGACTCACGTCAGGTTTACTCCCCAGACGGCCGCACGCTCTCAAAGATGCCGGCTTCTTTCATGGTGTTGAACTCCTTGACCGAGTCGTACTGCTTGTAGAAGTCAGCGTAGGCCTGTTTCCTGGGCTCTGTCACCCCGTACTGAGGAAGGAAAAGATACACACACACCCCAGTCAGGCTCTGAGTTAAATTTTTCTGTTTTCCATGAGAGTACAAACCAGAGACACTTCTTTAATACTTCGAAGACTGCTGAATGGTCATGAAATATGACAGTGACCAGACAAGTTCACAGAAAAGTCACGGAATATCCTTCATTTGAATGTATTTTAAAACATTCATCAGTCGGAGAAAATACATGTGTTTTGGGCTTTTGTTACATAAAATATTCACAACTTTAGAAAGTACTTCATTCACGCCATTTATACAGTAATCTAGTTTAAGTGAGGGCGCTAACCAGAGCTCTTTTTGGATGAAATGTCTGAACTTCTCCATGACTTTTTAAATTTTATTAACTTTTTATGAATTGTACAATGAATTTCTCACTAAGCTATTTTCAACCAGTATATAAATATCAGTCTTTGTCAGGTCGTTTGTCTATGAAGAACTATACAGGCTAGGGTTAGTTGGATATTTAAGTTGACCCGCTGTATACAGTACAATTTGTTTGCTGCCTCAATGTTAGCAGCAGACATACGGAATTTATTGTTTTCCTTATCTGTTTCTGACTGGTCAGAGGAAGACCGTCACAGCGCGTCAAAGGCAGGGCACTCGGTTATTTCTACCCCATGAATCCGGGGGTGTTTGATCATGTCGGTCGTGTCCTCCTTTGCATAATATAACTGTGTTGAAAATGTTGCACTGAGACAACGCTTTATTATCCTGCCAAAGTTAAGCTAAAATTTTGACCACTGCCACTGTGGGTTGAAATGCACACACACACTCCATGTGGCTTCTTCTTCATTAGTGTTCAGTGGCTAATTCTCCTGGTCGGCAGACTCTGCATCAAAACTTGATTAAAACCCTAATTATAAAGGGTTAGATTAGTCTGAGGCTCTCTGTGGCTCAACTTCCATGCATGAACTGGCTGCACCATTATACACAGCAGAGCGTTGGTTTCCTTTTCATCTGAAGCTGCTGTTATTTGCTAACTTGCTTCAGGAAGTGAGCGGTACAAACTTTTCTATTTCGCTGCCTTCCTGTCATGAAGTTGTGTAAATTAAAGGCTTGGCGTTAAAGGTGGAAACAAATGGGGAAAATACATGTATGCCAAAAAATCAATCATTGTTCTGCGCTCTATGACAAAACCGAGAAATAAAATAATTCCTTTGTGATGAGAGACCATGCACAAAAACAAAACAAAAGATCACCTCTCTGCAGCTCCTTTTGGTCTCACACCTGGTCAATTGTCATCAAATGACATTGTAAGCTGTGCTCTCACTAATATTTGAAAACTAAGCTCCTAACTTCAGACCCTGTCAGGTTCATTATAACCCATTATATTTATATGAAACTGGATTCCATGGACTCCATCATTTCTGTAAACTTCAGGTACCCCACAACTCTTGAACTCTGAGCTTTCAGGGATGTTCAACTTAGGATGTTGTGAATTTGCGGCACGTTGAAAAAAATCTAAAGTCACATCATGAAAGCCAATCAGCATGGAAATGACAAACTTGATGGTTTAACCAGACTTGTTCTTTATTATAGAAAAAGGAATAAAAAGTAGCTTTTTTGGAGGAAAGTGAGTGAGGAGGTCAGGCAAGTTGTGAAACACAACAAATCTAAAAACTGTAGACAAGCTGGACCAAGTTTGATGTAAACCGCCTGACATGGCATGAAGGAAACACCTCCTGCTGATTAATGGTTTAATACACGCCCAGGGTGAACACAACATTAGTGAATTCCTCTGTGAGTTCACTAACTCCAGTGCTAACAGACACAAACAGCTGGAGTGAAATGTTCACCGTCTGCTGAGAGTTGTTGCTAATGGTGCTACACTATTTATGAGAGATGTCAGGCTCAAACTCTCCAGTCATCTTTCGGTCTATTGATATGACTTTGATATTACTTATCTTTATACACATAATTGTACTTCAACGCATACTTATTGTGCCTTCACAAATAATGGATAGCTATTTGTTAGCTTGCTCCATAAAGGAATCTGTAAAAAACGGAATTTCGGTCACATCTGTCATGAAACAGTTCCTTAATTAAACAATAAAGACTCTTCCTCTCCATCCAGTTAACTGTGTAGTATATTGGACAAAACTGTGTCAGGATCAAAGAGCACAGGCCTGGACAATGACAGGCTGGCAGTTACTGGGGGCCAGACACGAATTAAATACTATCTCTTATGAGAGATAACAGCTCTTACACTTATTTGAGGATTGACAGTACGCATACAAGTTCAAATATAAAAGACATCAGAATCAAAAGATTTGTCATGGCAGGATTATGTATGCAAAGTAAGGTCATTTTTAACTAATTTGCACAAATGGCTAAAACACTACAGCAATGACTGTAGTCTATGACCATCACTTGAGGTTTATCATATCTGGGTGAAGTGAAGATATGTGACTGTGTGTTGTCCACTTACCTTGAAAGCTACTGCAGATATAAGGGACAGGGTGAAAGCGATGGGCAGGTGAAACCTCAGACGCCTTCCCAGCAGTCCCCTCATCACAGGCTTTGGCAGAGACATGGTGGATAACCTGCAGAGGGAGGGAAATATAAAGAATCTGACTAAACTGCACACTTGTGGGATCTACTCAGCTGATGAGATCCCCCAACTTCATTTGTAAAGTACTTTAAAACAACCACAGCTGAACAAAGTGCTGTACATAAATAGACAAAACAATGCAGACATTAAAAAACAATCAAAAAACAATTTAAACGATCGATAAAATAAAAGCAGATATTATAAAGTAAAATATAGTTTCAATGTTTTTAAAAACTAATTTAAAAACATTGAAACAAATAACTAAAAACAAACCATAAAACACTTAAACAGGAGCCGAGTCTAATGCAGGGTTGAAAGCCAATGAATAAAATCGGGCTTTAAGACACGTTTTAAAAATGGACAGTGTGGGGGCTTATCTGATTTGAAATGGCAACTCGTTCTATAGTTTTGGGGCTGCAACAGGAAAAAGATCTATCCCCTCTGAGCTTCAGTTTGAGCAGAGGTGTAGGGGTGGAGAAGCTCAGAGAGGTAAGATGGAGCCAACCTCACACAAAAAAACAAGAATACTCCCTTGACTTTGGGAGTTTTATGTGTGCTGTCTTTTCTAATTGATGTCAAGATGATTTCAGATACCAAGCAAGAAACTCCATGTCATGTGTTATTTTTCCACAGAGGTTAACAACTGCTGGGGACACTTTGAAAAGGACAACAATGAAGATTTTACGGTCAGTTTTTGGTGTTTCCACACGGCAGATATCGTCCTTTTAACATCTTCCTGCTACCAAATCTGTGCATACACGAAAACTGCACACATACAACGATACAACAAAGACAGGCCATACAGAACTTTTGGAAAGTTTTCATACACTCCAAGAAGCATGTGAAATCTGGTGTTTTAAAGCTGAAGAACAAACTTAACAGTGCTCAGTAGTAGAACATTGCAACATTAGTAACCTGATTCTCTTATTTCTTACTAAATATAGTGGTGTTTGGTGATTCTATCCTGTAGTATATTCTTCTCAATCACAGAAACGCGTGCTTTCAGTTTCTCTCACCGTGGGATGAGTTTCCAATATTTTCTCTTTTTAACCTCCTACCTCATAAGTAATGATTCGTGGTGATATTTGGTAATATCAGCCTAAATATAAAGTGATCAGCTGATCAGTGAGTCTCTGTCGGAGGATCGCCATTAAACACTGTCACGGAGTCAGGTATACACAACACGGAAACTACCGATGACCTCGTCGTGAGATCGGTAATCTACCAACAAACGTGTCCCTCATTACACTGGCATAGAAAACATGTCTTATGTTTATTATCTAAACACTTCTGAGATGTAACAACAAGAAAACAAAGGGAAAAATCTGTGTAATGTAAATAGTTTATCGGAACTGTGAGGTTAAAGTAGGACAATGTCATAAATAACACCAGGAAAGCTTCATCTAGCTGAGTTTCAGTGTCTTTTAAATGACTAGAGTTACTTTACCTTAACATATATTAACTCAACGTTTCAGTAAAGTTCACTGTACGCGTAGGATCTGAGTAAAACTCAGAAAAACATCTAAAGAGAGCAGTCGCGTTAAGTTAGCATCAAGCTAATATAGGATAACAGCAGCATGATAGGCTAACCGCTAAACTGTCGCAGATTTGAGCGGAAAGAGGCGTCATTTAAGCTCGATTATAACAATTCAAGAAGTCGTTGGGAATCAAAATTGGCACAGTGATAGGAATTAAATCCAATATTTGAGTTAAAGTGGTTACATTTGAAATGATACTTACAAGTTGGACCACGACCTTCACAGAAACCGCTAACACAATTCAGCTGCTTCGCTTTACCGGAAGAGAATCTACTGAAGCCGCAGAGGGACAAAATTATACTCGAGCATGTGAGATCTGAAGTCAGGGCAAACGAGGACAAGGGAAGAGAAGACAAAAGGGCACAAAACCATTGCTTTCATGGTTATATATCGTGAAGATTGTGTGTATGTAATTTCAAATACATACCGGTGCTCAGGGGAATATTCTGACTGAAGGCGACCGAGTATAACCAGTTCTTTTAACATTATTCCAAATAAACTATTGGCACAGTATTTTTTTATATATCTACTCATATTGCTTCATTTTCCCTCTTCTTTTGACTTCTACCTGTATTTTGAAGAAGAATACATAATTTGTGTTTTTATTTATAATTGTGTTACTTTTTGTCTGTTTCTCAGTCTTTTGTTATTGTCATTTTTATCATAAGCAAAGACATGTGGGGGTGGGTGTTTAAGGGGGTTGAATAACCCTTGCAAATGTTTAATGCTTATAAAACTATTATGATAAAAAAAAAAAAAAACATACATATTGCAGTAAAAACTTATAAAGTTATGCTAATTTCACAGAATATGGCTTTCACACATGTTGTTTACAGGTTTGTTTGGAAGCTTTACGCCTAACAGATAACATATTTTTTATTTTTTTACACTTGTTAAAGACCAAAGTGATTTGAAACATACTGAAAATGGAATAAACTTGCTTTGCTTTCATTTAAAGGCCACTAACGTTCTCATCCATACTCAAATCACCTCTGCTGAGCTACAGACAACAGATTCAGCCAACCATTACTATCTTAGTTCAAACTCTGACCACAAGAGGGAAGCAAAGCAATACTGATCTCAGCTTTGAGCCCTCCCAGTGTCTGAGCTTATGCAACAAATATGTGTGTAAAGTAAGATGTTAGAATGTAATTTTGCAATACTACAACTATCCAGACATATATTGAGGGAATAAAATAGAATGGTAAGTAGAATCAAAATGGAAAGGGTGTTTGATTAGTTTTTTTTTTTTCTTTCTGTCCAACAATTATTGTTTCCTTTAGGAACAATGTTATCCTGAGAGCAACATATTTTGTCTTTTAGCCTCCACAAGGGTCATTATCCATCCATCCATCCATCCATTTTCTACCGCTTCTTACATATAACTGAAGTGCTGCTGCAGTTTTGACTCCTTTTGGGAAAACAGCTAACTTTTCTTTCTGGACTCTAAAAGTGCACAGGCAAAAAAGAGTAAGTGGGCTTAACCATTGGCAGTATATTATATTGTGCCTGTTTTGTTTCCAAACTTTAATGCATAAATGATAGTTTTTTATAATCATTTATTTATCATGGCTGCTTTAGTGCACAGAAATGTTTCAGACACTAAATTACTGACTCATGTATCTCCAGATGGATGGCTGCTTTAGTAAATGAAAAAGAAAATGTTGTTTTTGACAAATAATAAAAGACATTTACAAATCAACTGATTTATAGTCAAACGTTCTGTTTTAGGGCACATCAAGTTAGATGTTATTATGCAGCTTAATTAAACAAATATTGGATGATTTTAGCCTGTGGAATAATATACTAAGTAATAGCATCATGCTGTCAACTGTAAAGCCGTAAGATGTAATAAAGTACATACACAACTGACTTATTTTACCAAAACCACCACATGCTGTCAGCTAAGTTTTGTAAAGGGAATCTCAGGTAGACAGTATTTATTTTTCAACAGTTGATAGAGGAGAAACAAACCTGATAACACACGAGAAACCACCACCTAGACAACCTTTACTAAAATATTTTATTATACAAAAATACTGAACACTATTGACAGATAAGTGTACAAGCTTTGCTGCACATATGCAGTAAATAAAAACCATGTTATTTAAAAACTACAAAAATGAAATTATACGCAGTTTGGCCTTTCCACCGGCTTCTTTCCCATAAAGTGCATTTCAAAAAGGAGAAGATACATGTGAATGTATATATAAGCATTTTTTTCATCAGTTATTGTAAATAGAAACTATATAAAGAGAGAAGTTAGCATCACAGTAATTCATCCGGGCAGATTTTTTTTCACATGTAAAAGATTATCATCATTTTGAGCTGAATAAAAAAAGTCTTGTCTGCCACCCAGACAAAACTGTCATTTTGTGTAATCATGTGCAATATTGTGCGAAATAAAATTAAAATCCCATAGACCACACGATGTATAAAGGGCTTTTAACTTACTCTGTATCTGCAGGTTCTCAGCATACCAAGCACAGCGAGCATGGCTAGCATGGATGACAGTATTGGTATAAACAATTCACCACTTTGGTCCAACTGTCTCAATTTTGCCTGAATTTTGAACCAAATGTAGAATGTGTTTTTCCCCAAAGGTTGAATCCCATCTGTTTAGGTGATGCAAGCATGGTGTTATTTTAGCATAAGCTAATACTGTCCATAGAGGTGCTAGCTAGCATTACATTACATTACATTAGAGTCTTCTCACATAATTCCGCAAAACCCCTCAATGTTGACCAAAACTGTACGAAACATGAACTATAAAAGCATGGGAGACTCAACAGAGACCTTGCTGTTATCACTGACAGTGATGGTGCTAATAATGTCAACAGTCTGTTGGCTTATTAAAACAAGAATATTAAAAGAATTTATGTTGTGGCCTGTCGATGCAAAGGCACAAACATCACTTTGGCTTATAAATTACTATTAGCCCTAAATAAAGTAATGCAATGGGATATATGTGCAATGATCTTGCTCTTTTATTCTTTTTTTTATTTCAAGAAAACATTTTTTAGGAGCGGGTTGAAAAATGACACAAAAATTTTAACCAGAAACTGTCATTCGTTTTAAAAGTCATATACTCACATTCTTACACACTGTGTCCAGTTTTTCAATGTGGGACCAATCACCTTCACTTGAAATGATCCATGAGCTGTTATGTGACCCATCCACTAAGACAGACTAACTTGTTGTCTCCCCTCTTTGCCATACTCATGACCGAGGCAGATACCCCAGCTGAAATCATAACATCTTCAACCTTGACAATCCCAAGAGACAGAGGATATTTTACAGTGGTACTGATCAGTCACAAGCTAGAGGGTCATGCTTAACATTGACAATCAGATCCTACGGCAAGGGGTCAAACCTTCAGGATATAAGTAAGACAAAAGCCCCATTGTGATATTAGAAAGTCTTAAGTCTGAGGGGCTGTCTTGTGCCTGAGAATCATACCATCATGAAACTGTAATCCCAAGGATAAAGGTTGTACCACTGAAAACTGGAGGGTCATGCCAATGGCTTCTTAAGAATACCAAAGTAGGGGGCAAGACCACCATGATACCAGTCATCCCATCCCTAAGACAGTCCAACTATTGTCTCACTGGAAAGCCTGGGGGGGCTTTCCTGTGGCTGAAAGTCAAGCTATCATGATACAAGCCCGGCACAAGGCTGAGGGTCATTTCATCTTGACACTTAGCAGTCTTTGGGCAAATGGTAATAGTATTGTGAAACCGGACAATCCTTATGCTATGGGTCATACCAACATGATACTGGATGATCCTTGAGCAAAAGTTTAATACATAATAATATAAGTAGGTACTAGGACACAGGGTTATCCTGTTTCAACACTAGATTATCCCATTGTAAAGGATCACATTATCATGATGCCAGTAATTCTTGAGTAGAAAAGTTGTCTTTCATGATACCATACCTTTATCAGGCTGAAACTAACATTACCATGATACTGGTCAGTCCAAAGGATAGGGGTAAAACATAATGTTGCTAACCAATTACAAGGCAAAGCCGAGTAGCGTCATGATCCTTGTCAATCATAAATTAGGCCATGATGATTTTGGTTGTTCCCAAGAGGGTGACACCTTTGAGACTCTCTAAAGTCCCAAGGCCTCATGTCTATTTAACTGCAAAAAGTTATGATATCATAATACAAGACAGTCACTGGGCTGTGAGTCATTTTTATAATGATATCTGGTGGTCCCTTAGTAAGTGGTAATGGCATAATAACAATGAAAAAACCTCAAGCTTTGGGTCATACCATCACGAAACAGGATAATCCATCAGCAGCATTTTCAAGCCTTGGGATTGTTCCACGGTATGTGGTCAAGTCATTATGATGCTGGAGAGTCATTGAATTAAAGCCATAAGTCCATGAGACATTTAACAGTTTAAAAAAGTAATAATGTAGCATCATGCAGACGGTCAGTGAGGAGGAAGTAGCTAGCGTCATCAGGATGTTAAGTTATGAGTCTGAGGGTTATGCCACACACTTACTGTAGGATCCCAGTTGTTACGAAAAGGGTGGTGCCATAGAATTTTTTTTAAAAAGTCCCAAGGCTCAATGTCCAACTGCAAAAAGTCATTCCATCATATTACAAGATGGTCACAAGGCTGAGGGTCATCTCATCATGGTGTTCAATAGTCCTTAGGCAAAGGGTGATGGCATAATAGCAATGGACAATCCTCAGTCCTTGGATTTTACCAACATGATACTGGACAGTCCTTTGGCAGCAGTTTGATGCAACTGGATTGTCCCATGGCACAGTGTCCCATCATGATGCTAGGTAGTCCTTCGTGAAAATAGTTTACCATTATGATATCACACATTTGTAAGGCTGAAAGTCATATACTGTCCAAGGCATAAGTTAAAGGGTTATGCCTAAAGTTTACCATATGATCTGAAGGTAGGGCATTATCCACATTATCATGATATGAGTCGATGGGGTAGGCATTTTGACACAATAAGTTCCTTGGCCCAAGCCTCGTAACATCAAGATACCGGATGGCCCCAAGTTCAGGAAGGCACCACCATGTTACTGGATATGGCAGAGAACTACACCATCATTATACATTATCATAGAACCTAAGGGAAATTTGTGCTATCAGTGTCCTGAAAAGTCACAGGCCAGGGGCTCATGCCATGAGAGTACTGGCTGGTCTTTAGGCTGGGGTTCATACCATCATGATGCTGAAAGGTCCTTAAGCAGAGGGTAGCACCACTGTGATATTTGACAATCCGAAGACTGAGGTCCACACCATTATGATACTTGTCAGTCATAGAACTGACGGTCATACCATTATGATTCAGGATGATGGGTTAGCAGGTAATCATATTATTGTTATAATACTTGTTGGTTGCAGCCTAGAAGGTTGTACCATCATCATATAGCCTATGTGGGCCTACAGCTGAAGGTTGGACCATCCTGATATTTCACAGTCTTAAGGCTCAAATGTTGCATAACTGTTAGAAGTCATAGGGTCGAATCATCATGGCAGTGGATCGCAGAGAGTAGCTGGGACCTCTGAAGTGATGCCACTTTATGCCATTAAGCTTCCTGATGTTGTGGCCGATAGAATAGTACATACCATTCAGGTTGGAGAAACCACAGGCGTCAAACCACCAACCTGATGGAGAGAGAAAGAGAGAGAAAGCTACATGAAAGAGGAGCATGAGACAGACATATTAATGAATTAATTCAGGAGTAAAGAGTAATAAAGGTGAGGTGGGAAGATAAACTTATAACGTAGAGATTTTAGGAAACACTCTGGGTGAAATAGGAAATTTCTGGGCGGCTGAACTACTCTGGGTGGTAGTAGCTCAGGAGGTAGAGCAGTCGTCCAATAAGTAGAAGGTTAGCGGCTTGGTTCCCCTCTATCCCTAGTCTGTTCATTGTGTCCTTGGGCAAGACATTTAGCCCACTTTGCCCCAGTGTGTGTCCTCCACTGGTGTATAATTGTGAGTGTTGTGTGGTGGTGGTTGGTCGAAGGTGGCGTTGGCGCAAATTGGCAGCCATGTTTCCGTCAGTCTGCCCCAGGTCAGCTGTGACTACTAAGGTAATTTACCACCACCAGGGTGTGACTGTGTGAGCGAATGAATGAAGTATCCAATGTACAGTGCTTTGAGGGTCTCTGATAAAGCACTATATGAAATCTGATGTATTTTATTATTATGAATGGGTACATAGAAATTTTCCTCGATGCACACCTTAAGTCTCTCTCACTTTCTGATCATGGTCTTAGTTTTCTTGTCTTTCTTTTACTTTATCTGTGATTTCCCATTGATTGTGACTGACAAAGTGATTCATGGTAGCCGTTGGGTGTTTTCATAGTTTTGCCTGAGTCATAAAGAAATCAGAAATTTCAGCACATTGAGAGGAAAAAGGACATAAGAGTTGTTGGTTTTTGGCACTGACATAGGTTGACAAGTGCTGGACTTTAGGGTGACTACGGCTGGTATTTTTTAAAGATTGCAATTTCAGGGAAATTCCGTTATGGATCAAGAGAAGGAAGGGTAGAGTAGAGGATAAAAAAAGGTGAAAGGAGTTACCTCCAGTAAGCATCAGGGCACACTTGCAGTGGTCGCAGTTATCATTGTCCTGGTCTCGTGTGCTGAAGCCCATCCCATGGGTGGCCAGACTGCTCTGTCTACCAGTTGTACCACTGTAACCTCTGAGATACAACCTGAGGAAGTGGATACAGATAAATCCATGGATGTACTGTACACCAGAACCTTAACATGCTTTCCACTGTATTTTAAACGTGTACAAATATACAGTAAATGATATGTGTACAACCTGAATTTGTGTGTGTACACAACTGTGTGGGTATAAGTATGTCTTGCTGATACATTTATCCTCTTTTTATTGCATTAATGCTCTCACATGTAAAAGTGTCCATGCAAACAGAACTGCCATTATGTAACTGCCTGTAAAATGACAATTATGCAATTATGTTTACCTGTACTGCTGCCTCTCGCCAGTCAGTGTGAACCGGTCATACTGGGAGTAGGCTGGGTTTCCATCCCAGTCCCTCAGCTCCACTCTCATGGAGTACTGACCCTGACTGCTCAGCAGGTACAAAGCTTCGTTACCCAGCCAGTGCTCCCCCAAAACATCCCCAAAACCCTGTAGGATTGGAGAAGTAACTTATTTTACTTGCAATGTGATTGTGATACTTAATTGTTTGGTGCCCTGATTCAACTAACTTACCAATTTGTACTCCCTCCAGCTCCTCTGAAAGTCCACACTGCCATTGAATCGCCGCTGGAAGACTGTCCAGCCTCCACCAGCCGTCTCCATGTCGCAGAACACCTTGAGGAACCAAACTTTGATTATAGTAGGTCATTTTTAAAACAAGTATTTGTCTCAGTATGGCTGGTAAAATCACTCAGGTCAACTAAAAAATGTTCCATGACATTGCAACGTAGTGTATGACTTTACTGGGAGGTAAATCTGCTTCCATAAACACATGGCTGCAGATACCAAGTGGATCCAGCCACTAGTTTTTGATGGTTTGTCAAGATCAAATGTGAAACATCAGGTTTTTAAACAATAAAAAATATTATAATATATAATAATATAATACTGTTAATTCAAAATGCTGTCTGAATTTTCTGATTTATTGATAAATTTCTTTGGTGTATTTCATTTATAAAGTCAAATCCAAATCAACACAACAATTTTCAAAAGCTGAAGTCCTCATGTCCTGATCTAAGATACCCAATTTATTTGATCCATGACAAGAAAAAGCAATTTGAGAAGCTGAAAGCAAAACATATTCTTATTTCTTTAAAAATTGGAATTATTTAAAAAGCCAATAAGATCTTGTGTAGATTAAAAGAATCAACTGATATCTCAACAAACAATATTATGTATTCTGACTCTCAATGATGACCCAGCTTTACCACAAAAATATGGTAATTTGGCATTCTTTAATGAGCCTTGTAGAGCAAATTTCATACGTTTTTGGCACATATCTTCACAGCCTGAGTGTCAAGATGCTGATTAATACAGAATCCAAAACAGAGGTGAAAATGACTTTGACTCAGTTGTTCATCATACCTGTACAGGTTCAGTCCTGTTGCTGATGTAGATGGGATACACACCACTGACAGATTGACCAGCCTTGAAAGCATCTGCACAGTCCCTCCACATCTGGCTTCTGGGAGGTGATCCTGAATCCAAAAACAAAAACAGACAGAATCAAATATTTCTCAGGAAAATGGCCTGAGCAATACATATGCAAAAACTGCAATGCCAACAATGACCACTAGAATGCATGCAAGTGAGCTAAATAATGTATGTTGGGTCCAAATATTATAAATTCTATAAAAGGGCACTATTTTTATTGTTTTTTGCAGTTGTAATGAACAAATTAGAGTGTAACATGAATTGGTCCCCACAGCACGAGTCAGGGTGTGGACCCTAGCATGATAGAAAAACAAACGCATACACACACACATACTATAAAAGGCTTGTAATAGAACAAACCCTAATAGTATCAGAATGCTGCAGATTCAGAAAGCTGATAAAGTTAGCTGGTAAAATCATGCACATGCATGCTGTGTGAGGGAGACAGTGTGGTCGTGAGTATGTGTGTGTGTACCTGTTGTAGCCACCATGTTAATAAGTGTGTGCACAGACTCCATGAGCTGAACCTGCTGCCTCTGCAAAGCTGTGTTGTTGCTGCTGGCGACCCTCAGCTGCCGCTCTAAAGACTCAATGGCTGCCATCTGAGTCCTGACCACTGACTGAGAAAAAGTAAACAATCCCAACCATCAAAAAGACCTTAATACAGCTGATATGTCAGTCATAGTTTGTTCATAAGCACACCAATAAAGTATCAGGTCACTTATTTCTGCCTTCAGCGTTTCAAGTCTATGGGTTTAAATTTAAAAGCATAGATTCTAAATTTGTGTCCTTTTCTTTTGGTCTTTTTTTCATGCAGTGAAAAACAAAGTAGTCCTTTTGAGAACAATCCAAATCAATCCCTTACATCTTCCAATCTGTAATTTCCTTATTTATGAGTCTAGGCTCACACCTGTTATCTTATGCACTGCCTGATCGTCCACTATACATAAAAACATGCTGATTTAATTTCAGATAAGTCTCTAAAAGTTAAAAGTCAATAGTGGTGCGTTTCATCTGTCTTGGAATTTGAATGTTGGAGCCAGGGATGGCATCATTCTCAAGTTTATTGGGATTCAGTTACACGTCAAAAACATACTCAGATGTTGCTAATGTTGTTAGCATTGGTAGTCATGGCAGACAATAACAACACTCTGCACGATAGTTTGCATTTGACAGCAACATGCCATCATGTCTGCCAATCAAACTTGCTGAAAAGTATGAGGGTGACTGAATCAATACTGCAAAACAAGACAAACTTTCTAACAAACATCATTAAAAGTACATCTGTTTTGTAGTCGATGCAGAAGGCAGCCATCTTGGATTCGGGGCTAAGGGTTGAGTTGCCCCAAGTTTCAGAGTTGGAGCTCTGACTTAAAAGGGCTTTCTGAGAGATGTATTCGGTGTGCATTTAGGAATTTCTGACTTCCAAGCTCAAATGAAATGCTCCATAAATCTTATGCACCAGTTTACACAGACACCTGCTAATGATGATCAACAAACAAACTCCCTGTTATATCTATACCTGTAGCCGGTTCTTCTCCTCCCTCATGTCCTCAAGCTCTCCTTTCTGCAGAGACTCCAACATCTGAACTTTACTCTCCAGACGGCTGAAAGACACACAGACATCAAAAACCTTCAAATATCAATCTTCAGCAGATTCACACAATCAGTTATTTTTCTCTGTTGTTGCCATTATCATTTACCAAAGAATTACCTGTGTCTGCCTCTTGTAAAAGGTTCAAAAAATGAAATTAAAAGAAAGTTATTACAGCTTTCATAAACAACACAGCAGTGTTTATCTCTGTCTGTTAAAAGAAAACAAATCCAAACCTCTGTTGGAAAGTTATCTGCACATAATTGTGCAACAAACTGGAGAGGCTAGTTCAGGTCAAATCACAGAAATGACTCAGGTTTAGGGGAAAAATGTGGTCTGGGTTTAGACCATAGCTTTGTTATTGTAACAGGAGCAGTGTCATTTTGTAATAAAATGTGGGTTAAAAGTAAAAAAAACACCACAGAATTATTGCTGAAATGGTTTGAGCTGCAGTTTTCTTGCAAAGATGCAAACTTCTTGCTCGTATTTTTTTTCCAGCCTAGTGGAGAGTTAATGGTGTGATTTGGCCCTAAAGTCACTGTGGGGAGTTTTTGACTGATGTAGAGATAGTGTCGCTCTTATACTGATGCCTCTTGATGGTGAAATGAGATTATCAGCAACAAAACTGGCAATATCGATCAGTATATTCTGTATAAAAGTAAAAAAAAAAATAAAAAATTAAATAGCCATCTTGATATTTTTCACTCACCCTTGACAGTTGAGAGTTAGCCATTGCACATAGCTCTTTATTCAGAAAACCTGTTACCTTTTTACTTGGCATCGTTACACAAGTGTATTTATATACATACATGCATGCATGTAGAACCGCATATGTGTTCCAATTTAAAAATATGCATTCTTATACAGTAAGGCTGCAACAACGAATCGATTAAGTCGATTCGTCGTGACGAAAAAATTCGTTGCCAACTAATTCTGTAATCGATTCGTCGGGTCTTTATATATGTCCATGGACACCGGCGTGTAAACATCAGCAGGACGCACAGAAAAGAAACAGCCATGGCCGAGGCAGCGGCTGAGAAAAACATGGACACAACCCAACCCAAATCCCGACCTAAAACATCAGTGGTGTGGGAAAACTTTACCAAGACCGAAAAGGAAGGCGTTCAGTGCAACATTTGCAAAGCCCGTTTTGCATGGCACGGGAGTACATCGATGATGCATAAGCACAGGGCTCTCAAGTCTCACGCATTCAGCGTATGACACACGCATTCCCACTCGTTCACACGCTCACACACCACACATTGTATTTCTCACGCATTTAAATAAACACGGTGATGTCCACCAAGTTGCACCTCTGTAACAATGGAACAGGGGGAAATCAACTGAGTTCCTCCGAGAGTTCAGAAGCTGCGTGCCACGCGCAAGCCAATCAAATAAAGTATATCTACTGAACAGCCAATCAAAAAGCAGCATTGCTGTATCCGGGTAGCTTTTGATATCTTGCGGTTTGACTACAGAAGAAGACAGACACTCGCCGAAATAGAGCAGGTTTTTATAAGGATGAGAAAGACCCGATGATTACAGTAAGTCAGTAACCTACACATGCAGAGACCTCAACACCTCATGGCAGATAAACTCATATGATAAACTAAAGCCCTATGCTATTGCTATTAACAGCTGCATTGATGAATTTAGCCTGTTTATCCGATTAATCGATTAGTTATTAAAATAGTCGGCAGATTAATCGATTATCAAAATAATCGTTAGTTGCAGCCCTATTATACAGATAAAACCAGAGTTTACAAAGTTTCATAGGTAGCAGTTTATAATTTTTCATGGGTAAAGATGATACATCAGCTCATCACGCAGTGGAGGTGGTCACATGATAACAGTCTTAGACAGCTGGTGCTGATACCTTTAATGAGTCAGCAGGGGGGGCTGATGGCTGATATACTATAAGACTGGTATCATGTCTCTGTTAATGTTGGTGTTTCTGATTTTGCATTAGCTGAATGGAATAATTTAATAATACTAACAGGAGAAAAGTGTTGAACTTTAAATGGATGAATATTTGGCTCAGTGTATTGTCTTTCAGATTTATATCCAGTAATCTTAAATTCATAATACTGTGTACATTAAAAAATCACATACTTTATTGGCTCTGGAAGCCAGTGACATGGTTTGGATGGATATTTGTGAAATATAAAAAAAAAATAGAAACATTAGTTTAGTCTATAGATTTTATGAACAGGACTAACATTTTGACAGAAGTTAAAACAAACAACATTCTTCCATAAATCATAAAATAATAGATGTTAAACTCCAGCCAATGACTGTTTGAAATCTGATATGTTGTAGTTGGAATTGGAAAAAGTGTCTGCATTTTAAAAAGATTGTTGTTGCATCGGCCTAATTAAAGCAATGCCGATATGATACTAAATTATTTCAAAATGCCATAAATCATCTTGATTAATCAGCTTATCTCTGCTCTGCATCCTGCAAAATATCTTGAACAAATGTGCATCCCTTTGCAACAGCCACATCTTTAACAAGGTGGCCACAGTGCTCATGGGAGATGTAGTCCTTGAATCAGGACAACTCTAGATTTCATCTAATGTGTTACCAGAATCACAAAATATTCTGGTGTTGAATGACTACTTTAGTTGTGGTTCAAAACAGAGGGACTCTCAAGAACACCAAATTGCACAGCAGCTTCTCAGCAGGTTGTCTGAACAACCTTGCAAAACATCTTTGCTCCCTTGTCAGATGAAAACATTGATTTAGACACTTTTGGTAGCTGTAGGAGGCAGGTTGGGGGTTAAAGTCATTTTTCCCACGTCAGACACAATAACTCCAGGAATGTGACGTATTAAAATCGGATTGTTTAACAGGAAGGTTGTGCGCACGAGGGAGGACACTAATCCAAACTGTTTGTACAACAAATCCATCAGCAGAAGAGCAGAGGCTGTAACTCCTGAGTCCCTCCTCATGGTGGAGAGGCCGTAAAGAAAGAAAGAAATAAAAGATTAATCACCCCACCATCATTCTTTCTGCAGAGCCGACCTCGGCTCTCGTTATCTCTGCAGCTGAACCAGCAGAGCAGCTGCTGAAAATAGACCCAGCCCACGCTTAGATCAACAACACACGGGCCAAATGAATGAAACCTGATGAAGGAGTGGCAGCAGCTCCACAGGGGAAATATGGGACACTGACGCTGGGCTGGATGTCAGTTTACACTCACTTTTCTGGCTCTCAATGCAGATTGAGGGAGGAGACAGGGGCTCTACAGGAGGTTGTGGGAAATCTGTCTATATCCAAGTACATGCCACAATAATTATGCCTGTTTTTAAATAGTTTCAACTCAGTGTGTTGGATATTTTTTGGAAAAATTTTAGTGTAGGCTGTCCTGAAAAATTTGTCCCGCATTTGTAGTATCTTCCTCCTGATGAAACCTTTAGACCATTGGAAATTATTGGCCACTGAGCACACCACTCTGCAGAAAAATGGATACTAGAGCCCTTTTAGGCACCCACTATGGAAAATTTCAGGAAAATTTCAGGAAAATTTCAGGGGCTTTTACACTGAAATGTGAAGTTGCCCCAGTCAGCATTCTGATACCTTTGAATGTAAGTCTTCTAGAAGTTTTTGACAAGTATGTTTTTGTTTCCCTCTCAACCCCTGGAAGATAATGCCAATGACTGCAAAAAAAAACAGTTCAACAAGTTTTTAACCTTTCCACCAATGTGACAAGAAATCAAATATCCACAAAAAGAACAGATAAGTGAAATGAAGGGATGAGAGAAGAGAAACATGTTTTGGTTTATGTTATTTTTATCCTGTTACTTGCTGCTCCTCATGTTTCAAAACATTGCTGATGCTCCACAAGCTGCTCTGCCCAAGTGTGTAGCAAATCACCTGTTGGAGTTTTATTTGATAGAGGACATCAGTCTATGGAGGTCAGCTTTTCTGTAAGTCTGAATGACAGTGTGTGTAATAGCGGATTAAACACATTACCACATCTTTGACTCTGTAAATGGAGAGAGGAGTGGTGTGATATAAGGTAATGTTGTACTGAGTTCAATATTTGAGGTATTGGCCCACTGAAATACACTTTCTTACACCCTCCATCACTCTGTCATGTAAGTGTGTGTGTAACATTCGGCTGTGGTCTCCCTGTATGTCAAAAGGGGACACTTTGGTCACATTAGGAGCTGAGACGCTTTTCCAGCTCCTGTTTCTGATCACTTCAACATGCTGACCCGACCATGAACGAAACTTCATTTACAGAGACTGATGGAGAGTCACTGATCTCTCTGCTGCTGCTGCTATGCTGTGTGTGTGTGTGTGTGTGTGTGTGTGTGTGTGTGTGTGTGTGTGTGTGTGTGTGTGTGTGTGTGTGTGTGTGTTTTTGATTAATGAGTCTGCATACGCCCCTAAACACATACAGATGGAGGATGTTTGTTTGTTTGCACATTTGCTGTTTCATTGTCAAATTTGAAAATGAATTTCGAGAGTGTGTTACATCACAGTCAGTGCATGAACATGCATGGTTAAGTCACTTGTTTGATCTACTGCTTATATGGTTATGTGGCTGTCTTTATAGAGACAACTCGTTATCGTGTGATTGCATGTGAATTTGCGGCTTCTTGTGAGCCCTTGCAATTCCCGCTGTCTAAAACTCGCCTCACAAAACACATCCAGTAGGAATTGGAAGGTGGCGAAAATCAATCCACTGGAGTCACTAACTACAGTCTTTTCTGGAGCTCCTTGAGCTCCCTCATCCTGTAGGTTCCTCTGGATTGCAGCAACAGATGTCCAGCTGCTTCAACTACAATCATCAGTCCCACTGTGATGAAAGTTCACTGTAAAGAGGTCAGTGTGTCCTTTGTTTTAATTGAGTTATTTAGTGATCAATTATGAATGTAAAGGGATATTTTGTCTCCTAGATTCCATAAAGTAAGCCAAACATGTTTGAAAAAAAAGATGTGTGCTTGATGAAGACAAAGAGAAGAACAGGTCAGATCCCTGGACATTTATTTGCAGGGGAATTAATTAGAGCTCTGACCTGCTCCAAAGATACAGTGACTGCAAACATCTGCTCAGTCAACACCAAAGCTGTGTGCAGGAAACACCGACCGCAAAGTGTGAAAAATGTGAGGCCAAAATGTCCCATAATGCACTGCTGCTGCTGATGTACTGACTGTAAATGAAGAAAGATGCACTTTGAATGGGCTCCTTCCATCTTCATAATCATATCTGTAAACAAAGAGCAGGCTGATAATAATGACTCTGCATGTTTTGAGCTCACAGAGCATCAGCCAAGTTCAGCTCAACATGAAAAATAGAGAAAATATTATGTCTGTAAATATTGGCGTGTCCTGCAGAAACAGCTGTGTGGATGTGAGTCCATCATCTCAAAGCACATGCTTGTGCTTCAGATGCTCTCTCTGCTCAGATGTGAAACAGCTGATAAGGTTTGTATTGATTTTTACTTTCACATCTGGGAGTCAGAGAGGAGATGTGTGTTTAATCACAATTAGCAGTCAGTGCTTTATGACGTTTTGAACTAAAACCACAACAAAGGATGATTTAGTACTGTCTTAGATGTCTGCTAAGCTCGTGTGAAAGTCCTCTGTCAGGTACTTGGAAAATATAGACAGAACAGAAATAGAGATGCAACATGTTCAAAGCTGGTTTTGGAGTCTGTTAACTGCTCAAGGTTCAGAGCAGAGAAAAATCCAGAACCAAATCAGACTGAGTTCAACTTCTTCTCAGTTCTAACAAACATGTACTCATGTTGGATTTTCAGCTGCTTTGTCACTACTAATGTGCTTTTTCTTTATCTTATGTTGAACCCAATAAAGCTTTTCTTTTAACCCTTTTAACATCAGTTTGTGAATTTGTGAATGTGACACATGATGTAAAAAGGGCTTTGAGTGGTCAGAAGGGAAAGACAGAGATTTAAACTCAGTCCATTTACAGTCAGGTTGGTGCAGTCTCAGCTGTAATGCTGGCATCCCATCATAGTGAAGAGGGAGCCGAGCATGAGAGGCAAAGCTTTTCATTTAACGCCTGATCTACGCTCCAACACTCAAATATGGTCATTTTACCAGGGACCAAAAGAACAAGAACGCTAGGGCAAATAAGTCTCCTATGAGAGTCTGGATTCAGCCTGAGAGACAGGGTCTGGAGCTCAAATAGGAGCTTTTGCTGATTTATTTAATTTGAATAATCCGGTTCAGGTGGTTTCACCATTTGATAAGGAAGCCTGGATGCCTTTAAAAGTTTTCAAGGTGTAACCAACCAGGAAGACGCGCCAGGGTAGGCCTAGAGGCACCTGGAGGGACGAGATGACTTATTGCAGGAAACACATCAGGAGCCCACAGTGCAGAGCTGGAAAATGTTGCTGAGAAGATTAAAAGTGTCGGTGGACATGGTGGGCCTGCAACCATGACCCAAAATTATAAAGGAAAAAGAAAAATGTATTTAAATCAAAGGCTGGATAAGGAGTTGGACTACAATACAAAAATACATGTCAATAAGAGGCACGTTTGGATACTTATATGTAATTCAAGAGGGAGTGCTGCTTTAAACATAAAATTTATGATCTAATTTAGAGTTACAGATCACTCACTTCTGTACTTCATGAGGACTTCCTAACAATAATAGCCGTCATTGCCACTTCTGTCAAGTCCTTTTAATCATTTGGTGGAGAGTCTAGAGTCTTGGCAGTTTTTAACCTCAGTGTAGAAACTCCTCCTCATCTACCTGTTCTTGTCTCGTAGCCGGCTGATCTCAGACGTCTGCAGCAGCAGCTCCTTCTCCAGTTTGTTGGTGGACAGAGAGTTTTCCAGCAGCTGGATCTCTATCCTGGACGTCTGGTTCATCACCTGGAAGTAAAGACGACATTAAATCTGGACAGTATGCATCAGAAAGCTAACATCAGTGGACTGTGAGCTCTGTACCTTCGCTTCCACCACGTTGAGTTTGCGAGTCTGTTCTGCGGTGTGCGTGAGGAGGTTTGTCCCTATCTCCAGCATGGTGGCTGTCTGGTTGTGAACGACGTGTGGAGGGATGTTAGAGATGCCCGGCCTTATGTTCCTCTGGACAACACTCTCCAGCTGTCAGGAAATAAAAACATGAATGAGAAGGACCGTGACGGCACTGATTTATTCAGAAAATTCCCTTTGTGTTTCTTCTTTCTGCAGCTTTAAACGAACAAATCACCAAATAAATTTTTTAGTTAGGCGTGTTTAATTTGGATTGTATTGTGGCTCTTTTTTTACACTGAAAGTAAACATATTTTGGTTATCATTTAGTGGTGATATGTTTATCATTGGCTTGGTATTTGTTCATTTACTTTGTTTATAGGACAAGTTTCTTTTTGTTTTTCCATTCCCAGCTTTCTTTGTTTTGCTTCTGGTACAACTGAGTCACCAAACTGAAACCTCCAGTGGTACAAAAATAAAGCCAAAAGTGCAGATACAAATTCTTTCGTAACCACGAGAGGGTGACCCTGAAAGGGAGTCTGTCCTTATTATGACTTCTTAAAGTGAATGTATTATTGGTTTGTTGGTACCCTGTATTACCTGTTAAATTCTGATTGGTCAGAACCCTTAAATTCAGTCATTAATTCTCAAAGCAAAAGCAACGCTGGCGACAACCTGAACCCATGTGAGGCAAAAGTTTGACACGTTTCTGGCTGTTGACATTGTGGCAAAAAACGTTTCTTTCTGTTTGTAACCTCAATCGGTAAACTAAAGAACTGGAGGACACTTTTACACAGTCTCCCCTCTCTGCCCCTCCCTCTTTTTATTTTTATTTTTTGGCATTTGAAACTTTTATTCTGTTTTCCAGAAGCATACAAGGAATCAAATTACAAACTTGACAAATTTACAAAAGTGGTCCATTAATGACAAGAGCAAGAGAAGCACAGCTCATTAACAATATGAAAATAGGTCCAGTGAGTGAGACATGTATAGGTCATTCTTCGGTGGTCATTTTAAATGTATGTCCAGTTAGTTCAGCTCCAGAGTTTATGTAACTCCAAGAAGTTCCAGTGGTTTCTTCTATTTCTCCTGAAACATCTGCATCCTCCCATTTATGTAATGTCCTAATTTTTTAAGAGTCACAACCTCACATGTCAGAGATTTCCACATCAGAACAGAAGGTGGGTCATCTCCAACCCACTTCACCAAGTTTGCTGTCCTTGCCAACATTAAAAGTGATTGAATCACCTCCTCATGTTGTTAAAGCGAATTGGGGACACTTCCCAGCAAACATAAGAGTGGAATTGCTCTGCCTCTCCTTCAACCAGAGGCAGAACCAGCTGTGCAACATCTGTGACTTCTGTGAAGAAGCCACAGATTTAATTTTAGACCACTGTGTCAGTGGTACAAACTATCAGGCAGCAACAGGTGGAGAAAGGAGGGCAAAGAGAGGAGCAGGATTGTCACCTTTTTCTTAAGAGTTTTAAATATTTAAGACCAGACAAACTTTTTGGGGAAAAGTAAAGTCTCTAACTTTCTGAAGTTCTTCTCTCATCCCTGCCTTTGCTGCTTTGTACCCAACACAGACTTACAAATACAGACAAGTGCTATACTGTTTAAAAATAAATAAGTGAAAATCACGTTTGCGTCTTTCCTGGCAGCAATTAAATCCTGCATCCAGCACATAAAGTTCATCAGATCAAATGTATCTGAAGATGAGAGTATAAAAAAGCAGGTCCCTCCATCTCTGGGAATATCAACTGGTGCCAGCTCGCACTGCCACACTGTGACCTTTGACCCCTGATAAATAAATATTCAATCTCTCCATCCCTCAGACTCCATGTCTTCAGGATATCAGTGCCACTGAGAAGCTAAGGGAGTTGATAAATATACCGCTGCACCAACAAACAGGCTGATCCCTGAGGGACCAGCAGCTGCCACTGAGGCTATTTGATGATCGGGGGGAGGAAAGTCCAGATTACAGGGGGGTCTGCTGAGGATTAATGCTGTTAAATTCAGATTAAAACAGCCCTGAGTAGTTTGATGATTCAGCTTTTAACTAGGTTGATTCACAAAGTTCTAAGAGCCATAGCTCTTTTAAAGCCAATGAAGAGGTGCTCTATCCTGCATTTTTATCAACAACCTGCAGGAAGTGACTTAACTGATAGTAAAGAGAGATCTGTATAAAACCAGTGTTGTCAAACTGGCTTAGGGACCTGCATCTGCTGGGATTTTATTATACAATATGATCAGCTGTATGTTTGTCCGGTGTTGTTCCATATTGTGATCAAGTTTTGGTTCAGAAAATGAGGGACATTTTTTCTGCCCCCGGGGTTAATTCATCGTCTGTGTGATCACTACTTACAAGTTGGTGGGTACTTAGCCTGCACTAGAGACAGAGTTCAGTTTGGTGAGGCAGAATAATGTTTTCCTCTATAAATATATATCATATTACAGGAGATTTACTGGAGAATACTTATACGGGAAGACAGCGGGAAGGGGTAAATACAGTAGTTTAAAAACAGGATACTTGACAGCTACGATTGTGGTTCTCCATCCATCACCAAAGCACTCCTGTGACATTCACTGTCGTAGACGCAGGATTCGAGCCAATCTAGGCTCTAATTTAGGCTTACCAATCAGTCCAAAGGTTAAAAAACACTCAGGGAATATAACTTTATTGAGCACAAATTCAGAATCACAGCCCATCACAGGAGAAGTCCACCCAGATATGACATTCATAAAACTGATCTCCATTTATCAAACCTCTGCCGAGCGGTGCTCCACTATGACAGGCCAGCCATGTTAACATCCAGGTAGTAGAGCAGTATTGCATTATGGGTACAGCCATTAACAGAAACTGTAGGAATAATTCATGAACAGTGATTTTGGATGGCAGTTGGGTGCCATTTGTGATGTGGGCTTTCCTAAATCATTGGTTTGTTTGGTGACGTAAATGTAGAACCGTCATGACCAGAAAGTACTTGAAGTTTCTCAAATTTACAGACACACTTGAGTGAATGTTTGGTTTTGTTATGAAAGCTGAGCGCTTTCAGCTGACTCATTCTCACGTGCCGACTCACCCATATGTCACCACCTCATGTTTTCAATAATTTTTCTCTTTCAGCTGCAGATCTTATCCCTGACTTTATCAAATTCATCATTCCTCATGCACGCTGACAGAGCTATTACTCATTTGTAATACCTTATTAAAGTTACTCAGGGGTCATTATGTTTAGTCTGCTTCCATTCGGCTGCAGATTAAACAACAGGCGCTCTGTTCAATCAGAAAACGCTCTCAGATAGGAATCACAGCAGCTGCTAATCCTAACTAAGGGCTTTTCTGGCTAAATTGGGCAAACCTGGAACAAGTCGGAAGGAAATCAGATGTTGTGACGCAGTGAGAAGTTAATCAAATAATCAAGCGAGGAGAAAAGAGCTGGAACGAGCCGCTCTACTGCGCTGCTTCCAGAGATGCTGTGCAGATTAACTCTGACGAAAGCCAAAACCTCCACCTGGCTGCTGCACTGACCAAGAGCAGGCACAGAGAGGGGGATATAAGCACAGGTTCACTAAATATGTGCAGTCAATATACTGTATGAGTATAAACAGAGAGGAGAAAGAAAAGGAGAAAAAAAAATCAAAGAATTCAGACGAGAAAGTTCAGCTGGTTCCTCTGTCAGCCGAGCCTCTAGAGACACAGTGTGCTGGCTTTTTAATTGACCCTTACTGCCTGTTGTAGCTTTAAACCTACACACAAACCATACACCCTCTCCACACAGAGACACAGCAAGTCCTCTGCACACTCTCACAGTTGTAGAGTACACATGCAGAGCGGCGAGCTCTGAAACGGCGCAGGCACCCCCACGTATAGAGGGCTTGTTTCTGAGATGCTAACTCAAACCACATGTTGGCTATGCTGTGATCTGGCCCTCTGGGTGACTTCACAGAGGGAGGGCAGGGGTCAACAAACTGCCCTGATAACAAGAGTGACGCACAAGCAAGTAGCACTGATAGAGATCTGGGGTAACAAGTGCACCGTGGGTCTGCAGAGGGTGTCGAGATTCGAGTTGGTAGATCTGATGGGGGCACTGAGGAAGCAGAGGGAGTAAAAAAGACCAAAGCAAGTTAAGTGCTGTGCCCAACACTGAGTGGAAATGTTATATAAGAAGTATAAGTATAAGAAGAATAAGGCCATAGGCGCAAAAAGGCAGCAACGTTTCTGTCAGTCTGCCCCAGGGCATGCTGTGACTACTCGGGGGGTTTACCACCACCAAAGTATGACTGTGTGAGCGAATGAATGATGTATCCAATGTAAAGCGCTTTGAGGGTCTCTGATAAAGCGCTATATAAAATCTGATGCATTATCATTATTAAGGCAATGCAAGGATGTGGGCACAGTGTAAAAGCTGGCTTTACATAAAGGTTCATCATTCCACCTCTGAACCCTCACTTTGAAACCTTTCAGTGGTTCTTAGTGACTTCACGCTTTGCCACCACAGGTGCCAATTTTTGGTTGTGGAGCACACTCACCCATCCTTCATTTTCGTTCTCTTATCCAGGGTTGGGTTACAATGGAAGCAGGTGAGTGAATTGACTCAAACACACAGCTTTTCCTGGATAGAGCAGTTTTCAGTACAGATGGGATCGATAATCAGATGGCTGGCTGCAGTGGACCTGCTGTGGATTTCAGCTGCTCTGACCATAATCATCCTCGTTACAAAGAAGTTTTCGACTCTGCCTCAACTGATCTAAATCGCCTTATTACTTCCAGCCTCAATTATTAGCTTCATTACAAACACTATTACTTCTTCGCTGCCCCTAGAATAGACCTGTTGACTTTATTAGCCTTAAATTAAACAAAGGTTAGTCTTCTATTGTGAACATGCTGTTCTTATAAATGGAACACAAACTTGAAAATCTATTTGTAAATAGACTTCATGGTTCTGTTGCGGAACATGCACCTGCCTCCTTCATACAGTTTTTTTGAGCCTGTCTGTGCCTGATCTTTAGGAAAAACTCACAAGCAGGAGCCCAAATAACGCAAATAACAATAAGTGAACAAAACTTAGAGAATCAAAAACAATACAGTGATAAAGGTGACCATTCACTGCATGTAGGTCTCGGTCTCATTTGTATGAAAAATGACCCCCCCAAAAAAGGTCAGTAAATATGCTTGAGAGGCCTTTTTAGTTGTGATTTATGCATACAAACACTGTTCCGATGCAGCAACAGGTAATGTGGAGTGTCTGTCCACGAGTCAGAAGCAGAAGATTACACCTGACAAGTGGGAATGATATTACACTTGTGATGTTTCTGAGACAAATATGCAAAATAAAAGTATTTTCCACAAGCTCCAGAGTTTGAGTCCCAGTCGAGTCTCAAATCCGGTCAGTGTGCAATGTAAGTGTGACTCAAGTCCAAGTCTGAAACTTGAGTCCCCATCTCTGGGAAGGAGCCCTGTGATAGACTTGCAAACACGTGGACAAACAGTGATAAGTGAGGGCTTTAAAATCTTGTGATTAACCTCAGAGCTACATGATACACAGTGTTTAATGCATGCAAACTCTGGGAAAAGGCATGCATGAATAAAACATCACCATGGTCATGGATATAAAAGTGGTAGAAATGAGTTTCTTTTGGGGCTCAAAAAAGAACGTCAGGACTTGATCCAGAAATATAAAACCAAGCTTCAAGTTTAATCTTCTCAGCAGCTGCAGGATAAGAAGCAAAAAAGAAAGCGAATACTCAGGTAAAAAACTAAGATATCTGTTCTGGAGTACAAACTCAATCGGTGTGCCCACAAAGTAAAGAATGAAGGCATGTCTCACCGGTTTCCACCTAAAAACAGTCTGACTTTTGTTGCCCCTACAAACGAGTTTTTAAGTCATGCAAATGTTATTGAACAGTGTTTAAAGCAAGATACAACTTGGGTATAGCTCCATTTTGACTACATCACAGCGTCATCTGCATACAATGAAAGTTTGGGTTGGACACATTTTGATTTGTATCATTTATAAAAAGAATAAAAAATAGAACTCTTTTTTTACTGCTAGAAAGCCTGTGACTAAACAGGCTTTCTAGCTAACTAACCAGTCACACTAACCAGTCATTGTAGGAGGAATGCATGGCCCACAGTGTTGAATGTTTTGGGTAGGCCAATGAAGAGAGCTGCATTAAAAGAAGAAGAAAAATAAAAAAAATAATGATTTTGTGGCTCTTTCATGACTAAATATGCTTTGTGTGGCTTTTTCTAAATGATACCCCCAGGTGAATTGTAGTGTAGTGTTTGTAAAGAGTGTGATGCTTATTTTGACATCTCTAAAACTCTTGTGGTGCTGTCAGGAAGTAAAATTACTGTATCGGCATTAGCAGACCTCTCATTCATGGTCAAGCAAACCCTCAGATATCACACAATATGAACATTAAATCTCACTCTCATATTTCATTAAATTGTCTGAAAGCAAAGCTACCAACTTTAAATTTTCAACACTTGGACCTAAGCACAGATCACATCTTCTGTTACATTCACATCCATCACCTTTCAGTGTCTGTTGAAAGCCATTAGCTGAAACTGATAAAAGCTGACATTTTAAGAAAAAGACCAATAAATTTTTGCAGAGCTTGCTCTGTTCTCGCAGCATGTCCCTGGGTGTCAGACCATCCAGATGTTTTGGCCGAATCTCAGAGTTTTATGGAGCAGCAGAACAAAAAAACAGCCTCAGGCTTTGATCCGGTTCAAAACTACAGGAGAATAACTCTCTGTATGCTGTCTGAACTTTATTCTCTCTGTCCTCGCTCCATTAGCATTTGTTTCCGCTCTTTCTCCATCTGCATCTCTGGACTGATTTTGAGCCCTTCAGCATTGCTGGTTTCACATCTGTTATCTCCATCACATTTCTATCTGTTATCTGTCATATTAACTTGTGTTCCCAGTTGTGTAACAGCAGGTGTCCTGCTGTCCCTTAATTTGCAGTTGTTGACGATGTTTGAGATCAAAATCTGAGCAGTTTCCCACGTATTTGATAAGGCAGTCAAGACAGCACAGCAGTTTTGGATAAAAAATATACATAATTAAATTTTTTCTCTCTAAAATATGGTGAAGGGGGGAGGCAAAGCATAAAGCCTTAAACTGCAGATGTTTGCGAGAACTGTAGCCGTCAGCACTACTATTAATATCCGATACCCCTTTTTCACCAGGGAGACCCTGGTGCTGCTTCAAATCATGATCCATGTTAGAGCCAGTGCAGCAAAAGGCCAAGAGCTCGTTCTTTATTTGGACCCCCCAAAATTTCACATTTTTAATATGAGATCGCTTTTTTTTCATGGCATGTATCTTAAAATGTTTTAAAGGTCCATAAGCTTCTCTTTTTGTGTATCTCTGCATATTTCACATCCTTATTTGAAGCTTGCAAAATAAAACCTAAGTCATCTAGCCTGTCCTGATTGATTTGCTTTGGTTTTTCGGAAGTTTTTAAAAGGTTATAAATTCTCCTTAGAGATCTGCTGCTCTCAGAGCAAACAGTCTCAGTAATAATAACCAGTAAAAACACTGAATAAAGCAGCATCAGGTCTAAAGAAGACATTTGCTGAGCTGATGATAACGTCATCTATTTTCTTGACTCTTTTCTTCACCACTTTCTCCTCTGTGGAGCTCACTTTAGCTGTTGCTTTTGTTCCTCTTGGTTACACTCATATTTTTACATCCACTTTTTTCCAGCAGCAGCTATAATACTACTCAGGAAGTGGGGCTAGAACTCAAGGGCGTTTGTCGTTATGAGTAAGCAGAAAACTGCACGCCAACCAGCTGTTCTCACCGTTTTTATGGTTCGATAGGCCTTAAATGAGTAAACAGTCCCCCAGCATCCCTTTACTCTGTGACTGAGGTGGGACACTTGGTTTTTCAGACATGGACTTGACTTGTTCAATGTGCTCTGAAGTGTTTATGGGATGTAACAGTGTTAAAATGTTCTCATTTATATGATTAAAAAATGGTTTGTGCTTCTTTAAAGAGATCTTGTTCATCAGGATAAGAAATGCTGTGATGTAGACCAGTCAGGTATCAGTCAGTCATTGTGAGTTTCTGAAACCCTTCATGAACTCCACATTACTTTGTTTTGGTGTCATGTTGTGCGATGGAAAAAACCTGCAGGAGACGACTTTCATTTTGCCCCTTTTACAAGGACCAAATGTGTTTACGTTCAGTCGTCCAAAAACTGGCTCATCTTCAAAGCTTTAATAGAGAGAGTGTGAGCAACAGATCTATGAATACACTCAGTGTGAGGCAGGTTGACAACTGTCCTTGAATCAGCCGAGACGTCATGTTGAGCCGCCTGACCGCCCCCTAAAAGTGTATCTCATCCAGTCACACAGACAGACACGCGTTAATAAATAATCTGGTTTTTCTAAGAACTCAGACTTTTTGGGTGTTAAAGAGTATTTTTAAGTTTGGCAGCTGTGTGCGATGTAAATTTCCAGTAATGGTTAATTGTCTTTGGCAATTGTAATACCAATATCAATCAAAATTACTTTGATTATGAATTTTGCAGTAATCGAGCAGCCCATATTTTCTTTCAAGGTAATGCACTCTTAAAGAAGACAAGAAACTCTTTTTGTAATTGCTCTGATTACAAGCAAAGCAGTTCTTGTTATTTGGGCGTAATATCTTGAAATATTTTTCTAGACTTATTGAGTTTGGTTAAACTGACCTAAAATTACACTTTTAACTAGAGAGAAGACGTAATCACTTGCTTAGATATGAGTCTTTGTATCTCTGCAGAAAAGAAGTGTGTTTGAGTGTAAAACTGCTGTTAGTCATAACACATATGTATGTTACTCTAGAATTCACCCCCAGATTTATAGGTTTATGGGTGATTTTCTTTTAAATCAAGAGCAAAGACAAAGAAAACTTTCATTTTCTCATTTTGGTGTAAAGGTAGTTTTCAGGAAAACCTGTAACAGGTATTGACTGGACCCAATTGCAGCACAAACTAGCAGGTTCACTTTAACAACAGTCTTTATTTAACACCCAACCCAATGAAGCAGCAGAGTATAGCAGGTGGTTATGGCAGGATTCGAACTCGGGTCTTCCGGATGTTAGGCGAGCAGATTAGCAGAGGACTACAGGGCAGGCAAGAATCTTGGGCTCGTGAGCAGCGAATTGTCCACAGTCTTACGTTGCTCTATGAGTGTAGTGAAGGGGGAAAACGCTCAACTCACAGCTGGAGGAAGATTTCTTGAAGAGTGGTTCAGGTGAGGACTGGGTGAGGATCCAGAGCTTGCAGAGGAGCTGGCAGAACCAACGTCGGCAGAGGAGGTGAGTTGGCGAGGTGAAGCTGACGAGAAGGGGGATCTCAACAGAGCAGGAGCAGGCTGAGTGCCATTCAGCCGCAGGCAGACGAATAGCAGGAAACAGGCAGGCAAAGCTCGTAGTCAAGGACAGAAGGCAGGTAGGTTTACCGGGGCTGAGGCGAGAAGCAAAGGTCAGGGGCAGATCAGGTCGATACCAGGTAAGCAGTCCGAGGATAAACGCTGGAGAGTCAGGCATGAGAGCGAAGACAATCTGGCAAAGAGTGAGGGGAAAGAAGCTGCATATATACTGGCCTGATTGGAGATGATGAGCAGGTGAGAGCAGCAGGTGGAAGCAGTTAGCTGATTAGGGGTGTGGCTGAGCAGCAGAGCAGGAGAGGGGCAGAGCAGACTGTTACAAAACCAGGAAAAAGTCGGCTGTGTTATTTTGTCTTGTGTTCCCACAGGACAGTAGCACGAGAACTCTGCTTCAAAAATAAAATTATCCAATTAAAGTTGTTGTGAATCAAACCCTTTCTCTGCTGTTGCATATTTTTTTTCTGTTTACAGTCAGCAGAGAGGAGGACTGACTCAGTCTGAGCACCTGACTGCTGTGAAAGCAAATGTCTGAACCGCTTTGGTTCCCAGAGAGATTAAAAATTGATGCAGAAAAATATCTGCCATCTTTACAGGTCCTTCAGTCCGCAACCAAAAATCACAGAAGAATAAAAAGTGTAAATTCAACTTTGAGAAGCGATTGTGTCGTGTTAATTTTGGTGCCCCCTGTGGGCACAAGAGGTACATCACAATGTTTTAAGACCTTGATAGACATTAGTTCTTGTCTCACCTGAATTACATCTTATCTTCATCTTATTTATTTTTATTTTACTTGTTCCAGTCATGACAATTTGCAAAAGTCTTTGATGAGGTAATTTGGCAGTTTCATCACTTTAGTGTCTGTAAATGAGCAGAAGGAAGAAAACTCAAATTTTATCTGCCTCTAACTCAAAATATAGACGGTCCTTTCAATTACAATTACATGGCAACCAATATTACACTGACAAAAGAAACAGGAAGCAGATTCAGTCTTTGACAAAATCAAAAACTCACAGTCTGCCAAATCCAAAATTCTAATAATTCTTTCTTAATATTTTCACAAACTGCAGTATAATCGTGCAACCCTATTAATAGTCCTGTAAAGAGCTCATGGTTCCTCTGCTATAAAGTCATCCATTCAGACTGATGCTGAAGATTCACATTCATCCTGAATTTGGACAATTGTTAGAATATGTACAGCAGCTGTTAGCTCATCTATAGGTGAGCTGGAGTATCTGCTGGTTAACTATGAGGGCTCTGCTCAGGAAGACAGAGACCACGACCTCAGCTGAAAATGGATCAGTGGCCACGTTTACATGGGAAAAACTTCTTAATCTGATAAAGAATTTGAGGGATAAGAAAATCTGAATCCACTGTTTATATGTGCGCGAAATCAAATAATCCGATCATGATGTGCATATACTTGCAGCAAGTTTTATTCAGATTAGAAGCACTTGGACATGCACAGAGTTGTCTGATCTCGCCAAGTCAATTGCAGGAGAAGAAGAGTTGTATTTACGCATGTGCTGTCAACAAACCAACAAAAGCTGTGGTGGCTCACTCCATTCAATTCAGGAGTTTTCCCTCTGTTAAATGTTGTCAAGATGTCAATGTCAAGATGGCGCCCTTGCTCACTTAATTTACAGTTCTGTCAAAGGTGGCACTGAGCGTGCACATGTGACATCATTACGCTGTATGTAAGCCTTGTTATGTTACCGGTGGAGCAGACACGGTACCTGCAGTTGTGTTTTTGCCAGAGTGTTAATTATGAAACCTCCTGAACTGACCTCAATAAATAAGCCAAAGACTAAAGAGTGAAGATCGAGTCAGGTAAGAGAGTCACGATTGGAATAACTGTTTACATGGACGTGTTTCAGAATGATGATCGGTCTAAACCACCACTGTAATACAATTTCTTTCCGATTTCCAGCTTTCAGATCTTCCGATTGACATGTTTACATGACACACGGGCATCTATTCCGATTATTTGTGCCCATGTAAATGCAGCTAATGGCAAGAGTTTTGATTCAAGGAGGCCTTGGAGAAAGACCAACAGGCCCAGGGAGCCAAGCCCAGTGACAGGTGTGTGCGTGTTTGTGCCTGTGTGTGCAAAGTGTGTATGTGCAATAGTTGTAAGAGTGTTTATTGCTGGTTAAACACAGAGAAGACTTCAGTGTAACACTGGAGTACCAGAAAGAGGGAACCCCTGGTTGCTGCTGTATTCTGCACACTGCACTCTTTGTTTTAGGAGATAGACGGTGAAACCTTTCAAATATTAACTTGATCAAAGTTAACGTTGTTAACAGCTGAAAGGTTGACAGAGTGTCCACCTCTGTCTGTTAGTGTGTCCCCTAAAATCCATGTTTTTCAGTTTAATTACATGATTTTGACCTGGTGAGGGAGAAAAGCTGTCAGAATATGGCACCACCAGCTTGGCGGATGCAACAGTGGTCTTAGCAACATGTCATCATAACTGCATCTATAAACTCTCTTCTGCAGCCTCATCTTCCTCACTGTGGGTTTCATCTGTTATATTGTTGCAGCTGCATTTTTGGATCCAAAACAGTTTTACGCTTTATAGAAAACAAATTTTACATCTTCCCTAGTTAAATTGCTGAAGCTCTTTGTAATTTATTTAAAACAGATGATCGTATTTGGCCTGACCTGATTATGACCTTTTTGGCTGCATCAATCTTGATGGTTCTTCTGCTTCATATGAGCTGGTTCCCTTTAATCAGGAAGGCTCATCTATAAAATATGTGCTTTTGTGCTGCGTTTTCTGACTTTGTTGAAATATTATACCCTGATGAAAAGTCTTTTCTCAAACCTCCTCTGGTTTTGTTGAGATCTAGTTTCCATTTGTTAAAACAGTGTTTATTTTTGGGAAAAATCCTCAGATTTTTTGTCACGTTTCTAGTTGTGTTGAAATTTCGATGTTTCTCGATGATTTAAAGCAGGTCTGTCATTATTCAGTTCAAATAAATCCAGCTGTTCCTAAACTTTTAAACATTTTTTTGAGGAACTTTTTGAAATATCATGACTCACATAAATCTTTTATTTTTAATGATCAAACTAAAACCAGAAACGGTTACAGGCAGGACCATGCTGAACATAAATGATGAGAAAACAAAGGAGAAGAGAAAAGTTCCTGATTCTGTCCATACGTCTTCATCTGTAAATGTTTTTCCAACATGTTTCTCCTTCTAATGACCCTCCAGCCGTCTGTTTAACACTGACAGTCTGGGTCACAGCTCTGTGGAAATGTGTGTAAGTGACTGAGTGAGTGTCGGTGAATGCTGCGACATATATACACTGTTTATATGTGTGAGTGTGTGTGTGTGTCTTACATTTGTGGGTCACCACTTCAGCTGTGACAAACATCTCAATCATCTCACCACAATCAGAACCAGATGGACTGAGTCAACACAGGAGTGTGTGTCTGTGTGTGTGTGTGTGTGTGTGTGTGTGTGTGTGTGTGTGTGTGTGTGTGTGTGTGTGTGTGTGTGTGTGTGTGTGTGTGTGAGTGTTTAAGGCTACAAGTGTAATTGGACTAACACTGTGAGGCTAAATCCCATCTTTACCCTCAAATTTGAGCGTCTCTTTGTTCCTCTGAACAGAATTCAAACCCGTGGTAGAATCCAGATTTAATCTCGGCAGCTATCTTAGTTTCAATCTCAGTCTTCAGACTCAAGTGCCTCCTATGATCCTTTTCAACTGCAGGAACTTCCCCCAAAAACTACAGGGACTTGTTAAGGAAGTTGGTGTGCTCCAACATCAGAAACTGGAGTCTGACTTTAGTCGTACCTCTCGAAAAGTCCATGTTCACAGGTTGGCCCAGTGACTTAGGAAGGCAAGGCCTGATAATTTCATATACATGAAAACACACAGGTCCTCAACTCATTCAGTGCCAATGACAGATTAGGACTGATTTTTTGGGGGGGTTTAAGTTTGGGGTCTGAATGCAGAAAAGCCGACAAATACGTCATAACCATGTTACAATGACAAAAAACAAGTACTCGCCAGTGGGAAGTTTGCCATCAAGTGTGCCAGTTAGCCTTGTTGTGGAGTGTTTATTCTCTATGAGGAGAGTAGGAAACTGCCAAAGTCATTAGCCAAGAGTTAATGCTCTCGGCGCTCAGCTCCTGTGGGCACGGTGCTACCGTCTCTGGATCCAGTGGAGATCCTGGTACCGGACCTTCACATTGTCAGGCAACAATCAAAGAAACAATTTTCCGGTGTGTCATTGTGCCGCCGGTGCAGGTACTGGTCAGCGAGACTGAGACGGAATTCAGCAACATTCCTGTCGAGGAGGATGCAAGCAGTCCGTGTGGTTTACGTCGCCGTGGTTTACAGTCTCTCCTTCCTAAAAATGCGTTTTTCCCAGGTTTATTTTTCCAGGTCAGCAAAGATGACATGACCACACTGCATTGAGCAGGCAAGGAGTGGGTTATAGACTTACTTTTTTTCAGGTGAAAGAAGAGAATCACCCCTTTCTTTTGAGATCTTTTTAAGGTTTCCTGAAAGGTGCATACATTTCTATTGCGGTCAAAGGTGGCACTGGTTGAAAATTGCATAAATGAACCTGGCACTGAATGAGTTAATTTACATATAAAATAAACAGCTGCACAGAGGAGGCAGGACTTCAGATTCAGGATTATATCCTACATAACCTTATGTTATCAGATCAGTATAACTATGTATATACATGAATTTTGATGCGGTTCATGTTTATTTTTTTAACTCAGATGTTTTTGAGTGTTTTAACAGTTCCCAAGGATAGTCTGATAAGGAAACACTTTTTTACATTATAAGCTGGTATACATTTTACACACAGACACCAGCTGAGCAGAGAGAGGGTTACACAAGTAGAGGCACCAAAGGACAACAGTACAGGAGCAAATACTTACAGTAACCTGATGTTATTAAATAATCAACCAGCTGATTTGTGACAGCTTTATTTGTAAGAAAAAATCTGCAGAGACTCTATGAAGCAGCTGTTCAGTCGAGCCGCAGCTCGACTCAACAGTGCATGTAAATGTACTGAATGAGACACATGGAACCATTTAGTTCCTGAAACAGAATTTCCAGGCACTAAAAGTTCTTGGTACAGTTAATGTTCACACATACAGTACATGATAACGGTCCTTCCTGTCCTGATGGGAAGTTTCAGGAGACATCAAATAGATGCTGCTGTAGTCATGATTTAGTGTTTTACAGTCTAATCCAGGATAAAACCCTGTGAGATCAGAGCTACTAAAATATTGATGAACTTTTCTACAAAAATTTTTCTTCTGTAGTTGTCACACAAACTTGCTCTGCTCAGATTTCATTAATGAGACTCTGTTTCTTTGGTTTGTTTGCAGGTTTAGCAGGTGCAAAAGCTGTACAATCCTTTTTTTAATGTCCTTGATTCTGACTGGTCAAATTCAACAAGTCTGCTATTTTTAAATATCAGACTGCTGATACGAATCGAGAGGACTCAAAAAGACCACAACTGACCAGAAGTCGACTGGCCTAAACAAAAAGAGAATAAAAGAAAACAGACATGAAGTAAACAGGGAATAAGTTAAACAGATTCATCTAAGGATAAAGACAAATAAGGCAAAGCAAGCACTAACTCTGCTGTGTGAGTGTTTAAAAGAAACTTGCAGAGGCCCACAGGAGGTTAATGCTGATGTACAAAGAGGATTTAAACCCAGTAAAAGAAAGCAAACAGAGAGAGTTTGACTGGGTCAGAAATAAAAGTGAAAGAGGTTTCTGAGCAGCTGCAGGTGTCGGATAAATACTGAGGAGCAGCTGCAGCGTTAGAGGACAGACCGTTCACTTATTAAACTACAGAGAGAAGACATACTGTTGAGGTATCTGCTGAAAGACAAGTCTGTAACACTAACTGTACGTCTTTATCCTTTTACTGCGATAATAAACATGGTCAGGGTTTTATTCAGTTTAATAACAGTGTTGTCATAGTCGGCCTGTTTGAACAGATGGAGCTGGACGCACGCCACTTGATGATGGAGTCACTGGTCGAATGATGGACAGTGCGGCTGGGGTTAGTTTGGTTCAGGAAGACGAAACTGTGCTTGTGGTTGGAGAAAATGGTCTTTTAGACCACAAAGGAGGAGGGATGATACTCTGAGGTTTTGGTGCTTTCAGTGTTTACTAGTACATGACTTCTTTCATGAACAAAAATAAAGATTGTTTGTGACAGAGCCAAGAAAACGGAGTAAATCTCTGATGAGTGCTGATTACATTCAGTCTTTGTGGGTTTTATTTCTTTGCTGTGGGGAGTTGATTTAAAGTTTAAAATCACATTAGTTTCTATTTTAATACATAAAAACCTTCAGCCAGAGAACTGAAACAGAAAGTGGGCTCCCAACCTCTAGAAACATGGGCTGGTTACATGTTTATTATCAACACTACTATTACAAATTGACTTTAAGATGACGAAGTTATTACTTGCAAATAACTTCAGGACAGTGATTTGCAAGTTGGTGCAACACTGAAGGCATACTGGGTTTTCTTTGAGTCCATTCATAAACTCTGGAAAGAAGGATCCAAACTTGGGACAGACCGTTAAACCCTGGCTCCACTGCTGATATGTCGTTCCCTCTGGACCACCTAATGATCCACCCACAACACTCCCTGATTGGTTGGACCTCAGATGGCTGTGTCATAACTATACCGCTTCAAGATCAAAATCAAGATTGGTTTATTAGTCATATGCAGGGTAAACATAGTCAACAATGCAATGAAATGCCCTGGATGAGAAGGACCACTCGACCCAAAGAAGTACAATTAACACACAATAAGTACACAAGTGATGCAGTAGGTGCTGTCAGGGTGTGAATGTATGCAATGGGGGATAAGTCAGTGGGATAAATGAGGTAAGAATTGCCAAATTGCACATCATATATAATATTGTGCAGTTAAGTAGGGTAATCTTACTTAACAGTTTTAGCAGGTTGATGATGCTGAATGATGGTGTAAATGTTCCAGCTATCCAAAGTTTTACGCTGGAGATTATAATTTTCGTAGTTCTACATTTTGGCATAAAGTTTGTCTTTTTTTACTGTTTATACATATCAGCTCTACTCAAGCTGGTACAGACCATACTCTACTTACAAAAATGCATTGTACAAAAATGTATTTTGGGTTGGGTTTAGAGAAGGAAGAGAGCGAGATGGAGAAAGAGAGAGATGGACAGAGGAAGGATTGATGCATAGAGTTGAAGCAGCTGGACAGCAGGCAGGTAAATGTCAGCTAAATGTCAGCAGCAGTGATTCAGAGGAACCTAAAGCATGACAGAGCTCAGGGACTCCCAGACACAGGTTCTGTTTCAGTCCTTCAGCTACATTCTCAACCAAGGGGACAATACTGGGACTCCCTGTGGGTAAAACATATACTATAAATAAGTATCTGATACAACCAAACTTATAAAAAGGCTAGAATACTCTGTCTTTACGGTGTGATGTGTTTAAATGGCATCTACTGTTGGTGATGTCGCCTCTGATTCAGCCTGTTAGTAATACTGCCACTGCAGCAACTACATTGTTTCAAACATACAGATCTGTTTATTTTTATGTAAGGGGAGCATAGTTGGTCTTTTATTACACATCTGTGATAACCAGTCCCTCCTTTCAAGATCATTTATGAACACCATATTAAAGCATCATGGATGTAAATCTGGGGGCCTCTATTTTCGTCTTGAAAAGAGACACTCCCAGATGTCAGAATATGCTCCGGGGTTTGAGGGGTTAACACCTGCTGAAAGTTTGAGCTTCTCAGAGGCTCACTGGCCATACACCAAGGTAGAGCGTGTGTGTGTGTGTGTGTGTGTGTGTGTGTGTGTGTGTGTGTGTGTGTGTGTGTGTGTGTGTGTGTGTGTGTGTGTGTGTGTGTGTGTGTGTGTGTGTGTGTGTGTGTGTGTGTGTGTGTGTGTGTGTGTGTGTGTGTGTGTGTGTGTGTGTGTTTGTGTGTGTGTGTGCATGTGTGTTTTCCAAGAAGCTCTGTGAAGTTCTGCTCAGTTTGGCTCTCGGCCACGACCCACTGGGAATCTCTCCCTCTTTTACTCCCCCTCAGTCCCTCCTTCCACTCCTCTCACCTCCTCACTTTCCTCTGTTATTCATCTCGTATCTCTCCCACCATCTCTTACTCCTCCTGATGTCTTTTTTTTTTTCTCTTCGGCATTTTGAGGGTTTCTTCCAGCTGATAACAGTCTGTCTGCTCTGCTCACTGAGTCACTGACCTTTGAACAGAAGATTAATCTCTTCGTCTGTTTCCTCCTTTCAGAAATTTGTCATCTGTTGTGACGGGGCTCAAACTCTGGCTAGAGGCCCCAAAGTGGCTCCTAGATGTACTGAACAGGGACTCTAACTTTAACAGAAGACAGGTTTAGTAAAATTGAGCAAACTACAAGACAAACAGTTGATCTGAGTGGTTATAGAGCTGCACGGGATCAAGCAAAAGAAGAGTGACGGTAATTCACTCACACAGCCTGCACTTTCTGGGAGAGGGGACAGATAGTTTTTACAGGGTGACCATGTGTCCTCTTTTACCCGGACATGTCCTCTTTTGGGGGGCTGACTGGACTTTTCCGGGGGAGTTTTTAAAATCCTTTAAATGTCCAAAGGTTTGTATGGAAGTTTTGAGTTTGTATCGTGTGGACTGAGTTAGAAGTGCATAAAAAAACACTCGACCCGACCCGAAAAACTCTCAAAATTAACTACACATGACTCCATGACGCCGCCCCGTGTAGTAGTGTCCTCTTTTTAGGGATTCAGAATATGGTCACCATAGTTTTACCCTGGTGTCAAGAGAGTCTGAAGTTGTGATGAGAATTTTGGCTTCTTTTCAAAGCCCGGATCATTTTGCAAAGCTAAGCTGTAAGAGCCGACTCTCTCAGCTCTTCATATCACAGGTTTGGAGTGTCTGAGGCTGAGCAGATTAATCTGTCGTGACATTAAATGCAACAGAGACGGTAAAAAGGACGGCAGCTCTCAAATAGAAAGCTCACGTCATTCATGTAGGAGAGTCAAAGTCGAGTTGTTCATGACCAACGAATCATGAACACACATGTGAATCAAGTTAGCAAAGCGAATTCGAGATGTCTCATGTGTGTCACAAAACACAATGGAGACTGTGGAAACCACCACTCAGGTGGCAAGGCCCCGCCCTCTGGAAACGTTCAGTTCTCCTGATTGGCCGATCTGAGCTGTCTGTATTGCACATAAGCTAAAATTGAGCGCTACCAGTTCAGAACTCCTCGATACTGTTCGGGTTACTGTGCAAAGAAACTTCACTTTACTTCATCATCACGCTTTATCAGCCCGTGGGCGAATAAAAGTATAATGTGAGAGAGTCTAAGATTCCCCTCTTCATGTACAGTTTAAAGAGCACTATTAAGACGCTCACATGCGCAGTGTTCTTCTGATGTTTGTCATGACAGACTAATTGCACTTTATCGCCCCCTATGGGTCTGGCATGCTTTTGATGTCTGTTTTGAACAGGCAGGGACAGAAAATATTCAAAACCACCCCAAGTGTTGAGAGAATTTTTATGCCTTTATTTGTCTAAACCACAGGCTCCCTTTATGTAATCCCCTTTTTACACAAACTTTAAACTATTTAAAACTTCTGAAGAAATCACTCCTGACATTTTAACTCTTTAATTTTTGCGTGATTATTGTTAAAATGAACCTTGAGGTGGGATCAGAGTCACAGAGAAATCGTTTTCCATCCTTATCCTTTAGATGATTCTTTACATTTCATATTGATGTCTGCGTCCTGATGATCTCTGTAGATGTGAGGGTGTGAGGTCTGACATGGTGGAGTTTGATCCACATTCCTCAGAGTTTAATGTGTGTAAGTTAAATATTTGTTTAATGCGAGCTGTCAGCTGAGTGTGAGTGATGATCATAAAACTGCAGCAGGAAAAATGTTGTGAAATAGCAGCAGATTTACACTGGGATGGGGAGCTGCTGTTTGTTTTGAAATGCTTACATTCATATGGACACATGTTGATCCTCTCTGGATGGGAAACAGAAACGCTGGAGTTGTGATTTACAGCATGACGGTGTTTCTCTGCAGATGGAGTTTAGCTAACTGATAGTGCAAAGCAGATCTGCACTAAAATTGAAAAATCCTCTTATCTCACTACCTCTCAACCAAAGACTTCAAATGGAAAGACGGGAATGCAACATGGTTCTTCACTTGCTGCTAAAACATCCGCAGAATTAAAGGGATGGAGGAGTTTTTGTTGACACCTTTCTGAAGTAGATTTTACACGAGATTTTACTGACCGAAGAAGAGAGAGGGCAGACTGAGCAGAGAGATCCTAATTGATACCTGGTGGGCCAGGTATGTAAACCCAAAGACCTCCCTCTGTCAGGAGTGGGACTATCAGGACTTTAGGACCTTTCAGATTTAGAGGAACCCAGGAGCTTACATACAGCTTCAGTCTGCATCACGCACCAGCCAGAGATCCTGACTCACTGAATGCTTAACGCTGCTTTACACACTTAATACAGTTTTACTCTTCAAAGTAAAATTTATCTTTCTTGGTTAATGTATTGTATAATGACACAACCCACGGTCCACAGGATACATTTACCTCGTCAAAACAAAGCATGAGCTGCTGAAGGGGTAGACTAAACTGAGATAACAAACTACACACATCACTGTGTCGGACCCAGCATATTCAGACTTTGGTGCTTCAATCATCTCAAACCGGGTGTGTAAAAATATCAAAATGTAAAATATAACAATGCACTGAGGAAATGTGAAGTGGACTTGAATATCCCAGCTTCATCCTGCAGGTTACAAAGGTTACATATTTGCTCTGTTATTTTCACTATGTATCTATGCTGGACTCTTCAAATGTTCTGGGGTCTCATTTAAAAAGTTGTTGACAGAATCAGCCGGCCCATTGACAATTTCGTGCCCACCGACAGCACAGAAAGTGCACTGACAGCTAGCTGATTCAAACCTATCAGCTATTGTCACAAGGCGGAGGGCGGCTGGTCAATTGGTAATAGACCAGCGCAGCAGTGCCCACACGTCACCGATGCCTCACCGGCAGGTTTCCTCAGTGTCAGGCACATTTCAATGCAACAAATTATCAACAACAGCCAACAGTCGGTGCAGCTATCTGAGTGAACACATACACTTAGATCTATATCGATACATTCTGATTGATATCTCATCTGATGAGCGTGTTTGACACACTCAGCCTAGCCGAGTAAACACAGCTGAAACTGCATTAAACCCCCTTCATCTTCCTCTTCCTTTTCCCCTTCTTCCTTGTGCACACAACCCACCTTTGTCACCTGGGATTTAAATATATGCAAGTTGATGTGAGTGTTTTTATTTGTGAAAAGGGTGTTTGTCTTACCCTTGGGCCCAACCACGCACTCACCAAATCCCTCTATGGGTATTTGAGAAAGTGAGAAGGACATGACGTCCTCCACAGGACTTACTGCGACACTTCAGTTGCCACTATGTGGTGTTGCTGTCCTCAGTCATCTCTTCGACTACTTCACAAGTTTTGCAATATACTTTGTCGATGGTGCATTTAAAGGTGAGAAGAGCAGCGGATGTGATTGGTGAAATTCAAACTCGGCTGTATTAAACCCACTCCACGCCTTATCCCCTCCCTCTCTCCTTCTTGCACCACTGGGAGGAGCTGAGATAGGGATAGGGGGGGTACTTGCACCGCAGCTCACCAAGTGTGCCTTGGCAAGTCTCGTTGGCGCAGTGGACCTGACTTACCCCACCTGCATCACACCGCTGGCAAGGCATGAAAATAGAGCCCTTGCTATAATAATAATGAATACAGTTTAAACAATAATTATGAATGTGATGTATCGCTCTTCCCTTGGTAATATTTATGATTTTATTTCTTATTTAAGAAAATAATATTCTTTTAGGGATGTCTGATTATCTTTGATGCAATGAAGTTTCCTCATGTGATGTTGATATGTAAGAGTAAAACTTTAAATTACCTTACAAATCTTATTAAACAATGACATCTCAGAGTTGTCAGTTCAGCCTTTGGATTAAAAAATTAAATAAATACACTTTAAAAAAATACATTCAACCAATTATATTTCAAATGAAAAGCTTTGGAAATGATCTCTTTATTCATATGCCACACATAGTGAAGAATTTTTTTTTTTTATGTTTATACGTAATAGCAGGATGTGTGTTGAAGATTAAAACCTACTGTGTTAGACTAAGGACAAAGATTTGAAGCTTAATTTTAACATAAAAATAAAAGTGTTTCCTTCTGCAGCTGTGATCACTGTGCTCTTGTTTAGTTTGGAGTGTTGTGTTTGTTCTTTGTTTACCTCCTGGATGTTGGTGGTCCATCTGTTGGCGAGACAAATCTGTTTGGTTCAACCATGACCAGTGATTGGATAACATTTATAGAGTCTCACCTGATCTGAGGACGCTGATCAGGTGAGAGAAGCGGAGTTTTAAGGCTCTGACATCTCATCAACTTCATTCAATCTGCAGCAAGAAAACGCTGATTCTACAAATCGAATCAAAGCATGCAGCTTTCACCTCATCTCAGTGACAGGCATTGCACCACAGAGAAAATGATCATATAAAACTCCAGACTTAATCTTAAGTTCATCATGTTCTTTAACACGACAGCGAGCAGCTCGAAGACCAGAAATAGCAGATCTAATCGCTCCTCCTCTTTACTGGTTTCCTCTGACATGAGAGATAACATCTTGTGGGTAACATGAGTGTGCAGCTTATTGAATCCTTTTATTCAATCATTTCATCTCCTTTTTAAGATGGCTTTATGCATTTATGCTTCTATGCATAACACATATAAAGAAAGAAAGGAAAATGAGGAGGGGAGAGGCACGCAGCAAAGGGTCGAACCAACAGCTGACAACTAATGCTCAAGTTTTATCAAATCCCATTAAAACCAAACTGCAGGTGGAAGTGTCTTTAGCAGTGTCCTGGTTTCGTGTTTCATTTAAATACAATATTAGTTTTATGCTGCATTCCAGTTACCTCGAAAGTCGGATGTCAGAGCTGGGAATGACGTTACACCCGAGTCGGCAGCGTTCTAGTTAACAAGTTGGAAAACAAAGATGGATGCCAAAAGTTACTCATTGTTAGTTGTTGTTAGCTGTTGTCAGTTGTTGTTAGCGATACCAGTTGTAAACAACGCATAACACAGAATTTTACTCTTACAAACACCATCGCACCGTATTCACAGTTAGACGTTGGGCAGCACAACATCAACCACTTATTTAATTTCACAAAAACAAAACAGAAGCGCTAATAAATAATACATTACGAGAGCTTTCACTGTTACTCTTTACTGTTGATGCACTGCGCTGCCATCTTGGATTATGACGTTGTCATCAAGTCAGGGTCGGTGAGGATTGTTCAACTTTCTAAGTCAGCAATCTGACCTCACGGGGGCGTTCCAGATGAAGTTCTGGCATAAAGCTAGGAAACTCTGACTTCTGAGTACAACTGGAATGCAGCAATAGACAATAAAAATGTTTATTTTACTCTTTTCTTTTTGCTGCCATGTGAGGCTCTTGAGAGTGCTCTAGAAATAAAGATAATTAGTATTTATTCAATGGTGTGTTTCACAAGGAAGAAACAAACTGAATTAAATTAGACATGCTCTGCTGTGTAAAACTGATGTGCAGGTAATACTGCTAACTTAAACTATAGGCAATGCTACCATGAAAGTAACTCTCACGTTACAGTGTAATGTGGACATTAATAAAATGATAAACTCACTTAATTTGCTTTATCTACTGGATAACAGCATGCAAACCCATCCTTAAACCAGGATATACCAGCTAACGTAAACTCGACTCACTCTGTCTGCAGCTCTGTTGGGCTATGAAGTTTCTTATCAGTAAAGTTGTGACTCCTGTGACTGTCTCTCATGCACAGGGAAGGTTATAATGCTGCTGCAAAGCCTGTAACATGACAATCAGTTGCAAGGAGATGTTTTATTCCCCTTTTTGTAAGGTGCAAAATTTAGTTTGTTTTTTAAATATCTGAATATATGTTCAAATGCATGTGAATCGCTCTTACAAATATTTGAAACCACATCTATAGGAGAGAAAAGTTGTTCTGCTGTGGACCTGAGGGAGCTTTGACATGTTATAGTTAGTTATATTCTGTGTTTTCATCAGCAGATATAGATGTCAGTACTGCAGCTCAACCTGCTGATCATGACCCGTCAGACTCCAGTGAAACACCTCAACACCTGCATGTGGCATTTTGAAGGCTTTGCAAAACTTTGCTAAACTTATAAAAGGTTTCAGTGAAGCACGTCACAAACCAACATGTGTTAATATGTTTAACATCTACTTCTTATTTTGGACTTACCTACTTTGACATCTCCATGACTGTGACTTTGTCTTTTGCACAGTGTGCCCTGGCATTAACCATTAAGCTCTGTGTGGACATCACAACCAGATCATAGATAGGATGTATATTTTGTTATTGAGGTGAACTAACACAGTCGCAGACAGACTTCACTTCAAGCTGAACTTCCACCTGATGTCGACACTTACAGTCCAGACTCGACCTCCCCTGAGATCCTCACAGAGAGAAGGACTCAGACCCCAAACCTCAGCTCAGCGTTTGTTTGCCCTCCACACAAACTCCTTCATTACAGACAGTGCCACAAGCAAAGCAACAAACTCCGTATCCTGCACAACGCGACAAAACCCCAACACACAAAACATGTCAGCAGTTTCTGCCCAGACTTGCTGTAAACACTTCCTCTGTGTTGTTTGTTCATGTGGAGCAACAATTTCCCCCAAACACAGTTCATATTCTCTGTCCTGAACGTGTAATTACTTGGAGGTGCAGGGTTAAGGCTACATTTGATTGCGCCAGCAGATTCCAGCCGATTAATTCGGTGTTATCATAAAGTTCGGACGGAGCCTGAAGTGGATTCAGTGTTTTCTTTGCAGTTCAGATGGTGCTGGCTTCCCCCAAACTGAGCCTGAGAGCTTTGACCCGGCTGCTCAGAGGGAAGGAGCAGCGCCGGGCCAAAAGGAGAGATTCCTCTCTCAGGCTCATATAAACAAACACGGAGTGGACCGAAGCCCTGAAATACTCTGAAGTGAAGAGTACAAAGGGATCTCAGGGGGTGGAGTATAAATAGAGTGCAACATTATTCTGGTATTTATTTGCACTGTGAGGTTTCAGTGTGTCCTTGAAGGCTGCCACTCTGTATGAGGTTTGGACGTCCAGAAGGGACAAAGTCAGGTGACCTCTGCAGTCATGTAGCAATTATCATAAGCTTTTGTTGTAATGGCAGCAATAATAAACACTCTGATTCAATAAAACAAACACAGTTTGGGTTCAGGCACCAACTAATTGGCTATGTTCAGAAACAGATAATGGTCCAGTTTGTATATGTGAGAAAAAAATCACATTTAGCCACTGGGTTCATACATGTATCATAAAATATGCCGTAAATATCTCCTATTAAGCACAACTCTGAACTCTGGTCTCAAGAATTTAACCCTCAAAACAAAACCTCGCATTTCTTAAATGATAAAATTCTCCCCAGTGTATTGCTGATATTTTTTTTAAGATACATGTTAAATCACAAATGTTTATAAAACTGTTCTGTCCCCAAGTTATATTACATTTTTATCAGCTGACGCATTATACTCATTTATTTGTTACTTTATTCAGATCAGACAAATAAATTAAAGCTGCAGCAGCTTGAAAAGGCCCTCGCACTGGGAGTTAGTGCATGCCAGAGTTTGATGCACGTCACTGTGAGCGCAATTGTCCTGCATCCTTGAGTATCTAAATGATATTTCTTTAGTCCTCAGTCCTTCTGTCCTCTACTGAATCACAAGTGGTTTGGGGTTTGCCATGACAAGAGGTGTCTAAAAGCTCTTTAGGGTGCTCAAAGGAGACAGGATCAAGGAGAGAGGAGGGAGGAATTAGATGAATTAGGCTGAAGTGTTTTCCTGAAACTAAACCTCATAAAAAAAAACTATCCTCATTATAAAAGAATAACATCCATGTAAAAAAAAAAATCAGAGAAAAGGACAAGCTATGATTGCAAATTAGTGTGTTAAACAGGTCATTGAAGTTAGCAAAGCTTACTGTGAGTGTTTTTAATATGAATGTATACAGGGTATTTTTTTTATGTGTTTTTAGGATGGTTTATGCCCTCAAACGGCCTAGCAAATTGGAGACATGAGTCTGAGATATGATGATAAAAAACAAACATTTGTCCAGAAAAACATCCAGTTATCAGTAATTTAGGACACATTATTGAGACACACGTCATAAAGATTCCTCTGAACAATGTAAGCAGCTGATTATGGGCTATTAATTGCACTTGCTGAAGAGGACAAAGACGTGTGTATATAAAACCATGTTGTCTGCATATAAATGAATCATCGGCGTTATGAATTATTGAGGATCCAGTAGGGAGCCTTGTGGGATGCCTTTTGTTTTTTACACTATAAGATAAACTGTTAACTTCGATGCATTTTACTTGACCAGTGAGGTAATTTTCAAAAGCTTATACATCAGTGTTTACTCCTCAGTGTAGCCACATCATAATGACCAGTGCTGTTGTGAGCACTACACAGAAGACTAATCACAAGGCCAACAATCTCTGTGATCTACATGTCATAACTTCTTTGAGGAAGTGCTTTGTGGACTATGTGCAAAGGCTTCTACGTAGGTGCATGGTGTCTGCTGGGTGTAGAATGGGTGGTTTTTAGGTGGTCTTTACACGAGTACGAATTGGTAAGACACCTGTAAAATAAACTATCGATCTGGTGGTATTGACACACGGAGACGCGTATTTTTCCATGACACTGCATCTTTTTTGAAAACGGGTCTGCAGGTGGATATCTGGGTATTCGTCTTCACGCCGTAGTTGGTCTTAATAGATAAGTCCAGAAAAGATGGTGACCTCATAGCACCCCTCCTCCTCTCCGCCCCCCAACCGACGTTGTCACACACACAGCATGTATGTATGCGCATGCACATTCTCTGTTTTTGGTGCTTTGTGGCATTTTCACAGTGTCACCTTTAGGCCGGGGGTATGTACTACAGGATTTTGTGTGGATTGGAGCGTCCTCGTGTGTGGGGAGCCTTAGTTTCATGGAATTGCCAAAAATTGATTTTTGACCAAATGGATTTTGTAGCAGGTTTCATATGTTTATTTCTTCTGTAAATCTCGGCATTTAAACTCAGGGCACTGACTAATCTTTGGGGCTTCAAGTGTTCTTTTTTTAGCATTGCAGTTTCCCTTTAGCTCAATGGCCAATATAAGTTTCATTATAGAAATGTTTACAGACTGTTAATATCATCAAGACTTTATTTCCTCAGGTTAAACCCTGTGGATCAGCTGTGTGAACACTCAGCTCAGCGTGTTCCCGGTTCAGCTCAGTTTTTGGGTGTCAGAGAGTTTATTTATGATGCTGAAAAGGTCTGAGTGTGTTAAACTGTAAAAACAAATATCTGAGAGCTGACGATGTGCAGTCTGGGCTCTTTTAAACTGTACTGTGGCTTTCAGCTGTGTGTGAGACATGAGAACAACTGCTTTAATATCTGCAGCTGCACATATAGAAGTCCAGAAATAGACTTGGGATATGAAAATTATCACTTTAGCAGATTACTTCTGAGCTGGACATTCCCATCTTTTCATGCTACATTTCCTCTCTGAAGCTGACACAGTCAGACAATGTTGCATGGGAGGACATTTCTTTTATCTTAATATGATTTAAACCTGAAAGAGGGCCAAAGTGACAATTTGGCTTGTTCAAACACGGCGGTAAGAGGATCCCACACGTCTGATAACAGCCAAGAACTCTCAGAAAAGTTCAGGGACAGAAAGCGAAGATTAAAGAGTCCATCCTAACCTCTTCACAAGACAGTCCTGGGACATGTTACAGGTCCAGAGCTGCGATAAAAGAGGAAAATACATGACTGAACCTGTTAGATGTTTGATTTCAGGCAGACGCTGGGGAAGAAAGTTAAAGCTGCAGCCTGAAAGCATTCATGTAAGTATTTGTTTCTTTGAGCTCCTGTGAGAGATTTCCTTTTTTTTTTTTTATTTGGCTTTGCGTGCCCTGTTAGCAAAGTGGTACTCTAAAAGTCTTTCTCACTCTTAATGCGCCTGAGCAGTATCCTTTAACCACCACAGGTCATAAAACAGTGGAGAGACAAAGAAGCAGCTGCTGCTTGGAAGTAAATGATATGTCGCTCCACCCTTGTCTTGCCTTCCCTAAGTTTGAATGATTGTATTTTATATTTTCAGGTTTGCTGTAAATATTGCAATTTTTCAAGGCCATGGTTACTGTGAGGCAAGAACATGATATTGTAACGTGTTAGAGCCCGATATGAAACAATGACCCGAAATGTAACAATGACCTGAAATGTAAAAAAGGAAATATTTAATAAAACAAAAAAGTTATAAATTTTGGGGCTTAGTATTTTGTCACATTTTGGGTTCCATTACATTTCGGGTCATTGTTACAAAACCGGCCCCAACATGTCAGCTCAGATCAACACACCAAAACCCTGAACCCCCAACTAAAGATTCAGCATTTTTGCCACAGTGTCAACAGGCAAGAGGGAAATGTGGTTTAACATCTTCCTTGATTGATTCAATATGACATGTATGGTCAGTTGTCTCTGCAGTCACTTTTGCTATATTGGGAATTAATAATAGTCATTTGGGGTTTTGACCATAGCCTGTATATAAAATGGTCAGCATCTGCCTCCTTGCTGGGTGAAAACAGCACCCTCTGTTGACGGGCTGCAGTATAGGTCATAAATCCCGCCTCCCCCAGCAAAATTTATGCGGCTGTGGACAAACTTTAGAAATTAATTACACAGAATATAAATTTTTCTCCCCCCTGCTTGCAGTGTTGACATGACTGGTCAACACCGCAAACTGGTTTGTGCTAAAGTCCTCTTTCTTTTTTTAAAAAGTTATTAGGGGGGTCATGTTTTCTTTGATTGACACCTGATACAGACTACTGGCGTTCAGGGATTGCGTAGCTCACCCGGGGGATACTGTGTTTGAGCTGAGGGTCCCTCTGTGACTCTCCCGCCGAATGCGCACAATGCTACTGCGCAATGCTAGTTTTAGGAAATGAAGAGAAATCGCGGAAACCGAGGTCCGTAGTATATACAGTCTACAGTTTTGACCGATCAGAATTCAGTATCATAGACACATTTCAGTGACAGTGTGGAAACAACAGCAGAGCTGTTTTTATTTGATGTAAATCAGGAGATAAAACCAAAAACAGTCTGTAATCTCACTTCATAGGTAATATTATGTATCAGAAAATACGTATCAGTGAAAAGGCAAAGGAAACATAATTCTAAATTTTTATCAGACAGATATCCAGTGTAAGTGTTAAAATGATCTTTTTTACAGGCTCAGGTTTTGGAGCTTCACAACCTTAAAGTCTGTCTGTGTGTACAAAGTCGGTGGGAAAACATTTTCTAAGAAGACTTTTTAAATTTTGTTTGTGATAATGAAGTTGGCTGTCCTACATGTTTTCTTATAAATTTATAAAATTTAATGACCTATAATAACGGTTTCTTCCAATTCTGTAATCTGCTGTAATCTCCCTGTTAGCCCCTCGGGAGCACTCAGAATTAGTTTTGTGGGTTTTTATTTCTACCATTATCTACATTTAGCATAATTGAAGCGAATCAAAGCTAATTCCTGCTGCTGCTGTTGTGAGCACGTCAGCACGTAGCACTAAGTGGACTGAATAATCGCAGCACTGCAAAGCGCTCTCTGACAGACTGAATGATCATTATAAACACAGAGAGCACGTACTGTATTACAGCCGCTCTCCAAAACACGTCAGAGATGAAATATCAGCACTCATTTGAGGAGCTGGCAGCCTGTGAGTGAGTTTCTGTTTGGACATGGGTGCGTTTGATAACGCTTTATTTGTTTTCTTCCCTTCAACTTGTGATAAATTGTCATCGTTTAAGAACATATTTGGCCCACGGTGGTAAATAAACTCACTTTGGACCTTGAGTGCTGCTTTTACTGATTGTTAAAGGACATAATACACTTGTTTGACTTGGCCACCTGTCGGGTTTTTTCATCACAAACAGGCCTTCTTTATCCACTTTGTAAAAAAAGAAAGAAATTCGACAATTTAAATCAGATCAAATGTTTCACAGTTAAACGTGCGGGGGAGTGTTGCAGCAGTTTGCCAAAGCTGTTCTGATGGTATTATGATGTTGAGAGTGATCTCTTACAGACGTTGGCCATTCGTCCTTGCTTACAGGAATTTAAATAAGTATAATTGTCAAAATTGGTTGATGGGGGCCTTTATACAGAGAAACCTGAACTCAAAAAACTGCAGCAAGTCTCCAAGTCCAAATTTGCATCAAAATACTTCAAATGAAGTGTTCAGGGGGGGACACCAAAGATATACGTACTGTATGTTAAGGTATGATATAGGGATAGACTGATTGATCAGTTAAGCCCGTTAATGGCATTTTTAAAAGATCGGGATTGGCTGATATGTGGGTTTATGAGGTCTATATAAAAAAGGAAAAAAAATTGTGGTTATGTAGGTGCTGATGGGCAACATGAGTTTTTCCTCATAACACCTTCAATGACAGCAGATCAAATTTCACAGTTGCTGACAGTGTCTGATATGTATTCTGCTATGATTTAAAGGTGGGGTAGGCAGGATCTGAGGAAGTGCCAGTTTTGGGGAGAAATCGTGAATGTAAACACTTCCCCTCCCAACCAGATTTCCCCTCAGCTCCTCCTCTCCCCTCCCTCTCTGCTCCAGCAAGCCCCGCCCACAAACAGACACTCCTGCTCGCTCGTGTCGTTTCAGCTAAATTCAGATATAATGCAGATAAATACTTCAGATAATTACAAATGGGGCCCAGTCAATGTGGAAGTAAAAAGCATTGGTGCTACTGTAGATGCCAACAGACTTTAAAAAATTATTTATTATTAAAATTACACCTTTATTAATTATTTAATAATAATAAAAAACTGTAATGTGATATTGGCATTATTTATCTGCCATCAGCTGACCTGCTCAATATATATCTGCATCAATATTGGCTGCTGAAAAACCCATATTTATTACAACAGAACACAACATAATACAATACTGTACAATTTTTAAAGAGTTCAATACAATATTGTATAAAATGCTATAGTAGGATACAATACGATGTCAGCAATACATTGCTTTACCTCACAGTAAGCTACTACATGATAAATATATAAATTATGAAACAATACAATTATGCTGTATAATGCAATACTATACGCTGCGATAAAATATGGTCCAATATGATGCAAAACAGATACTTGCTTGTCATTTGGATATTATGACTCGTGCCTCTTGTGGCCACTAAAAGAACTGCAGCCTTGGTCCTTTCATGCTGGCCTGAATTTTCATCCAGGAGAGTATGAAGTTAGTAATTGACTGAGTCAGTTTCTGCATTATATCAGCAGCTGTCAGCCCTTACATCTGCACTTTATGGATGGAAATTGAAAGAAAGAAACATTCTGTCCTGTCCTTACACACGTCTCACATTTGTACTCCTCAAGACTACATAACTGTTACTTATGCATGCAAATATTCCCACATGTACATGCATAAACTCTGCAAACACACACAGAGAGCAGACTGAGCTCTGAGGACAGCAATGGGAATGAGGGCTAAGTGTGGGTTTGTTTCTGTTCCAGCTGTTCTGCTGACAGCAGCCTTTCTCTGGGAAAAGATAATCGACAAATGAACCCGGAGAATATAGACGTCCAAAGAGAATCAGAGAAGCTGATTGTGGAGGGATGATGAGTGCATTAACTTATCAACCATGTTTCGTAAACCCTGCAGCCCACAAGACATAAGGACTGGCGAAATGATTTTTAGGATGTTTTTTTTTATTATTTTTTTTTTTATTTGCAGCTACACTGAGGATGTACTGTATGTGAGGCTGGGGTGCATACTGTACAGAACAAGAGGATGGACCCGCTATAGTGTTGGCTTTCAGTGCCATGAGTCCCCTCAGGTAGTGATTTAAGTGGGTCCCTGGGGAAATTTTGCTCCTAAAAATTGCAGCCTTCATATTTTTATTTGTAGGATTACTTCAAATGTGTTTAAAATGTACAGAGGTAAAAATCTTGTTAAATTTTGTTAGTTTGGCAGCCCAAAAGTAAATTGCTGTAATGTCATAAGAAACACTATAGGTCCCTTTGTTTTTTATCAAAGGTTTGCTTTACTGACTTTTACAACACTCTAACGACAAACAGGCCATAATCACTGTGAATTCCCATATATGTCAAATGTCTGACAGCACCTTCACTCCTTTGCTGATTTTATATGAGCCTTCTGCAGCCTCACTTCCTCCTAGTTTTTATCATATCATGTTAAACCGTCACCATATTATTATTATTATATAAATCTACTTCTTTATTGTGCGTGTGCCTCTCCTCTGGCTCCTTTTGTTTCTGGCTCTCCTCCTCCCCTCTCTTTATCTACTCTCACTTTATCTCTCTCTCTCGTCCTCTTTGCTCGCCCTGTCAGTCTCTCTCAGGTGATTTATGGGTAAAAAGGCAACATGTCTGAAAGGGTTGAACTTTCTCTCTGTCTCATCCTCCTCTGTGAGGCCTCTCTCCTCCATACTTCTCCTTGTTTCTCTTTCTGTGTCTCTCACTCTTACTAGTTTTTTTTCCTCATTAACAAACACCTTTTCCTCAAGCCTATTGATAAAAACATGAATTTCAGGGGCAGTCCAACCTGAAATCCTAAATATCTAATATATCTAATTTATTACCCAACCCTCTGGAGACTACAAATCAGTCCATTGCACCACCACTATGCGTCTCATTTTAAGAACAGACTGCACCCAGACAGGAAATAATGACACTGAACAGTCAAATCATCAGACAACCAAAGAATGAATCAGTGCAGTAGAAGGTGTCAATATAAAGAAAAAGCACATCCAACTGAGACAGACTTTCAGTGTTTCTGGGTTTGAGAGAGTAAGGACCGAGTGTTTAAGAGGTTTTTAAGGGAGTCCCTGATGTTCCCAAAAAAAACGTGACAGTTTTCTTTCTTTCTTTCTTTCTTTCTTGTATTGGTGTTTTATTCCACTAAGTTTTAATTCATTGTTCTTTTCTTTCTTTCTTTCTTTCTTTCTTTCTTTCTTTCTTTCTTTCTTTCTTTCTTTCTTTCTTTCTTGTATTGGTGTTTTATTCCACTAAGTTTTAATTCATTGTTCTTTTCTTTCTTTCTTTCTTTCTTTCTTGTAATGCTGTTTTCCTTACTAAGACTTTCTGTTTTCCTTCTCTCTGTTTTTTATATTTTGTCTTGATTCTATTTTCATTTCCTTTTTTCTTTCTTAGGCTGTTCTTTCTTTCATTCCCTCTGTCTATTTGTCTCTTTTTTCCCTCCTTTTTTCTTTTTCTTCATTTTTCTTTTTCACTACTGGTCTTTTTTCCTTTTCCCCTTTTTCTTTCTGTTTTCTCCCTTTTCACTTTTTTCTATTTTTCTTTCTTTTTTGTATTGCTGTTGTATTTCACTAAGCTTCAAAATGTTTTTCTTTTCTTTCTTTCTTGTATTGCTGTTTTATTTCATTAAGACTTTTTGTTTTCCTTCTTTCACTTTTTTATTTTTGTCTTGATTCTTTATTTCTAGTAGACTTATTTTCTTTTTACTTTATTTCTTGTGTTCTTCCTTTCTATCCTTCTAATTATCCCCCCTTTTTTCTCCTTCATTTTTCTTTTTCGCCACTGATCCTTTTTCCTTTCGCTCTTTTTCTTCCTTTTTTCTCCCTTTTTACTTTCTTTCTTTCTTTCTTTCTTTCGTTTCTTTCTTTCTTTTGTTTCTTTCTTTCTTTCTTTCTTAACTTCTCTCTGTGTCTCTCTTTCAGCCTGTTTGAAGTTTGTCTCTGTCGCTCTCTCTCAGTGTTGATAACAGTCCAGTTATCAGCTGCAGAGATTCAGAGGGCTGACCTGGATTTCACTGAAAGAAACTCCCGTAAATTGTCTATCTGTGAAACTCCTTTTCCTGTCTACAGCAGAGTTCAGTCAGTCAGTGATTGGGCCTGAAAATGAAACACATGTGGTCAGAGAGACGCTGAGAAGAGATAAACCTGCTGCTGTCCTGTCACGACAAGAGGAGGAAAAATAAAAAAACAGCTGAAACAAAGTCTGAGGACACTTTCTTACGAAACCTCTGCTAAGACGCAGCCTCACATTTGCGATGTGTATGTGGACAGATTTCAGCTCCAGAGAGGGCAGCTCTAAGCAGCACAAAGTGAAGGTTCACACACTCATCTCTGGATTTCCTCTTGCACCTGCAGTCAGTCCACTTCCTTTTGAAACTCTCCATAGTGTAAACCATGCAAAAGCCTGATTTAGATACCCCCACCTCTGCAGTCTTTGCACCTGACGTCATTCATGCAGTTGTTCCAAGATGATGAAAATACAAAACACACACCAACAAAGCATGCAGTTTCTTGGAATTTACCCACAATTTAGTACACTAAATAGGCACTCGGCCTCTTAATAAGGAAACCTCAAGAGCATGTCACAGAGCCCAGACTGTCTGCAACTAACAATAGAGCCAGCCCACAGATGACATACTGGATCAATATTTAGTACACATGCTTGTTCATCAGGTCTTCCGTTACCATGTAAGGACCTCTGCTTCAGTTTGCAGATGCGTGTTGCCCCGTGTCTATGTATTTGTGTTTTTAATGATGCCCGCGTTAGTCATATTTACACAGAAATACTTTACCCACTGACACACAAAAAGAAACACACACTCTCCCACTCTTGACCACAGCCACTTCCTCTGTAAGCCAGTTTCCTGCTGAAGGGCTGCTTTTTGTTTTTAATTTTCAGCTCCACTCCCATTTTACGGATCTGCTATCATGAAGTCAAGCACACTCAGTGTCTTTTCAATTTTTATTTCATCTCATAAAATCCAGTCTCATGAAACCACAGAACAAGCTGAGCTGGAATAATGAGGTGCTAAATAATCGAGTGACGCCTTTTGTGTGAGGGTTTAGGTTTGACACTCTGGTCACCACAAGTCTGTACATATCAGAGCGTCTGTACTTTACATTATCAGATCATAAACCTTTTAATGAGACGTTTAAATCAGCCATACACTATTCAAACTCTCTATGAAACATAATAAAAACCGCCTGCTGCCGTAAAAGTGTTCCCAAACATTCCCAGCTTTGCATACAATCCTCAAAAACCATCTCTGAGTGCTCCCAACAGAGAGGTAAACTCAAAGAGAGTCCCAGCAAAGAAAACCTTTCAGCTGTTAATTCATCCTTCAGGGAGCAGTGGGTGTGTGGTTAAAGCCAGAATCAGAGCTGCTGCTAAAGATGGCTGGAAAACAGTGGAGTCAACACACGAAATATGAGCAGACAGACCAACAAGGTTTGACTGTTTTTGTACTCACACTAAAATCAGCCTTGCCTTTATAGCTGAGTTGTATTTTTAACAGTTTTGTCTTTTCTTACTGTTTTTCTTGTCTTCTAAAAAAGTGTCCCATTACATTATGTTGCAAATTAGCATTTTGCCATTAATGCTAAGCGCCAATGTCCATGTAAACTAAGTAAATAAAATGACAAGTAAGTTTACAGCCGTCATGTCATTTGACAGCTTCAGTGTCTCTTTAGCCATCAAAAACCATCACAGCTTTTTTTGAGCAACTCTCAAGAAGTGTTTGTGAACTGAGGACACTAAGGGCCTGATCTCTTAAGGTTTGCCTGCGTAAAAAAACATGCAATCTTGGTAGACAAAGTTGATCTTCTAACCAGTTGCACCAAGGATTGCATCTATCAAATGAGCCAAATAGCACGCGCAATCCATTTAGCGTGCTTGCCTTCATGAATATGCAGAAAGTATGTAGATCATCAAAACACACAAAATACGCGAAGGAGGAAAGATGCAAATGGAATCATTTCGCAACCGCAGTGGTTGTTTTTGTGTCTATATTTAGCACAGGTGCAAACTGAGACAGTGTTACGCACAAACGGTTGTGGTCATTGTGGCGAGACAGAGGCAGAGGTGCAATGAGAGATGACGGAGGGAGAGAATCTTCCGTGCGCATGTCAACATATTTGGACTGTTAGAAATAGAAATAGTAGAGACGTATCGTCTATACAGCATTGCTATTTTTGAGCAGCTGGATGACCGAAGGGCTGATCTCTACAGGTCCCCCACTGGTTTTATTTTGCAGAGGTTTATAAAGAGAAAGTTTTTTATTTGTTTTTCTGTGGATGTTTTGTCATCTTCTTTTTATTTAACTGGCAGATCCTCTGGTTTTGCTCACAGTATTCACCTTTTCACATATTGCCTCCTAAAATGCATTCACCAGTGTGTTTATTTGCCTCCTCCTCTAAGACCTTCATTTTTCGTTTACAGCCACTCTGCTCTCCCAAACTCTCCATGGTGACAGCAGTGCACACAAAATCCTCATTGAAATAGGGATAACGCCTGTTATCAATAGCGCACACATAGGACGTAGGATAGGATCAACACGCCCACTGATAGCACATGCAATTTCTTTACTTTGCACATGCAGTTTAGCGCTCCTTATTTGGGATCTTAGTATGTCAGGCTCTGAGTGTTGAAGCTTTGGAGGTAAATTCTCTCACATTCTTGCTTCAGGTGCTCATCAGTATGGTGTCTGTGTTGTTCTTCATATTTTCAGCGAGAAACAGGTCTGGACTGCAGACAGGCCAGTCTAGTACCTGGACTCTCTGACTACGAAGCCTTGCTGTTGTAACACGTGCAGAACGTGTCTGTGTGTCCAAAAACTATTTAAAATGTGGACTCCTCAGACCACAGCACAATTTTCCACTTTGGGTCAGTCCATCTCAGATGAGCTCGGGTCCAGAGAAGCTGGCGGTGTTTCTGGCTGTTGTTGATATCAGTATTTGTCTTTGCATGGTAGAGTTTGAATGTCTAGATGTAGTGGAGAACTGTGTTCATGAACACTGGTTTTCTAAAGTCCTCCTGAGCCAACGTGGTAAAATCCTTTACAGAATGGTGAGGGTTTTTAATGCAGTGCTACCTGAGGGGTCAAAGGTCACAGTCATTCAGTGTTTATCAGTTTAAAAATTAAATATATTTGTAGTGTATTTAATTAAATATAGATATACTTAGTTGAATCAGTTTGCCGCTTCCAAATGGCGACACCAGACCAAGAAGTCATGAATATTTTTGTCTTGTTTTTGCACAGCTACACAAGGTGAACACACTTGGTCCATCTTTGTCTACAGTCTGTGGTTTCATCATAAGTGTAATCCATAAAATCGAGATGTGAGTAAACCCTCTATCTAAGGCAGTGCTTGACTTAACTCTTACTCTCATGTTCAGATGGAGTCAGCTCTCCTGGTTTTTGCACTTTGTTGCTCTTTCAGAGTTACATACAGTTGCAGATGATTAAGGGCTGAGTGTTCTGCAGTCGTGTTTGGACTGCAGGAGTCAGATAATAGCCGTCATTAGTCTGTTATTAGTGCTGTCAGAGAGCTCCGTCTCAGCTGTTTGATGTGTTCCTGTAAAGGATGATGGAGCACAGAGCTGCAGCTAAAACCAGGTGTTTCTTCACAGAGAGAGCAGATCTATTTACTGTACTCACATACAACGATGAGTGGAGTATAGACTTTTATTTTGTAAATAAAAATATCAATATTTGACACCTGCAATTTGATGCAATTTATTGATGATGTATTTTTGTGTTTTTAATGGAGTTTACATGGTGTTTGATTGTGACATAACCACGCTGCTTTAATCTGACGTCTTTGGACTTCATGATTTTGACTCCAAATGAACAAAAACTCAGCTGAACAGCATGTTTTTTCTGTTCCTTCTTCATGCACTGAAATATGCATTCAGTGCCGACCCTTTTTTTTTTTTTGCTTTTTTTTTTTTTCATCTTTTTGTCTTTCTGCAGAGGGTTATCATGAAAATAACCTCTGTGCACATCAAACAGCAGCAGAGGTTGATATCTAGACTGTGATCAGACCTTGGCCCTCCTCTCTCTGTTTCTGTTTCTGACACAGGTCCATTTGAAGTCAGTCATTTGGCAGAAAACTAAACAGCCTCCCGTTAACCACCTCGCTCACTGCTGTTCACAGACACTCTCTCTGAAAACCAACAACAACTTCAAAGCCGCAGCGCCCTCCAAAACCAAACCATGACTTTAACTTCAGCTAAACATCCTGACACTTTGAACTGTGATTACTGTTTCTGACTCAAAGATAGAAAAAAGATTATGTTTTGACCACAGATAAGGTTTAGGGAAGTAGCAGGAAGGAAAGAGGTGCTAGTCTTACCATAAAAAGCATTAGATGATCAAGAAACAGTTATTGTACATAAATGCTTTAAAAGGGGCTACATTAGCAGAAAGCTCACTGAAGCTGACTTTTCCATGACAAATATTCACAGTAAATGAACATTTGATTGTCAAAAGTCAGCAGGATGAGACTTTTTGTCAAAAGATGCTACCTGAGTATGGATAGGACAATATGGGCAGAGACCGCCTTGTCCACAGGGGGGACTAAAACTGACACAAACTTTAGTTTCTTACTGAAGCTTTAATTTACAACTTTATTGTGTTAATTATGATTTTCTGATTTACAACTTTGTGTAAATTTACAAACTAAGTTTTTTTCATTTATCAATTCTTAATGATTAGTTTCATTTTTGTAAAGCAGGATTTAAGTGCTGCAAGTTCAGCTCAGTTGTACTAGTCCGTGTCTCTTTCACAGCTTAATCGGACTAAGCTCATAATTAGGTTTTTCGCCAAATCGGACTTCTCTACTTGTTCATATATACATGCAGCTGAGAATATCGAATAATTGACGTTAATGTGTCCTCTGCCCTAAAACTAGAGGGCAATATGGGTATTTTCAGCCTTTTTTAAAGATGTTTCTGTTCTCTGTTCTGCGAATGTCCATATACTTTCAAATGTTAATTTCTGTTAGGATGTAAAGCATAACGGCACTCTCCTCATCCTTCCAAAAGTGGACATTCTTTCATGCTTCAGCAATGTTGCAGTTGTTGTTCCGGGGTTATGGGGGCGTGGCACACGGACACATGCATTGTCCAATTATACTCTGGTTACGCTTGTTGGTAGAGAAAATCAAATTCCAATCGTATTATCTGGGTGGCTTAGTTGGAGTTCTCAAACTCCAATTATGGTCGGACTAAGGTGTTTACATGCACTTCAGTTGTCCGGTCTTAATCGGAGTAAGGCAATAATTCGGTTTTCTCGAGTATCATGTAAATGTTCTGAGTAAGTCCTCCATGCAGCAGCCTTGAGTTTGACTCCAAGCTAGAGCTGGCTTATTAGTAAGGTTTCACCTTTCATTACGAGTATGGCTCCCCACTATTGCAAAATTATGATAATCAAGCCTGGAAGATATGTTGGCACCTGCTGTTTCTCAATCTCCCCTCCTGTGTTAGTGCTGTGTCCCTCCCCTCAAACAGCTTCAACTTCCACTTCAAAATTATGAGCTCAGATCGACAACAAAGTTTGGGAGGAAGTCTTTAAATTTCAATATGGACCGCTCTACCTTCAACATGCTGTGCTGCAGCAGTACAAACTTTCATGCGGCTGCAGCTGGAGAGAGGAGAGCAGGGAGACAAAATAAATAAATAAATAAATAACAGACACCAAGTCCTGGATGCAGCAGCACTGAGTTGACTCCACTCCTCATCTTTTTGCAGTATGTCATCTTCTTTTTTCCATATTCCCTCTCTCTGTGCTCTGTCCTATCTAAAAAGTCAAGAAGGCTATAAAACATTTTTAATAGTGTGTGATATTAATCTGTAATAAAGTTTAAAGAGTATGTATCTTGAAGACATGCAGCTGAAAAAACTGTGGTCATTGTGGATGTTTAACTGAGCTTCACAGAGATTCCTTTATGAGTAATTTCATTCATTAAGCTCCAGAGAGCCCCGACTTCTCTGAAGCTTTGAGACTCTCAGAGGAGGTGAAGGTTAAAGACAGAGTGAGACAGTGAGACCAAGTGGAGACACAGCTATCTCCAACTGAACTAAATCAACGCTGTGATTAAACAAAACATGTGAGCTGATGTGTCTGACAGAGACAGTGATAAGGTACTGACGGCTAACCCTCTCTGAACCCTGAAGGTCAAAGGTCACCCTGCTGGGATGCTGCATGTCTCAGCCCTGGACTGGACCCATGTCTCCTCTGAGGTTTAACAGTGTGGGTGGTGAAAACACTCACAAATGTATGCAAGCGCTTCTGTAAGGTATGCATTAATCTCTTTTAGATGCACACACACACACACACACACACACACACACACACACACACACACACACACATTTTGGCCCTTTTAAAAACACCTGGAGCTTTCATCCAGTGAAGCACCACTCTGAATGTAAACTCTGCAGATTAACATCTTTGACGCAAAGAAACTCGGTCCTCCCTAACACCTGCAATAAAAGAAAGAATTCACCTCTGTGGGAAGGACAGAAAAAATTGATGTTTTAAACTGGAAAGTATTTAAAAATCATATTTTATATCAGTCACAATGTGAGCTGAGTCATCAAACTGTTTATGTGTGAAGGTCTGGTCCAAGGACATGGACTTTAATCCTGCAGCATTACTGTCTCCACACCCCAAGCGTGAGTAAAACCATTCGTGCCAATGAATTACATATTAGGTCAATGCAAAGACAGGATAAGATGCGCAGATAAGACACAAATATTCGCATCGCAATAACTTACCAACACGAAGGTTGCATGGTGACGTATGAAAAGGGACGGTTGTTCACTGGTATCTAAAATGGAGAACATGACGGCATCTAGAGACGACATATAACAGAGGGAAAATCCTGAGTTGGATGAAGTGAGCGACTACCGCGTTTGTTGGTTCGTTGACAGCACAGGTGTAAATACAACTCTTCCTCTTCTATGGTTGTTTTAGAGAAATTAGACAACTCTGCACATGTCCAAATGCTTCCAATCTGAATAAAACATGACATGTATACGCACATCATGATCGGATTATTCGATTTTGCACCCATATCAACAGAGGATTCAGAATTTCTGATCCCTCAAATTTTAAATCGGATCAAGAAATTTTGCCCATGTAAACATGGCTACCAATAGAACTCAGACACAGGTTTGGTTTTCGTAACGGGGCAGTGACAAAGCAAAATGTTGGTGGGTGGATTGATAAACATTAAAATTCATTATATTTCCTCCACTGTCCATCTGATCTGACACTTAAAATACAAGCAAAAGGCTCATAACCGGCTGTTAACCTATTCACTTATCTGCAACAAGTGCACCACTTAAACAAATCCTTTCAAATGCCTCTGTGTGACTTTCTCATTTTTATTCACCAACTTTTCAAGATGCATGTTGACATTAAAGACACAACTGTTTAATGTTTGACGTTTGATGTTTTTGCCGCTATTACAACAGCTCTGTGTCCAAACCAAACAGCAACCTTAATCTTGAGAAATGAAGCTGATGGTGAAGTGCTCAGAACTGCAGGTCCTAGAGAGTCCACTTGAGGGTGGCTCCAGATGAATGATCATTTAGGGTGGAAATCAAAATGTTAAGTCATCTTGATTGAAGTCAGCCATAAACACTCTTTGTCATTGAAAGAAATCAATAACCTGTTCTTGTCAGAGGAACTTTTTCAAGAAATTTTTAGCTGAAAGAAGCAGGTACTAACTCCAGGTCCAGTTTAAGGTCAGGAACTGTTGAATTAAAGCGCCTTTTATTGATCTAAGAGGCCAAACTTACAAATTTGATTTCTCTAATTACAGTTTATCCGCCCCTGAAAGTCTTCTTGTTCATTACTGGTAATGGTTCTGTCAAATAAAAGGTCTTTATTCTACAGTTTTCATTCTCGGAGTACCACCCTGCAGTTTCAGGAGGCCATGATGGATAGAGCTGGTGTTTAGAGAGCTAAATAAATCTGCTGTAAATCTGCATTCCTCCTGTTAGCTTGATGATTCATTCAGACCCTCAACCCTGAAACAGAAGCATCATTCATGCCGGGGCGGCGCTCATTTCTTCTGTTACATCCAAATGATCCTAATGATGACAAATGGAGACTCCCCGCACACACTCTCCTTTCACAAATGTTTTTCTTCACTAATCTAATTCCGTGGATCAACATCACCTGCTGCAACCAAATCACTTCAACCTGCACATCTGCAGAGGCGGATTATCCATCAGAGAGAAAGAGAGAGAGAGATGCTGCAAGAGCTGGAACACTGGGAGGACACTGTGTGGTCTGGATACAAACTACTGAAGTCCCTATAATACATTTATACAAACTCTTCATCATATCAGCAAACAATGGACTTTACAAAATACAATTTATGACACAACATGATATTTTAGGAAGGATAAACTTTGATTTATAACATCAATCTGTATATAGTGGCAAAGTGGCTTGGATTTGTTTGTTGTTTTGTTGCCTTTTTATGTTATTTTTTGAGAATTTCTGGCTTCATTTGATAGGATAGCTGAACAGAGACAGAAAATGTGGGAAGTAGAAGGTCTGGGAAAACACGCACCAAAGGATCAAGGCTGGGAGTCAACCAGTGTCCACTGCAGCAAGGACCATAGCCTCCATACATGGGGTGCCTAAACAACCATGCTATCAGCGCCCTGTCTGTGTTTGTTTTCTTTGTGTTTAGAGGCACGGTCGAGGATGGGATTTTAAACTTGCCAGGTGGAGCCTGAGGTCTATTTAGGTTAAAAGACTTTAATTCAATGTATAAATACCTACAAACCAGCTCAAAGGAACATCTGTTTTATAAAGAAAGTGAGAACATAGATGATTTGGTTCGTGTTACACCCAAAACACACCTGATAATTGAAGAACTCCATCCAACCTCTTGGAACCCTGCATCTGACTTAGCACCCAGATTGTGCGCTGCTTAACTACCACTTAGTCATCCTAAGACCTTTGTAAAGTTTTGCTGCAGAACAGTGAAGTTGATCTTTTATCATTCACACCCTTTTTGGTGTACTGAGGATATTACTAGTTGATCAGTCTGCGCTTGATCTGGAAGATCACCAAGAACTGTTTTTAAGTGAAGCACAAGCTAACCAAGATACCATGATTCACACAGGCAACATACTGCGAAGTCTGCAGATCAGAGAAGTTGTGATGATGTCTTTAACAGGAGTCATGAAGTCAGTTGAAGAAATAAAGATCAAATGACAGAAAACAGAAGAAGAACAACTCCTCTCAACTAAAAACTGCAACTCCAACCTTCAACCAAAAGTTCAGGCTTGGATGGATCCAATCTCAAATTTGATGTTCTTTTGTTCTTAATCAGTAAATCTTTCTGCAAAATCAGAATAAAAGTTTTAGTGATGGAGCAATAGGGTTTTAAGATGGTTTTGATTGTGCACCACACAAGCAGAGCTCCACTTAAAGCACAGATGGAAGAGCTACAGTCTGAGAGGACATCATCAGGGAAAGCTCCCTCTGTTCTCTCCTGATTGAAAACAGCTGCCGATCATCCAGAGCCACAACCTGAAACTTTGATCCTTTTTCTACAATCCAGTCACACAGCAAGAAAATGTGCTTTTACAACCTGAAATAACTTTTTGAAACTTTACTGCGGACACAGATGTTAAGAGAAATGACATCTCTGCGAGAGGAATCCTAAAGCCAGCCATCTGATTGTCAGATATGTCTCTGTGTTTGAAGGGTTTTGAGCATCAGTCAGCACTCTTATTTGTGGTACATTCTGCGTGAGAAGAACTGAAACACTCATTGATTCCTTTATTTGTCCTCCATGCAGATGCGAACCTCTTCAGTCCGTGCACGTCTTTTCTTACTCTCGGACTGTCACCCTGTTTGTCTCCTCATACAAATCAAATAAAGGCTCGTACTAAAGATCTTTGCATGAGAAAAAACAGAAGACAACGCATTTCTTACCTTTTGCAGCCAAAGTGTGTTGTTCTCCATCGTGCTCTCCAGTTGCTGAAGTTTCTGAGCCGACCATTCTCCTTCTAACCGCGGCGAGTCTCTCTGCACAACGCTCCCGCTTCGAGAGCTGCCATATTGATCACTTTGTGCTGGTGATCCTCCGCCCAGGCACCCCTCCAGCTCCGGCAGGATGAAGGTGTAGCTGCACTGACCATGCTGGATGCGGTGGTACTTCCTCCTCCTCTCTGCTCCACCGCCGGTGCTTCCTCTTCCTCCTCTCCTCTGATTCCTTCCTGGTCTTTCTGCACTTGAAATGCCGGCAGCTTCAATAATGGCTGAGAAGGTCCAGAACAGCAGGAGCAGCAGGAACCCCTTACTGAGGTTTAAGACTATCATGACGCTGATTTTAGATCAGTGGAAGTGTTTTCTCTCAGGTTGAAGAGGGTCAGCAGATGCTGGTTCACACTCTGACTACAATTCACATCTGAGTTCAGTTGTCTCTGCACCTTACACCAAACTAGGTGGTCTTATTCTGCACCAAAAATGCCTTTTTTGCTGAAAGTGAGTGAGACTTTCAGGGAAGAGTTCTCTGCTCTGTGGTCTCACATTAAGTCGTCTCCTCTTCCTTCCTCTCCTGCATGAAGGTGAGCATCAGATGAACCAGCTGAGATGGTCAACCTATCTTCCTTCTTCCAGATTTTTCTTCTTCCCTGGTTTCAGTTTGCTTCTGTCTGCAGATCTTTCAGGATGGGTGCACCAGCCTGATCCTGGGCAGGTCAGTCATGATATCCTTAAATTTTGATGCTGGTAATAATAATGAAAAACAGCAGAAAAAGATGCAGATGCAAAGAGATCTGCAAAGAGTGGGACAAGGATGGGCAACTCTGAATTTGCAATTGACCAAAGATGCTGAAATGCATGGGAAAAAAATTCAGTTGCATTTAAAGAAAGACTAAAAATGAATTTCTTAGTCCTCAAATAAGAAAAAGGGTGAAAGTAAAAGCAGAGATTTGCCCTCCCATCCTTCTCCTGTGACTCTACTTTAAAAAGTGGCCAAAGAAATACTTCTGCCCCCTTCTTATCTGGGACTGGCTGAGAAAAGGAGGATTGAGAGAGAGAGAGGGGGAGGGAAGTGGGGGAGGAGGAGAGGGAGGAATGGAGGGACAGGAGACCTGAGGGAGGTCCAACAGAGTGCCCTCTGTATTTGAGGACTAAGAGGGAAAGAAAGGAGGGAGAACGGAGGGAGCGAGAGGCAGCCTGAAAAAAGCAAAGAGGGTGAAGATTAAGGGAAAGGGAGGGTAAGAGAGACAAAAAGAGAAATTAAAGTGAAAGAAACAGAGAAAGAGGAGAAGAAAGAGAGTCTTCAGGCTGCTGTAATCTCCTCTGACTGCTTCTGAAGCTTTGCAGTGAATCCAGATGCCTTCTTTGGTCAGTCAGGCTGTATCAGTAAGATTTCAGTCCACGCTCTGGGGCATCATGGGAGATCAGGGGGCACGAGGGCAAACCACACAGCCCCAGAACATTTGGTTTGTCTTCTGTCTCAGGATCCCTCTGTCTCTGGTCCGTCCGTCTGTCCTGCTGCTCTTCTCTCTACATGGAAACACACACAGAGATTAGTTCCAGACAGATGGCTGCGTCCCAGGCTTATGAAACACAAGCTCTACATGTGGGGGACGATGTGAGTTAACAGTTATAGAGTTTATTTGCACAGTGATAAACTGTTCTGCAGAAGTGGACAGATTTGAATACAGATTAAATTCTCAGATAAAAGCAGAGCGATAAGAGACGAGGCTGCAGATCTGTGCAAGAAGAAGTTACAAGTGACCGAAACGCCGCCGTGAGTGTGAGATCTGTATAGAACTGTTCGTACCAGTATCCATCATTTGATCAGTTGGCTGTACAAATTGTTCATGTCACAATCCCGGTGTCAATTCTCAGCAAATTTAGCTATCATGAATCTAAATTTTCAAGATTCCTGGTTTTAACACGAGTTTTCATTTGCTTTTTAGTTTCTAACAGCAACATATCGTACATTTTGAGGGATCAAACTTCGGTGAGAATTTTACAGTCCACGTAGGTTGAACTGCCAGAACCTGCATTGTCGGCTTAATATAAGATCTTTTGGGACACGGTGCATCAACAGAATTGTAAGGGAAGAACTGTGACCAACTGTGATTGAAAGTTTGGCAAAGTTTCTCTCAAAGATTATGACACAGTAAAGTACTAGACATTTAATGCAAAGATGGGAGCATGTCCAGTATGACTAAGCATTGATCCATTCTTTAATATATACAAAAATAGTCAAGGCGACATGAATGTACGACTTCAGATTTTTGCTGATACTCAATAAGGGTTCAAAGGAGCAACAGCATAATTATAAAATCAGACTTTCACTGTGAAGAATTTATCAGAAGTGTGAATATTTGTTAATCAAAGTTACCTGAGTTTTGACTGAATAAAGTAAAGCGCTGTTATAATGACACCGTAAAGTAGTAGTTTTACTATACGGCCCCGCTTATGACCTCAAGTCACAGCTATGGTTTGCTTCTCTTAATTCACCTGGCCTTAAAATGAGCAAATCATTATTCAAAACACCTTCAAGAAGGTGTGACCGCTATATACAACATTTAATCCCACTGTGTTCAGCCTAACCATGTCGAGTCAAACTGATATGATGGCCTCAAAGAGCTGCAAGGCAAATGGGCTCAGCTAAACACTGCTGTGTCGCCGTGTTGACAAAGTTGACCCTTGTTAAGGAGTCCAGAAACAGACAAAGAAATGGAGATGAAGTAGCTTTAGCCTTCCTGCAAACAGCCACAACACGCCCTGCTGCTCAGCCACAACCTTGCCATGCAAATATATGTGTCATACCTGCATAATATATAAACTTTACAGATGTTTAATCAATGATTCCTGCATATTAACAAAAAAGTGAGATAAACACACAAAAATGTTTGTTCGACCAGGCTGTAAACATGCATTTTCTTAAGGTACTTAATGAGGCTTCCTTTACTTTTGCAGGTAGCCTCATATAGACTCCAAACCCCCTGTAGGAAATATGACCAAGACCACAAACACGGCCTAGATGTTTCAGGTCTAAATTAGCTGAAGTAACATCTACAGCTCCACCTGTCACTGAAAGAAGCTCCATCCCTAAATATGCATTAGATTAAAAAGGATAAATCCTGAATGGATAATGCAGGAATAAACATTAAAACTTTAACTTAAACTTCAAATTTGTTGTCCCTTGAGGGAAATTTGCTTGGCAGGCATGTAAAAATGTAAACCATTGGAAACACATTCACACAAGTTTAACAAGACTTAATTTCGCTGTGAAATGTGGCATATTAACATGGGTTTAACATGGAGATTGCATCACTTTAGGAGCCAGCCTCTAGTGGCCATTTGAGGTACTGTATTTTTGTGACTTTATGGTTTGGCTCACTTTTATCATTTCTGGAGCTTGCAGCTTTGTTTCACTGCATATGTCACCAAAATGTGTGAGTGAAGTCTTTGGAGATTTTCCAAACATTTTATGAGCTGTTTTCAGGTTTTTCTGTCCAAGATACAATCTCAAAATGCACAAAAAGAGCAATACAAGCATGTGATGACGCACCATCTTCTGCTGGTAAACATGCTCACAGATAAAAAGCTGCTCTCTCACTCTATCTGTCTCTCTCTCTCTCTCTCTCTGTCTTCACTTACTTGTTATTCAGATATTTTTCTGATTTTCATCCCAGTTTGACCTCAGTCTAAAGTTACTGCTGTGCTTCATTTTGGTGGGTCACTTAATGTTCGCCAATTGCTCCTCTGGGGGAGGGCAGGAGGTTACTCAGAGAGTGGCTTCTGCCCCAAACAGAGATCATTCTCATGGGAACAGGGGGTGGACGAACATAGATCCACAGAACATAGAGCTGCTTATCGTCTTCTTATTGCATCAGAAAAGTTATTTAAAACATCTGACATCTGATACTCATTTCCTCACCCGACTCTGACAGACACATGAGCCAAAACATCTGATTTTTAATGAAGGTTTCTCTTTTTTATTTGTCTGTATCCAAATTAAGCAGCAGGTTTTCATTATCTTCTCATTTATCTGTGACCTGCTTTTATTCATGCATCACTGATGATGTCTGGATGCTTTCTGGCCCTCACTGTATCACTCCAAACACCAACAGCTGACGGCAAAAATGTGGAAAGCATGATGAGGCATATTTCAAAAGTCATGGCAGCGAAAGTGAATTGTGTAACAGTTAATGAAGCAATAAAAATAAGATGTTTGGAGGAAATTAAAGTTAAAGCTGCATAATTTTGCAACACGTTTTTTGTAGCAATGAATTTTAAACCAAATTATTTAACTTATGTAACCCTCAAGAGAGTGTTCAGCATGCTTTTTTTTTCTTTATGTGTTGAAGTGACAGATTACAGGGTGAAGAAACAGATGAACGGTTTTTAAAGAAACCCATTTTTAGATTTGTAAAATTTCACATTTGAAGGCAGATCATGTGCATAAGTCAGCAAACAACAATGCATGCATAAGTGAGTCACTCTAAGTACGGTGCATTTATCACTGAACTAGTTTAAGCATTGAAGTATTAACTTGAATTTTAGCAAGTCGTTTAGGCCTAAACTACAACCATGCTGCAACCATTTGTACATATAAGCTAGTTATTGTTGCACATCTAAAGGTCCTTACACACCAGGGCCGACACAAATATAGAACACGAAACTAAGAAATCTTCGGAGGCGAATTTTGACGCCCCTGACTATACACAACAAGCCCTGCGACTTTCTGGGGGGAAAAAGACACATACCAGGGAAGACTTCCTGGGGAAAGTCCCACCTCCTTCACTTCTGATTGGCTAGAAACGCTGGAAACGTCATCACACCCTCAAGCCAAATGGTCAGCACTTATAGCCAATCAGAGGCAAAGGAGGGCAGGACCTTCCCTTACCATCCTACAGCGTCCCGGGTGGGAGCGAGGAGACAAAAATGGAGTCTACTTCAGCTTCAAATGATGGCGAAATGGTACTCCTTTTGCTTTCTCAAAAGGAAAAGAAACGTAGCACATGGGTGCATCCAATATTACAAAAAAAGTACAGAACTTGAGTTGAGTTTCACTGCTTGGTACAGGAGCTGAAACTGTACCACGGTCGCTTCAGAACCTATTTTCGGATGTCTGAAACACATCAGAAAACATAACACCAAACTGATTGTTTTCAGTTCTGATTAGACACTAGTGTTGAGATAGCTTTCTGTCATGATAGCATGTCGGGGCCAGTACCAGATAAGCACATTAAACTATGGTAACAACCGTTAGCTTACATTTGCACAGATGAAAGTTAAAACAAAGACGTTTAGCAAACTGTTAAAGAACACAAACCATCGTCATATGA